GGGGGGGGGGGGGGGGGGGGGGGGGGGCGTCAGAGGCAGGGCAAGCCGCTGCTGCGCACACAGCGCACCACTCACTGATACCCGCTGTGCCGCTTCACGCCCGCCAGCAGCGTCGAGAAGAGCACGGCGTCGATGCCGTAGTGCATGAGACGGCCGAGCATGGCAAGAAGTGAGAGGAGGGTGTGGGGTTGGAGAGGCAAGAGGCGCGCCGCGCGGGCCGCTCCGTGCTAGCGGACCCGAGCGGGCCCGGGCTCCTGATCGGGAGCGAGGAGCAGATTCTCATCGCGTAGGGTTTATATACGCACAGTTTTTCGGGACTCCGACTCTTTAATTAATTTGCCTTCTTAGCCAAGTGGTTACGGCGGAAGTTTTAAGCATAGACGCTCATGCACTTTTGCAGAAATGCATCGTGGGTTCGAACCCCACAGAAGGCACACCACTTTTGCGCGGCCCTGACGGCTTGGCCTGCAACGCCGGCACTCGCCGGGCAGCTTCTCTCCCACCACATCCAGCAAGTCATGGCCGCACACGCCGAGCCGGCCGCCGCGGCGCGGCCGTCGCTTTTGCTGATCGGGATGCGCGGCGCCGGCAAGACGGTTCGTGGCTCAGGTGCTCAGCAGTCCGAGGTCATGCTCATGCTGCTCCACAGACGCTCGGCGCCATCGCGGCCGAGCACATGGGCGCCGACTTTGTCGACGCCGACGAGCTCTTCGCTGCGCGACACACGACGCCCGCCAAGTTCGTCGCGGCGCACGGCTGGCCGGCGTTCCGTGCCGCCGAGACGGAGCTGCTGAAGGAGCTGATCGGCACATGCCCGCCGCCCGAGGCCCGCGACGGCCGGCCACAGGTGATCAGTCTCGGCGGCGGCGTCGTCGAGGAGGAGGCGAACCGCACGCTGCTGCGCGCCTTCTGGCAGGGCGAGGCCGGCACGTTCCGGCGCGGCAGCAATGCCGTCGTGCACGTCTTTCGCGAGATGGACATTGTGCTCAGCGAGGGCGAGCGGGCGGGCACGCGCAGCGCGCCCAAGTGGACCAACGGCCTGGCGCCCGACGTGTGGAAGCGGCGCCGCCCGTGGTTCCGCGACTGCTGTGCGTGTGGAACGTGGTGGCGCCCGTTGCGGCAGCAGCTGACACTCCGCCAGCCTCGCACGAGTTCGTCAACATGTCGCTGCCCTTCGACACGACGACGCCCGAGTCGTCGCGCGCCTCGCGCCGCAGCTTCGAGGAGGTCGAGCGTGACTTCGTGCGTGCGCCGTGGAGCCCAGGCCCGCCGCAGCTGACAAGTCGCAGGTGCTCTTCTTGCGGCGGCTGCTCGTCGACCGGAGTGCACAACCGGCCCACCAGCCGCTAAACCAGGACCAGCGCTCCTACCTCGTCACGCTGCCCTTTCCTGATCTCCGGCCGCACGTCGACATCCTGCCCACGCTCGCCGTCGGCGCAAGTGCCGTCGAGCTGCGTGCCGATCTGCTCTTCGACCCGGATCCCGTGCGCGCCTCGAGCTCGGCGCCCGAGGCGTACGAGAACCCGAGTCTGAGTTACATCTCCGAGCAGATGGCGCTGCTGCGGCGGCACCTGCCCGACGTGCCCGTCGTCTTTACGCTGCGCACGCCCGAGCAGGGCGGCAAGTATCCCTTTCCTGCCGATGCGCCCGCAAAGGCGCTGTTTGCGACGATGCACCACGCCCTCAAGCTGGGTGCCGAGTACGTCGACGTCGAGCAGGGCCTCGAGTCGGCCTCCAGCCAGGTGCTGATCAAAGACGCCAAGGAGCGCGGCGCCAACGTCATTGTCTCGTGGCGCGACACGCGCGCGCCACACGCCGGCGGCTTCGCCTGGGATGGCGAGCAGGCGTACGCCCACTACTCGCGCGCCGTCGCCGCGGGCGCCGACATTGTCAAGATGGTCGGCACGGCCGGCGAGGTGGCCGACAACTTTGCGCTGCGCATTTTTGCCGCGGCGCGCGAGCGCGAGAGCGCCACGCCGCTCGCAGCATACAACATGGGCGAGCGCGGCCGCATCTCGCGCTTCCTCAACCCGCTCCTCGCCAGCGTCACGCATCCGCTGGCCAAGGAGCTGACGCGCCGCGGCACCGTCGGCAGCCCGAGCATGACGTTCAGGGAGACGCAGCAGGCATTGCACCTCTCGGGCCTGCTCAAGGTGCGCCACTTCTACGTCGGTGCGCTTGCGCCCTTTGTGGCGTGGGCCGAGGAGCTCGGCCTGCCGCACCACTTCCACGTGCTGCCCGACGAGGCGTTCCTGACAGTCGAGGAGCTGCAGCAGGCTACGCTGCGGCACTCGGAGCCGCTCGGCCACGGCCTGTGCATCCCGCATGCCCTCAAGAATCCCGTGCCGCTGTCGCGGCGCAGCAGAGAGGCAGCGGCCATCGACGCCGTCGACACGGTGCACGCCGTCGCGCGTGGCGAGGCGCTCGAGTGGGTTGGCGCGTGAGTTGCCTCGAGTCGCAGCTCTGCCTGCTTTCACTGATCTGCTCTCACCAGCCACGTCGGCACGACGGCGCTCTGCACGCTCATCCGGCGCCGCATGTCGCCCTACACGGCGCTGCAGTCCGGCCTGCGCGCCGTCATCATCGCGACGCAGCCCGGCGCCATCGGCGTGCGTGCGGCGCGCTTTGCGCTCACCGAGGCGGGCATGCGCACCGTCGAGGTGCTGCAGCCGGGCCAGCGCGCGGCCGAGGGCGGCGCCACCGTGGTGGTGAGCGTGCTGGACGACTCGGCGGCATCGCTGGATGCTGCGTGGTGCGAGGAGCTGCTGACGTCGCCGTACGGAGGTGAGTGCTTCCGCCGAGCTACGCGTCCATCTCTGCTGACAACATACGCAGGCGTTGTGGTGGAGTACCGTACGCAGGCCGCAGAGCTGCTCGATGCTGCCCAGCACACCGCCGAGCATGTCTGGACGACCGTCTCCGCACGCGAGCTGGCCGAGCAGGGCGCCCGTGAGCGCTTCTTCCTCTTCACGGGCCGACGGGCGCCGCCGCTGCGGCCAGCGCACCTGCAATAGAATGTGGTGCGTCCTGTGTGCACGGTTTCAGCCGGCGGTGTGACGCAAGGAGGCGTTGCATGCGGAGGCTGCACAGCATGCAAGAGCGGTGTCTCTCAGCCTTGTCCGCGCGCCGCTACCGAGGCCGTGTACGCGCCCGCCGTCGCTCCGCCACCCTCCGGCTCCGCCTCAGAGGATAGTGGACAGGCAAGCAGCCTGTCTTGATCGCTGCGACGGTCACAGCAGCGCCGCACGGACATGTGAGACGTGCTCTGCCACGCACTGAGCAGCCGCGCAGGCTTCTGGCGCGCCTACGGACGCCGCCTCGGCATGGGCACCCTGCTCCACAGACTCCCGCTGGGACCTGAGAGCCCTGTCACACACGTGGTATGCTGTCTAAGGGGCCGTCCGATTCTAGATGCGCAGGGAAAGATTACATGCAGCAGGGCGTCCGGGTCTCCGGCTAGCCGCTGCGTTGGCAGCTGAACACGCCGCCCACCGAGCCGGTCTGGAGGAAGTCGAGGTCAGCACTGAGACGTGGGTGCAGCGAGACCCAGCCATGCTCACTCGGTCTGAAAACGCAACATGGCAAAGACGCAGCAGCGGTCAGCATCAGTCCACTGGCGCTAGCGAGGCGCACTCACACTCCTCGCGAATGCTCTCCACGGCCGCGTACGTGCCGGCGCCGAGCGTAAAGAGGCCGATCACGATGATCGACACGGCAACGACGAGGTGCACGGCGTTGGTGCCACGGAGCATGCTGCCGCCGTCGCGCTTGCGCAGCAGGAACCAGCAGCAGCCGGGTAGCGTGAAGCTGAAGAAGCTCACGAAGAGCGACGAGGTGATGCCGAGCAGCGCGCTGAAGAAGGGGATCACCTCGGCAATGACGAAGGCAAAGGCGGTCATGGCGAGCAGGATCAGCAGCCAGGCGATCCAGCTGGGGCGCAGCGTCAGCAAAGGGCACGGCCAGAAGCAAGGAACAGAGTCGCACCTGCGCGACGTCTTGAACACGGCGTGCAGCGTGCCCTTGAACGCCCGCTGGTGCGCATAGCGCGCAGCGACGGACTGAAGCACGCGGGTCAGCGGACTGTCTCTCGAGCGGCGGCTCGGCGCGCACCCACCGTGTTGATGGAACCTGATTTGTGGATCACGGGGATGGCATGCAGCAGCATTCGGTGTCAGTGAAGCCAGCATCGACCGCATTGACCACGCCGGGGCTGACCTGAGATGTAGACCACAGGGATAGCTACGCCCCAAGCGGCCTTCTGCAGCGAGCCAGCGCCAAGCAGCGCCGGCGACTGCACGGCATCGCCGCTGAGCGCGTAGATCGCGGCGCCCGTGACGGTGTAGATGACGATCTCAATGGCGCCTGCATGGCTTGGTCAGCGGCGCATAGCAGCGGAGGAGACATCTCAGCACGACGCACCCAGGCTGATGAGCGCCTTCTTGTAGTCGTGCGGCTTGGCCAGCTCGCCCTGCGCGATGGTGGTCAGCGTGCGCCTGCCGCTCTGCGCACTCCCTGCGCACCATAAAGGAGGGGAGGGCCACAGCAAAGGAGTAGGCGAAGATGATGTTCGTCACACTCAGCACTGCGGCGGCGTCGACGTCAGCACGGTGCGGGTCGCGACAGCCGCCGTCGCACACGCACTGGCCTCGTAGAACGTCGTCTCGGGGCGCGGCCAGAGGCGCCACTGCACGCCGCCGAGGCCTCCCGGCGCCGCACGCGCCTCCTTGCCGACGCCGACGCCCGTGACGATGATGGCGCCGATGATGCTTGCAAAGTCGATGTAGCCGAGCCAGGCAATGTCGTGGAACGACGGCGGGATCGCCAGCAGGTAGAGGATGACTGCCGAGACGACGCCGAACGCCACGCTGCACACGGCGTTGTCGGAGAGGGCGTTGAGCAGCTCCGTGCCCGTCAGCACGTGCGAGCCGACGACAAGGAGCAGCTGCAGCACGAAGCACACGGCGCAGATCTCGCGCGCGATGCGGCCGCCGAGCTGCGGAGCCGTCAGCGCCAGGCGCAACGCTGGCACGCAGAGAGAGAGAGGAGCAACGCACCAGCTCGGCCACCTTGTCGTAGTGGTCTGTGCCCGGGAAGCGGATGCACACCTCGCCGAGATAGAGCGACGCCTGCGTGGCAAGCATGCCGATGCCGACGGTGAGGATGATGCCGGCTGCAAGAGCGCGCGCGGGAGGGAGGTTCAGCGCGCCGTGTGCGCCCAGTGCTGCGCCTCAGGTGCCGACACTCACGGACCATGCCCAGCGTCGAGAAGGTGGCCGGCTGCGAGAGCGCACCCAGCGCCACGGCCTCGACGAGCAGGCAGATCGTGAGGCGCTGCCAGCTGAGGCGCGAGAACTGCAGTGACTGGTGTGAGCCCTCCACCCGCAATGCCCTCATGCTATATGCGCCGCACCTGCTTCTGCCCCTCGAGCTCCTTGCGCCGGTAGTCATCCAGGTCCTCGACGTCGTCGTGCGCCGCGAGGCCCAGCTTCTCCTTGACGCCCGCATCGCCCAGCGGCTTGCCGTCGGCGCCGACGCCCTTGTCGCCCGGCGCGGCGGCGGCCGTGTGGGCGCTGGTGCTGCTGCCGAGACTGGTGCGCGGCGCACCGGCGGTGGGGGCGACGTGCGACATCTGCGGTGCGGGGAAGGTGGTGGATGAAAGGCAGGGCCCGATGGGGCTGATGGATGAGGTCGTGTGCCGGTGGGCGCCGGGCAGAGGACGGCGTCGCTGCTGTGCCTCGTGCAGCGCTGCGGCTCTGTGCATCTCAGCAGCCCAGCCCGGCAGATGGGCTCGGCTCCTCCCTCTCGCCGTTCCCGCTGCCAGCCGCTGGCCTCCGCTGTCGCCTGTGCATGCTCGTCGAGGGCTCGGGGCACGGTCCGCGGCCCGAGTGCGAGACGCGAGACAAGGCGCGCTATTTTGCCGCAGTGACGCTGCGCCGCAAAGGCACCCGCAGCCGTCTCTTCGGCTCGCGCTGGCGGCTGCACCCCTCCCGCCGTCTCTGCACGTCGGACGCTGGCCGCTCGCCTGCTGCTGACGATGACCCGCTCAGCGCCGTGCAGGATGCCGGGCTCGGCGCAACTGCTGAGGTGCAGCAGCACCCAGGTGCAGCGTCAGCTGCAGAGGCGGCAGCGTGCAGCATGAGCGATGGCAGAGCATCGGGCCGGAGGGACAGCGGCGCAGGCCGAGAGACACCGCGTGCTCCCTGGTGCTGGTGCTGGTGCTGAGGTGCCCTTTGGGGCCCTTGGTGACGCACGCGGCGGCTCTTTGGCCCCGACGAAGTGCCGCGTTGGCCCCTCTCGCCGAGCTGAGGGACGACGCGAGAGAGCAGCCGAGGCACGCACGACGGAAGACCACAAACGCGAAAGGGCGCCGCTGCAGAGGCGGCACCGAGCGGCACGGCACCGCTGCCGCCGGCGCCGCGGCGAGGACGGCGCAGCGGCCGGCGGCTCGCGGAACGGCTCGCGTGCCGCTCGGCGTCCTCGCGCGCGCGATCATGCGCCTGCGTCATCTCGGCGCGCTCTCTTTCGCGCGCCTCTCGCGCGCCTCGCTCGCCGTCGCACCGCAAGTCGCAGCGCACACCGCGCGGTCGCAGCTGAGCGCTGGCGTGGGACGTCGTGCTTCCCCACATCCGGAGCTGCAAAGCGATAAGGCTCGTCGGACGACGCCGCTCTGCGCCTTGGAGGCAGCGCAGAGGCTGCGGACGGCATGCTCTGCCGCGCGAGTGCGCGCGAGCGGCGCTGTCAGCCCTGGTGGTCCGGACCGGCGGCGTCACGTGACAACAACTCGCCGGCGCCAACACCCGCCGTCGCGCGCCTCAAGGTGCAGGCCAGGCTTGGCGCCGCCTGCCACCGCCTTGCCATCTGCTGCACAGACGTTCGCGAGGGCGCCGCAGAGAGGACATAGAGGCCGCTCCACGTCTGTTCAGTGCAGTCACTCTGCAGTTGCGTCAAGCAGGCCAGGGCGGGGTCCGCCAGGCGCGCGCGCGCGTCTTGTGGTGCGTGGCGTGAGAGCGGCAACGGCTGGCGCGCCGCACATCAGCCCAGCGCGGCGGGCGCGAGCGTCTTGCCCATCATCACCCTCTCCCTCCTCCAGCCAACACTCCAACGCACCACCTGCTCCCACTCCGCTCCGCGCCTCACGACTCTCCACTCACGCTCGCTTCTCATCGCTCCTTTGCACTCTTTCTCCGTACCCGGCGCCGCTTCGAGAAGGCGCACTCCATCATCGCTGCGCAGGCGCACGCACGCACGCTTCCACTGCTCCGCGGTCGACACTCTCTGTCGCCTTGTCTGCACAGCTGCACCGCACTGTATTGCGCCTGAAGTGTGCACTGCTCTCTCGGCCCTTGTTCCTGCCTCGCTCCGCCTGCGCCACGCAGCCATGGGCTGCTGCGGCACGGCCGACTGGAAGCGCGAGGAGGTGCCGGACCACAAGGTGCGTCGGAGAGCACATGGACACGCAGAGCGCAGCTGGAAGGGGGGCGGTGCAGTGTTCCGGTGTCCGACTGGCTCTCCAGCGGCCCTGCTCGCAAGAACAAGACCTGGGTGTGCATAGCACTCGCAGTCGCGGAGGGCAACTACTGCTGTGCCGCGAGTTGCCGGGACACTGCCAGCACACGCTGGGCCACAGCAGCGGGCTCACACCTCTCTCTGCTCTCCTCTCACTCGCTGACCCCGCGCGCAGTTCGACTTCATCGATGTGCGCGACTACTGGACGAACGGCGCGCTGACGCGCCTGCGCTACGGGCTGCTCTTCGTGCTCGTCGTCAAGTCGATTGCCGTGTACATGGCCGACATCTACACGGCCGTGACGCTGCTGGCGCTGAACCACTTCAGCGGCTCTATCTACCAGAGCGTGCAGGACTCGAGCGACGGCAGCGTCAAGGTGCCGCTCATCTACGGCAAGTGGGTCTTCTGCGGCTGCATCATCTTTGGCTTCCTGCTGCTGGCGTACGAGGCGCACAAGGCGCGCGCCATCATCCGCAGCCGCGACATCAGCTATGCCTACACGTGAGTGGCCGAGTGGCCGATCGCTGCAGCGCACGGCTAAGGCGGCTTGCGCGCAGCAACATCATGGCCAACGACTACTACTCGCTGCGCTCGTACGAGCACTTCTGCTTCTTCTGCCAGATCAACAACTCCAAGAAGAAGAAGGACGAGTTTGCCTTTTTCATCTTCTTTACCTTCAAGGGTGAGCGAGCCGACGTCCGCCCATCCGCTGCACTGCTGACCCACTGTCAGGCTGGAAGCGCCTGCTCGTCGCCGACGGCCCGCGCCAGGTGATCAACATCCTCACGCTGTACGCCCTCGGCGAGCGCGTCAAGTGGTCGACGGACATCTCCGAGTACTACGACAACAACGTGTGGACGCTCGTGCTGCTGCTCACCATGCTCTTCACGGTGACGATGTTTGTGCTCTCGGCGCTGCTGCTCATCATTGCGGCCGTCATGTATCTGCCGCTCATCTGCTACATCAAGGGCAACCTGAAGGAGTACTGCTGCCACAAGATCGACAAGCGCATCGCCGAGCTCGTGCAGAAGAAGAAGAAGCAGCGCCTGGCCAAGCATGCCGCCATTGCGCGCGCCGAGGCGGCCGGCGACTTCTCGCACCTGAAGAACAAGAAGGGCGAAATTGTGCGGCAGGCCATGCAGCACCCGACACTGCCCAAGGTCGACGTCGATCTCTTCGACGAGTCGCCGAAGATGAAGGGCGCCGCGCCGCACGGCCGCGAGGGCAGCATTGCCTCGACGGGCTTTGGCGAGAAGGGCGGCATGTACGACCAGGGCGAGGCCGGCTCCACGGCGCACCTCATGCTCAACGCCGGCCAGCCGGGCGCCGGCGGCGTGGCGCCCAGCAGCTCAGGACATGGCTTCCAGTCGTCGAGCCTGCCCAACTCGCCCGACGCCTATCCGCTGCACGTGCGCGGCGCCCAGGGCCAGCCGCAGCGCACCGGCAGTCCGTCGCACGACCTCCTGACGCAGCTCGGGCCCATCGGCACGTCGCCGGCGTTCGCGGCACAGGTCATGCGCGGCCGCGGTGCCGGACACAGCGATCGTTCGCCACTGGCACCGGCTAATGCGCCCGGCGCGTACCAGCAGCGCTACGACCGCGCTGGCCACGCATACGCCGATGCTGGCGTCGACTACCCGCCGCCGGCGCATGGTGCGGGCGCCGACGGCCTCGAGTACCCGCCGCCGACGCCGTACGCCAGCGCAACCGAGGCACCGCCGGCGGACCTCAGTGCGTTTGCGCCGTACGATGGGCGCGGCGTCAGCCCGGCGCCGAGCTATGGCGCCGCAGACGTGGTCGACATGTACGCGCGCGACGGCTACTCGGGCACCTCGACGCCGCACGGTGCAGCATCGCAATCCGCTGCATGGGAGCAGTACGAGCAGCAGGGCGGCTACGCCGCACACGAGGGCGAGGCGTATGCGCAGCACGTTGGCGCTGCGGGCAGCGGCCACGATGCGTATGCGTGGGACGAGCGGCCACGAGGGCAGCACGCGCAGCACGAGGCGCAGGGCGCCTACGACGCGCAGGCGTGGGACGAGTGGCAGCAGCAGCAGCAGCTGCAGCAGCAAGGCGGGCACGAGACGCACGGCTACGATGCAGCGCAGGCGGCGCAGTGGGCCGCGTACGAGGAGCAGCAGCGTGGCCACGAGCAGCAGCAGCAGCAGCAGCAGTACGACCAGCAGTACGCTGCTCACGAGCCGCGCGCCCGGCACGAGGGCTATGCGGCGCAGCAGGGCGACTGGGACGCCCAGCAGCAGCACTACGACCAGCAGCAGCAGCTCTACGACCAGCAGCAGCAGGCCTACTCGTCGCAGCATCAGCAGCAACAGCATCGTGCGCGCTGAGCCCCCTGCCGGCAGTGCCAGCCCTCTCGCCGCGCCATTTCCCCACCTCGGAGGAGCGCCCTGCCGTGTATCCCCACTGTAACCTAGAGCTCCTGTCTGCGATGCCACGACATGCGGACTGTCGCTGCACGCGTGTGAAACGAACGGGGCTGCATTGTCGGCATGTGCACTGCCGCACAGCAACAGCATCAGATGTTGTGCTTCTCGGTGTTCCACACGCTGGCAGAGCGACAGCAGCGTCAGCTACAGGCGCAGGCCACGGCAGTGAAGGCACACTCACCTTGATGTCGCGAACTCGGGCTTGGCTATCGGATCCGTCTGGCGGACACATGCGGTGATCAGCGGCTGATCAGAACGGCAGAGGCGCTGCAGCCCATGGCCCACGCATCGCCATCTCTCGATCTGGCTTGCGCGTTGCGCCCAGCGCGGCATGACCCCAGCTCGCTGCCACGAGGCTCGCGCGTTCCAGCAGTGGGTGCGCGACATTGAGACTGCCACATCGCAGCAAGGCGAAGACAAGCTGCAGCCATGCAAGCGTGTCCATGTGCCTCGCGCGAGCTACACGCAGCGGTCGACGCTGCGGGGCAAAGGATGAAGGGGTCCGTCCTCGCCGACTGCTCGCGAGCGACTTCTTGCAGGGCCTCACGGGAGCAGCTCGCTGCACACGAGCATGCTGCATCGCACGCCAGAAGCCATCTCCCGCGTACGACCCTCTCTGCAGCTCCCCGAGGCTCTTCTCCAGCTCGCTCCACTCACCGCCTGCCCTCGCAAGCTGCCCGTGAGGCGCTGGTCGCGGCGCATCATCATGTCGTCCCAGTCGTCGACGGAGTGGCGCTGCGGCTGTGGGGCGGCAACAGGGCGCACGCAGCAGGGCAGTGTCAGCATGCGGTTGGCAGATGGCGCGCTGCTCGCGAATGGCCAGGCTCGCCTGCCTGCTCGCCCTTGCGACACGCCTGCGGTCGGCGCCGAGAGCGAGACGGCCTGCAGCAGACACAGCTGCGCCTGTCAGGGCTGCGGCCGGCATGCTCGTCCAGCCAGCTGCGCTGCCCCACCAGCTATGCGCCTGCCGGGCGCTCCGGCGTAGCTGGCCCAGCCACGCCCTCGCGAGCCGACACTGCCGGCGCGCTGGCCCTTGCAGCCCCGCGGCGCACGCACCTTGCCGTCGTTGGTCATGCGCTTGGCGAGGTTGAAGCCGGTGCCGGTGACGCCGAACATGACGACGACGAGGCCCATGGGGATGAAGGCTTCCCAGGGAACGGGCATGCTGGGCGAGAGTGCGGGCTGGGAAGAGCGGTGTGGAGTGGTGGAGAGAGGCGGGAGATGCGGGCGTGGGCGCTGGGCCGCCGTCCGTGCCGGCGGCGCGCGGGCACGACTCCGGCGATGAGGCGGCGCGTCCGCGCAACTTGCGCTGGCAGACATCACGCGGAGGCTGGCTCGCATGTGCAGCGCCGAGAACCTCGAGCGGCTCCCTTATGAAGCGCCCGTTAGGCGTGAAACTGCACACATGCTCGGGCTGTCACATTGGTCAGCTTGCGGCGGTGCGAGCTGCGAGTTGGAGGTCTTGCGCGGCATCGAGGCGGACAGGTCGCAGCGAGCCGGCAGTACGCGGCGCTCCACCTTGGCATGCCCCAGCACAGAAACACAGCATGTGCGTCCAGACAGGAACAGCCGGACTGGACAGTGTGAAGTTGTTCAGAGGAAGTGCGGAGCACGTCACCGCCGCAGCCTGCCCGAGATGGCGCCGTGCGGAGGCTCGCGCAGCAACGGGCGTGCTGCTCCGCTTGCTCACGGCGTCCGCATCGGCGCGCGTGCCCTTTGCCTTGCCTCAACGGCGAGCACGGCCGAGCTTTCCCTCCTCTGCATCCGGCTGCAATACCGATGCTCGTCCGCTCGAGCCAACGATCACATATTAAGCTCTTTGCGCCATCACGACGAGCGCGTGGACGTGTAGGGCGTGCTTGCCGACGATGAGTGAGCAAGGCACGCGGGCGGCAGTCGTGGCGAAATTGTACACTCCGTGCAAAGCGCTGAGCTTCTTCTGCCACCATGCTCTCCGCATCTATACTGCCGGAGCTGCCGTAGCCATCGGTGAAAGTAGACAGCGCGAAGAGAGCTGGACGTCGCGGAGGGGTCACTCACGTTCGGCAGCGTGGGAGCAACGCGCGAAGGCGCGCCGAGGTGTGCATCTCGCCATGCTGTCCGTGCGCAGCGAGAGACCGCAACGCCCGCCTCCCGACACCCACCTGCTCCCTCAGCACACGTCTACAGCCTCTCACTCCACGCATCCGGCGCTCGCACTCGAGCATCTCTGCGCCGGTCTCTTGCCGCCCGCCGCTTGTGCGCGTGGCTGCCTCCCTGGCCCCGCGGCAGCAGCTGGTCTCGCCGGTGCTCTCGAGCCCGCGTGGTACGGCACCGCGCCTTCTGCCGCGCTGCGCTCCGCCTTGCCGCCCACGATGGCCGTGCCATCGGCAGGCGCATTTGCCTCATCAAGCGATGCGGCGCAGCACGTCGTGCACGCCGCGCTGGCGCCGCGCCTCGCCGTGCTGGCATCGCCCGACGTCGACGCCGCGCTGCTGGCGCCCAACGGCCTGCCCGACTTTGCCGCGCTGCTGCGGCCGTTCGAGAGCAGCATACGGGGCTGTGAGTCGATGTGACTCCTTGCAGTCTTCTCTAGATGCTCAGCGCAGCACGTCGCCGCAGTGGCAGTCCGCACGACCGAGCTCGTGACGCGCCCGGCGCCCTCATTCCCGCTGGCCTTCGACACGCTCGCCTCCTTTGCGCCGCCGCGGTCCTCGCGGCCAGCACCAGCCGCAGCTGCGGCATCTGTATCCAGCAGCTCGCCTCCACCGACGCCTGCCGCTCCGACGCGGCCGGCAGCCTCACGCGCCGCCTCGGCCGCCAGCGTCAGTGCGCGCGACGCTCGGGCAGAGGTGCTGCTCGATGCGCTTGGACCTGTGGTCCGCGAGGCTGCTCGCGAGAGCGCCGCTGTCGACGCAGAGACGACGCCGTGGTTTGCGGCGATGCGCGATGCGGTGCTTGCGAAGCGGAGAGTGGAGCCTCACGAGTCGTTTGGCTGGCCTGTCGGTGGTGAGTGCAGCGCGAGGCTGAGGAGCCGAAAGGGGGCAAAGCGCGGCGGCGAAGGTGTGCTGCATCAGCTCCGCCTGATGCCTCTTGAACAGTCATGCTGGTCGTATCTTCGGCCTCGCCAGACCCCATGAACGCCTTTGCCAACCTCTTCGAGGCCTCGTCGCCCACCGTCGCTCGTGCATTTGCCGATCGCGCCTTCGTAGACCCCAACGTGCTGCGCTACTACGTGCTCGTGCACGACGTCGCCTCGTCTGGGCCAGATCTCTCCGAGTGGGTACGCCGAGGCGTTTGGGCAAGAGCGTCGTTGCTGACTGCCGCTCTAGCTCGTTCGCGATCCTGGAGAATGTCAAGAAGACGTATGGCGTGCACGCGTGTCTGCTGCCGCTCAATTCAGCCTCAAGCGCAGAGCCGCACGAGTCGGGCATCTCGGCGCTCTGGCGCACTGCGCTGCGGCATCCTCCGCGGTCGCCACCACCACGGCCTCCAGGCGACGCGGCGCCGCCGCCCGTGCCGCCAAAGGAGCCGGAAGATGATGGCCCTTCTGCCGGCGCTGCGGCCGAGGCGGAAGAGGAGCCGGCCGCGTCCGACTTTGCTCTCCTCTTTAACGACACCGATGTGAAGCGGCTGCAGATGTTCGTGCGAGAGTTTGCAGCGCAGAGCCTCGTGCCCTTCCTTGAGCGGTGTACGACGCAATGGAACGAAACTGTGAGTCGACACACGTGGCGACAGCCTGGCCATTGCTCATCCAGCACAGCTTGCGGCGTCGCGGCGAGGCCTGACTGGCCGCCTCTTTGGCGCAGGACGCAAGCTGTTTGGCTCGAGCGGCAGCAGTCTGCGTGGCTCGAACGGCACTGCTGCGCCCTCTTTCTCTACTCTTGGCTTGTGCGTATCCAGTTGTAGCGTCGCCTGTCACGCAGCTCACTGTTCCCAAACCCAGCTTCCCGCACACTGCGATCGAGGCTCAGACGCGCCGTCTCGCCGACTTCGCCTTCATGACGCGCGACTACAAGCTTGCTGCCGCCATGTACGACATCCTGCGCAAGGACTACGCGCAGGAGAAGGCGGTCAAGTACGTGGCCGGCGCTACTGTGAGTCTGTCGTCCTCGACGCTGCAACTTGATTGCTCACACCCGTGTCATCACAGGAGATGTTTGGCCTCGCGCACCTCATGATGATGCTGGTGACCAAGTCTGCACCCATCGACGTTGACAGTTATCTCGCCTCCGCGTGCGCAAGCTACATGGCCGCACCGCGGACGCTGGGCAGTCAAGTGCAGCTGGACGGCCTGCGCGCCACGCTGCTCTACTACGAGGCGTACCGCGCGCTCAACTTCTACCGCTCTGCGCCGGGCGCACTCGCCCGGGCGGCAGAGGCAGGCTCGGGCGAGAACGACATCGAAGTTGCTGGCGCCGTGCTGCTCGAGCAAGCGGCGCTTGCAGACTTGCGGCAGCCCGGCCGGCCCAGCTTGCGCAAGCACGCTGCCCACCTCGTCCTCGCTGCTCACCGATACCGCGACTGCGGACAAAAGGAGCTGTCGCTGCGGTGCTTCCGGCGCGCCGCTGACGCGTACGCCGAGCGGTCCATCGGCGCTCGTGGCGCACTTGCATCGCCGCAGCCGCAGGCTGTTGGCGCAGAGGAAGACGAAGACCGGCCGGAGACAGACCCGGCACGCATCGCCCGCGAGCGCGGGCCTCGCGACGACGAGCTCGGCTGGCAGCGGATCGAGGATCATCTCGAGTATGAGCTCGGTCGGCAAGCCTACGCCGATGGAGACGCGAGCGGCGCGGTGGCGCACTTCCTGCGCCTGCTGCGTCCCAGCCGCCTGCCAACAGATGCGAGCGACGAGGAGCGCGCAGCGCGGGCCGCCCGTCACGCGATGCACCTCGAGGAGCTCCTGACCGCGTACAAGTACACCGAGCAAGCAGAGAAGGCGAGCGGCGACGAGCTCTCTTTGGCACTTCCGCACCCGCTGTTTGACGTGGCAGCATCGCACGTGCGGGCGTCCAGCAACAGCGGCGCGCTCGCCGACGATCCGGCTTGGGCTGCGCTCGAGACTGCCTACTTGGACCGCGCCTTTGCTTCTGAGAGCGGCAGGCCAGCATCGCTGGCGCGACCGACCGCAAATGTTGCAGCAGTAGATGGTAAGCCCCATCGTCGGTGGCCAAAAGGCCTCTCTGACGCATTGCGCCGACGCAGAGACCTTCCACGTCGAGCTGTGCATCCGCAACCCGCTCGGCACTCCTCTCACGGTCTCCCAGATCAGCGTAGCATTTGCAGATCTGAGCGACGAGCCTGTCGAGCTCGCAAGTGACGCAGTCCCTGACATCGAGCTCTCTGCGGAAGAGGAGCGGATAGTGAGTGTGACGACTCAGATACGCTATGCGCTCCGCTCAAGCCCAAGCAGCTCTCCATTCCAGCTCGGAGCACAAAGCTCGCAAAGCTGCGCTGCGCGCACGTCAGCTTCCGCCTCGCCGGCGCAGTTCCGCTGCGCCAGGTGCTCGACAAGCGGGGAGCACGGCTAAACGCGACGCGAGAGCAGCGCATCAGCAGCACGGCGATGTATGCCGAGGACCAGTCGCTCGTGGTCGAAATCCGCGAGGCGCGGCCAGAGCTCGCGCTTGAGCTGCTCGAGCCGCCAACTCGACTTGGACTCGGAGAGGAGGCATCCACGACGCTGCGTCTGACGAACGTCGGACGCGTGCCGATTGCCGACCTCCGCGTTCTGGCGGACAAGCCAGACGTGCTGCTGCTGGGCGCGCACGATGAGCATGGTGAGCAGCATCATGTGATCGTCGCTGAGGCGCGGGACTGACGCCCCAAAGCAGAGTTCTCCTCGATGTCCAACTCTCTGCGCGACACAGAGCCGCTGCGGATCGAGCTGCCGGGCGGCGTGCTCCAAGCCGGCGCATCCGTCGAGCTGCCGGCGAGGCTGCGAGGCGCAGCTCTGGGCTTCCTCGAGCCGCGCTGTCTCGCTGTCTTCCGGGTGAGTTAAGAGCTGGGTGTCATTTGCCACTGCGACTGACGGTGCACAACAGGGAGACGAGGCGACCGACCTTCAGACTGCGCGTCTGACGCACGGCTTCGTCGTCGAGCCGGTCATCGATCTTGCTGTCCAGGCGGGCGCAGCTCGCGGCGAGCAGCTCAGCTACTTGCTGCATCTCGAGGTGCGCAGACGACCTTCTGCGAATGGTGCGGCTGCTGCTGATCTGACTCCTGCAGGCGGTCAATTTGTCGGCCGGCGATGACTCGACGCATGTCGAGGCAATCTCGTTTGTCAGCCCGCACTGGAGCGCAGACGCAGGGCAAGACGAAGCCTTGCAGTGAGTGTGCATCCATCCGCGGATGTGAAGCATCCCTGACACCGCACATCAGGGGCGCTCTGGGCACCATGCCGTACTACCAGCGGCAAGGGGCGTCTCTTACACTGTCAGAAGCATCCGCAGCGCAGGTCGAGGCCTCGTCTGGCGCTCCGCTTCGCGACTTGTCGTTCACCGCCAAGCAGCTGGGCCTGCTCCTGCAGGGTCTGCCGCTCGACGGCCAGCCGCAAGACATCGCAGTGCACCAAAGCACCGTCGGCTCGTCTTCGAGCGTGTCGCCCTTCTTTCATGCAGCACGAAAGGTCTGGCGGCAAGCAGCGCTGGCACGGCACTTTGCAGCTGTGGCACCACGCGATCGCACGCAGGTCTTCACGCTGTGGGAGCCGAGCGACGTCGATGTCGTGGCGCACTGGGTATCCGGCGATCGTCGTGGCCAAGCCTTCATCTTTGGCCTGCAGCTCGGCCCGGCGCACGACCACCTGCCGCAGCTTGCAGCGGGCGAGGCGGGGCGCATCATCTACGAGGAGTCTGCGCGCGAGAAGGTGAGCAGCAGCAGCACGATGTCGTCCTGTGCTCCGCTGACATTGCTCGCACAGGCGGCGCTCCTCACGTCCCTGCTGCACAGCAGACTACACGTCGAGGAGGATCCGCTCGTCGTCGACGTGTCGGCGGCCGAACGTGCAACGCACGACTTCGCCAGCGGGTAAGTCACGGCTGCCTCTGCATCGCAAGTCCATTCTCACGCCTACCCTGTCAGTCGCTATCGGCTGCCGGTGCACTTCGCCGTGCGCAACCTCTCCACGGTGCGCAGCGTCTCCTTCGTGCTGCAGCTCGACAACACGCCGTATGAGCGGACCCGCGGGTGCGTCTGCTCTCTTACGCGGCCAGTCTGCATCGCGCTGACGCTGATCTCGGAGCAGTGTCGAGGTGCAGCCAGCGCCCTGGCTAGGCCGGCTGACGCAGCGCGGCTCCCTTGCGCCGCGCGAGCGCGTGCAGCTCGAGGCTCACGTCGCGGCCAGTGCGCCGGGCATGTGGGAGGCCGGCGCCTGGACTCTGCGCGTCAGCGTGGCGCTGCCGCAGCCGGACGGCGCAGATGCGTCGGGCGACAGGGCCGTGCACTTTGAGCAGGCGGGCTTCGCGGGCTGCATCACGGCGGTGGCGCAGGAATAGAGGGTCACATTCGGGGACAAGAGCGAGCCTATCAGGGTGACTGGTGGTGAGGTATTGTACAAGCGAGGATCAAGGCCGGACGAGGGTGCTCGAGATGGAGCTGCCCTTAGGCAACGTGGTCGGACGGGTTCTGGGCTGCAGAGCTGCTGCTGCCGCTCGCCGCAGCGAGCTGCACGCCAGGCAGGTGCTTCTCGCACGCTGCCGTCTGGTGAGCGTCGTCGGGCACGTAGGCCGGCGGGCCGCAGCTGCCGAGCTCCTGCGCCTCGTGCGGATTCGGCATGGGCGTCGTCGGCGACTCGGAGCGCGCATCGAGGGCAACGCTGGCCGGACGGACATCAGTGCTGCCACGAGGAGGCCAGACGGGCACGGCAAGGGCATCGCCGACTGCGGCGCGAGCAGGTGCGTGGTCGCCGGCCTCTGAGGCGAAGCCAGCCGGCGGCGGCGGCGCGGGAAAGACGCGCAGCAGCGGCGTGCTGGGCGACGGACCGAGCGCAGCAGCGCTGGTGGAAAAGATGCCGTGACGCTGCAGCACCGGTGCCGAGACGGACGAGCTGAGCATGATGCCTGCTGCGCTGTATGCAGGCTCGGGCGGCGAGGGCATCGGGAACGCGGCGGCCGCCGACGAGGGCGGGTACGGCGACGCGACCGGCTCGCCGCCGGCAGGCGCTGCCACAGGGACCGTTGCAGGCTGCTGGGCGTCGAGCGAGGCCGTGTATGCAAGCGGCTCGGGCTGCTCGTTCTTCTTCTCGCCGCCCTCGTGCTCCTCCTCGTCGATGGGTTCCATGAGCGGCGCGCGACGCGCACGGCGGCGACGGCGGCACCAGCACGCGGCGAGGCCGAGCGCCACGAGCAGCGCCACAGCGCCGAGGCCGATGCCTGCCACGGCGCCCTTGCTGAGGCCCGTCTTCTGCGCCAGCTCCGAGACGACGTCGATCGTGGCCGTTGCGGCGCGCGTGCCGCGGCGAGTCGTCGTGATGCGGCGCGTCACGACGTATGTGCGCCCGGCGACGGTCGTCGTGGCGCGTGCGGCCAGCTGCGGCTGCAAGAGGAGGACCATGAGTCGCAGCACGCGACAGGAGCACATGTGCACACTCACTGCCGGCGTAGGTGCGGCAAATGCAGTGCCAGGCACGACGGAGAGCGTGCTGCTCGCTGTGCCAGCGTCAGGTCAGCACGGGCAACGCACGTCGATGCAGGCAACGCGGCGACTCACGCGCAGCCAGCGTCTCGGCTCCCGCAGCCACGGCAAGGCAGGCCGCGACGCAGCAGAGGAGCATCAAGCAGAGGTGCATGGTGCAGTCGAGTGCGCCAGAGGGAGAGTAGGCGTGCTTGAGGCTGAGAGGGAGGTGCGGCCGACTGCGGTCGCCCGCTTGAGCGCCCGCTTCTTATGCGCCAGACGTGCGTGGTCCGGCATTGAGCGCAGCGGCGCTTCTGCTGGCTTGCACCGTCGCTTGCTCTGATCGGCGTGCTGCACTTGCCGAGGTGTTGCTGCAGCAGCAGCATCAGCATGGCATGCGCTGAACAGAGGAGTGCTGTGATGTGTGCATGGAAGCAGCGTCCAGGCCCAATCGGGCGGGCCCGCTGCAGCATCGGGCCTCTGCACGCGTGCCCTTGCTCGCAGCTGCTGCAGCATGCAGCCGCGGTCGCTGCGCTGCCGGCTGCTCTCTTTCTGCAGCTGCTTCTTACGCTGCTCCTGCGCTGCTGTTGTGATGCATGCAGAGGGCGCGGTCTAGGCCCCCGATGGGCGAGATGCGAAGCAGCGCCGCGTTGGGCGATGGGCCTCGAAAGGGCAGGCTTGGCAGCGGCGGCGCCGCCTCTTGACGCCTGCCTGCTGCTCCCTCGCCCCGCACACCAGCATGCAGCCACCTCAAAGTCAGCGAGAGGAGAGCTTGAGGTCGTCGTTTGTGGTTCTTTGAGATCGAGCTGCACCTCTGCTGCTTGCCGATGCAGGCGCAGGCCCACCGCACCGTCCAGGTACCGCCTGATCTTGAGGACTCGAACGCCTGACCGTGAGCACTCACAGCGCTGCAGCTGCAGCGGCTGTGGACAGCCACGCATCCCGCCGCATCGGCATGCGCCTCTTGAACGCCTGGATGCACCACAAGGGCTGCCTGGCAGTTTTCTGACCTCGGAGCGCAGATCTCGGCCCGCTGCAAGCGGCAGCCATGCAGTGCAGACTAGAGCAGCTCGCAGACGTGCTCTCGACGTTGCCATGGTGTGGTGTGGCACGTGCGCCGCTGCGCTCGACGGTCACGCCAAGCTTGCTGCGCCGACGTCCAGCCGCGCTTGCATGCTACTGTAGAGTGGTGGGCCGATTCACCGTGCATTCTCGTCGAGAATAGCCGGCTGCGGCGGCGGGGACGATGGAGGAGCAGCCGCCACGCAGCGCTCAGGGGCAGCGCGCCAGCGAGAGCGGGGGGCGCGTGGAGGTTTCGCCGCCCATGCTGCGCCGCGCACCACGCGGCTCTTTTAGCGCTGCGCCCACGCCTTCGCGTCCCGCCGGCTGGCGCCACACCGCTCTGCTGCCGCCGCTCCTCCGCTGAGCGTTGCTCCACATTGAGAATCGCAGCGTGCCGCCGCGCAGCACAAGCTCAAGCGGAGCAGCGTGCGGAGCTGCGCCCAGAGTTGGCGCTGGGAGCACATACAAGGACGCCGACGGCTGTGCGTCGTCGCCATGCGGAGCCTGCACCATTGCGTGCGTGCGGGGTGCGATAGCGCTGCGCCCGAGGCAGCGTCGAGCTGGCCCTTTGTCCTCGTTGCGCTGCCCATGGCAACGGGGCATGGCTCGCGTCGCCTACATAAGGAGCACATCGTTGAGGCGCTCCTCCTCCTCACCCACATCTCCTCATCAAGCACCACTGCCACTCAGCAACCCCTGCCCAACTCTCAACATGCGCTTCGCCACCTACCTTCTCGCGGCCACCATCGCCGTTGCCAGCACGTCCGCCGCCGTTGCAGAGCAGGTGAGTTCTCTCCCTCGCCTATCCTTTCACACCCATGCTGACGCCTCCGCCAGCCCGTCGGCGTCGCCGGGCGTGACTTCACCATCAGCAGCGACGGCAACGGCGGCCTTTCGTGCGGCTCGCTGCGCTGCTCCGACGGCAGCATGCCCGACTCGCGCTGCAACTGCGGCGGCAACATCCAGCAGGGCGGCGCCACGCTCGTGCGCGCCTCGGGCGGCGTCACGAGCACATACACGGGCGCAGAGGTGACGAGCTTCCTCTCTGCGTCGCGCGCCAGCGCCAGTGCGGCGGCGGCGACGCAGACGGCGGGCGGCGCCACCACCACGCCTGCGCCGTCCAGCTCCTCGTCGTCGTCGTCGTCGAGCAGCAGCAGTCGCTCGTCCAGCACGGCCTCGCCCGCGAGCCAGTCGCGCTCGCCCGACGCCGCGACGGGCCTCGCGCCCAGCGCCGGCCTCGCGGCGCTCTTCGCCGGTGCGGCCGTGTACCTGCTCTAGTCTCCTGCCGCTGGCCGGCACACTCAAATATATCCCGTGCATCTCTCGGCTGCTTCGAGTGTAGAGCAGATGCATTGCGAGGGCGGGGGCATGGCAAGTGAGGAGTCGTGAGATGGGGAGTCATGATTGCTATCGCACTGCCACGTCGAGCAGGCGCAGCGTGACGGTGAGGGCCAGGTCGAGCGAGCAGACGGGCGACGTGATCGTCTCGTGCACCGTCGCGAGCGCCTTTTCGCACGACACCTTGCCTCCCGGGCCGAGGAAGTAGCCAGCCTGCGGCGGCGCCAGGCCGATGCACACCGCGCGCGCCCTGCGTGCCGTCTCGGCGCGCATCGCAGGCGTGCGTTCCTCGCCCGGCGCGCCGCTCCACTTGCCGTCGGGCCAGTACTTCTCCCGCAGCTCGTCGACCCAGACGCCCAGTTGCGCAGACGAGAGGGCCGACGAGGTGGTGTTGAAGACTCCCAAGATACTGCTGGCGTAGTTGGCACGCACGACCTGCTCGAGCACGCGCAGCATGCCGCGGCGCAGCGTCCAGCCGCCAGAGATGTTGAAGGCCTCGTCGGCGACGGCAAAGACGGACGCGAGCAGTGCGTCGAGATCCCGCTGGCTCAGCTCCGCAGACGGAGGCGGCTCTTTGCCCTCCTGCGCATCCTGCGCAGCGCGCGCCTCGGCAGTGACGGCGCGCAGCTCGGCTGCTGCCGCGCCGTCCTCGAGCGGCGTCGCTTTGCGCACGATGGGCGGCTTGGCCTGCGTGAGGAAGTCGGGCGTCGCTGGCTCTTGAGGGTCCAGCGCGTCGACCAGGCCCGATGCAGCGGCGACGGGCAGCGCCGCGAGCGTGCCGGCGGCGCCGAGAGCAGCGTCGGGCAGCGCAGCCACGCCTCGTCGCGTCGCTGAGGCAGCGGCACTGGCGTTGCCCTGCAGCTGCAGCGTGTTCATGGCCGTCTTGCCCAGGCCGCCGACGCCGCTCGCGAACGTGCGGGCGCCGAGACCAAGGCTGTTGATGAGCGCGTTCGAGCGTGGTCCAGCCGGCGCTCCCGCACGCGTCTTGTCGAGGAAATGCCGCACCGGCGCACTGGTGACGTGTGCGTGGCTGCTGAGCAGTGCCTGCAGGTAGCGCTCCGTGGCGTTGCAGATGCCCGAGCTCGTCGAGCGGCGCGCCTGCGGCAGTGGTACGGGCGGCGGCGGCAGACGACCGGGCCCGTCGAGCAGGCCAAACGCCTCGGCTGCACCAGCGGCGGCGGCGGCGTTGTTGCCCGGCTCGGGCTGCGCCAGCGTGCGTCGCAGGTCCTTCTCAAGTTGCTCAAACTCGGACCATTGCCGCACGAGCACGAAGCCGCCCGACTCGTTCGCGAGACCCTCGACGGCAATCATGAGCTCGAGCGTGCGTGCGTCGACGGGACGATTGGGCCGCTCTGCGTTGACAGAGACGTCCGTCACCGCGACGACCAGCGACGAGGGTAGTGCAGCGAGGCTGTCCATGGTCGCAGAGCGCGGCAGCTCGGCGCTCGACGAGTGCCGTGGCGAGTCGGCGGCATCGATGAGCGCTGGCGGTGCAGCCTGAGACGGCACACGCGCATTTGGTGCGCCGGGCGCGGCCCTCTCGAGCGAAGCGCGAGGGGCCGAATCGTAGGAGAGCGGTGCCGAGACGTCTGCCGATGGCGGTGCCCGAGCCTGCATGGCCGCATCGACGGATGATGCGCCGGCAACGGCGCCCGATGGCTTGCGTCTCGGCTCATACGAGAGGCCAGCGACGTCTTGACTCGGCATACGGCCCATGCGCGAGGAGCTTGCGTCCGTGGCGCTCGTCGGCGGCGTCGCCTGGGCGTAGCGCGCGTGCGACTCGTGCCAGAAGGTCGTGTACAGGCCCGTTAGGCGTGCCCACAGCAGCCGCTCGACGGGACCGAGCGACTCGCGCACGCCCCCCGCGCTTGGACCTTGCTCTAGTCGCTGTATGGCCGTCTGCAGCGCAGCGAATACTTCGCTTTGCGCGCTGGCTTCGGCGAGTGAGTCGAGTGCCTTGCCGAGGATCGACACGGCGTCGGGGCGGAAGACCTCGGCCTGCTCGCCGTCCTCCGGAACTGTTGCGCAGGCGTCAGCGCACCGACCTTCGTCGACTGGCCGCGGCTCACTCACCGAGTCGTGCAATAGTCGACAGTCCAATGTGCAGCCTCAGCAGTGCCTCTCCCTCGCCACGTCGCACACTCAGCGCCAGCCCGTCCTCGGCGCGCACCGGTCCGCCGCGCTCAAGCCACGCCTCAAAGGCGTCGCGCAGGCGCGAGAGCGGCTCGCTGTCCGAGCGTGTCAGCACGTGCGTCAAAGGTGGCGCGCGCGGCATGGGCGGCACGCCGCTCGAGGCTTTGCGTGCCGAGCCGGGCGTGCCTTGCACCGACGAGCGCGCAGAGGCTGGAGACATGGTGCGCTGCGGCAGCGGCGGAGGCTTGGCTGCAGGCGCTGGTCCCTCGTCCTCACGAATCGTGTAGCCCTGCGCCGAGGAGGCGCTTCGCTGCGAATCGACGCTGCTTATTCGCTTGTGCGAGCTAGTCGCCGCAGAGGGGTCGCGCATCGAAGCGCGCAAGGACTCTGGCAGCTCGGGCTCGGGGATGCCACGCGGGATGTCCATGGGCAGAGCAGTGCCGGCGCCCGACAACACGTCATTCTCATCGAACGTCGCCGCCGGCCGCGCGGGCTGCGGCGTTCGTTTTGGCAGTGCTGGCGGGCCCATTGTGGGAGCTGGCGGCGGCTGCGACTCCACGGCTGCGTACTGCGCACCGCCGCTGCTGTCGACGTCTGCGCTGCGGCGCAGCTCGTTGCTTCGCCGTGCTGCATCGGCGAGTGGCACCGGGCTGGGCGTGGCGCCGCGCGAGGGCGTGCCAAAAGGCCGAGCTTGATCCATGGAAGACCGCACTACCGGGCTCGGCATCGCCATGGCGCGAGGTTGAGTCGTGCGTGGCGCAGGCGACACAGAGGGGCCCATGACGTGGGCGCGCGGCTGCTGCGTCGTCGGCGCAGCGAGAGAGGACGAGGGACTAGCAAATGCGCTGCCGGGCTCGGGCGTGCCCAGCGGCGTGCGAGATGGCGATGCGGCGGCCGAGGGCGCAAGCAGGTCCGCCGTGCGCGCCGAGACCGGCTCATCTGGCCGCGGCGAGGCAGTCATCGGATCGAGTCCGGCCTCTTGCCGCGCCTGGCCAAGCAGCGCCGGATCGACCTCGAATGCTGGCTGATGAGACACAGGCGAGGCCGCGCCGCCTGCACCTCCTGCACCGGAGCCCTCAGCCTGCTTGTCGGCCCACTCCACGATCTTGCGATTGATGAAGTCGGCTGTGCCAGCGGCATGAGCGCCGTCCCCCCTTCAGCTGCCTTGCAAAACTCACGTTCGCCGAGGGCGCCGACCAGATCCCACAGTCTCCGCGTAGCCACCTCGCGAAGCAGCTCGCGCACCAGTGCACTGCCATGCTCCTCGCGCGGCAGATGCCGCTCCAGCAGCGCCGCAATAGCATCGCGCAGAGCATCCACACGCGCCGCCGAGTTCGGCCACAGGCCTGTCGAGATGTTTGCTGGGTTCGCCCGCCGGGCGCGCATCACAGTGTAGAGCACCGAGGTGGTGGTGTGCAGGAGCTCCGATGCCTGAAGCACGCGGCGTCAGCGGCTTGTCGCCGCCAGTCCAGCCTCGGAGCGCTCGGTCACAAAGCACTCACGAGATCCACACTGCGCGTGCTCGCACTGACGCGCGCATGCACGCTGTCCACCACCTCGTCGATGGTAAAGTGCGCCGTGCGCGGGAAAGAGGGGTGGGAGAGCGTCTGGCCCTGGTACCTGCAGCGCAGATGACGTGCATCAGCAGCGGGCGCTCCAGCTGTTCCGCGTTGGGCCTCACCAGGAGCAGATAAAGTCGCGCACGACGAGCTCGGTCAGCTCATCGAGCGGCCGGCGCAGCTGCGGCGCCATGCCCTCGGGCCGCTTGGCTCGCGGGCGCACGCGGCCGGATGCGTCGCCCGAGCGCAGCTTGGCGTCGTCTGCGGCACTGGCGCTGGGCGGGGGTCCGCTGCCCAGCTGCGGCAGGAAGCGTGCCGGGTCCCAGCGCCGCAGCGACTGCGGCTCGGCGGCGGCGTCAGGCAGTGCCAGGAGGAGGCGCACCCAGGGCGAGAGGAGCAGCAGTGCTGTGCTGCAGAGCACGAGCAGCAAGTTCACGAAGCCTGCACGCAGCAGCAGCAGGCCGAGCGGCAGCAGGAGTGCCACGCTGAGCGGCGAGCGCGGCAGGGCCACGTTGCTGCTGCTGCTGCTGCCGCGGTTGCTGCCGCTGCTGGCGCTTCTCGGCCCGCCGCTGCTGCCGGGCGCAGCGTCGCGACTGCCGTCGAGGGCGCCGCTGCCGCCGGACGCGGATGCGGCGCCAGTGCTGCCTGCGCCGTGCGGAGGAGACGAGGGCATGGCGTGGCGGGCGAGACCGCAGGGAGATGGTGGGCAGGACAGAAGCAAGCCGCGTTGCTCGCCGCTGCCGCATCGGCCGACGCGCCTCGGGCCGGGCCAGCGACGCGTGGAGCGTGGGAGCGCCACGCTGGCCGTCGCCGCAGAACTGCTGCCCAGCTACACGTTGTTGAGCGTGCATACGGCACTCCGTCGGCAGTGAGCTCTAGGATACGCTCAGGGGATTTTTTCGGTGCATTTCAGTACACCGCATGATCGACACGGTCTCGAAAACACGCGTGGGTCTTGAGCTTGCGTTGGCTTGCCAACGGGCGCATGTCGACGTGGCCGCATCGGGCGCGCCGCGCCGTGCCGCCCCGAGTTGCTGCGGGCGTCGGCGCTTCCGGCGCAGCATGCCGGCGTCGCGACAACGTGCAAGTCGGCGCAGGCGCAGCTCTGCTCTCACTTGAAAAGGCCTACTGGCTCCCTTTCTCTCCGTCTCATCTCACCTCTCTGCACCCGCTGTCGGTCGGCCCCCTCAATCCTCATCCTCTGCGCGAGATTCCGCTTCGCCTGCGCATCCACCCACCCTCGACGCAGCCTTGTGCACTGCCTGCGAAGTGCTCTCACTCGACATACCCACGAAGACTTCACACTCATCGCTCTGCACGCCATGTCCACCTCCGACGTCACAACGGCAGCCAGCACGAGCGGCGCGGCACCGTTCAGCCTCGAGGCGCACTTTCCCATGGAGCTGCTGTTGCTCATCATCGGCATGCTCGAGCCACTGGCATATCTCAAGCTCTCGCAGACGAGTCGCAGCATGCGCCAGCTGCTGAAGCAGCCCGAGCATCTGCATCGCCTCGTGCGCCGCCCCAGCAGCCGCACGCGCAGGTGGGAAGGCCGCTTCTCCGACCCGGTGTGGGAGCAACTAGTGCTGAGGGCGTACGTTGGCCCACAGGCGCGCTGGGACAAGAAAGAAGGGAGGGCGGCCCAGGATCCCCTCCGCATACGCATGAGTAACCTAACGCTCATCGCTGCAGCAAGCATCGGCAGCAGTGGCCGCTACGTCGCCTTGCTGACGCCAGAGCACGAGGTCCGCATGTGGGATCTGTTCATGCGCCGCGAGGTGCATATCCCCCAGCTGCATGGTGACATGTGGCATACTCGTCCCGAAAACACTGACTCAGGTCGGTTCGAGTCTGGCCACGGACATGATGGTTGCCGAGACCTCGAGATCGAGCTGTACGACGACGACGATCTGCTGATCGTCAAGGACTCAAGCTGCTGGGGAGTATGGGATCTCAAATATGCCGACCGTCCGATGATCTCCGAGAGTCGCGCCGAGATGGACCGCAACGAGCTGTCGAACAATCTCACTCGCGCGCTCCTATACGACCATCGAGGCACCCTACACGCGCCCAGAATTCGCGACCGCGACACCAGGCCGGTGTGGAGGGGGGTGAAGGCCTGGGCCGCCGCCCGATGCTCCTCCGCCCTCCTCCTCTACGGCCAAAACGTGCAAGACCCGGAGATGAGCGACTCTTGGGACGGGCTTCAGCTCTGGGATATAGAAACGCAACAGCTAGTACAAAGCAAGCCTCTGGCTCATCTGCAGCTGCCCCCCGGCACGGAGGGCGATCTCTTGCCGTCGGTCCTGTACCTCTCGGACGACGGCACTCGCGCGGTGTACCTTGACAACGGCGTGCGGCCGCCCCCGCGTCGGATCTGGAACCAGCCGGCGCCAGAGCCCGTCGAGCCAATAACGAGACTGAGGTCGTGGAGCCTCAGCGATCCCGAGTGGCCCGTCACCATCTTCGACGACGAGCTCACCGACGAGGAAGGTCTCGACTCGCTCTCTCCGGACGGCCACTTCAGGATCGCAATCAGCCGCCACGGCACCATCCGCGTGTTCGACCTCTGCGGACAGAAGCCCATGTTTGCTGTTCGGGCAGGGGCCTACGTGATGCCACTGCTCGACTTTGGGCCCTGGAAGCGCACCGTGCCGTGGCACCGAGTCGGGCAGCCACTGATTGCACTCCTGAGCCAACGGCTGATCTCCGAAGATCCGCGTCGGTACCTGCATGCGCTGGAGCAGACGCCCTGGGGGGCCTTTGTCTCGGCTGACGGTCCTGAGATCCAGGCGCTCCTGGACGCCGGCATCGAGGTGCTCGGCAGCGACCACGATCCTGCCCTGCGCGACGAAAAGACGACGAGAAAGTGGAATTGGAGACTGGCTGCCGTCGATGCGCACGATGACTGGATGCTCACGAGCGACCGCTGCGGCCCCATCCTCTGCCGCACCGACGGCGACGGCGAAGTCACCGAGGACGAGTGGTGTCGCATTCCCGGCTGCTTCACGTGCGACGTTGAGGCTATGAAGCTGCATGGGCTTCGTTGACTCGCGCGTCAGTCTTGAGAGACGAGCGCTGCCCTGATCCGCAATATCTATCCGTGCCTCTGTGACTTTCCCTTACCATCCTATCTGCTGGTCATGTCGTCGCAAGACTGACCTGTGCCGCATCGCACCTGATCCTGCGCCTTCTCCATCTGCCCTGCGTGCCACCGCCATCTGCCCTGCGTGCCATCGCCACACTGGCCGCCTGACCGCCGCCGCATCCGAAGTCCAGCCAAAAAGACGCTCGATGCTGACCTTTCACCGCTTGCTGACGTCTACGAGTTGCTGCGGCAGCGGCATGCGGCACATCTGACGAGTGAGACCGGCTGCGCCGCATCCAGCGCGTTGTGCCGCCCCCAAGTTGCTGCGCGCTGCGGCAACGGCATCCAGCGCATGCGGCGGGACGCATGGCCGGCACGCCGCCGAGCAGACGCAGCACATTAACTTAGAAGGTCGCAACGGCCTGTCCTCCCGCTCCAGCAACACTTCACTCGCCTTGTTTCGCTGTCTACTCCCCCTCGCTGCACCGCCTCTTCGTCGCCGCCACCATCGACGCTGCTCCGATGCCACAACGCTCTGCGCGATCCGCACGCCCGCGCGCGAAGTCGCTTCCACCCTCCGGCGTGATGTTTTCGCCTGAGGTCGAGCAGGAAGCAGACAGCAGCCCGAGGTTGACGTTCCAGCAGCCGATGCCGCTGCCCGTCGAACTGCTGCTCGAGGTGGCGCATTACGTGCAGACGTACCTGAATCTCTCGCAGATGAACCGCTGCCTGCGCAGGGCCCTCCAGAAGACGAAGCGACTGCAACACGTCGTCCTCTATCGTGAGGACAGCGACCCCAACTGGGCAGGCCGCTTCTCGCGCCCGCTCTGGGAGCAGTTAGTCTTGCAGACCAACTTTGCGGCGCATGTGCGCGACAAGCCGTGGCATGGCTTCCTGCGCAACGTGCGCTACGGGATAGTAGCCCTCAGCGTGGGCCCCAGCGGCCGCTTCGTGGCGTATCTGACGTCGGACAGGGAGGTACGCTTCTGGGATATCTTCATGCGCACGGAATTTCATGTCCCAATCGACGGCAATGTTGTGCTCAACGAGAACGGCCGGCCAGACGAGATAGAACACCTCAACTGCAAGAACGCGCGCATCGAACTGATCGACGGGTACCCTCTGCTGCTCGTCGAGTACTCGTGCTGCTGGGTGCTGTGGAATCTCAACGGTGACTGTAAGATCCCAATCTTCGCCAAAATCAAGCGCCACGGCTTCATGGTGCTGGCCGCGAACAGCCGCTACATCCTGGACTTTAACATCCCCTCTTACACGCTGACTGCGTACGATTTGGCCGACTTCACGAAGGAGCACCGCGGCCCGGGCTACTACTCCACGCGCTGGTACGGCGTGCAAGCCTCTGCCTCAGCGCGCAAGTCGACGCGCTTGCTCATGTACGGACACCGTATCAAGATGCGGAGCAGGGCGGTCAACACTGAATTGCACTGCACCGATGTACGTGTCAACGTGTTGCTGCTGTGCGATATCGACGAGAGCCTGCGGGGCGGGCCCGAGCTGCTGCGGTGCGAGCCTCGACTACTTCTGGATCCCTTAGCTTGGCTCGGCGTGGATGTGCGGAACCATCAGCTCTCCCCGATCAGCTTGCGCCTCTCCGACGATGGGATGCGGGCCGTCCATGCCGTCGTCAGCCGCGCAGCTCAAGGTCCAGGAACGACACAGGCCAGCACGTTCAGCAAAATCGAGTCGTGGAGCCTTGCGAGTGACGACTGGAGCCCCAGGGTGTACCACGACATCGACATCGACCTGGAAACGCCCGGTCGGCTGTCGCCCGACGGCCGCTACTGGATTGCGCTGACGCTCTGCGGCACCGCGATGCTCTACGACCTCAGCCGAGCGCAGCACGTCTATGCCCTGCGCTCCGGCACGTACTCGTATCCGGTGCTGGAGCGCCTCAGCTGGGAGCAGCGGCCGAGATGGAGCCCCGAGACATTCGACCCGCTCGTCGCGCTGCTGCTCGGGCTGCTGCACAAGGGCGTCCTGCAAGAGATGCCGCGCCTCAAGGAGCTGCCGGCCGACACTGCCCTCGACACGCCGCAGGGCCGCGAGCTGAAGCGGCTCCTCGACGTCGGCGCCTTTGTCATTGCCTTTGAGGACGCTCGCTCGCCGGCGACATCCACCGGCGCGGACAAGAGCTACGAGCTGTCGCTGCGCGGCTGGGACAAGAACGTGGCAGTCGTGTGTCGAGAGGCCGGCTGGATGGCCACGGTCACCTCCTGCGGGCCCGTCTTTTGCCATCCGCTTGCTTCACGAGAGCGCGCTGTCTGCGGTCGGCTGGAGTGCTTCAAGTGCGACAGGCTGGCAGGGGAGCGACGATGGAAGATGGAGGGACCCTACAGTAGGGAGACGACTCCAGCAGCGTCGGACTCGCCGCCGCCGTGGCCGCCGTCGAGTCCCATCTATAGGGGGTAGAGCTGACCTTGTGCTCGGCTGCTGCGCTGCATCACAATTCGCGTTCGAGCGAGGCGACTGGCATGTCCCATATGCACCTCCCAGATCCCTTCGCGCCTATCTCGATATCCGACGTCGTGCGCCTTGGCACGCATGAGTACCGCGGCCCTTACTCGTGCACCGTGAATGACACACATGCGTCATGCCTCGGTCTTGAGACCGCTCGCGTTGCCGCGCAGAATCGCCATGCTCAATACATGTAGCGCCGAGGGTGGGAGGCGTGAAGCAACTCATCGAAATGCGAGAACGACCAAGAGAGAAAATGACATGCAGGCGCGGATCCGAGTCGTGAGAGTGTGTGAGAGAGAGAAGGAAGAATGACGAGGAATCGAGGGGTGAGTGCTGAGAGAGGGAGACCACGAGGGTCGGGAGAGTCTCGAGGGATGTAGAGCGGAGATGCGAGCCGGAAGGAAGCTGCTGGAATCGAGAGAGGATGGTGGGGAACTTGCGGTGATGATCGAGTGAGCAGTATGAGAAGAGGCGGGTACAGTTGCATTGCCCGAATGGAAGAGAGGGGCCGAGAGACAGCGAGAGAAGTCTCAAAGGCCCTCGTCCATCCCATCGCCCTGCCCCTCTCCTCGTCCATACCCCGCAGCGCCCGAGCCATGGCCATAGCCATACCCCTCGCCGCGCCCCATCCACGCCTCGGGCGCCGAGTGTGCCTGCGGAGCGTGTGCGGCGGCGCTCGCAGAGGCCGCAGGCGCCGGCGGCGCATTGAAGCCGACTTTGCGCCGCGGCGTGCCCGCTGCGCCGCGCATCGGCTCCTGCTCCATGCCCTGCTGCTGCTGCTGCTGCTGTGGCGGCGGCGGCGGCGTGCCGCTGCCGCCGCGCTCGTCGCGCTCCCACAGCGCGCCGAGCGCAGAGGCCGGCCACGGCGGCGCCGGTGCGGCAGGCGTATGTTGCGGCGTGTTCTGCGGCGCACGCACGGCGGTGGCGCCGCCGAGCGACGAGGCGGAGGAGGGGTGGGAATGCGGCGGCGTGGTGAGGTTGGAGGAGGAGGACGTGGAGGCGACGGTCGAGGTCAAGGACGGCGAGAAGGCGTAGGAGGAGGGATGCGACAGCGGCGTCTGGGACGTCGACATGCTCGTGCTGCCACTGCCGCTGCCGCCCGCGCGGCTGGCGCCGACGCCGCTGCTGGCGTAGCCGGCGCCGGAGATGGAGATGGAGCTGCCGCGGGCGTACGCGTCGTGCGTGTATGCGCCGCCGCGCGGCGCATCGACGTACGACGACGACGGCGCCGCGGCGCCCGCCATGGCGCTGTAGCTGCTGCTCGGCGCGGCGCTGCCCCATGCGTGGCCCGGCGCCGCGTGCGCGTGTGTGCCGGCGACCGAGGAGGAGCCACTGGCGTCGGGCCCGAGTGCGTGCTGGCCCAGGGCGGCGCGCAGCTCGGAACGCATGGCCGCCAGCTCGGAGCCGCGGTCGCCGGCGTTGATGGCGCGCATGGAGCCGATGAGGTCGTCGAGATTGAGCGCCATGCTGCGAGGCGCGAGGAGGTGTGTGTGTGGAGTGAGAGAGGAGAGGTGGAGTGGTGAAGACGCGCCGAGGAGGCAACGAGATGGAAAGAGAGACCGGGCGACCGAGCAGGCGAGCACGAGGAGGTGCGCACTGGGCAGGAGCGACGGGCGCCGGCACAGCAGCAGTCGGGCGCCGGACGGAGCACGTCGAGCTGCGGGCGCTGCACCTGCAAGCGCGAGCCAAGGACGCCGAGGGAGAGCGAGGACGCTGTGCGGGCGGCGCCGAGGAAGACGTGAAGCTGCGCCGCGCCTTGTGCGGCGAGAGGGAGTGCGGCGGGGCTGATGCGGGTGAGGCTGGCTCGATGCGTGTGGAGAGGAAGCACGCCTGGCTGCGCCTCGCCCCTCGCGCCCCTCTGCGTCAGCTCCGGCGCTGACCGGGCCGCGCGGCGCGCCTACTCCGCACCCGTGGCGCCGAGGCTAGGCGCAAGCGCCGCGCAGCGCGAAGGCTCGGTGTCCGCGCCGCCGCGAGCTCGCCGAGTGCGGGGATCTGCTGATCCTGCCTGCATGCTGCCGCCACGCTTGCGCTCCTCGCGCAAACGGCAGCGCGGGCTGCCACTGGCAGCTGCGAGGCGAGTGGTACAGCACGCCCGGACGCCTGCCCGGCCTTCTCGCCAGCAGCCAGGAAGCGCTGGCCAGCAGGTGCCTGCACGTCGCATCTTGCGGCAGAGCCAGAGCCGCGAGAGGGCGCGAGTCGTGCGCCTCGAGCTCATCGCAGGCGTGCCACGCAGCATGCAAGAGCCGTCGAGCTCGCTCGGCTCTCGAGCGTCCCACCCCCTCTAACGCTGCAGCGCTGTGAGCATGCCACCAATCGGCGCATGCTCAGGGCGGGCGAGCAGAGATGGGGCGCTGCATGGCCCTCAGCCTGGCGCCCGCTTCCTCTTGCTTGCTCCCTGCTCGGCGATTTGCCGCCGAAGGGGGCCGTTGCCGCACGCCGCCAGCCTCTCCACCTTGCCGCCATGCTTCCTTGCCCCCCTTGCTACTCTCGCTCAACGCAAAGCAGTTGCTGCAGCACGTCGTCTTGACCGTCGTTTCCAGGCCCATCGCGCTGCCTTGCGCTCGTCGACGAGCCATGCTAGCGCTGCGCCGCGTAGCAGGCTTCTAGAGCTCTCGGCGCCCAGCCCTCGTGTCCCTCCAATCTCAGGCCGGAGCACGGGGGATGGGAGCGCTGCCGCTGCGAGGCCACGAACAGCTGCAGCCTCAGCGTGAGTCGAGTGCAAGGCGGGTGCGGGCGCTGGCGCATGGCGTGAGGTGGCTGCCTCGCGCGGTGCTGCCACGGCGATCTGCGGCGGCCGCCTGTGCCGCCGCCACGACAGTGACGGCACGGCGCTTTCACGCCCTCTCCTCCACCGCCGCGGCGCGGCCGTCGTGCATGCTCATGCGGGGAAAAGGCGCCGCGCGGCGCGACTGCGCTCCGCAGCGTCATGCGCACAGGGCACCCTCGCTGTGCCCTGCCTCAACGCTGCAGCTGCAGCGCCGCTTGTAGGACTGAGCACGCCGTCAGAAGCTGAGGGCTGAAAGAGCGCCGCTTGAGCGTCTGGGCGTCTCTGGACGAGAGGTGCGCGCCGGGGCGGCACGTTGCCTGCACGTCTCGTCTGTTGGTGGCGACCCTTGTGCTTGGTCCCACCGCCGCCGCTGCCGAGTGCCGCCGATCATCCAGACGGGAGCGCGAGAGGCTTATTCGGCTGCCCCGCACTCACGCACGGGCGACGCACGCCCGTGCGCTGCGCGGCGCAGTCGAGGCATGGCTCTCTTGAGTGGCTCATCAGCCAGCTCGCGCCTTGCTCCCCACCACCACCACCCACCTACCACCCCAACTGCACATCCCCTCACCCCCATGTCGCTCCAGATTCCCGACAACCCGGCGCCGCACGGCTACGTGCCCGTGCCCTCGTCGCACAGCAGCGCCCTCTCGACGGCACGCGAGCTGCTCAAGGAGCTGCGTGATTCCTCCGAGTGGCAGGACGCCGGCGAGCGCGACGAGGTGCGCCTCAGCAAGATTGTCGATGCGCACGACAGCTATGCCATTCCCGTCACGCGCGGCGAGACCGTCGTCGAGGGCGCCACGCCGCAGCAGGTGCTGGCCGCGCTGACACTGCCGGGTGAGTTCGGAGAGGAGGGAGAGCGAAGAGAGCGGGGAAAGAGAGCAAGGGGAGAGGCAAGGAGGGTGCAGAGAGCACAAGCCATGCACTGTGGGCTTCGTGTTGCGAGGAGAGAGCAGGCGCAGAGAGCGCAAGCATGCACTGCGCCTTGGTGGTGGGATGAGAGAGGAGGCGCGGGCAGCCTCTGTTGCCGCGAGCGTTGGACAAGCAGGACAGGCTGCACCTGCGACTTTGCCCCGAAAGCGCCTTGTCCCCCCGCTTTCTCCTCGTGTCACGCTCAGACAGAGCCATGGGCCAGAGCTGGCATTTTGCCATTCGCGCTCGGGCACGCGGCTTGGTGTTTCAGGCTGGCGCATCTGCTTTCGCGGTTCGGTCACTGCCTCGTGGCGAGAGGACAGGCGCGAGCAGCGGATCACCTTGGCTCCTGCTCAGCCGCCGAGCCGCGCTTGTTGGGGGGGGGGGGGGACCGCGCGTCATGTCGGCTAGGGATGTCATGCTCCAGCTGCTTCGAGGGCGTTGGGCGTTACGAGACTTGGGCGTGTGTGGCAGCGATTCCCCGCTGCTTGGAGGCTGGGCCGCCTCACTGCGTTCGTGAGGGACTCAAGGGCACTCTGTGCGCCTTGCGCGCCCTTCTAGGCTGCGCAATGCGTCGTTTCCCCCGTGCTCTCACTAATGCTCCTCGCAGGCATGCGCAAGAAGTGGGATCCGCGCCTGGACTCGGGCCACGCCATTGAGCGCTACACGCAGTCGTCGTTCCAGGTGTACAGCGTGATGAAGTCGCCCTCCTACTTCATCTGGGCGCGCGACATTGTGTGCATGCAGGAGACGGCGTACGCCGCCGACGGCAGCAGCGCCGAGATGCTGCAGGTCTCCGTCGCCGACGAGGAGCGCCTGCCGGAGAAGGGCAGCTATGCCAAGTCGCGCACACGCGCCACCGTCGAGCTGAGCGCGTGGAGTCTGGAGAAGGAGGGAGAGAATACCAAGCTGAGCTACATCGTCAAGGTGCACCTCAACGGTGAGTTCGCGCGTCAAAACCACCTGCTGCCTTTTGCGTCGCTCACGCTCTCTCTCTCTCTCTCTCTCTCCGCCAGGCTCGATTCCCACGTCCGTCGTGCAGATGCTCGCCGTCGAGACGCCCATGTGCGTGGGGCGCGTGCGCGATGTCTTCTACCAGACGGGCTACGTGCCGTACGAGCTCGTCGCCAACAACACGTCGGGCGAGTACGCGGACCACCAGTCCGTGTCCGTGCTGCAGCTCTTCGACGACGGCGACGGCACCGAGGCGACGAGCGGCGAGCGCAAGTGGACGGCGCAGTACCTCGGCACGGGCAAGGACACGGTGCACATCGCGTACGACGGACAGCGCATGTACCCCGCCGGCGTCCACGTCGAGGTGCAGGGCGACGCGGCGGCTGCGGTCACCGTCAACGTCGACGAGCAGAAGAAGCTCATCACGCTTGAAGTCGCCGAGGAGGCAAAGGACAAGAACTTCGACGTCGTCGTCACGCCCAAGTAGGCAGCTTCTCTCGCGCGCGCGCGCGCATGGCCCGCCTCGACGCATTGCCCTCTCGATGGCTGCTCTTTTCGCCTCTGTCTCGTTTGCCCCTCTCCTTTCTGTGCTACCCCCATGCTTGGCCCCCCACGTCCTGCTCGCCCCCTCGTTTCAATGACCATGGCGAATTCCTCATGCCTCTACATTCGTTCGTCTCCTCGGCGCGACGACGTCCCTCAGCGCGCCCAGGCTGGCCATGGGTCCGTGGCGCTGCGCCTTCCACGCGCGCTCGGGCCGCACTCTGCCGTGCGCGTCCAGCATCGTGCTGCACGCCGCCAGCACGGCGAAGAGCGCGGCGAGCGACGACGACGAGGAGATGAGGTAGAGAATGATGACCTTGCGAAAAGAGAGTGCGTCAGCGTGGGCAGAGAGAGCCAAGGGGCAAGGGTGGAAGCAAGGGCAACGTCACCTGTAGATAGGCAGCTTGTGCGACACTTGCGCCGCCCAGTATCGCACCCGTCATCATCTAAACCGCCCAGTGTCAGCGCCTCTTTGCTGCCTTCTCTCGTTCGAAGGGCGCAACAGCTCACCCCGGGAATCGAGATCAGACCCACGACGCTCATCTGGTTGAGCACGGGCAGCAGTGCCGTGCGCAGGGCCTCTGCCGCCACGGGCCTGCACGCCTCAAAGCGCGAGGCGCCGTGCGTGAGGAGCACCTCGACCGTATCTCTTTGCGAACTGTGTGGCCAGAAAGGGCACATCAGCATGAGTGGGGCAAGGGTGAGGAGAAGCGCAGGGCGCGCAACAACGTACTCAAATACCGACAACACGTGGTTGCTGCCCAGCGTCACGGCGGAAATGGCATTGCCGAGCACCATGCCGAGCAGCGGCACGTAGCGCGACGGCTCCCACCACGGCGCCTGGCGCAGGATGAAGCGCGACGCCAGCGCGGTGAGCGGCACGGTGGCTGTGGGGGGGAGGCGAGAGGGGCGAGGGTTGAGAAGGAACAGACGAGAGAAGGGGGCGAGAAGACCGGCGCGATGGAAAGACGCAAGCTCGCGTGGGCCGGTCCAAGCGGCGCTTGAGGCGCAGAGGGAACAGCAAAGCTGCTCGTTGCTTCTGCCCACCTCGAGCTGCCTTCGAAGGCCCGCCCTCAAGCCCATCATATCCGAGTTCGGCATTGCCGGTTGGGGCCTGCAACCCCCCCCCCCCCCCATCACGCCCAGCGAGCTCGCGCAGCAGCAGTGCAGCCAGCCAGTGCCTGCACAAGGAGGGCCAAGAGTGCAGGCCGCGTGCCTCGCTCTCGTCTTCTCAGGCCGCGCCTCTCCAGCGCGCGCCCTCGCGCCCTTGTCCAAGCCTCTCCTCGCCTTGCGCTCATCTGCAGCCCAACATGCGCCTCGCGCAACTTGCCTGCAACGACTCACCCAGCACGATGGCGCCGAGGATGCGCGCCGCCATGCCGCCGTAGCGGCGGCGCGCCTTGTTGGCCCACACCTCGTGCGCACTGAGCGCCACCTGCGCCGCGCCCAGCGCCGCCACGGCCGCGCCGCTGCGCGCGGCGAAGAGCGGGCGCAGCAGGCTGGCGAGCAGCGCGAGCTGCACGGCGGCGCGCGCGGCGGAGAGGAGCAGGGCGCGCGAGAGGGCGAGGGAGAAGAGGAGCGAGAGCGAGAGGGGCAGCAGGAGGAAGCAGGCGGCAAAGAGCACGCTCAGCGGCGTCAGGTGCACCGCGGGCGCGGCGAGGAGCGCGGCGGCCATGCCTGCAGCGAGCGACACTGGAAGGGGCGACGGTCGTGGGCGGGAGAGAGAGAGAGAGGAGCGCTGCTCGCGGTGGAGCAAGCCGCGTGTGACACGACGCTAGGCCGTGAGAACACGGCGTGTGTGGCGGTGTGCGCCTCGGGCCGGTTTTGGACACACGGGCCGGCGCCGCCGCCTGAGTGGAGGGGCACTAGAACGTGCCGGGCCTGTCGATCTTCAGCTCAGAGGCGCGCCTGGCGCATTCAATTCAGATCCAAGGGCCCTCGCAGCGGCGCTTCTCACAGAGTGCGGCGTTCCCTTGCCTCGCGACCACCACCGCCCCTCCGCTGCGCCGCCATGCCGCTCTTCACCTTCCTCACGCGCGCACTGCCGCTGCCGCTCGCCGCCGCGCATCCCGCCGTCGAGCACCGTGCGCATCGCAGCTCGGCGGCCGCCAGCACGAGCTCGGGCAAAAGCAGCAGCAGCGCTGCGCTCGCCGCATCGCTCCTGCCCGACCTCCTGTCCGCCTGTGCCGCGCTGCATGCGCCCTTCCGCCCGTCGCCACAGCTCGCCGCGGGCCATCTGCAGACGCTCTACAGCGCCGTCGCCGACACGCTCGCCCTCGATGCCGTGCGCTACGAGCGCGCCGTGCTGCTGCTCCCCGACGGCGGCACGCTTAGTGTCGACGTCGCCACGGCGGCGACGCAGCGCGGCGAGCGCGAGGCGAGGGAGAGCATCGAGACCGTCGTCATGCTGCACGGCCTCACGGGCGGCAGCGACGAGAGCTAGTGAGTGGCAGGCCCCGGAGCGCGAGCTGTGCCCTTGGAGAAGGAAGCGCAGGAGAAAGTGAAGCGGGAGAGTCGTGAGGGGGTCAGGAGCATGGATGCACGTCGGTGTTGCGCAAGGCTTTGTCAGTTCGGCCTTGCGTCCGCTAGCTGCACAGCAGGCCCTGGCTGGCCAATCTCGTTTGGCACGCTGGCACGCTGGCACGCTGGCGAAGCGGGTGAAGTGCGGCTCGCAAAAGCGACGGAGCGAAGGGGGGCAGAGGAGATGGAGAGACCAGGAGCCGGAAAAGAAGGGAGGGGGGGGGGCAGTGAGAAAGACGACCTTGGGCGGCGCAAGTGTCCTGTCGGCTCGCTCCTTCGCCACGCGCAAAGCCCCGCCAAGGGGTGGCTCTTGCCGAGGCAAAGCTCTCGTGCGCGAGGCTCGCTGCTCCTGTGCTATTGCAAGGCCCCCCCCCCCCCCCCCCCCCCCCGGGGGGGGGGGGGGGGGGGGGGGGGGGACTGTGCCTCCTCGGCACGCCACGCTCTCTGACGCAAGGGCCTAGAAAGAAGCCTTATCCTGCCTTGTTTGAAGGAGAGCCAGACGACGTGGCGCTTCTCCGATGCAGCTTGCATCGGTCCTCGAATTTGCAGTTCGAAGGAAAGCAGGAGGGGGCCTTCGCACTCTGCTGCCCGTCAGCGTCGAGGGCCGGCGGCGTTGTCCTGTCTGCTGCTGCTGCTGACATCCCCCTTCGCCCCCCCCCCCCCCCCCCCCGCCCCCCCTTTCCCCCCTCCCACAGCGTCCGCCACGTCGTGAAGCACCTCGTCACGCGTCCCGGCAAGCGCTATCGCTGTGCCGTCGTCAACTCTCGTGGCTGTGAGTGTTTTCTTTGCCTGTGTCTCTCTGCCTGCCGTACTTTTCGTCTGTTCCCACCTCCTTGCCTGCTTGCCTCTGCGCGCCGAGTGCCAGGCACACCTCTCTGGCCTCTCTTGCCCTCTGCTGCCTCCTCCCATCACTCACGCTTTCTCGGCCCCTTGCCCCAGGTGCCAACACGCCCATCACCTCTGCGCAAATGTACTCGGGCAGCAAGACGTCCGACGCGCGTTGCGCGCTGCTCTTTCTGCGCTCGCGCTATCCCGACTCGCCCATGTTCGGCCTCGGCTTCTCGCTCGGCGCCAACATCATGGCCAAGCTGCTGGGCGAGGACGGCGCGGCGGCACAGCTGTGGGGCGCCCTCGTGTGCGCGCCGCCGACGGACATGGTCGCCGGCTCGGCGTGTCTGGAGGACGGCGGCGCGCTGCGCGGCGTCTACTCGCGCAAGATGTGCGGCAACCTCTCGCGCCTCGCGGCGCGCCACGCCGACACGCTGGCGCTGCATGCGCCGCTGCAGGTGCCGCTGCGCACGCTGCTCGGCACGCAGAGTGAGGAGGTGAAGGCCGCAGCAAAGGCGCGCGGCATCAAGGCCGGCTCGTTGAAGTGGGTCGACGACATCCTGACGCGGCACGTCGGCGGACACCAGGCGCCCTACGGTCCTTTCCCTTTTGCGCACGCAGACGACTACTACGCCGAGGCCGGCGCCATCAACCATCTCAAGGGCGTCGCAAGACCCCTGCTCGTGCTCAACGCAGACGACGATCCCATCGTGGCGCCCGAGAGTGTGAGGGCGGTGAGGGAGGCGATGGGCCTGGATGAGCAGCAGCACGAGACGGCCGAGAAGGGCAACGGCTTCATCGCACTCGTGACCACGTGAGTCTTTGCCCCCTTGCGCTTAGCTTTGCTTCCTCGGGCTGACTCTCGTCCAGACCCGGAGGAGGACATCTGGGCTGGTGGTCTGGCCTGCGTCCCACGCGCTGGCTCGCCACGCCCGTCGCGCAGTGGTTCGACGCCCTCGCCTCGCAGCTGCAGGGCGCCGCCGCACGCGAGGCGGCGCCTGCGCCGGTTCGCCCCACGCGCAGCGTCGACGTGGACGTCGAGTTCATGCCCGTCTCTGCACTGCCGCACTTCGACATCACCGCCGAGCAAGAGCAGGGCGCGCACACGGCGACGGAGGCGCGGAAGGAGCAGAAGGAGGAAGCGGCACGACAAGACGCGAGCCCACGGCATGCATGGTTGCTCACGCATCTCATGCCGGAAGCACCGCTGCTGCATCCGAGCGCGAGCGCGAAGTACGAGGCGCCGCAAGAGGAGGAGCGCGAGAAGCGCGGCTGGCAGATGTGGAAGGGCAGCATGGTGAGTCTGGCTCCTGCTGCTCAAGAAGCTGCAGCTTGGACGCCCGGCAAGTGCGCTGACCCGCGCGCTGCTTCTCCCATCATCGCAGACGATCGACGCCGAACGCCCGGAGGTGGGCTTCCTGGAGCTGCCGAGCGAGTCGCGCGTCGGTGAGTGGCGCGCCCTGCACCTCGCAACGAAATGCGACTCATCAGACTGACTCTCGTTCCTTCCTTCCTGTGCGAATCAGCCGGCGCAGGCTGTCTCTTCCAGGCCGGCATCGAGGTGCCGGGCGGCGGCGAGGCGGCGGACCAGGAGGGCGTCATGCGTGGTTTGTGAGCCGGGACTGGTGGAGATAGACGGAGGAGAGGGACAATAGATTGCTTCGCAGCGACGCAAAGCAGACAGGAGCAAGACACGAGCTGACGTCTGCACTGGACGAGAGTGCCGTGAGCGAGGAGAGATGTGCGTCGCCGATCAGCGCTCGTGTCTCGGGGGAGACCCGGCGCTGAGTTGAAGCGACGCATCATGCGCTGGCCCTGCACGCGCCATTCCCTCCTGCACGTCGCACAGCTTCTTGACGCCTAGCAGCGGATGAAGGGTCAGGGAAGGCGCACACGGGAAGGACCAGCCCTGACATGCGGGCCGAGCATGGGCCGCGTTGGCCGCAGATCTGTGCCCGCCACAGCGATGCAAGACCTGGCACTGTACTCTACGGAGTCGCTGGCGCTCGCTTGCACCCACGTAATGGCGAGCGGCAACCTGCATCCTGGCTCAATCCAGCGCACACACCCAGGCCGGCGACTGCGCTGTACGGCGGCGCGAGACGTGAAGGCCGCAAAACGAGCTCTGTCGGGGAGTCGGCGCCTTCAGTCCGTCCCGGCGGCGGCACGGCACAGTGCCGGCCCGAGAACATCCCCCCTCCGACCAAGGCCGTGAGACACACGGAGGTGCCACACGGCGAAGGTCCCGCGCTGACGTCAAAGCGCCGTACGCGCGGATTGTGAAGGCGCAGCCTGCGTCCTGAGTGAGCCTCGCGAGAGACTCACCGCGCTGCGTGCTTGAGCTGTTCGTATGCGCGTCGACATTTTCTAGAAGAGGAGGGGTCAGAGGAGGCATACTGACCGGTCAGCTCGAGGGCCTGGGGCATCAGGAGCGTCGCAGCTGTGCTCGGCGGCGCACTAGGGAAAGCAAGGATCCCCCGACAGCACAGCAGGACGCGGCGAGGCGGCCACAGCGTGCGTGAGGTGTCCCCGGGGCGAAGCGCGAGAAGACGCCGCCCGCAGTGCCGGCGGTGAAGCTGCCGCTCTGGAGCAGCTCGGCGGCATGAGACCTGCACGCTTCTGCGGAACGCAGTCTCCGGCCCACTGGCCCGTAAGGGCTTGAAGACCCCGAACCGGCCTCCGACCGTGTCAAAACGAACGGTCCCACGGCAGCGCGGATGATGAGATGCCTCTCTGAGCAAGCCTCGCGAGAGACTCACCGAGAAGAGCTCCTGCTCGTGCTCGTGCTCGGGGTCGTGTTGCTGCGCAGAGGCGCGTTGATGAATGGCAACAGAAACAGGGAGGGGGGTCAGAAAACGCACACTGGCACGATCAGCTCGACGGCTGTACACGCAGTCGCAGCTGTGCAAAGCACTGGGGAACGACAGGAGCCTCCGAGTCTCGAGATGAGTCGCCACCGCGCCGCCGGCGCAAGCGGGGCGTGGCTTGCCGTCTAGCCCCACGACCACACGATGAGACACCTACGGCCAGCCTTCTGCCTCTGCTGGAGTAGCGCCCGCCGTGTGGTCGTGAGTACCGGACGAAAGCCACGCCCTGCCCGCATCAACAGCGCGTGTCCGCGCCCGAAATCACTGCTTGGAGGGCAAGGCAGACCCTGGACCGGCCTCCGACCGCGTCCAAACGAGCCGGACGGGTCCCACGAGAGCGTGGATCTTGAGATGCCTTTCTGAGCGAGCCTCGCGAGAGACTCACCGGCGGCGTGCGCGAGCTTGAGGTGTGTGCCTAAACGCTTCGCGCAGGGAAGAAGAGGGGGTCAGAGAGGGCATACTGGCGCGGTCAGCTTGACCCGCTCTGCAGCAGCGAGTCGCTGCTGTGCAGAGCACTAGGGTCTGATCAACCTCCGATCAGCCAGCAGGGGCCGGCAATACATTTCAACATGCGGGAAGTGGCTCAAGGGCTAAGCGCCGGAACGCTGCCCACGACACCGGCGAAATGCTACTTCGCGGCGGGGCGGCGACGGAGCCCTGCCGCGCCGCCGCGCCGTAGCGACTGCACCGGCATGAGACTTGGCTGTATGAGGTCGCCAGCTTACTGCTGGTCCGTAAGGACTGCCGGGTGAGGGCTTGACAACCCCTGAACCGGCCTCCGGCCGCGCCTGGGCGAGCCAGACGAGGCCCCACGGCGGACCGTTGCAAGACGATTTTCACGCATGCGCGGATGATGAGACGCCCCTCTGAGCGAGCCCTCGAAAGAGGACCCACATGATGGTCGAGAGCTACGGTGATACTTTAAGGAGAGCGAGGCTGAGGCATCGACTGGGCCTAGAGCGGACGAGAGTCAGCAGGAGCGCACGACAGCTGATCGACGTGCCGACTCACGGTGCGTACCGAGACTCCTCGATGAGCGGCACTGCCTCCGACGACTCTGTCTGTTGATAAGATATGGAAGTGAGAGTATGGAGTCAGCGGGGGCATCTAGGCAGCGGTCCGCCCACGCCCGCGGCACAAGCGGTGGAGCAGCAGCACAGAGTAGCCAACGCACGAAGCGAAGGATCTACGCGCCGACAGAGCACAAGCAAGACTGTCAAAACTCCGTCCTCTTCGACTGCCGCCGCACTGCAGCAGCGTTCCATGGAGCGCGGAGTGGCGTTACGGGAGTCGATGGAACGAGAATCAAAGGAGCAGGAGGGAAGCCCGGAACGAGGAACCAAGAACAAGGGCCAGGAACCAGGAACGAGGAATGGGCGGAGTGGGAGGAGGAGTGAAGGAGTAGGGAGGAGTGAAGGAGTAGGCGGGCGGAGTGGAAGGGAGTAGGGAGAAACACCACCACAGCACCGCACGACAGCCGTCCAGGCGGCCTACACAGACTTCGCAGGCGACAACCATCGACAACCGGCCTCCGACCACGCGTGGCGGCACCACGCGCAGTCGCACGCAGTCGTCGTCGAACTGAGCGTGCATTTCGACGATGAAACCCCACTGAATGAGTCAAAAAGACTCACCTGGCGCGCAGCGAGAGTCCGACGAGGGCGAGTGCGATGACAAGGGCGACGGCGGGGCGAAGACGGGGCAGGGGCGAAGAGAGGGCGAGCCGAGAGCGAGGCGATGTGTCCTTCGCGGCGACACTGCATGCGTGGGCAAAGCAGAGGGTCAGAGGCACGCATTCTGGAAGATCAGCCCGCCGTTCTCGACTGCCCAGCCGAGGCGAACTGCGCAGTGGTGCACTAGAGCCAGCGAAGAAGCCCGACCGCCAGTCCTCATGCTGCAGGCTGCCCGTTGCAGGCCACGACAGTACAACCCGACCACCGCGCAACAACAATCGCAAACCGCCAGGCGCAAGCTCACAAGGCACGGATGCACCGTGGCCAGCGGCGCACCAGTACAAAGCAACCCGGCGCCGGGAGGAGAACGACGGAGGCTGCGCGGCAGTCACGCTGCAAAGTCGTGGGCGGAAATGAAAGCAGCCCCCCAGGGGCACGATTCTCCGGATGGCCAGATGCAGCTCGGATGACTCAGACCTTCCTCGGACTCGCCCGGCTGAAAGCGCGAGCGAGTCCCGCTACCAGGCCTGCTTCAGGCCCGAACCGGCCTGGCGTCCGGCCGTCGTCTTAGGTTGCCGTGTAAGGGACCTGCCGGACGACGACCGCGCATCTGCTACAGCTGCCTTGGCAAGCCTGGGCGCAAAGCCGCAAGTCACGGTGTGCGCTGACCCGCAGCCCCACGTAGGTGCGCGCGCGGAGATGACGATGCAACTGCACTCTGAGTGAGTCAAAAGACTCACCAGCACAAGTCGCCGTCGAACTTGAGGCTTCGAGAGGGTGCTTGCGTTGCATCTGCGCGAGCGAACGAGAGATGGGGTCAGCGAAGGGTGCATTACTCGGAAGGATCAGCCCCGGGCCACGCAAAGGTCGCAGGGGGGATAAGCCCCCGCCACACAATCGTCGCAGGGGAGCATGTGCCGCAGCACTAGAACACCCGATCAAAGTCCTTCCCCACAAGGCTGCGGCGCGGCAGGACATCGACTGCCAGTCTGACGACGCGCATTTCTGGCGCTCTATGAACCCCTGCTGCTCTGCGTCCGACTCTCAGGCAGTGCGTTGCGTAGCTCATTTGAGCGTGAAGCGCACCCGGGGTGTGGTAATCCAGGCCGCATCCTCGAGAAGTCGCGTGAGCAGCAGCAGGGCAGAATCGACCACAGAGACACGCCGCGACAGGCGACGGTCGTGCCTGCGCTGCACGCGCCAAGGGCGGAACGCCAGCGTCGTGATGCCCCGAATCCCTCCTCCGACCCCCCTGGCGCGAGGCCAGGCGAGCCCCACGTGGGGCCGACGCTCCCACAGCGCCACCCGTCGCGTGGATGTCGACGATGCCTCCCTCCGCTGAGTGAGTCAAAAGACTCACTGTGGTCGAGAACGCGAGTGCTGCTTGTCCGTCCGAATGTGGCGTGCCTATGCGCAAGAGGCACAGAGGGGGTCAGCAGGCGGCGCATTCTCGAAAGGGGCAGTCCTCAACGAATCGCGTGCCAAGCACACAGCTGTGTGAGACGCAGACAGGACAGACAGGAGCCGAGATCCTCATCGGCGACATGCGACCGCTGCAGCTGACAGACTAGCTTTGGAGTGGGGCGGTGATACGGAGCTCCGTGCGGTGCAAGCGCAGCGGAACTCTCGCTGCTACAGTGGCCTCAGCCACGAGCACAGTGCACGGCCGCAGTCACGAAGGCTTCAAGACAGCAGCAACGGCGCACATGGGACGCGTATGAGGCTCGGTCGTGGCCGTTCCCGCGAGCAGTGTTACGCCAGCTGCGGCGGGCTTCTTTCCCGCAAGGTGTTCTCTGCTCCTTTCTCCCGCCAGTGTGTGCTCAAGAACTCAGGCTAGCGCCACGCAAGCGTGCTCCAGTGCATGCCGGTCTACACCGGCGCCAGGACGTGGATCGCGACGATACCTCCACCTGCTGAGCGAGTCTCGAAAGACTCACCGAAGCTGCGTTGGCGTAGCCGATGCTCATCGAGCAAGCGATCCTCGTCGAGCGCACCTGAGGAGGAAGAGTCAGAGGCAGTGGGATCTGGAAGGGCCAGACCCTCGCAGCCGCGGCTAGAACGGCAAAGGGCTAGACAAGCGCCCGTCCGTACGCAGAGGCGCGCGCAGGCTTTCGAACGTAAACAGCCCAATTTACGTTTTGATCGGCAGCGAGGCGGCGCATGCGTGCGGTGAGCCCTGCGACTCTCCCTCTGACCGGCCGTGCATCGAAGCACACACGCGGTCCCACGCAGCCTTTGCCCATTCCAGAGCGTCGGCCGATGCCGTGGATGGTGGGGATGCCTTCACTGAACCTCTGAGTGCGCCTCGGAAGACGCACCTGATGCTCGACGCGCAGCCGATGTTGCTGAGAGGCTAGTCGTGGTGGGTTTGCTAGAGCGGAGGGTCAGAGAAAGGTTCGGCAAGGGCACGACCACTGGCCGTGGTTGCCAGGCGCTGCTCAACGCTCCTGTGAGCGCAATGCTCCTTGGAGCGCGGCGCTCGCACGCCAGACTGCGCAGATACTGCTGTGTCATGACACAGGCGCCAACACACGCGAAGAGACACGCACACCCTGAAAAAGGGGGCGGGCTATCCCGCTTTGGTCCGAGGGCCGAACGCCCCGAAGGCGTTCTCGCCACAACGGCATTAACCGCCCAGCGGGCAAGGTGACCAACACTGGGCGGCACCAAAGTGTCTCTCGTGGTCCTCCGCGAAAGCGCGGAGGGCAAGTGTCTTGTTCTTAGAACGCACTTGGCCAGGTCCCCGCCTAAAAGGCTCTTCAGGGACCCCGGCAGCCTGCATCACGCAACGCCTCCCTTGCCCCGACCAGACGTTGCCGAAGCGCTGTCGGTCCCACGTGTCGCCTTCGACCAGTCCAAGAAAGGCCTCGGGCAGCTAGCTCGCAGCGGAGCGTGTGGATGATGGAGACCCAACTCTGAGTGAGACCCGCGAGGGACTCACCTACGACGACCGTTGCGCGTGCCAAAGGATGGCTCGCTTCGAGAGGATAGACTGACGGTCGACGTGGAGCATGAGCGTAAGCATGTGATGGCGAGAATGCAGGAGCGAGACGCGGCAGAGTCAGGGTGATCGTTTGTCGTCAGGAGTCGGGATAGTAAGGTTTCGGACGGAGTCCGTGCATCGTTCGGGTGCCGTGCGAACGCCAACGAGCTCACCTTGTGCCGGTAGGCCGTCGGAGAAGTGTGAAGGGCGAGTGAGGCAGTGCCGAGACATGCAGGCGTCAGCGCTGAGGAAGAGGCAGAACGAGCGACAGGAATAGGATGCGGTGGCTCTCAGTAGTAGATTCTCGCCATGTGGTGAGTCCAACAAATGCAAAGGGACATGACGTCCGCATCAACGAGCGCTCGGCATGGGAAGAGACTCACCGTCCTGGCGTTGATGCAGACGTCGTGACGACTGTATGACAGGCCGATCTGGCGGCGAACGAGTGCTGAAGAAGAGCAAGGCGTCAGCGCGTCGTCTCGAAGGCTGGCTGATGGGTTGAAGGGCGCTCTCAGTCATTAGGCTTTCGTCAGGTGTCCGACAGATGAACGCATGGACGATGTGTCCGTATCATCGAGCCTCTGTCTAGGACACGTGATCTCACCTTCGCTTGTCGACAGACGTGTCTAACCGTCGTGGCCGTCCAGTGAGTTTGTCAAGGTACGAGGACGAGAGCAGAGTCAGCGCAATGACCAGAAAGCGAGGGGAGAAGATGCGCTCAGGGCTCGATGTTGTCATCAGAGAGCAGAGAATTCGGTATGAGACATCCTTGCGCGATGCCCTCTCTTCGTGAGCACTCACGCGGCGATGTCTCACGCGCAGAGCGAGAGCGTGAAACGGTTCTCTGGAGCGGTGTGACCGAAGTCGACGCAGTCAAGGCGCTGCACGGAGCGTCTGAACTGCGTTAACGTCGCTCTCATCGCTCCAGAGAACCGGATCAAGCTCTAGGTGGCTGAGGCTGTCGGGAGAGTCAGCAACTTGGCTTGGCAGTCGGTGTATAGATGCAGACATAGTGCGAGGCCACGCTAGACACTCACCAAGACAAACCTCGTGCAGGACGCAGAGCCCGACGCGGTGTTGAGCGACTGTCGTTGCTGCTTGAGAATAGAGTGGAGCGCTCGGAGCGAAGGTGACGGCGGCATGTCCCGACGAAAACCTTCGCTCCGAGGCAGTGTGCTCTTTCATCAAGCAGCAGAGAGGACACCACAACTCCTGTCGGGCTTCGCAGAACGTCGAGAGGACCTTTCCAAAGGTGCGAAGGCGGGGATCAGCGACTATAAAGCAGCATGCGGAGAGGAAGAAAGCGCTCAGGCACGATCGATTCTCGTCAGAGCTCAGGAGAACACCACATTCCCAGGCATCCTTGCGCGACGTCCACGGCAGTAGCCACGACTCACCTTGATGGAGCGGCTGTCCGAAGGGAAAGCAGGTCTAGAGCGCTGAGCGAGCCTGTTGAGAAAGCGAGGAGCGGCAGTCAGCGCTTTGGTCACGCAGGAAACCGAAGAGAAGATGGACGGGCGCTCAGCTTCGCGTGTTTCTTCAGAGAGCAGAAATACCTGGGAAAGCATCTTTGCGCGGCGAAGAGCGCTCGACGGGATCACTCACGCTGCTAGTTGTGGTTGCATGGCGGGCTTACGCTGGCTGAAGCGGTGAAGCCAACCTGCGATGAACGAGGAAGCGGCGTGGTGTCAGCGATTGGACGCAAGCAAGGACGTGGATGAAGCGTGGCGCTCAGTCAGGGGGTTATTTCCTCCGAGGTCGGATATATGATAAGGTCGTCTTCGCGCGGCAAGGACATGCTTTGCAGGACTACTCACGAGAAGGCTAGGTTGTTCGACGTCCGAGACGTGGTGAGGCGGTCGAGCGAGCCTGTCGCGAGGAAACGAGGGCAAGCAGGCGTCAGCGCGGGCTGCGGAAGAGGGATTGAAGGGGACGAGGCGCTCAGAGAGTCGTGTCTCGTCAGGAGTCGGAAAGAGCATGATGATGTATGAACATCATCGCGCCGAGGCAGCGACGTACATGCAGCCACTCACCTGATCGTAGCGGGCGCGTCGGGCAAGTCTGCAGCGAGTAGCGAGGAGCAGTGTCAGCGGACGAAGTGAAGGCGTGGGGATTGAAGGCACAACAGCGCTCAGAATAGACAAGTTGTCTCGTCAGCAAGTCGGCGTGTGAATATGTTTCGCGTCCTCGCGCTGCTTGCCCTCGGCCTTGGACGACTGCTCACCTTCTGTCTCGGCCGCTGAATGCACGATGCCGAGAGAGCCTGTCGCTAGCTGCGTAGGAGTGAGAAGCGTCAGTAATCGGACAGCCGACTGCTGGAGAGCAGGTGGTGAAGGCGCTCAGGTTCAAGCATGTCGTCGTCGAAGACTCGGCCAATATGTAAGATAGAAAGGGCATCCTCGCGCAGCGACAGTCGCCTGCAGCGAGTTGCTCACCTCAGAGGAAGGAGACGCATGATGGACAAGGGTAGAATAAGTAAGAGAGAGGGGAGAAGAGATGATGAGGAGGTGGTGGTGCTGAGCCAAGCGCAGCGCAGCGCTCGGCCGGCTCCCGTGCGGCGGCGCGGCCCTGCAAGCGAAGCCTGCGGCCGCCTGCTCTGCTGGCACGGCACGGCCGAGAAGCGCCGCCGCCGCCGTCACTTCATCACAGTGCTCTCTTTGTAGGGCGGAGCACACGGCAGGCCAGCACTGTGCGGCGTGTTGAGGTGATGAGTGTGATATGAAGCGACGAGCTGAAAGGGGCGACGGCGTGTCCCCTTGAGCGGGACGCGCCGCGCACCGTGTTGCCTCTTCGGGATGCACGGCCGCAGCGCGTCTACGCCGCCAGCACCGCGATCCGAGTCGAGGTCGCCCTCAGCGGAAGCGTGGCCAGACGAGAGCATGACGCCGCAGCAGCGAACACAGCAGCAGGCGGCAGACTCAGAATCGCAGCATCGCGCAGATAAAGCTCTCATTCAGCGAAGAGCATCAGCGTAGCACAGCAGCAGCAGCGGAGTGGAAGCTCTTAGCAGTCACTGTCGTCTTCGAGCGTCAGCTTCACGCGCACCTCGAGCATCGAGCATAAACGGCACTCACGGCACAGACACGGGAATGCGCACGCTCGTCGCGAGGCCAGAAAGGGAGGTTTCCTGTCGAGAGGCGTCAGGCCTGTGATGCAAGGCGCAGCGCAAGGAGAAGCGCTCACCTTAAACTCGACTCGCATACCGCGAGCCGTTGCTCTCATGGCCGAGATAGCTGTGAGAGGCCGTTCATCAGCCAGGCCAAGGGCGCGACGTCAATGCTGATCGACTTACCATCGTCCAAGGACACCGCATGTTCGCCTGACGGATTCGCGAGTGCCAACTGCGCCGCAACGACGGCCTTGACGGCGCCGAGTGCGTTTCTCTCGATACAAGGCGCCTGCACGAGGCCGGCAATGGGATCGCACGTCAGGCCCAGGTTGTGCTCGATGCCGATCTCGGCTGCGTTCTCGATGACCGAGGGACGGGCGCCCATGCATGCTGCGAAACTGCAGAGGGAGAGATGAGCGCATGGAGAAAGGCAAAGAGAGGAGGGACTCACGCTCCGGCTGCCATGGCGCAAGCGGAGCCGATCTCGGCCATGCATCCTCCCTCCGCCGCCTGGTCGCATGCCAGCGTCAGCAGTTAGTCTCGCCCACCTCGTGCGCGACTCACTGAAATCGTAGCGCCCCTCTTGAACAGCATGCCAATTGCGCCGGCCGTCAGCAAGAACGTCTGCACGTCTCGCTCTTCGTCGTCGCTGATGAACTCGAGGAAGTACTTGAGTGTCGCGGGGATTACGCCTGCGGCTCCGAGCGTGGGCGCCACGCACACCCGCCCGCCGGACGCGTTCACTTCGTTGACGGCAATGGCGTACGCTGACAGCCAGTCTGGCGCATGTTGGGAATGTCGACGAGAGGGGATTGGCATCTGAGGGGCGGTCAGCTTTCGGCGCCGAGGAGAAAGGGCAACTCACGATGGCATGATCAAAGCGTCCCACCATTAGATTCGCCGTCTCCGCTCTCTGCTCCACTTCTCCTTCCGACACTGCAATGCCCTCGCCCTCTCTCTGCGGCGCGGCAATCGCACCATGCTCCTCGCCGATGCGCTTGCGCTTGCTCGTGTAGAAGCCGCGCGTCAGGCGCTGGTAGAGCGCCGGCGCACGTCGACGCAGGTTGAGGGAGCCAGGGAGATGCGTCTCTTCGGAGTGCACGCCTTCGCGCACGCAGGTGTCCATGACGTCCCAGATACGGAAGAGCTGTTGGTGTGGGGGAGGAGAGCTCAGCTGAGCGCACCTTCGAGATAGAGCGCTCCATACCTTGGCGCGCAGCTCGGCGGGCGTCCGACCCAGCGCGAGTTCATTCTCATACACGATCTGAGCAATCGTCTGCGCGCTCTGCGTCAGCCTTGACGCTCTACGACGCAGCAGAGGTGCACGCAATGCACCATGTTGTGCTTCCGCGTAAGCGCCAGCAGACTTGCCGCGTCCCAAAAGACAAACGGCACGACCGGGCCTCTTGCCGCCGTCTTTCGATCCGGCAGCTGCGTCTCCTTCTCCAGCGGTATCGACGGCGTTGTCGCAGCATCAGCTTCGCTTCCGTCCGGCGCAGCGAGCTGCGCAGTCGCCTCCTCCGCTTGCGGCGCTCGCCTTGCGCCCGTCCTTCTGGCGCCAGCGGCGTCCTCAGGCCGAATGGCCTTGTAGAGGAAGTTCTCCGCCAGGTCTTCCGGATGATCTCTTCCTTCTTCCTTGGCGGCGCCCGTGCTCATTGCGCCGTTGACTACAAAGCCGCCGCCGACGCTGTAGTAGTCGTTCGTCGCGAGCAGGTCGCCTTGTGCATCATACGCGCTCACTGGCGGTGACGCGTCGTCAGCGAAGCCAGCGAGTTTGCGAGCTGCGCGGCACTCACGGCGCATGCCATTGCTGTGCAGCGGCAACACCTCGCCCCACATCCACTTGAAGTCGCGCGCAGAGTCAAAGACAATCTGCTTGCCCTCGCCCTTGCCGAGCGCAGAGCCAATGCGCAGCTCCTTGTGCGCCAGAATGGCGGCGTAGCGCTGTGGGACCCAGGCGGTGTCGACGGTCTGAAGGCATAGAGAGGGTCAGCTGGAAGCCGATGTATCAAGCGCGAGAGTAATGAGGGCTGACCTCGGCATCGACTCCCTCGAGACCGAGCAGAAGCGCTTGAGGCGTCATGTGGCCCTGCGACAGTGAGCGTGAGCAGCGCGGAGAGCACGGCTCGGCCTTCAGACGTTCTCACCTCACCAGTCGCAGCCAAGCTACGCCGCACTCTACGTCAGCTCTTCGTTCCACTTCTCTTCCATACTCCACTCACCTGCCATACAGATGCACCACCACCCTCTCCACCTTCTCCAGCATGCCCGCATCTAGCAGCTCCGTCGCAAAGATGGCGCCCGCGCGCATGGGCCCAAGGGTATGCGAGGAGCTCGGGCCGATGCCGATGCTGAAGAGGTCGAACACTGAAATGACGGCGTGGTCGGTGGCGCTGGGCAGAGGCGGCTCGTCGTCTGCGGAACGCGGCGCTGACGCTGAGGCCGTCGCTCGTTGCGCGCGAGCGGAGGAGAGGGAGAGACATCGATGCGGTGCTGCCCGAGGCTGAGCGAGCCGCCCGCGCGGTGTGCAGAGAGAGGCAGTGGTATGCCGACTGCTGTGTGCGGCGAGCAGCCGCACTGCGGCGCTGCGAAGCATGCCTCTAGCGAATGAGTCTTCGCGTCGGTGCCGCCCTATCGCTCTCTCCCTGCAGACTTGTCAGGTGTGGCCGAGGCTGACGCTCCAGACGCTGGCGTGCAGAGCGAACGAGGTTGCGACGTGTGTTTAAGGCTTGAGTTGGCTTGCGGATGCTGGTGGATGAGAAGCAAGGTGCAGCCAATGTAGAAGGGCAGATAGGCAACAGCGGGCGCCAGATTGGCCCTGGCGGCGGGTGCTCCGTGCGCCTTGCGTGCCTCGCTGAGATCCAGGCACGGGAGCAGTCTCGACATGCGCGCCCAGCCGCGAGGGTTGCCTCGCACGGCGCAGCCACAGGCGCGTCAGGGGGAGCTGGCCGCGGGGCCGCGGCCGTCTGCTGGGCTGGAGCTGGCGGCAGCCGCAGCGGCGGCCGCCCCTCCGAGCTCGCTCTCTCTCCTCCATGCTCTGGCGCAGCAGCATCGCATCGCTCTTGCTCTGACGTTCGAACGCTGATGGTGAACGCGTCCGAGCGGCTCCTTCTGGCGCGGCTCGCAGGCAGCACCGGTGCTGCGGCCGGCACGACCTCGATGCGCCGATCGGTCTTTCCGCAGCAGCAGCGGTGAGAGAGTGGGTGTCGAACAGAGAGGCCGTGAATAGCATAGACCATTTGAACGAGAGTGCGAGGTGAAGATATGATCGAAAATGAGAGAGAAAAGGGGGTTTCAGAGAGAGAGAGGCGAAGCGAAGCGAAAAATGGGGCAGCGGCCGCGCGCGCGTGTGCCAGGCGCAGACGACGGCGGCCGGGCCGTCCGAGGGGTACTGTCTGGTGTTACAGGACGGCCGAAGGGAAGCGCAGCGAGGAGAGCGGAAGCGGAAGGAGAAGAGAGGCCAGGCCCGACGCAGCCCGTCGCTCGCAGGGAGGCAGCGAAGCGCTTCCAGCCGATCGCCGATCCTCTTCGTTCTCTCTCCCTCTCACAGAATCTGTCTCCCTCCACCTCCCGCCGCGAGCGGCGCCTGATGTGCGTACCCGCCCATCGGCGGCATGCGCATGCCCGGCGCGATGCCCGGGCTCGGCGGGCCCATTGCGCGAGGCACTCGCACGCCGGGCGGCGGCATGCTGAGCTGCGGCGGCGGCTGTGGCGGGCCGTACTGTTCTTGTCCCGCAGAGGCGTACGACGACGGCTGCTGCGCGTATTGCTTGGGCATGCGAGGCCCCGCTTTGAGTGCTGCGCCTGGTGGTCCGACGGAAGAAGGAGAGTCCATCGACTCGTACCCCTCGTTGTTCCTCGCTGCGCCCAATGGATCGCCTCTTGCTGCCCCTCCCCGTCCCGCACCAAAGTTGTCCGCCTGCGCGCTGCGCATCATGGCGCGATCGTTGGCGAGCGCGCCATACATGCTCGGCGTGCGCGCCGAGGCGCCCGCACCCGCAGGATACGCCTGACTTCTGCGTCGTGCATCGCCCCTGCCGACGCTGTCCACGCGCCGCAGACCGCCGCTCGTGTTGCCCTCGCTGTTGCCGCTCTGCTGTCGCTGCACGCGACTGCCGCCAGCATACATCGAGGTACGTTGTGCCGCCGCATCGGTGGGCGCCTCGTCCGACGCCAGGAACATGCTCTTGCGCAGCACGCCCGGCCCGACCGAGTCGATGCGTCGGCCGTCTGCACGCGCGTACTTGGAGCGCCGGCGCGCATCCGTCGCCGGCGGAGGACCTCTTGGAGCAGCGCGTAGCTGTGGCGCGGGTCCGCCGGGACCGGCCGTGCCGTAGCCTGCGGGCACGACGACTTGGCCCGGCCGGAAGCCGCCGCCGTCGGGAGAGGGTCCGCCGGAGAGGAGCGCGGGATGCTGCCCCGATGCGCCGCCGCCGTGCCGACGTGCCGCAGAGGGACCGGGCAGATGGATGCCCGAACTCTCGCCGCGCGAATGGCCCATGTTGCTGCTGGCGTTGCGGCCGTGCGGCGCGTGAGAAGGGCCAGCTGCAGCGCTAGGCTTGCGCATGCCGAAGTAGTCGTCGACGGAGTTGGTCGAGGAGTCGCCGAACGAATCATCGAGGTGCGGACTGCTGCCTGTGCCACCTGCGCCCATGGGACTGGCGGCGTCCAGCAGACTGGCGCGCGCGTTGTACTTCTGCTCCACGCTCAGCAGGTTCGTCGAGGAGCCTGGTCCTCCCGCACCTGCGGCCGCGGCGCGCGCAGCAGCCTGGCTGCCCGGACCTCCGCCGTAGCCGGCAGCAGACGGATGGTACAGACCATTGCCGCCGTAGTACGGGTGTGCCTCGGTAGAGGGCCGGTTGAACACCTTGCACAGCGTGCCGACGAGCACGAGCAGCGCAAAGACGCAGACGAAAGTGCCGAGGATGATGATGATCTCGATGGGGTCGAGGCCCGAGGAGCGTTGCCGCAAGCTGCCGGTCAGCTTGGCGCTGGACGTCTCGGCGCGGGACGCGAGGCTGCGAGTGCGTTCGCGTGAGCATGCGGCTGAGGTGAGCGAGGAGCATGAGCGCAGAAACACTCACTGCTCGAGACTCCGCGCGGCTATTGACTCGACAGTAGAGGGCGCCAGCGGCGAGCGCACCACATGCTACGGCGCACTTTGGGTCAGCCATGTCCGCCGTCCGGCGTGCCTGCGTCCGCTACACAGCGCTGTGCTGCCTGCTGCGGCACGGTCGACACGCCACTTGAGCACGCAGACTCACCTTGACGAAGCCCTGCATCGCAGCTCAGCGAGATGCTCCGAATGCGCCCAGCGCAGAGAGACAGGCCTGCGGCGTGCAGCCGAGGACCGAGCGGAGCGCGGCGGAGAGCGCCCAGGCCACGCGAGCGGATGCGCAGGCAAGCCGCGGACGAGAGGACAGACGCAGAGGCTTCGCAGATGTGAAGAAGGCGGACGCGCAGCGCAGCCTTGGATGGCTGAGCGAGCGGAGAGCAGCGAGCTGAGCGAGGGCAATCAATGCCTCGCGTTGAGCGGCTGCGTCGAGACGCGAGAGGGCGAGAGAGGCGAAGCAGACGATTAAGAGAGCGTGGAGCGACGAAGTTGCGCAGATGCGATCGTTTGGTGTGTGTGTGAGAGGCTTGAGACTTGGAGGATGTGAGTGTGGTGTGAGAGAGAGGCGGCTGCGGGATCGGATGGAGAGAGAGAGAGGAGACGCGCGAGCAGCCACAGCCGAAGCACACACCGCTCCCGCCGCCGCTCCCGCTGCCGCGCCGGCGAGCCGTGCTTGTTCTCGCGCCTCTCGCCGCCTGCTCCTGCCGCGCTGCCGCCTGCCGCCTGCCACACGCCTCCCCGAGCGCCTGCCTTTGCCCGCGGCGCGCAGGCGCGCAGCGGGCACTTCGGCCGCGGAGGCTTCCCTCGCGCCCCTTGACTGCCCTCGTGCCTCGCAAGCCCCTCTCTCGCGCACGCACCGCCCCTGCCGCTCTGCCGCCGCCGGCTCGTTCGCGGCCGCTGCGGCTTCTCTCCCCTCGAGGTGCAGCAGCGCGGACGCTGCCGCCGTGCCGCACGCCTCGCGGACCCCTCCCGTGCGCCCGCGCACGCACGACGCGTCTTGCTCGCCGCCACGGATTGCGCAGTGCGCCCAGCTGCAGCTGCAGCGCCTCCGCCTTCGCGACTTGCCGCTTGGGAACGAAGAAGAGGCGGAGAGGGTGCGGCGTCGGCTGCGGGCGGCGGCGGCCGCGAGGGGCAAGCGCGAAGCGTAGCCGCGGCGCCGCAGGCCGTGCCGCACCGGCCGCCCGCCGGCGCCGGCGCAACGCTCGTCGCCCCTCCGCCGCGGCGCGCCTCCTGCTTCTGCGGCTGCTGCCTCCCAAAGCCGCAGCTCCCGAGCCGCAGGTCGAGAGGCTGCATCCCTCGTAGCGCGCTCGCCAGCCCGCCGGCTTCTCCCATCGCAAGCGTCGATCGGCATCCTCGCTCGCTGCAGGCTGTAGTTGTGCGCGGTGGCCCTCGAGAAGGAGGAGCCGCGAGATTGTCTGATGGCAAGTCCAAGAGGGCGGCTAGACGCACTTTGGGAGCTTTCTTGCCGCCGCCGAGGCGACAACGAGGTCCCGCCTCGTCTGGGACGAGCAGCGAGTCGCCGTAGAAGGCCCTGTGCCCATCGTGGTCTGGTGGTTCGACGTCGTCCTGGCGGCCCTGTCCAGGTCTGCATCCGAAAAGTGGGCCTCAAGCGTGAGATCTGCGTCCAGGGTCCTCTCTGTCATGTCTCCGTCTCGAGGATCTGCGTGGCTGCTGCGTTGGTCCGAGCATGGCAACACGCAGCACGCACCACGCGCCGACACCGCTGCCGGCTTCTCGGAGGCGGCGAGGCGCCTCCTGACATCGCGACCGGCTCGCGACGGCATGCTACTGCGGGCTGTAAGAGGCAGCGACGCTTCAAGTCTGATGCAGAGCACCTCAGCTGCTCGTACATAGACGTGACGGATTGAACGTGGGCTCGCAGCGCCCAGCAGCAGCGGCGACGCTCGAAGCACCGTTGCGCAGAAGCATGTCTCGAGTGGAGGTCGCGCGGCGCCGCACGGCCAAGGCACGCGGACGCAGCCAGAAAGCGCGCCGTCTCTCTCGCAGTCGGGTCAGTCCGGGCGCGCCAGGCACTGCGCCTGCACCCTTGAGCAGCGGCGCCGTTAGCCGAGTTTCGACAGGCCGGCCGCCGGCGACGCGGCCGAGCGCCGTGCGATCGCGAAGAAGCGCACGCGCCCACGGCCGAGGCTGGCAGCAGCTTGGCAGCGGTGACGGCCTGGACCGCACTTTCTGCGCCCAGGTGCCTGGGATGCTCGCCTCGCGGCCGGCCAGCGCGCAGCGCAACGTTTTGTTCGCTCGGGGCGCCGGAGCGACCCGTCAAGCCAAGGCAGCACGAAGCGCCGCTCCGACCTTCCCACCTCACCTCCATCTCCTCTCCCTCCCTCTCACCGTCCCCCACATCCCGTCGCCCGCCATGGCCTTCTCCTCGCCCCTCTTCGCGCCGCTCAACAACGCCGTCGCTGCGCCGGCCGCCGACATGCGCCGCTTCCCCATCCGCGCACCCCTCGAGGTCGAGACGCCCCCGACCGGCGCCGCCCTCTACGCCCGCTTCGCCTTCGCCGGTGCCGTCTGCGTGAGTATCTCAGGGCTCGGAGTGCGGCGAACAGGCGTCGGCGGGCTGTTGCGTTGCCGGATCGTCGCGTGGCCTCAAGGACTGGTGCAGAGGGGACACACTCGCGCGAGCGCGCTCTTCGCACGCACCGCTTATCTGGCAGCGTGCAAATCGTCGGCGACGAGACACTGCGACACTCCAGCAGCTGCAATGTAGATCAGCGTCCAGCGGCCACTGAGCACATGCTGGCTTTGCGGCGAGGGCGCGATGAGCTGCCTGTGGCCTTGCGCGCTGCGCAGGGAATAGGCGCGCGCTGCGAACTTCTCAGCGTGCGCTCTGCGAAAAGCGCGCGCGAAGACGTGCCTGCTCGCGCAGCTTCTTGTGCTCCTGGCGATGCATCGAATGCGTCTACGCTTGCGCTGCGCACTGACACCCTCTCTTCACAGTGCGCCATCACCCACGGTGCCCTGACGCCCGTCGATGTCGTCAAGACGCGCATCCAGCTTGAGCCGGAGGTGTACAACAAGGTGCGTCGTGCGCGCGCGCTTGCTCCGACAGGCCGAGGCTGACTTGCGCGCGCTTGTGCAGGGCATGGTCACTGGCTTCCGCCAGATCATCGCCAAGGAGGGCTCCGGCGCGCTCCTGACCGGCCTCGGCCCCACGGCCGCCGGTTACTTCCTGCAGGGTGCCTTCAAGTTCGGCGGGTGAGTTTGGCGCGCACTCTTGTGCTCCTCGCGGCGTGCTCACAGTGCCGCGCGCAGTTACGAGTTCTGGAAGAAGACGATCATCGACCAGGTCGGCCTCGAGACGGCCACGGCCAACCGCGCCGCCGTCTACATTGGTGCCTCGGGTATCGCCGAGTTCTTCGCCGACATTGCCCTGTGCCCGCTCGAGGCCACGCGCATCCGTCTCGTCTCCACGCCCGGCTTCGCCAACGGCCTCGTTGGTGGCTTCGGCCGCATCGCTCGGGAGGAGGGCCTCAAGGGCTTCTACTCTGGGTGAGTGGCACGCAGCGGCAGAAGCGCGCGCAGACATGGGCGATCAGCAGCATTGCGCGCTGCAAGCACTTGAGCTGCGTGCTGCTCTTTGCGCGCGCACAGGCGCTGCGCTGAGACCTATCACTGACTCGCTTGCCCGCAGCTTCGGTCCCATGCTCTTCAAGCAGGTGCCGTACACCATGGCCAAGTTCGCCGTCTAGTGAGTCGCGCGCGCGTGTCCGCTTGGCCCGAGATCGCGCACTGACGCACCGCACAGCGAGGTCGCCTTCGAGAAGATCCTGTCGCTCACGGGCAAGCCGAAGGAGGAGCTGTCGGCCGGTCTCGTCACCAGCCTCAACCTGGCGTCCGGTGTGATTGCCGGTCTCGCCGCCGCCTTCATCTCGCAGCCCGCCGACACGCTGCTGTCGAAGATCAACAAGTCCAAGGCCGAGCCGGGCCAGTCGACGACGTCGCGCCTCATCGGCATGAGCAAGCAGCTCGGCGTCAAGGGCCTCTTCGGCGGCCTGGGCCCGCGTATGGTCATGATTGCCACGCTCACCGCCGGCCAGTTCGCCATCTACGGCGACATCAAGCGTGTGCTTGGCGCCACCAACGGTGTCGAGCTCGCCAAGACCCCCAAGGCCTAAGCGACCACCATCTACCCACTTCGCCCATTCCGCTCGTCGCTGCGCCGGTGCACCTTTCTGCACTGCCGGCCTCGGGCTTCATAGACCCCTCTTCGCCTGTGACGCCCACCCTTTTCTGCTGTTGCAAACGAAACGATCACTGCCCTGGGTCTGATCTGAAGCTGGCTCTCATTGGTGTGTGCTGTGCTCAGAGGTCCTTCTTGCTCTCTGCGCTCTCCCGCGGCTCCAGCCAGCGCGTCGGATGCCGGTTGTACATCTCCCACGGCGGCACGCAGGCCTGAGACAGAAGCTGTGGTCAGCCGGTGCGCCACGAGAGCTGAGACGCAGCGCTGCACGCACCACGAGAGCAAGTGCCACGCCCGCGCCGTACACAAGCATGAGCACTTTTTGCGAGTCGAGCGCCCAGCCCGCGATGAAGGCGAGCACCTGTGTGGTTGCTGGAGCGTGAGACGGGCTTCGCGATAGGGCAAGAGGCAGGCTGGCTCACCGCAGCGAGAACGAGCGTCTCCTGATTGATGCGGTCGGCGAGCCGTTGCCCCTGCAGGGACTGTGCGCGTGGTGTAAGCTGCGAGCCAAAAGGGACACGCAGACGTGATGGAGCTTAGGCGCTCAGCGAGACCTCCTGACCGATGCGCAGGGAGCGTACGACGGCCACCCCTGCGCCGTCAATCTGAGCTGCGCGACAGAGGACTGGACGCCGGCGCGAGCTCATGCTCCTGAATCGCGCGGCAGGTCGGCATGCCAAGTCCCGTGCAGTGGACTATTGTTCTGGCCAGGTGGTCCGCTTGAAGCATTCGCCGGGCGTTCGCGCACATCCGCCAGTCTCCACAACACCTGTAGTGAGGCCAGCATGCCTCCTGCCCTCAGCAGCCCCGACGCTGCGGCGGCGCTGCCGATGGCGCACACTGCACCTCGCATCTAGCGGCTCGTGCGCGCAGCCCAGCTCGCCCAGACAGCAAGCGCCATGTTCCGCACTGCGCGGCGGCTCTGCCACTCACGATGCGGCCCTCGAGCGAGGTGCGGACCTGGTCGAGCAGGGAGGGCGAGGCAGAAGAGGCCATGGCTGCCCAGAGGCGCGAGCGCGCAGGCGGTTGGCGGTCGACGAGCGAGTCGGGATGCGGCGACGGCGAGAAGGAGATGAGAGGGCCGCGGACCTGTAGTGGTGCGAGGTGCTGGCGAGGCTGCTGCTTTGGAGGTAGGGAGTGGGTGGTGGAGAGGAAGCAGGAGCGGCCGCACGTGCAGCTGCGTTTCGCGACGCTCGGACCAGCGCGCGGCGCGTGGGAACAGCAGGTGCGGGGTAGCGCAAAGTGCATGCCCGGCCTCTGTCCTTCCCGCAACCACGCCACAAGCCAGCTGCAGCATGGAGGTCGAGCTCACCAACCCGCGCGTGCCCGCCGCCGGCAGCGGCAACGGCGCCGCGCCTATCCTGAACCGCCAGTCGCGCCACCTGACGCAGAACCCGGAGCGCGGCGGTGCCCAGGCCATGCTGCACGCCGCCGGCCTCACGGTCGCCGACCTCGACAAGGCGCAGGTGGGCATCAGTGCCGTGTGGTGGGAGGGCAACCCGTGCAACTCGCATCTGCGCGAACTGGCCGACTGGGTCAAGGAGAGCTGCACTAAGGAGGGCCTTGTGGGTCTGCAGTTCAACACCATTGGTGAGTAAGGTGGAGAGTGGAGCGAGGCACTGGCACTGGCCCGCAGAAGAGAGCATCGGGGACTGGGTCAGGTCCAGGTAGCACGCATGCCTTGGATGGGACGTTCAGAGCGCTGGCCTTTGTGCTCCTGGGCTGTATGCTGACTGAGGCCTCTGCGCGGTTCAGGCATCTCCGACGTGAGTCTCTCCCAACATCTCTCTCTCTCGCAGTGCTCACACCACGCTGCAGGCCATCACGATGGGCACAGCCGGCATGCGCTACTCGCTACCCTCGCGCGAGATCATTGCCGACTCGATCGAGAGCGTCATGCTGGGCCAGTACTACGACGGCAACATCTCCGTCGTCGGCTGCGACAAGAATCCGCCGGGCGCGCTCATTGCTGCCATGCGACACAAGTGCGTGGACTGAAGCTGCCTGCTCCCTCTATGTGCTCACATGCTGTCCGCAGCCGGCCAACTCTGCTCGTCTGGGGCGGCACCATCGCTGTGCGTACAGAGGCAGCTGCCAGCAGCGCTCTCTGCTCACGAGCCCACCTCTCCAGCCGGGCACGTTGCGCATCGACATTCCCTCGCTGGGCCGCAAGAAGGGCGACGACATGTGCGTCAGGCTTGCCGCACATTCCGAGGGATAGCGGCTGAAGCATGTGTGCTGCCACAGCCAGATTTCCGACACCTTCGAAGCGGCAGGCGCGTTCGCCGTTGGCCGCATCAACGACGAGGAGCGGGCTGGTGCGTCTCGTACGTGCACTCAGCCGCGCCACCGCTCACGCCGCTCTTCTGACAGCGATTGTGCGGGAAAGCTGCCCTGGGCCAGGAGCTTGCGGCGGGTCAGCTTGTGCAGTTGCCAGCACGTCACACAGCTGCTGACGCACCACACAGCATCTACACGGCGAACTCCTTTGCGACGTTCATGGAGACGACGGGCATGATCCTGCCTGTGAGGGCGAACGTCTACGCCACGTGCCATGTCCTCGCTCACTCGACCGCCTACAGGGAACGGCAGCGACACCAGCCACGCACCCAGCAAAGCGAGCCGAGTGCCTGCGGACCGGCGCGGCCATGCGCAACCTCCTTGCGCTGGACCTCAAGCCGCGAGACATTCTGACGCGTCAGGCCTTCCTCAATGGCCTCGTGATGAACACCATCATTGGTGGCTCGACGAACCTCGTGCTCCACCTGCTCGCCATCGCCAAGGCGGGCGATGTTCAGCTCAGCATCGACGACTGTGAGTGCGTTCGCTGGACGAAGCGATGCTGCTGCTGACACTGCGTCACAGTCCAGACCATCACTGAGAAGAGTGCGTAGCTATGCTTTGCGCAGCTTGACGTGGCGCTGACCTCTGTGCAGCGTCGTTTCTGGCGGACATGAAGCCCTCAGGGCGCTATGTGATGACCGACCTGTTCAACGTGGGTCTGCGGCGCTGGGGTCCCAATAGCGCTCGCTCATAGCGGATCTGCAGATCGGCGGCATAGCGCCGCTGATGAAGTACGTCGGCGAGTCACGGCCAGACCTGCTCAACCTCGACGTCTTGACGTGCACCGGACGGACGTTGCGCGAGAACCTCGCCAATGTTCCCTCGCTCACGTTCGACCACCAAGACGTGATCCGGCCGCTCGAGAATCCCATCAAGGAGACTGGAGTGAGTCGCGTGCTGTGCTTGAGACAGGGCCGCCGCTGACGCCAGTGCATCAGCACATTCATATCATGCGCGGCAACCTGTGCCCCGGCTCAGCGGTCGCCAAGCTGACGGGCAAGGAGGGTCTGGAGTTCACGGGCACGGCCAAGTGCTTCGACCAGGAGCAAGGCATTGTCGAGGCTATTCGTGCCGGCGCGATCGGGCCCGGCAACGTGCTCGTCATCCGCTACCAGGGTCCGCGAGGCGCGCCGGGCATGCCCGAGCAGCTTGGTGCGTGGCGTACGACGGGCTAGCAAAGCGAAAAGCTGACGCGCTTCCGAGCAGAGAGCACAGCGGCGGTGATGGGCGCCGGTCTCGGCAAGACGACAGCTCTGATCACCGACGGCCGCTTCAGCGGTGCCTCGCACGGCTTCTGCGTTGGGCATGTCGTGCCGGAGGCGATCAACGGCGGGCCTATCGCGCTCGTAGAGGACGGCGACAAGATCTCCATCGACGCCAAGACGCTCACCATTACGCTGCACGTCGACGACGAGGAGCTGAAGCGCCGCTTTGCCAAGTGGGACGCGGACCCGTCGAAGAAGGAACTCAAGGTGAAGCGTGGCACGCTGTACAGTAAGTCTCGTCGGTGCGCTGCGAGTCGGCATGAGCTGACAATGGCTTCCCAGAGTACGCACACACCGTCGCCGATGCGTCGCAGGGCGCCGTGACGGACTTCTTCTAGACATGCGCCAGTCAATGGGCTGTTCTCTAGACCGCACCACACACCAAATGCATGCACTCAGCCCACACCGAGATGCGCGAAGCCGTACGCGTGGGTCACACGGGCGCAATCTGATCTTACGTATGATGATTACGGGCGGAGCGTTGCAAGATAGCAGTAGGTAGCAAAAGGGAGGAGCAGAAGGGGGAAGGGGTAAATAAAGAGGTAGCGGGAGAGTCGTGAATCGTAGCGGGTGGAGCGAGAGCCGCAGAAGCAGCCCGTCTCATCGCGCGCTTAGAAGGCCGACGGGCACTCGATGCGCTCGCCGATGGTGCCGAAGATGCGGTCCCAGATGCGCGTCTGCTTGCCGTAGTTCTTGCCGCTCTTGCCGAAGCGGTGGTGCAGGTCGTGGTCCTCGACGGCGAGCTCCATGCCGAGCGGGCGCAGCACCATGCCGAGCAGCGGGTGCGGCCACATGGCGCGGATGCCCGAGTGGCCGAGCGCCTCGACGTAGAGCAGGTAGGCGATGGCAAAGTGGTACTCGGCGAACGACATCTTGGGCGCCACGCACGAGGCGAGGAAGGGCACGATGAAGATCTCGATGCACTCCTGGATGTCGTCGGCGAGAATCGAAAGAATGGGTGTGGGGTGCTTGGTGGCGTGGTGCTGGCGGTGGATGAACCACAGGCAGTCGAACTCGTGCGTGGAGCGGTGGTAGAGGTAGAACCTGCACAGGGTGTCAGTGGCGTCATCAGCGGCCGCGGCGCAGCGTGCTCACCAGTAGTCCAGCGCAATCTCAAAGACGGCGATCTTGAGCGGCGAGTAGATGTTGAGGCCGTCGAAGGGGTTCGTCATGTCGCCGCGCCAGCCGAGGAAGAAGGGGCCCATGGTGCGGAAGACGGTGTAGATGAAGATGGAGCGGCCGAGGTGGTTGACGTGGCGGTCGTCGACCATGTCGCGGCCGCGGTTGAGCTCGTCAAACGTGCCGTACTTCTCCATGTAGCCGTGCAGGCGGCCAATCATGAGGCGCGCAAACACGATGAAGGACAGGTGGTAGAAGACCCAGGCGGGCGCCCAGTGCATCTTGTGGTCGGGCAGGAAGTGGTTCCAGGCCCAGTGCACGGCCAGCGGCATGACGGCAGTGCGCAGGATGAAGAAGTTCTCCGTGCTCATCGGGTGCTCCGGCGGCGGGCCGCGCAGCGGCTCCTTGGCGTCGCGCTTCTTGTACGTCGCCGGCGGGCAGATGTCGAGCGAGGCGATGAACTCCCACAGCGTCCACTGCTTCGGCGGCTTGAGCTGCCAGGTGCTGCGAGAGGGGGTCAGCAAGCGGCACGGGTGGCCAGCACACCGGCGGCACATGCAACTCACGTCTTGGGCCGCACGCCGTACACCTTGTCAAACTCCTTGCCCTTGTCGTCCTTGGCGATGGCACCCTTGCCTGCGCCGCCGGGCGCCTGCGGCGCCGGCTCGTCGCATGCGTTGTCGGGCGCGATGGAGGGGCCGTCGTTGTCCTCCTCCTTGCTCATCTCCTGCTTGCCGACGTGCGTGGGCCGGTTGGTCGGTGCCACACCGGCAGCCTTTGGGATCTCTGCGGCAGATGCCATGGTGCGTGTGTGCGATGGAGGTGGTGGCTGGGAGCGAAGGAGCGAGCCCGGCGAGAAGGCGTCTTACATATGCGGAGAGCGAGGAGCGCAGCCGCGCCGTGCGTGCCTGGCCGAGGCACTTGGCCTGTCAACGACACGCACGCAGCCAGGCGAGCGGATCCGCGTCGCTGAGGTGAGCAGGAGCAGCGATCTGCCTCGCCCTGTTCATCCGCCGCCCGCGTGAGAGACGCGGCTCTGCCTTTCGCGCAGCTTCGCCGTTGTAGTCGAGCCTTCAGATGCAGCTCCGTCTATTCGCCGCTCGCTGAGCAGAATTCGACCTTGCGGGGAAGGACGCCCCGCAGCGCTGCGTGCTGTGTGCTGCAGGCGCAGCAGCCGTGCCGCTGCGCAGCTGGGCGAGCGCGTGAAATCCCGGCGGATCTGCTGCTGAATCTGGACCGGCTCCGCTGCCGCAGAGGTGGCGATGCTGCTCTCCTGCCTGCGTCGCGGCTACGTCACGCACGCCGGCGCAGCTGGAAAGAAGCGCTGGCCAAGTGCCCGCATCGGTGTCAAGGCTGCTATCGCCGTCGAGCGGGCAGCGGCGCAGTGTCCGGCGGCCCTCGTGCAAACCCCGGCGGGCGACAGGCTCGCGAGCGCCTCTGCGCCCCCGCTGCCTGCCATACCGAGCGCCGCCGCCGATGCCGATGCTCCTCGACGCCTCTCGGCGGGCCGCAGAAGCCTCAGCCATCAAGCATGAACGGGTCCTCGCGCTCGCAAATGCTCCTTCGCCAGCCACAGCGCCGGGCGCAGCTGACCTCATGCCCTTCATGCGGCCGGGCCCCGGCGCTCTCGAAGCACAGGCACGCTGTGGAAAAGCGGCATGGCCACGCGCTCGGCCGGCGCGCTTCCGATGCGGCCACTTGCTGATCGCTCCTTGGCACATCGGGAACCTCATATGTCAGCTGGACAGGGCCAAGCCACGGTGCTCAGCGTCTGCCGCCGGCTGGCCGAGCATCGCAGGGCCCTGGCTGGCCAGCGCATGGCTCCGGCATTTCGAGGGGTCGCGAGCCTCCATCGGGCGCGTGTAGCGAGGTGGAGGTGGGACGAGGTGCCCGCCCGGAGGCCGAAGCTGCCAGAAAGCTCTCGAGCTCCTCTCCCTCCCTCTGCTGCTGCTCTTAGACATGTCCGCCGCTTCGAAGGCTTGGCACGTCGACCGAGCGCCGACAGCGACACCCGAGGATCCAGAAGCAGCACGCAGCACGCAGAGAGCAGCCGGCAGCGTGCTTTGCGGCATGCAGAGGCCACCACGTGGATGGACCACGCGGTCGCTCCTCCTCATGCGACGGGACGCTCCACGTGGCCTTCCCCACACTCTGACTCTGCACGCTGCAGCTGGGGTCACAGATGCAGGCGCAGCTGCAACGCACAGCATGCAGATCCGGCTGCTTCTCTGAGGTGTGCGCTTGAGCACGCCTGTTGAGCTGCGTCGCTGCTGCATGGTCCCGCAAAGATGCGCACCGCCCGCGCGCCTCGAGGCGCGTCAGTTCGGTGCCGTCGTGCTTCGCTCTCGACCACCACAAGCCGCAACATGCAGTCCTCCTCGTGGTCCGACCACGCGGCCAAGTACGCCAACAACGGCAACGGCCTGACGCTGCCTCTGCTGCTCGCAGCACTGGCACACATCACGCCTGCGCTGGATGCTCTCGCAGCACAAAGAGCACCGCAGCCACTGCGCATCCTCACGACGTGTGGCGGGCCTGGCGTCGAGGCCGTGCTGCTGTGCAAGCACTTTGGAGGCAAGCACGTCAACATTCTCTCGACGGACAATGCAGAGGGAATGGTGCAGCTGGCGCGCGACTCGTTTGAGAAGGAAGGCCTGCAGGACATCGCCGAGGCTCGCGTGCTCGACGCCATGGTGCGGCCCAGGGTCTCCGCCTGGATTGACCAGCACTGACAGCTTCGTCTGCAGAAGCTGGACCTGCCAGACCAGAGCTACGACGCCGTGCTGCAGCTGCTCGGGCCGATGCTGTTGCCCGATGCACGAGCCAGCTTCGCCGAGGCCACACGCGTACTGACGCCGGGAGGTGTCTTTTGCGCCCTCACGCCCGGCCGCATGGTCATCCACGACGTCATGACGAGCGCCAAGCGGGGCGTGCTGGAGAAGGCAGGCCGCGGCGATGAGTTCCAGGACCTCTACTCGCATCGCATCATGAGCGAGTGGGGCACGCCGCCGAAGCTGAAGGAGCAGCTGGAGAAGTGCAGCGCCTTTGCGAAGGTCGAGGCGGCAAATGCGCCCGCTGAGATGCCCGTCAGCAGCGAAGCGCACCTCGATGAGATCGTACGTGCTGTGCCGGCTGCAGTAGAGCTCTGCTGAACCTTTCCCGCAGCTGCAGAGCCTGTGGGACAACCCGGGCATGGCGTTCATGTACACCTCGAATCTCTCCGAGGAGCAAGTGGCCGAGTTTCGCGCTGCCGTGCGCAAGGAGATGCTGAAGCGTCGCGCCGAGTCCGGCAAGGAGACCTGGGGCGCTGAGATGCTGGGCAACGTCGTGTGCGCCTGGACTGCCGAGAAGTGACGCAAGATGGGGGATGAGTGCTTCTGGTCACCTCAATGAGATCTCGTCTGATCATCGCTGTGTGCACGTCCGACGCGACGCCTTTCGCTGCATCCGGGGAGCCTCGGTCACACAGCCGTGCCTGTTGCACTTGTTCATTGATCACACGAGCGGCTGGCTCGGCTGCGCCTTGGCAGCCGGCATGCGCGGCGGCATGTCCTCCTCGTGAGCCTGCGCCTGGCGCTGCGCCTGCGCCTGGCCCTGCGGTGCAGCGGGCCGGGGAGCAGGCAGCTGAACGTCGGGCGCATCGGCGTCGACGTCGTACAGGTGGTCCGTCGACGTGCGCGAGTTGGTGTAAGAGACACGTCCGCCTGGGCTGACGCCTGGCTGGGCGTTGAAGGAGCCGGGCATGTAGGGCGCGCCAGCGTTGCCGACTAGCAACGGGTAAGCGTCAGTCAGCAGGCTCGACGAGGCATTACAGAGCCCTGAGACAAGCATACGCAACGCAAATTCGCTCCTTTCCACCTCTCCCCTTTATTCCTGAACTCACCCTCAGCAGCGCCGCCAGCGCGCCATCCTTCAATCTCGCCCGCCAACGCCCTGGCCACACCAGCGCTCGCGATGAGCTTGGCCGTAGCGAACGAGCCCGTCGTAAACGTGGCGCCGAAGTGCGGGCGGAAGAGCATGCGCGAGACGTCGCCGAGCAAGCTGCCGAGCAGCAGGCTCTGCAGCACGCGCAGATGCTCGGGCGCCGATGTGACGACGTGCAGCCCGAAGAGCACGAGCGGGAGGTTGTACGAGGGGAACTGCCGAGCTAGCGCCGAGTAGAGAAGCGCCAGGAACTGTTGAACGGAGTCAGCGCTGCAGTCGCGAGCGAGCTGGGTGGCCGACGCACGCTGAGGAAGGAGAAGAGCGACGTCGGCGGCGAGTCGCGCACGGCGGCCGGCAGGCGCGCATTGATGCGCTGCGGGAAGAGCAGGATGGCCTGCGGCAACGACATGGCTGCAGAGCTGGCGCACTGATACGGATGGACGGGAGGACGGCGCAGCGGCAGAGTGCGACTTGCAGACGGACAGCCGGAGTTGCGGATGGAGTGGGTGGGAAGAGAGGCGTTTGTGCACGAGCCATCGCGAAGGCGGGCGGCAGAAGCAGACAGCAGAATCTTGGCGCGGGAGTTGTATTCAGCACTTCAATCGCGCGCTGCAATTGTTGAAGCACCCTAGACCCGCGGAGAAAATCCTATTTGCGGCAGCCGCTCTCCGCACTCCAGACCCCCAATCACCTCACCCTAGCCGTCCGCCTGGCATCCGCTCCGCCGCAGACTCACCTCGTCGGGTCTCTGGCTACCAAACTGCTGCCGCTGGTGCTGCGCGAAGCATCATGTCAAGCAGCGCCGCGGTTGCCTCGGTCGAGGCCGAGGCTGCGACATCAGCAGCTGTTCCACCGCAGGCCAACGACAGCGTCGGCACGGTCGCTTCGCCGCGGGATGCTGGAGAGGGCACGGGCAGCGCAGCGATCGCAGGAGAGAGCGCACTGGTACAGCCGCCGGCGACGGGCATGCAGAGTGCATCCTCGCAGCGTGGCGCTGCGCCGCAGCTTGTGAGTACAGCTTCGCGCGTCGCGTGGACGAGGAGGTGCAGCGAGCCGTGGAAAACGGCTGCAACGTCGAGACACGGCTCTGTGAGATGTTCGAGACGGTCGGGCGGCTGCACAGACGCATGCTCTCTCGATTGAGATAGAGAAAGACGTCCGAGGCGCTTGGAAGGGGGCTCGCGTGAGGGAGGTAGTCGGCGGGATGTGTGACCGTGATCGAGGGAGCGCTGGCTGTCCGTTGATCCCGTACATGAGCTGACAACTCATCAGTCTGCCCCTTCACGGCAGTTGGGCGCCAGTTCCGTCGCTGGGCCATCTCGTCTGCCAGCATCGCCTGCGGATGCGCCTTCGCCCGGGCACGCCGCCGTGCTGCCGGCGTCCTCCTCGAACGTGTCTCTGCATGCTCTGCCGCGGCGCAGCATCGAACGGTGTGTTGTGCTTCGAGAAGACCCCTCAGTGCACTGACGAGCGTCTACAGCGTCTTCTTTGGAGCGCACGACATCAAGACGTGGTACGCCAGCCCGTTCCCGCTCGATGATGACCCGCACGACGCAACGCCGGCCGGCTCGCCCGCACAGTCCCACCAGCCAGTCAAGCGAGGCGGCAACAAGCGACCGCGTCTGGAAGCTGCTTCGCGCACTCCGAGCGGCGCTGCGAATGGAGCCGCAGCGAACGGCACGCCAGCTGCAGCTGCAGCACTGTCGACGCCGGGCCCTCATGCCGGCGGTGCACTGGCGTCCACGTCGGCGGGTACGCCTGCGTCCGTCGTGTCCGCGACAGACAGTCCCGCAGCTTCTGGGCGGCAAAGAGGAGCAGCTTTGCAGCCGCAGGGCACCTCGACTGGCCGCTCGCTGTGGGTGTGCGACGGCTGCTTCAAGTACGCGCGCACCTACGCCGGCTATCGCGTGCACAAGAAGGAGTGCACCTACACGCATCCGCCGGGCCGCAAGGTATACCAGCGCGGCGCTCACATCATCTGGGAGGTCGACGGCGCTGAGCAGAAGGTGTGTCAGGCGGAGATGTGCTTGTGACTCCTCGCTGATGCCGAGCTACAGCTCTACGCCCAGAACCTCTCGCTCTTCGGCAAGCTCTTCATCGACCACAAGGCCATCTACTTTGACGTCGAGCCGTTTCTCTTCTACGTGCTCACGGATGCGAGTCCGCACTTTGACCACCCGATCGGCTTCTTTTCCAAGGTGAGCGGATGCGTGGCTCAGTGACCCGCGCCAGGCTCACACCTCGGCGAGCGCAGGAAAAGATCTCGTACGACGACTACAACCTCGCCTGCATCATCACGTTTCCGCCGTTTCAGAAGCGCGGCTTCGGCACGCTGCTGATCGAGTTCAGTGAGTGCAGCTGTGGTGCGCTGACACATTGCGGCGCTGACACACTGGTGCAGGCTACTACCTCTCTGCACACGACGCAGTCCCGGGCACGCCGGAGCGGCCGCTGTCCTCTCTCGGCTTCCGCGGCTACCTTGCCTACTGGTCGTCGGTAGTGCTGCGCACACTGGCACTGGCGTTCGACGAGATGGAGCCCAGCATCTCGCAGCTGCTGCTAGCGCCACCACCTTCCGCCTCTACGCCGGTCAAAGGCGCACCCGTTAGCCCAGCCGTGGCAGCAGCGGCGCGAGCGCGACAAGTGCACGAGTGCACGCGCATCAGGCGGGCGCTGCTCGGTCTGCCTGCTCTGCCCGACACCTTCCGACCACTGTCTGGCGGCGATGCGGAGGAAGAAGAGATCCAGCGACGCAAGATCATCCGCGTAGCCAAGGGCTTCGCAGGCGTCACGCCTCGCGGTCTCGCTACGCCGTCTCGCTCTGAGCGCCGTGCCACACGCGCTAGCAACCGCGCCGGCTCGCAAGGCAGTCCGGTGGAGGAAGCACCGAGCCCGGTCAAGACAGAGCCCGGTGCAGCATCAACAGGCGGGAGCAATGGCCGTACGCGCGGGCAGGCCTCAGCACCTGCTCCAGATGCCACATCGAAGCATCCAGCGCTGGCCATCGCCATTGCGCCCGGCGCCTCCATCTCGCTCGCTACCACGCTTGGCGCGCTCAGTGCAGCGACGCGGCTGCGTGTCGACGACGTAGCCTTTGCGCTTGCAGAATGCGGCCTACTGCGCTGGCGTGTACCCCCTGCTGTGCTCCAGGAGCGCGGCGTGTACCGTGCTGCGAAGGGCACAGACGCCGCTGGACAGGCCAAAGTTGCTTCAGAGCTGCCGGCCGAGGTAGCGCTGCTCATCACGCGCGACGCCGTGCGCGAGGCCATCCGCGCCAAGAATGTCAAGCGCCCGGTGCTCGACGACATCTACGTGCTTGTCTGACGCCTTGTTGCCGCGCATTAATCATATATGGCTCCACTGCGACGAGATGGCGGAGCTCCGGAGAGAGAATGTAGGTACAATTGGAAAGGAGAGGCGCGGGAGGCGCCCTAGACGCTGCGGCAGTACTCGTCGGTCTGCGGCGCGCGTCAGCCAAGTGAAGCCAGCTCGCAAGCCAGCGCGCGCCCGCACACGCCGCAACTCACGAAAAGAGCGTCGGCCGGAGCATCGGGGATGAACCAGCTGGCGAGTGCGATCTGGCGACCAGAGTGAGCGGCAGCACGGGGGAGAGGTGCGGCAGGGCACGCACGATGACGAAAACGTTCATCAGCATCCAACCTAGGGGAATCCTAGTCAGTTCTTTTCCTCCGTGTTGACCGCATCAGCGCCGCCGGCTCACCTTCGAGATAGTTACTCTTGCCGTCAGCGATGGCATTGGACACGAGGATAATGCTGAGGAAGAGGATGATGGCGACGAGCGGGTCGAAAAGCAGCGACAACGGCTTGCCGGCGATCCAGCCGATCACCACAAGGAGCGGCAGCACAAACAGGGCAATCTGCCGATGCCGAGTGCGTTAGTAGGAAACACTACAGCTGTACAGGCAGTGACTGACTTGAACTGCCAGAACGGAGAGTGCGTCAGTAGGAGACGCCATAGCCGCGCAGGAGGCGACCCACTCGAGCTGCCAACGGCCACGGACATGGCAAGGTTGATCTTGTTCTTGTACGAGGCCGTGACGGCCGTGGCGTGCTCTGCGGCGTTGCTGACGACTGCGCGCGGAGAGACTTCAGTCTGAGTGCTACCTGAGACGCCTCTATGCTGTAGCCACGCACCTGGCAGCAGAATCAGACCGATAAAGGTCTTTGGCACTCCGTAGTTCTCGGAGACGCCCTCGATTGAGTCAACAAGCCACTCAGACGTGACGCCTACCAGAACTGTCGAAAGCACGAGTAGGCCGACGGCCACCGGGAGACTGAGAGTGACCTCCTCCTCCTCGCCCTCATCCTCGTACAGGTGCGTGTGCGTGCTGAGTTGGACTGCGAAAGCGGTGAGCGAAGGAGCAGCCGCGGTCTCGCAGCCGACGCACAGACGAGATAGCCGGCGTAGATGAGCAGCAGGATGATCGAGGCACCGCGGCTGACCTTGAGGATGTCGGCGCGCTCAAGCGCGTCCGACAGCGCTCCGCTCGTAGCATGGAAACCGGCGGGAATCAGAATCGTGATGACAGACATCGTGAGAGCGCCGGAGTTGAGGTTTGCGGCCGTCTACAGCGGGGTCAGTCAGGGGCCCGACTACTGTGGCCAGGGGAGGCGCACCATGAGGAACTCCTGCTCCGCTGCGAGGAAAGCAGCGTCAGAGAAGGGAATGAAGGTCCTACAGCGGCTGTTGCTCACAGTAGCGGAGGCCGCCGACGAAAAAGGACATGCCAAGCACCAGCAGGATGTTTGAGAGGATCGAGCCAATGAGCGACGTCTGCGTGATCACGAGCTGGCATTGGAACTGCGGCAGGAGGCTGTCAGCAAGCTCGAGCCCGCCTCGCGCGCTTGCCTGTACTTGCCAGTGCCAGGATCGCAACAATGAGCTCCACAGCGTTGCCAAGCGTCGCGTTCAGCAGGCCGCCGAGCGTCTGGCCAACGCGCAAGCTGATCTCCTCTGTGCCGTAGCTGAGCAGCGCAGCCAGCGGGATGATCGCGAGGAAGCTGATGATAAAGGTGACAAGGCCATTAGACGGCTTTGACTGGTCCAGTGCGAAGTGCAGCCTGCAGAAGGTTCCCGGCGGGTCAGAGGAGGGACGGGAGAGGTCCAGAGGGTTTGATAGAGGCGAAGCCTCAGTGGAGAAGAAGCCGGGGAGCGTGTGGAGCACTCACGCCCAGGAGACCGGGATGGCAAGCACAAGAACGTTGAGGGGGCTGTAGAAGATGACATTCTTGATCGACTGAATGTGCGAGGGTGCTGGCGCCAGCGGCTTGTCGGGCGTGAAGAGGCCCGTGAAGGAGCTGCGGCGGTGCGCATGAGTGATGCCCTGCGGCAAGAGGAGCGGCGAGGCTCGACTCACCGGAGCGGAGCGCGGTGCTGGTCGCTGGCGGCCGTCATGCGGCGCGGCGGCCCGTTGCCGCCGAGGCCCGCCGAGCTCTCGCCCGGCTGCATGGTGCGGCGGATGGGGCCCTTCTTCTCGACGGGCTTCTCGGCCTGCCGGCCCTCCTCGAGCGAGATGGTGCCGGTGCGCTTGGCGGGCAGCGCGGCCGCCTCGTCGGAGCGCTGCGTGGCCGTCTCGTTGCTCGCCTGCTCGGCGTCGTGCAGCGAGGCGGGCTCGGCGGTGAATGGCGCCATGGTGCAGTCGGTGCCGAAGGGTCAAGAGGTGCGAGCGAGTCGCTGGGAGGTCGTGGTGCGAGGCAAGGCGAGCCAAGCGACACGACCAGCTGATCGCCGGCACCACATTGCACACGGGCCTTCGAGGGGGCATTACGTAACCCAACACGAGAGGCCAGACCCCGGAGCATGTCTGCTGCATGACGCAGCGATGCCATCGGGCGCGGAGCAGGCGTCCAGTCGCAGCGGCGGCACAGCGCAGGAGGAGCGAGAGGCGCGGCATGCCTTCCCCTGCCACACGGCACGCGCACCGCCGCACCCGCACTGCGCGCCGCCGGCTGTGGGGCGCGGGCCGCCGGCGCGCCACGCGTGGGCCGCCGGCACGTGGAGCGAGGCGCTGCGTGCTGAGGCGGTGCAGCTTTTGCGCACCGCCGGCTCGAGCCCCTGGGCTTTGACTAGAGAGCTCATTTCAGACGCAATAGGCTCAGAAGTGCCTTCTACCAGGGCGGAAGAGGGGCTCATTCTGGATGAGGCCCCGAGGGGCTGTGCCACCTGTTCCGCCCTGTCGGGCTTCGAGCGGGCTCCTCACACATCTCGGTTGCAGCGCACAGCCGCGAAGCGCACCCGGCTGTCTCGAGCGGGACACCCTTGCCGCGCGACCACCGCGCGGCCTGCGCAGTGCTTTTTCACACATTTTGGTCACAACCTGCACAACCTCAATACTGGACCCGGGCGTCAAGCGAGCGAGAGAGGGCGTAGGAAGCTTGCATGGAGGTCACAGAGGCGAGGCGCCGTCTCTCGTGCGGGAAGAATTTCGCGCGCCGGAACCCGGATCTCTTGACGCTGCGCTGCTTCAGGGTGCTTGGCGCCGGCCTCGCTCCTTCCTCTCCACACCACGTCGCCATGTCCGACTCGCGCGCCTTCGCCTTCGGCAGCAGCAGCGTCTCGGGCGACTGGAGCCAGACACTGGCCGGCCGCGCCGACGCGCTGGCCGTCTACTCGGACGCCGTGCAGGAGCCGGACGTCGAGTGCTCCAATCTCGACAGCCTCTACTGCGGCAGCCAGCACGACGACACGGACCGGGCGGAGGCGCGGGTGCTGAGAGAGGACTTCTGCAGCTCTGGTAAGTGGCCAGCTCTTTGCCGCGGCCGGTCTGCTAGACTGCAGCTGTGTGTGTCACAAGACTGACCCGCACATCAGCACTCGTGGCGCACACGTGGCTCGGGCTGCACCAGGACAACGTCTCGCAGGGCGTCGACATCGACCTGGCAGCGCTGCGCTCCACGCAGCGCCTCTTTGGCGCACAGACCGTCAAGGTCGTGCAGTCCGCCGCCTTCTCCGGCGAGGCGTCGACCAGCGTGCTGCAGCCCGAAGCGGCGGCTCTGCAGGCGAAGGAGGCAGAAGCACCAGAAGCGAAGGGCGCGAGCTGGGCAGCAGGTGCAGCGAGTGAGCGCTTCGACCGCAAGCTGCAGAAGCAGAAGGAGAAGGCGGAGCGCAAGCGCGCTAAGGCTGGACCCTCGACCGCATCACAAACAAGGACAGAGCCACGCCTAACGCTCGTGCACGCCGACGTGCTCGACCTGCCGCTGCCCGCGTCGCCCTCGCAGCCGGCACTGCCGCCACCCGACCTCGTCGCCTCGCTCAACTACGCGCTCTGCTACTTCCACACGCGCGCCGGCCTGCTGGCGTATCTGGCGCAGGTGCGGCGCACGCTGCGGCCACGCACGGGGCGGTTGATATGCGACCAGTTCGCCGGGCCGACGGGCGGAGAGGTGTATGCCGAACAGGCGCCGCTGTGGGCTGCCTTCGAGCGCGAGCCGGGCTTCATGCGCCCAGCAGATCCGCGACCTCAGCTCTCCGAGGCGCCATTGCAAATCGTGCCGCCGCCAGCAGACGCGCTCGAGGATGCCGCCAGCCACACGCAGTGGCCGCGCGGCCAGCTCAAGCTGGTGCGCACGGGCGAGAAGGAGGGCGGCTTCGAGTACTGGCGCGAAGACGGGCCGATTGACTTTGCGACGAATCGCTTCCGCATGAGTCTCAGCATGCGCTTCTCCGACGGTGAGTGCCGCCGTCAACGCACGTGCTGCGGCGTGCTGACGCCTCGCAGGCTCGTGGCTGCGCGACGTCTTTGCGTACGACTTCCGCATCTGGTCGCTCTGCGAGGTCGTCGAGGCGATGAAGGAGGTCGGCTTCTCCGACGTCTACACCTACGTCCTGCCGCGCACGGCACGCGACGACCTCACGCACGCCGCCGACGGCAACGCAGCGAAGGCGCCTCGCTCGCGCTCCTCGTCTGCCTCGTCGGGCTCTGACGCAGCACCAATGGAGGACGGCGACGGCATGGACGACATGGCGCACCTCACGCGCATGACGGAGCGCGAGGAGGCCGCAAAGGTCAACTACCAGCAGCTCAAGGCCGGCGACAAGCTCTTTGCCTCAAGGTCCTTCGCCAGTGAGCACGCTCGACCTCGCTCAGAGCTCACACACACTGACGCTGCCCAGCCTACATCGTCGCCTGTGCGCCGCCACAATAGATCTGCTGCGAATGATGAAGCCCATGTGTGATGCATTGATGGTGTCGACCAGACGGGAGCTGAGGTATCTATGGGTGCGCGCGGCATTGCGCTGGGAGCGAAGGTGATCCGTGTGCAGGCATGGCCCTTCCTTTACAGGAGGACAGCGCCGGCACCGGCGAGGCCGGCGGCGAGCATGACGACGGGGCCGAACATGCTGGGCACGTTGACGCTGCCCACGGCGGCGTCGGTGCGGCCGGCCGACGAGGTGGCAGACGTGGCGGCCGACGAGGCGCTGCTCACGATGCTCGAGCCGCCGCTGGCAACCGTCGAGACGATCGACGAGCCGCCGCTGACGATGGTCGTGGCCACGCCCGTGGCGACGCTGGCGGCGCCGCTGGTCGCCTCTGTGGAACGAGAAGTGTGTGAGCACGAGCGGGTGAGCGCGCAGGACAGAGCCACGCACCGCCGAAGACCGAGGTGGCGCCCGTGGCGATCGTCTGGCCGACGCTGGCCGCACCGCTGGTGGCCTCTGCAGGAGAAGGATGAGCAAGAAGCACGCGGGCTGCCACTGCAAGCTCGACAGAGCCACTCACGGTCAAAGACGGACGTGGCGCCGGCAATGCCGCTGCCAATGGCACCGCCGATGCCCTGGCCCTGCACAGAGGCGGCGGCGAGCACGACGAGGGCGGCGACGGGGAAGCGGAACTGCATGGTGGGCGGTAGAGGAGGTGGGTTGGTGGGCGGTGAGAGAGCTGAGAGTGTGCGAGGCGAAGAGATGCAAGTGCAGAGAGACGAGTTGGTGGGAGGAAGAGAAGCAAGCTGCGACGCTTGGCTGCCTCTTAAGCACTCTCGCAGCGAGGCCCGAAGAGCCCCTCTCGCTGCACAGCCGAGGAGCACTTTGTGCCGCACTTGCTGCATCTCGCGGCGGCGGCGCGCGATGACGTGGGTGTCACCGCATGCGCGTCTTGGCTCGCCGCGCAAGCCGCACGGCACCGCACCGCCGGCGCCCGGCGTCTGCTCCACCTCTGGAGCAGACAAGAGGCGGGCCAGCTGCAGCTCACGCTCAAGGCCAAGGACTGGCAGCGAGCGGCAGCGGCGGAGTGGGCGTCGCCGTTAATGCCGAGGGCTGCGGCTGAATATCCGGCCCTGCGTAGCAGTGCGGGGGACGCTCGACAGCCGCGAGGCGGTGCTTCGGGCCTGTCGCGTGGCCTGCGCACCGCCACATGCTGGTCGCGGGGATGCGTCGCGCCTCTCCTGCGGCTCACCGCCCTCGCCTCGCCATGACATGTCGCACCCTCGCTGCCCACTGCCGCATTCTTGGACACTGCATCTGGCTGCTGCGTGCTGTAGCTCGCCGCCTGACCGCGGACGGGGCCCTCACGCTGGCTCGCTCGCATCAGGCCCGGAAGATGCTCAGGCTGCAAGCACATGATACAGATGTTCCCCTCGGCGCCGCAGAGTGTGCACGCGCGTCTGCAGATACATGCCACGGAGGGCATCCGCTGCGGCAGCCTAGTGCTGCGGCCCGTCGCCGAGGTCCAGGTAGCGCCGGAAGGTAAAGCCCAGGAAGGCGAGGTCGCGCGTGGCGCCAGCGCCAGTGTCTGCGCCGCTCGGCACGTCTGGCACGTCCTGGTAGCTGGAGAGAAGGGGCGAAAGTCAGCATCGGGCTCTGCAGCACGCCACATGCGCACGCACTCCTCGGTCGGGAAGTAGCTCGTGTCCGTCACCGACTTGAGGTGCGGCACAAACGGCGCATCGATGTTGCGGATCGAGTTCCAGTCGACGCCCGTGAAGAACGGGTGCTCGCGGATCTCCTGTGCGCCGTTGCGGCCCAGGCGGTTGTCCGGCGCACAGATGAGTCTGCAGCAAGGAGTCAGCATCTGTGCAGGCATGCCGCTCCTGCGGACTCACCTCCGGATGAGGTCCTCCGCCTCGGGACTGAGGTGGATATCGTCGGGGAACTGCAGCGTCTCGCGCCAGGCGAGAATCTTGCGGTACGTGTCGTGCGCGTTCTCCGAGCAGAACGGCGGATAGCCGCAGAGACACTCGAACATGATGGCGCCCAGGCTCCACCAGTCGCACTCGTTGCCGTAGCCCTGCTGCAGGAAGATTTCGGGCGCAATGTAGTCGGGCGTGCCGACGGTCGAGTAGGCCTGCAGGGACGTGTCAGCAGAGCAGTGACGCGAGCCTGCTCGCTAATGCTCACGAGCTTCCGCCGGTTGGCCTTCCACGTGGCAATGGCATCCTTCGAGCTCAGCGTGAGCGTAATCGAGTTGACGGCCACCGAGTTGCGCCCGCTCTGCTGCTGCTGGTTCGTGTTGCCATCGAACAACCGCTGGTAGTAGGCGCTATCGTGCTGCTTGTGGAAGCCCGTCGAGAGGCCAAAGTCGGAGAGCTTGATGTGGCCCTTGGCGTCGATGAGGATGTTGTCCGGCTTGATGTCGCTGCGCAGGGACCCGTCAGTCTAGCCACCAGACGACGCTCTGTGCGGGCTGCTCACCGGTGGATGAAGCCGAGCTTGTGGATGCCCTCGAGCGCCAGCACACACTCGGCCATGTAGAAGCGCGTCACGTCGTGCGAGAACGTGTCGTACTTGATGAGCATCGTCATCAGATCGCCGCCGGGCAGGAACTCCATCAGCAGGTAGAGATACTGCGAGTCCTGGAACGAGTAATAGAGCTGCACGACCCATGGGCTGTTGCTCTCCGCCAGCACGTCGCGCTCTGCCCGCACGTGCGCGAGCTGGGTCACCCACGTCAGCCAACGTCGCTTCGCACGCAGCCAGGCGCGCTCACCTGGTCCTTCTTGAACATCTCGCTCTTGCGCAGCGTCTTCATGGCATAGATCTTGCCCGTGTCCACCTTCTGCACCAACCGCACCTCGCCGAACGCGCCCTTGCCGATGACCTTCACTGTCCGGAAGTCGTCGAGGCCCAGGCGCGTCCGCCGCAGGCGCAGAAAGCCGCTCTCGCGCCGGCCCAGCGACGCCAGCTGGCGCGACTTGCGCTCCTCGGAGAGCGGCGCGCCGTCTGGCGGTGCCGCCAGGCGCTTCTCCAGCTCCACACGCCTGCAGAGGCCGGCGTCAGCCTCAGACATAGCCTGCAACAGCACAGCGACGCACCGGTTGCTGCGCTCAATCGCCTGCTCGACGGCGACCTTGTAGAAGTGCTCGAGCTTCAGCTTCGCGCCCGTGGCAGCGTCCAGCGTCGTCTTGTTCATGCCGTCCGTGCTGCGCTCGAAGTACACGTAGTCTGCGCCCTTATCGCTCGCGGCGCTGGGACTGCCCGTCGGCTGCGAGCCGCTCGGCGAGGTAGACGCCACGCCCTGCATGGCCTGTGGCGGCTGCGGCGATGCCGAGCGACCGGGGCCCGGCGAGCGGGGCGCATAGGCAGCTGCCGCTGCGGGCGCAGACGTGGGCGAGCCGTTGGGCGAGCGCGAGTACTGCTGCTGCGGCGCGAGGCCCTGCTGCTGGGCGTGCTGCTGCTGCAGCTGGTACTGCATCTGCGCCTGCTGTGCCGCCATGAGCTGCTGCTGGTGCAGCGCAGCGGCCTGCGACATGGCCGGGTGCTGCAGCTGCGACGGCGGTGCCTGTGCTTGATGTGCGAGCGCCGCGTTCGCAATCTGGTTCGACAGCTGCGACGGGTACTGCTGCGCATATGCTGTGGAGCACGAAGGGGTGTCAGCAGACCGCAAGGTATCTCACGCAGGCGCAGTAGCGGACGCGCACGGATCCCGTCGGCTGCCAACGGTGCAACACGGGAGACGCACGGGCCGTCGCGGCGCAGCGGCAGGACTTCGCAGCGCAGGCGAGCAAAGGTCTGCTGTGGTTGGGCTATGCAAGCAAAGCCTGAGGCGGCAACGCGATCCCGACCCAACGCGCGAACACGTCTGGCTGCGACAGGCACGCTCGGTGTTGCACTCCGAGTGGCAGACCCCGTGCCCGCGGGCCACACAGCTCAACGTCTGCTTGCGACTCACCCTGGTTGGCAGCAAAGCCGCCCTGGCCCGCGACGCCGTAGCCGTAGCTCTGGCTCGGCACCTGTCCCTGACCGTACATCATCTGCTGCTGGCCGCCGCCGCCCTGCTGCTGCTGGGCGTACTGCTGCTGCTGGTGCGGCTGCGCAAAGGCGCCGTACGCCATGGTCTGCGGCTGCGAGACATGCGGCATGCCCTGGCCGCCGTTGCCGCGCTGCTGCTGCTGTTGCTGCTGCTGCGCATACATGTTCTGCTGCTGCTGCTGCTGCTGCTGCTGCTGCTGCTGCTGCTGTGCCCCGCCAGGAGGCCCGGGCGAGGGCCCGCGGCCGGGCGGAGGGCGGTACGCCATGCTGCTGCGGTGGCGGGCGACACAAGCCTGCGAGAGGGACGCGAGACGAGGGAAGAGTAGCCGAGCCAGGCTGCGGCCGACGAGGTGGAAGGTGGGTGACGGACGCAGGGGTGCGAGAGTGGGAAGACAAGGCGGCTCGAGAGCGGATGGCGAGCGCGCGAGGCGCGGCGCGCGCGCGGCGGCGGCGGCGGCGGTGCGCATCGTGCGGCGCCCGTGCATGCAGCCTCAGCCGCAGCGCCTCGCTGGCGCCTCTGCCCGCCTGCGGCTCCCACGGCGGCGGGGTGCGCGTCTCGCGCTCGCCGGCCGCCGCCGTGTGCTTTGCGCCTTGCGCCTCACCACGGCTCCCTGCAGGAAGGGCCTAAGCAGAAGGCTCCGACGCCGACGCGCGCACAGCAGCAGCGACGCTTGGCTTTGGCCGTCCTCAGCAAGCCTGTCGCTCGCTTATGCGGTCGGACAGGACCTTGTGTGCACCTTGCCGCAGCAGCACACGCCAGAGGCTTCAGCCGCGTCCGGCGTGCGACACGCGGCGACAAGAGGGCAGATGCATCGGCCATTAGCACTCGCACACGCTCACACTTGGACGCATCAGCCCGTCCACCGTCGCATGCACACGCTGCCATTGCACTCAGAGATCCTCGACCTGGCCCTTGCTCCGGCGATCCCAGCGCAGGCCAAACACGTCAGGCCGGCTGTAGTGACCCATGGCGTCAAAGTCCATCTTCGCCCGCACAATGTCGGCCTTGTCGACGAGCGCCGTAAGGATGCCGGCCTCGTTCCACAGCGGGCCCGCGAGGAACTCGCCCAGCGGGCCCACGATGCACGAGCCGCCCTTGGTCACGATCTGGTCCGGCGCTGCGTCTGGCAGGCGGTTTCAGACACGTCGACTGGCGGACAGGCACGGCTCACTCACCCTTGAGCTCTGGATCGGCGCTCGGATAATCGTCCGGGAAGTGCGCTCTTGTATTGAATTGATTGACGCTGACGACGAAGCAGCGGCCCTCTTGCGCGATGTGCTGACAGGCCTGTGTCAGAGGCGCGAGCTGCTCGCCGAGCAGCGCTGCTCACCTGCATGGACGGCGGCCACGTCTCTCTGGCGTCCGCCGTCGGGGCGCAGTACAGCTCGACGCCCTCGGAGTAGAGCGCCGCACGGTGCAGCGGGGCGTAGTCTGCTCGACATATCAGCTCTTGGCTTCGTCGCGAAGGTCCGGCTCGACTCACTCTCCCAGCAGATGCAGGCGCCGACGCGGCCAGCCGGCGTGGGCACGACTCGAATGCCAGCACCATCGCCGAAGCCCCACACGAGGCGCTCGGTGCCCGTCGGCATGAGCTTGCGGTGGGCCACGAGCAGCTCGCCCGACGGCGAAATAGTGAGCGACGTACAGTACAGCGTGCCAGCGCCGCCGGGGTTCGCCGAGCCGTACTCGCTGCGCCGCTTGCCCGTCTCGGGACAGTCGCAGCGCTCCACGACGCCCACGACGAGCGTGGCGTTGTTCTCGCGCGCCACGCTGCGGATCTGCGACATGACCGGGCCCTCGGTGTCGGCGACGGGCACGCAACTCGAGTGGTAGCGCTCGAACCAGGCGCGGCCCTCGGGCGTGCGAGAGCCGATCTTGGCGCCGAATGTGCTGCCTCGAGGGTACGCGGAGAGGAACGCCTCGGGAAAGACGATCAGAAGCGGCGCTGTCGCGTGCAGGGCCCTCGCCTTCGCGGCCGCCTTGGACGCCAGGTCGCGCAGCGCCACCAGCGCACCCTGCAGGTCAAATGACGGCGGCGAGTCCTGCACGGCGGCAAGAAGCACCGGCTGCGCTGCTGATGGCTCGCTCATTGTGGAGGTGTGATGGAGGCAAGGCAAGCGGTCTGGGATGGCAGCGCCGCACTTGATGGGCGGCTCATCGGGCCGAGTCAGGCCGCGTCCGTGCGCGCTGCGGGGTAGCGCGCCGCGTCGGTGACCGGCACGCCGCCCGCCGGACAAGCACCCCTACCTCTGCTCCTCACAACGTCTATAGATTGGTATGCCGCTGCTGGATATATACGATGCGCTACAGACTCGCAGTAACGATGCGTAGGCCGCCGTAGTCGGCCAGGCGGAAGCGGCCGCCGCAGATGGTGCCGTTGCGGCCGGGGCACGAGATGAACATCCGCGTGCGCGAGACGCCCAGGCGCTTCGAGAGGGCCTCGACCTGCGGCGCTAGAGTCAGCCTGGGCAGGATCAGTGCGAAATGTGGTGGAGCTCACCACGACAGGCGAGAAGGCCTCGCTCTCGACGAAGACGAGGTCGACGGTGATCGTCGGGAAGCTCTGCGCGAGGTCAGTATGGGCTGGACAGGGCCGCGCAGCGGGCGCACCTCGTCCACGAGCTGGCTGTTGGCCTCGAGCTCCGAGGGAATGTCCACCACCTCCGAGAAGCAGTGCACGAGAATGACTCGGGAGCATGCAGGCTCGTTCTAGGCGGGCTGCGAGTTAGCTGCCGCACCTTGAAGCCGCATAGAGAGGCGCTCACCTGCTGCACGTAAGTCAAAGCTCGCACGAGCGCCGAGATGTCGTCGGTCGCAGTGAAGAAGACGACTGGCTCCCGCCGCGAGCGTCGAATCCAGCGGATCACTGCCTTGCGAATGGCGTTGGTGCGAGGCGTGATCCACCGCACCTGCGCCTTGACGAAGCCCGGCGGCGTAGGAAGGATGCGCTGCTGCGCTGCCCACAGCAGCAGGCGCACCAGGCGCACCTTGTCCGCCAGCGCGAGGAGGACGATCAGGATGACGCCGGCATAGATGGCCGTCTGGCCCAGCACGGCAGGTGCGATCGCCGCGTTGCCGGCGATGGCGATCACGCCGACGCAGAAGGCGAGCAGCACGACCAGCAGCGGAGTGCGCGGCGAGCGAGGCAGCGTGGGTCGGGAGTGAAGCTGCGCGGCGTCAGCGCGACGCAAGTTGAAGCGCAGAGGCGGCACGACTCACCAGTGTGAGGAGCGACAGCGGGAAGAACGACATGACCAACAGGAAGACGATGCTGACTGAACGTGGAGGTGAGCTGTAGGCTCTGACAGGAGGGGCTGCTGCACTCACAGACGCTCGACATGATCGTCAGGTTGAAGTTGGACGTGCCGCACATGATCAAGCAGAGCGCGAGGAAGAGCACAATCTGCGGCCAGCGAGCACCTGTGCGCGGCAAAGCGCGCTGGAAGAAGTTCGCCAGGATCTTGTCGTTCACCAGGGCCTGCGCAGTGCCCATGCAGCCGACGGTACCCGAGATGATGCCTCCGGCAAGCACGATGACCGCATCGACGATCACGATGTACTTCAGCCAGCCGCCCGAGAGCGCGCCCAGCGACGCGAGGATGTTGGGCGTGCCGATGATCGAGCTCATCGGCATGGTCGCGACGATGAGCAGGGCGAGTGCCGGCTCCGTGAGCAGCACGGAGATGTGTAGGTTGCGCAGCGCGCGCGGGAAGCCGCCTGCCTTGACTGCGCTCACGTACGACGGCGTGCTCTCCACGCCCGTAAGGCCGACGAAGGCGATGCAGGTGCCATCGAAGACGATGCGCGCCACGTTGCGGCCGCTCGTCAGATCCACGCCCTTGGCGACATTCCAGTTGTCCACGAGCGTGGCGTTGCCCAGCTTGGCCCACGTCACGATGCCGGCGACGATGAGCATGGCCATCGTCGTGAGGTGGATCGTGACCATGCCAAGCGCCACATTGGCGCTGTCTTTGACGCCCAGCATGCAGATGGCCGCCATGGCGACCAGCAGCACGATCGTCATGATACGCATGTCCAAGCCCGGCACCTCGGCGGAGATGTAGCTGGCGGCGGTGCCAGCAGACACGGCGCCAGTCGCGACGGCGTCGAGCAGGTAGAAGGCGCCCGCCACGAGCTGGAGTTTTGGTCAGTACTGCCGCATCTACAGCAGTAGGTCGACTCACTGCCAGCGTGCGCCCGCCAGAGTTGATCATATACGTGTAGCTACCTGCGTCCGCACTCGAGAGCGCAGAGGACAGCTCGCAGAGGACGGGACGGAAGGGCCAGAGCAGCATGGCGGCGATGAAGAGCGACAGCGGGCTCCAGATGGACGCGACAGCCAGCACTGCTGGCAGCGAGTAGAACGCCGAGCCGGTCACCGCATTGCCTGCCAGCGCAAAGGCGCGCCACTGCCCGAGCTTGGGCTGCGGCAGCGCTGCGATGGTTGCAGCAGCGGAGTTGAGCTCGGCCTGGGACAGCACCAGCATGCTCATGCTGCCCCAGCCAGCGAACTCCCATGCGTGCGTGCTCGGCACGCCGTCCGCGTCTTCCGGCTCGACGCCGCGCGAGATCTTGAGGTTCCGCCCGCCATGCGCTCCTGCCTCCGGGGCAATCGGGTCGCTAGACGGCAGTACCTCATCTGGATCGAAGGGGCGGATGTGCGAGACTGCCGGGTGGCCAGCCTCGATGCGCTCAGAGGTCGGCGAGACGATCCTGCGCTTCCTCTGCCGCCGCACGATCGTGGCAACTGCGAGCACACTCAGTGCTGTGCCTCCCCTACACAGCTGGGCGCTACTCACACTGAGACTCGGCGAACGATGGCGGGTACACAGAGTCCGCGTCACCATCATCCTTGCCCTCCTCCGCAACTGCGTCTTCGTCCACGATCTCGTCGCTGTGCTTCGTGTCCTTCTGCGGCCGAAAGGCCAGGCTGGACGGGCCCGCCTCCCAGATGGGGCCAAGGCCGATTGGGTAGTCACCTGCGTCCGACTCGCCCGTCGGCGCAGCGCTGCGACCGGGCATGCGGCGAATGGGGCTGCCGCGCGAGAAGGCCTGCTGGGCCCAGACGCGGCGGCGCGTGGGCGTGGCGCCGGCCTGCAGCGGATGCGACGTCGACGTGCCCGGGCTGCTGCTCAGGCGCGCCGTGCCGCGGTGCTCGGGCGTGGCGGGCGGATGGCCGGACGCATCGTCGGCGCCGTCCCAGACGTCGTCTGCGGAGCCCATTGCGGGAGCGGGCGAGCGGTGCGGGGGAGGAGGTGGTGTGCGAGAAGGAAGAGGCTCGCGCGCAGAGAGGAGAGAAGGGCGCCAAGCCACACAACTTTTTCCCGCGGCGTGAACGCGCGCCAAGAGAAGGCGCCGCGTGTTGGTTCGGTGCGCGTCCGCCAGAGGCAGCCTGCGTCCCACTGCCTCGGGCACGCCTCGAGACTGTCATCGCCTGAGACAAAAATGCGAGCGGCTGCACTTTATCAAGCAGGAGCGCAGACTGTGGGTCTAGATATAAATTCACTGGGGATCAGCACTTGCGCGCCTGTGATTCCAGGTGTCAGCCGAGACTCGAGAGCGGGCTCCTATGCTGGCCTCACGATGCCATGTCGCAGTTCTTCGGCCCTGCACTAGAGTCAGCAGCTGGCAGAATGTATGACGGGAGCAGGAGAAGTCTCACCGGTACTCGAACCTGCGCAAGGGCCAGGCCAGGTCAGCGCGAGTCAGGTGACACTCGGCGGTGGACTCACATGATGTGCACGGCGCAGTAGAGCGCACAGCAGGCGGCCGCCAGGAAGCGCAGGCCTGGCATCGAGGGTCAGCCCTTCTCTCGAAGACGCTGCCGGTGCAATACGCACCGTTCCAGGTGCCGAGCAGCTCCTGCCACATGTACTTCATGCCCTCGGTGCCAATCGCAAAGCCGACCAGGTTCGCCGTCATCATGAGCAGGACATTGAGCACGCCGCCGAACGCGCACACGTGGCGGTACCACCACTGCGTGCCGAACTGCGCAGACAGTCAGCCAGGCTGCAGGCGAGAAGCCACGTCGAGACTCACGCGCTTCGCCGGCAGCAGCGCGGCGGCGGCCAGCTCAGGCACGATGAAGGCGGTCACGAGCCAGCCCCACGTCAGCAGCTTGAGGCTAAGGTCGTGCCACAGCGCGACGAAGGTGAAGACGAGGAGTGTAGCCGGGATGAGGTTCTTCGAGCCGCCGACAGGCACGTAGATGTAGCTGGACAGGCGAGGTGAGCATGTACCGTGCTGAGCGCAAGCCACGCCACGCACCGGACAGTCCAAAGGTTGTAGCTGCGGTGCCAGCTGCGCCAGAAGCCCATCGTCGAGTAGTTATTCGCCATGCAGCGCACCATGTTCTCCGGCGGCTCGACGCCGTCCAGCAGCGCCCAGAGGCGGAAGAAGCGCCAGGGGATGAGGAGCTGGGCAGGTGCGTGTCAGCGAGCAGCACAGCATGGCGCCTGCTCGAGACACACCTTGAGCCACACGATGATCAGGTTCCAGAAGCCGATCATGCTCAGCTGCATCGGCGTGCTGCCGGCCCACGCCTTCGAGTCCTTGATGGCGTTGACGTAGATGTAGTGCAGCACAAGCTCCATCGTCAGCAGGCAGGCGGCGAAGCGCACGGCGTAGCTGATGCGCGAGGCCCGCGTCAGCCGTGGCGGGTTGTCGAGCTGCCGTACAAAGTCGTTGAAGCCCATGATGGGGCCGGCAATGAAGAGCGGCGGGTAGCAGACGTAGAGCAGGTAGTGCCCGAACGAGTACTTTTCCTGCGACAGCGACGTGGCTGCACGCTTGCGCGGCTCCGGCTCGGGCTGGTGCGGTGAGGTCAGATGCTAAGCGGCTCGGGAGCGGTCGAGTGCGCTCACCTCGTAGAGCTTGGGCGGTGCCTGCCGTGCCCAGTGCAGGTCGAGCGCGTACGAGACGAGGCGCAGCATGGAGATATTGAAGTTGATCTGCCAGCGAGGCAGCAGGCCGGGGTAGTCATCCTGCAGTGTCTCGCATCAGCGTGTGGGGACGGCAGCGATGCCGCCGCACTCACAAGCCAGCCGAGCTGCCAGCTCAGATCCCGCCAGGGGAAGCCGTCATTCCAGTGCACGGCCGCCAGCGTGCCGATGTTGAACGTCCAGATCAGCACGGGCGCAACGCGCGTGCCGCCAAACGAGCGTGCGATGGTGTAGTTGATGAGCAGCACGAGTCCGAGCTTGAGCGCGTTGGTGCCGTGCAGCGCAATGACGAAGACGGCAGTGAAGACTGCAAGGAAGAAGCGGCGCTGCGGCGCAGCAGTGCTCTGGCTGTGCCCTGAGCTGCGCAGGCTGGGCACCTGCGCCGCCTTGCCGCCGCCGAAGCGCGAGGAGAGCCACGAGAGCGAACAGTATACGGCCAGCAGCACGGCGAGCAGCGGAAAGTGCTCGCGGAACGTCTTGTACTGGAAGTCTGAGTCGTCCTGCGGCACCCCGCGTCAGCTTGGCAGAGCCTGTGCATGGCCCGCTCTGCTCACTCGTAACCGCCCAAAGAGCCAGCCTTGACGCAGGTGCGAGCGATAGCGCGGGAAGTTCGGCGCTGACGCTGCCGGCATAGGTGTGGCATTAGCAGCAGCAGTGGCGGCCATGCACGCAGCATTGTCCAGGCCCGTTCCCCATCACTTGTATGTCTTGCCTCTCCTTCGCCTCCTCTGAGCCGAGCACTTCGACGCTGCAGCTGATGTGGAGGCAGCGACGGGACTGCAGCCTCTACCGCCCGACTCGCTCCGCAGACCCGCATCACTCACGCTGGCTCAGCTGCACGGGCACATACACCATGTAGGGAACCGCGGCGCACACGATGGCGGCATAGAGGCGGTACTCCCACGTGCCCCATCGCGACGGCTTGGGCAGCTCCGTCGCCATGCTGCGGCGGCGCGCCTCTCGCTGCTCGACGCGCAGCTGCGCCGCCGAGGCGCTCGACGCCGGCGCCGGCTCCGTGTCGATGGTGAGCGCTGCGGCGCCGCGCGGGCCCAGCAGGCGGTGCGCGAGCGAGTGCTCGGACGGCGCGGCGGGCATGCGCGAGCCGGACGGCACGGCCAGGCTGCCCATGCGGCCGTGCCGTGCGCCACTGCTGCCGGCGGGCGACGCGGGCGGGTAGTCCATCGTCGTCGAGTCGAGACGCAGCGTGTGGACGGGAAGCATGGAGGCACGGACGGCGAGAGGAGCGCCCACTCGAGGCTGCGCGGCGGGGTCGATGCGGGGAAGAAGCAAGGCGCCGCGCCAAGCGCGCGCGAAGCCGAGCGAGCCGTGTGCGCGCCGTGCGAGATGCGTGCGCCAACAGCGGCGGCCGCCGGGCGCGTCGCGGTGTTGGTCTCGCGTCGCCTGGAAACGCGCGCCCCACCACTCTGCGACACCTCACAAGCAAGCATTGGTCAGATCAAACCCCCACACTGCTGACAGAGAGATCACGATGGTAGATTGAAGGTGTGTGTAGGACAGGAGACGGGAAGATGAGACGGGCTGGAGCTAGACATGGGACTCGACGGCACGCGTGGGCGGAAGGGGCCGGTGCGGTGGGCTAGAGAGCGATGCTAGATCGGCTACGACGCGCGCTGCAGCAGGTCGGGACGAGCCTGAAGGGCTTGCGGCGAGCAGGCCCTGCCAGGTCGAGTAGACGGCCGGACGGATGCTGCGAAGCGGCTTGTTGGGCTTACGCAGAGTTGCATGGCAGCATGTCTCCGCCGCCGTGTCCTGGATGCGGAGCGAGCTCGACGCATGTTGGGCGCGAGACTGGCGGAGCGTGCTTAAATGCTGGCTTGAGATGTTGTGGACCACCGCGGTGGTGGACCTGGACGACGAGAGCTTCGACGGGTGGATGACGAGGCATTCCTCACTCAGCCCGAGCGGCGGAAGAGGCGGCGGATGACCTTGTTCTCCGACGTGGTCTTGTCGGGCTGTGCGTTCTTGAGCACGCCGGGTGCGTGTGCTTGACCGTTGCCGCCGGCGCCGAAGCGGCGCAGGAAGGCGGCGACGTCCTGGTCGTACTCGAACGACTTGGCATCGGCGGCGTCGCGCGCCGGCGGCGCAGAGCGTGAGGCGCTGGGCGCAGCCGTCTTGGCCGGCTTGGACGCCTTGGCGGCGGCCTTGCTGGCCTTTCCCGGTGCCGAGACACGCAGCGGAGCGCCGGCGACGGACATGCCCGAGGTGTGGGCGCGCAGGAAGGCGGCGACGTCGGCGTCGTAGGAGAAGGCCTTGGGCGACGACGACGAGGAGAGCAGAGGCGCAATGGAGGCGCCGTCCGAGGCCGTCATGCTGCTGTTGCGGCTCGAGGTGCGCGAGAGAGAGGCGGGAGTGATGCGAGACATGCTGGGCTGTGAGGTGTGGTGTGTGGGAAGAGAGGGCGAGGCTCGGAGGGGGCGTGCTTAAGTAGACGCAGCGCGACGTCGAGGCGGGCGCCAGACACCATGCCTCCTCGGGCAGGCCGGCAGTCTACCTGGCGCTTGCGCAGCGCTGCCATGGCCGGCCGAGCGAGGCGATGCGAGGTGACTCTCGTTGACTGCGCAGCGACGGCCAGCTCCGCGCAGCAGTAAGAGTGTCGTTGCGCACGGTGCGCCGTCGTTGCCCGGCCTGCGATGGCGTGCAGCTGCGGAGGCGTGGGAGATGCTGCCGCTCCGCCCTCTCCGCCGTCCTGCACGCCTCGGCGCCCTGACGCAGCCTTGCTGCTGCCGCTGTGTGAGCGACGCGCGGCCCGCTGACGCGGCCCCCTCACGAGCCCAAACTCGGACAGCGGACAGCGTGAGCGGTTCAGGCACGCATACAGGGAGCAACTTTGCGATCGGGATGCGGCTGGCCGGCAAAGCACGCGCCGCAGCGGCAGATGGGCGGCGCTGTGGAGGCCCTATCGCAGGCGCCCAGCGTGGCGCTCCCCACGCCGCGTCGCCTGCTCCGCTTGGCCGGTGCAGCGCTTGGTGTCCTGCGCACCCGGGGCCCTGACTCTGAGCTGCGGCTCCGCCTTGCACCCCTCCATCGACGGCCGCGGCCGCGGGAGTGACGAGCTAAACACGGCACGCTCCGTCGCGGCATGCCCTTAGCACGCCCCTGATGCGCCTGGCCGGGCAATGCCGAGCGCGGCGCCATTGCGTCGCATGGTGCGTCTCGATGCGCAGCAGAACGGTGCGCAGCAGCGAGGCATGTGGGGCGACATGCCGCAGCAGATGCGAGCGGGGCGCAGCGGAGGCGTGCGGAGGCGTTGCTGCGGCTGCGCACGCTGGCTGCGCGCCCAAGCTCCGATCTCGCTCCGCTGTGCTGCGCAGCTGCTGCGGCTGGGGCTGCATCTATCGTATGGCGAAGGTGGAGTGAGCCTCGAGAGGGGCATGCTGCCGCTCTGCAGCTCCGAGATGCCTCGCGGATGCAGCGCGTGCAGGCACCAAGCGCCGCCCATGCGCATGACACGACGTCTGCGTGCTTTCCGGGCGCCGCCGCGCCGTTGCCGGGCGCACGCCTTCGCCTGCAAGGCACTCCCGCTCGTTCATGCCCCGCGGGCACGAGTCATCGTGACGCTGTCGTCGCGACAAGGCCTGCGCTTCTCCCGCGTGCCGGTCTTGGTGCGCTCTCGCCGCGACGCAGACTTGCCTGCTTGCCTTGGCTTGCAGCATCAGTGGTCCAGCAGCGAGGGCATCGGAAATAGCACGGCAGGCGGTCACACTGGCTTGCCTTCGCTCGACGGCTGTCTGCGCGGGCACCGCTCCGCCATGCCACTGAACCCCACCTCCTCGCTCCGGACCACAGCATGCTTCAGTCGGACGGCATTCCGATTTCGTATAGCAAGCGGGGCATGAGGCAGGACGAGCAGCGGAGCGGTATGAGCAGAGGACTCTGCGGAGAGAGCACGGCAGGGGGAAATGGGATATGCGTGACGTGCCTATGGCAGATATGGAAGCAGAGCGGGGAGTGGAGGAGCCTCAGATGCGAGCCTCACGCACGACGGCGTCGGCGCCGACGGGCCGCTCGACGCCGAGGTCCTTTGCGACGTTGCGCGAGACGTAGCGTGCCGACGACATGGTGCTGATCATCGGGTTGACGCCCGTGGCCTCGGGCAGGATGGAGGCGTCGGCGACCCAGAGGTTCTTTGCGCCCCATACGCGGCCCTCGGGGTCGCAGGCGCTGTGCGACGGCTTGCCGCCCATGCGGCACGAGCCCATCTGGTGCGCCGAGCCGATCGTCGTCCACTGCGGGCGCGCGCCGGCCTTCTCGACCTTGGCCTGCCAGGCCTGGAATTCCGGGTCGAGCAGATTGCGCGACACGGCGTTCGCCGGCGTCGACGTCGACGGCAGCGCCGTCGTCTCCGGCGGCACATCGTCGCCGACGGGCCGGCCGTGCTGGCTCAGCACCGGCATGAACGGCTCGACGCCCGTCTGCACCGTGGCAATCTCGCACGCGCCGGCCATCATGTGGATCTCGGTGGCGCGCAGCAGGCCCTGCAGCAGGCTGGCCTGGTCGTGCTTGCTGATCGTGTAGTCCATGCGCGCCTGGCCCTCGCCGTCGACGAACACGCGGCCGCCGTCGCGGTCGCGCGTGATGCAGATGATGGTGAAGCTGTGCGAGTAGCGCAGCATCTTCTTGCGGTGCTCCTCGGCGCTCTGCCAGTTGCTGAAGGCGGCGTGGATCGAGGGGCTCGAGGCAATGACCTCGAGCTTGCAGCCCCAGCCCTCGGCGTCGACGAGCTCGGCGGCGTTCGACACCATCGTCAGCAGCGATCCCTCCCACGGCTTCACCGGGAAGTCGTAGTAGCCCACGACGACGGACGTCGGGTGCAGGTGCAGGTTGCGGCCGATCTGCTTGTTGTAGCTCAGCTCCGGCGTGCGCTGCAGCACCGCCGGCGTGTTGACACTGCCCGCCGACACGACGACGCCGCGGTTGGCGCGGATGGTGACGTTGCGCCCCTCGCACACGGCGTACGCGCCGACGGCCGTGCGCTTGTCCTTGCCCTCCATGATGAGGCGCCGGATGTCCGTGTTGATCATGAAGGCCGCGTTGCCCGTCTCGGCGGCGTCGCGCAGCCACGTCACCGTGCCGCCCTGCTTGTGTCCGCTGACGCAGCCCAGCTGGCACTTGCCGCAGTAGTGCACATGGCCGCCCGTGTTCTGCGGCACGGCGTCGCACGGCTGGCCCGCGCGCTGAGCGCCGAGTGCCAGCAGCGAGTTGGCGACATTGTGCTTGATGTTGGCCGTGCTGCAGCCCATGCGGCCGCACACGGCGTTGAGGTCGTCGGTGAAGGCCGGGCTGAGGTAGTACGGCACGCCGTGCTTCTGCGCCCACGCCTTGCGCGCAAAGTGGCGCGGCTTCAGCGACGCCGACCAGTTGACGGTGGTGCCGCCGCCGAACGTCGAGCCTGCCAGCACGTTGACCGAGCCGTCCTCCGTCGGCAGCAGGCCCTCGCCCTCGTACATGGCTGGGTAGCCCTGGTCCTCGCGGCCCGTCACGTCCGCCGGACGCAGGTAGCCACCCTTGTCGACGACGAGCACGCGCAGGCCCCGCTCACTGAGGTACTTGGCCGCCACACCACCGCCCGAGCCAGAGCCGACGATGAGCACGTCGGTGTCGATGACAATCTCGGAGCTGGCTGCCTGCGCGTGCACGCGGTCGTTCTCAAACTTGAAGTTGTGCAGCGGCGACTCCTTTGCGTTGCTCTCGTTGCGGTACTTCTGCCAGTCATCGGCCGGCGCGTCGTTGTAGCCGACGGCCTCCCAGGCTGTCTGGTTGAAGCGGTAGAAGGTGATGAGGATGAGGCCCTTGAAGCCGGCGGCGCCCTTCTGGATGAGCGCGAGCGGCGAGGCGAGCCAGCCGGTGAGGATGCCCTCGCGCGTCTTGCGGTCGAGGTTGGGGAAGGCGGTGATGTGGCCGGTGAGCGCGAGCGTGCCGGCGCGCGTGCTGAGGATGGTGAGCAGCAGCGAGATGTCGCCGAGCGTCTTTGCGCTGAGCGACGCCTTTGCCTGGTGCGCCAGGCAGTCGAGCAGGTGCGGGTGGTCGGCAAAGCCCTCGGTGGCGAAGCGTGTGACGAGGTCGCGCTGCCGCTGCGTGGCCTCCTGCGGGAGCGCGGCGATGATGTCGGCGGCCGCCTCGCCCTCGAGGTGCGGCACGAAGGCATCGGCGATGGCAAGCATCACCTGCGAGAGCGTGTGAGGCGGGCGCATGCACGCACGCCCCACGGCCACTCACCGTGCGCTGCGACTCGCTCCAGAGCTTGTCTGCGGTGGTTCTGAGCTTGAGCGCCATGGTGGATGTGGGGAGTATGGCGCGGGGTGTGATGGTGGGAGGAGAGGTGGCGGCCGCTGCGAGACGGTGAGGTCTGCGCCTCGCTGTTGCGGTGCCGCCGTCAAAAGCGGCAGAGTCTGAGTGCGGGGGAGCGGGCGGACGTGCGCCGTGCGCAAAGACACGGCTGCCGTGCCTCGCCGCCGCGCCTGCTGCTGTCGTGCGCCGCCGCCGCAGCACCTCCCTCGCAGAAGCCGCCGACTGGCCCAGCGCCGTCGAAGCTACCCCTTCTCCTCATCCACGCTGACGCACAGGCAGGAGAGCACACTGCGACGCCTGACAGCGAGGCACCGCTCCGCCGGCACGGGGCCTGCGCCTTGGCCGTGGTGCCTCGGCGCCGAGGCGGCGGCGCGAGAAGAAAGGGAAGCGAGCAGCGGCCATCGCTCATGCAGCGCACCGAGCGGCAGCCGCTCAGCCAGCGTCTCGGCGGACAGCGGCACCGAGAGGCGAGCTCTCCTCTCCAGTGGACACTCGTCTGCCGCTGCGGCGGCGCGACCCTCTCCCCCACAGCCATTTCACGGCTCCCGACGGCTTCGCCCGCCACGCTGCTGGACGGCGCCCGATGAGGTGAGGTAAAAGCGCGTCGCCCGAGTCCCGTGCCCGAGGTTGGGCACCGCGCATCCCCTCCTCGGCCCTCTTCCTTGCCCAGCGGGCACAAGCACACCTGGAGCGGCGAAGGAGAGCGCCGTAGACCTTCTTGAGCCTCCAGAGTCTGAGTGCCAGACCGCAGGAGAGCGAGAGGTGCGATGAGGTTGCAGGCGCGGTCTGCAGCTGGTCTCGCGCTTGGGCCGTCTCGCGCGCCGCGCGCCTCGCGTCCCGACTTCGCGACGTCTCTCATCTGCGAGCCGTCAAGCTTGCGCCTGAAGCTCACGCCGCAGCAGCACAGCTTGCTTAGGCTGCTCGACTCTCTGCACCCTGAACGCGACCTCTCGCAGCCAAGCCGGCCATCTCGCCTCGAGGATGGTACAAGCCGACGCAGCGCTCTGCTCGCCGAGGCTCCACGCTGCATCTTGCTCTCTGCGCTGCGCGAGCGGAGCGGTGCGGCGTGCCCGAGGCTCGGGCATCATGCGCGATGCTTTCACACGCCGGACCAAAGCGCGGCCAGATCTCGGTGCGGGCTTTACGTAAGCACAACGACCCCTCCTCCGTCCGAGCGACCTGCCCGCACCCTTGCCTGCGTCTGCAGCTGGGCTGGACGAGCGACGCATCGCTGCTTCATCTCGCTGCAGAGACTCAGAGTGCTGGGCCCAGGAATCCAGGCTTCGCGAGGGCGCAAGCCGCGAGCAGGGCAGCAGCCACACACGCGCGAAGGCAGCGCGACGCGACGCCGGCGCGGGCCTCAAAGGCTCAACCCTCTGGAGTCGGACGTGCTTGCCATGGGTGTTGCGATGTTCAGGCAGATCTGTGAGCCCTGTGCAGTCCTGACAGTGGTTGCTGTGGAAGGAGCAGCTCGCCGAGGGTGGCTGGGACGTGGCTCACGTGGCGGCGCCGGCGCCGGCGGCCGAAGCGCGCCGGGGCCGACTGCTGGCGCGGGGAAGGCGGCCAGGGCGTGCGGCCGGTGCGGCAGGGGCTCGCTCGCGATGCAGCGCGACGCTTGGCTTGGCCCGTGGCTCGCAGCTGTCCCTTCGCTCCGCACCTCCACCACCGCAGCCCCACCATGCAGCCGTCCCTCCTGCGCTCGAGCGCCAGCTACATCGTCGCCGCCAAGCGCACGCCCTTCGGCGCGTTCGGCGGCAAGCTCTCGGCGCTCACCGCCTCGCAGCTCGGCGGCCACGCCAGCAAGGCGGCGCTCGCCGAGCTGCCCGCCGGCACGCGCGTCGATGCGACCATCTTCGGCAACGTGCATGCCTCGGACAACGCCGCCGCCTACCTGGCGCGCCACGTCGGCCACCACGCCGGCCTGCCCGTCACCGTGCCGGCGCTGACGGTGAACCGCCTCTGCGGCTCGGGCTTCCAGAGCATCATCAACGCCGTGCACGAGATCAAGGCCGGCGACGCCAACGTGATTGTCACTGGCGGCACTGAGAGCATGAGCCAGGCGCCCTACACGCTCAGCGGCGTGCGCTTCGGCGGCGGCAAGTACGGCGTCGACCTCAAGCTCGTCGACTCGCTCGCCGCCGCGCTCACCGACATGGTGCCCACGCCGACGCCCATGGGTGAGTGGCAGTGAAGGTGGAGAAGGACGCGTTTCTGTGCTGACTGTGTGCTGCGCTCTGCGCTCTCTTTGCACTGTCTCAGGGTGAGTGCACGCCGATGCTCAGCCACGCTGCGCCAGCGCTGACCCTTTTCGCAGCATCACTGCCGAGAACCTGGCTGTCAAGTACGGCATCACGCGCGAGCAGTGCGACGCCTACGCGCTGCAGTCGCAGCAGCGGTGGCAGGCCGCCAACAAGGCGGGCGCGTTCGCCGACGAGATCTCGCCTGTTGAGGTGAAGGTCAAGCGGGTGAGTAGAGGCTCGGCGCTGTGCGGCAGCTATAGGCCTGCAAGCGCTGATCGCCTGGCGCAGGCGATGGAGACGTTCAGCGTCGACGAGCACCCGCGCGGCCAGACGACGGCCGAGTCGCTCGCCAAGCTGCCCTCAGTGTTCAAGAAGGAGGGCACTGTTACCGCCGGCAATGCCAGTGGCATCTGTGACGGCGCCGCCGCCAACGTTGTGGCGTCCGAGGCGGCCGTGCAGGAGTTCGGCCTCAAGCCGCTCGCGCGCATCGTCAGCTACGGCGTCACGGCCTGCGAGCCATCGATCATGGGCGTGAGTCGAGGTCGCCAGGCTGCGCTCCACAAGCGCTAAGCTCATGTCTGTTCCCCAGATCGGCCCGGTGGAGGCCATCAAGCTGGCGCTCAAGCGCGCTGGCCTGCAGCTGAGCGACATTGACGGCCCGATCGAGGTCAACGAGGCGTTCGCAGCGCAGTTCCTGGCCGTGCAGAAGGAGCTCGGCCTGCCCGACGAGCAGACGAACCAGTTCGGTGGCGCCATCGGTGCGTCTTGCCTCTCAGTCGCAACCTCGAGCACGCGCAGCTAACGCGCCTCACAGCTCTCGGCCACCCGCTCGGCGCATCTGGCGCACGCATCATGGCCAACCTGACGCACAACGTGCGCCGCCTCAACAAGCGCTACGCCCTCGGTGCCGCGTGCATTGGCGGCGGCCAGGGCATTGCGATCATCATCGAGGCATGCGCATGAAGCGACGGCAGAGCCATGAAACGTGTGTAGACCTGAGCCACTCTCCTCTTTCGGCGGACCCGCTGGGTTCGCTTAATGCATCGATACGCAGCAGGGTGGCAGGTGCTGATTAAGTGGTGGGTGAGGTGTACAGAGCAAGGCGAGTCGGCCTCTAGCTCGTGGGTGGCCGCTCGACGTGCTGTGCCTCTTCGCGGTCGAGACCCGCGCGCTCGAGCAGCTGCGCCAGTGATGGCCCGGCCGGCGTCCCCGCTTCTGATCCCTGCGCTCGCCGCACTTCGTCGACGATGGCCTTTGCACGTGCGCGGGCCACCTCGTCCATGATGCTAGCGCGTGTCCGCGGCTCCTCCTTCGCCTCGGCTGGCGTCTTCTCCGCCTCAGCTGTGGGGCTTGGAGGCCGTGGCGGCGTGACCACGGGCACAGACACGCGCTTCGAGCCAGCCGCGACGGCCGCATCGTCGCCGTCGAGAATCTGGCCCAGCCGCAGAGCCTCAGGTCCCTCGACCCAGCCGGACCGCAGCGCCAGGCGCAGCAGCACCGCGACGGCATGCTGCAGGCGTTCGCGGTCGTGCTCGATCTCGGCGATAGAGCGCTCGCCCCGCGAAGCGCGTGATGACCGCTGCGCGGGCCGTGGAGGTGCCGCTTCTGATGGCTCGGGCTCAAAGTGGTCCTGCTGCGCTGAGCTCGACCCCTCTCCAGCAGCAGCCTGCTCTCCTTTGTCCGTCCCCTCCTCTTCCTCATCCCGCGTGCCTTCTCGCCAAAGCTCTGAGCGCGCGACGCCCATGCGCTCGCCAAGAAGCTCTACTGCATCTCGCAGCTCTTCCACTGCATCCTCTGTGCGATCGCGCTGTTTCTTGTTTGACCGACTGCCGCGGTAGCTCTCGCCGATGATGAGCGCCGCCGCGATGGCGAAGAGGAAGCCTGTCGCACCGCTGCCATCAGCGCTGCTACCATCCGGCGCTGCGAGCGCACTCACCTTCGGAAATAGCCGCCGCGCCATTGTCGATAGCGCGCTTCTCATTCAGCGGCCGCACCTTTGTGTGCGCGGCCGTGCCGCCCATGAGGTTGCTGCGCAGAGCCATCTCGATGCGATGCTGCCGCTGCGCCAAGGCGATGCACATATTCTTGAACGACTCATGGTGCTGTGCCTGCACCTTGATCTGCGTCGCGATGGGCTTGGCAATGGTGCGGATCAGCAGCTGAGGAGGAGGCGTCAGTCGAGCGGCGTGGATGCGCGACGCAGCAGGCCATCGTCACGCCTGAACACCAGTGCGCCGGGCCAGTGGCCGAGAAGCCCTGCACAGGGCCTAGAGATGCGCTGCCACAGTCCAGGTACGTACCGTGGCGATCTTGGCGGTAGCCATGGCTGCGGTGCGCGCCGCTGCACGGGCGTGGCGGCGCTGAGGAGCAGGTGGGCTGGCGCTGCAGAGTGTGTCGCTCGTGGACGGGTGCTCGAGATGTCAGGGCGGAGCGAGCCGCCGGAAGCTGCGCTGCAGCTATGCGGGGGAACGGCGTGCAGCGGAACAGCGAGATGCGGAGCCGCCGAGCAGGTGCCAGTGCAGGGTGCAGCGAGGAGAGCGGTGCGGAGTGGAGGCGACGAGGATGGAGGCCGGGATGGAGCCGAGCGAGCGGGCAGCCGCGCGCGCCGCATCGCAGGCCGAGGAGCTTCGCTGCGCCCCGTGCGCAGCTCCGCGGCATCCGCGGCGCGTCGTCGCCCCGCCAGCCCGTCCATCGCGCCTGCTCAGCGCCCCCCTCCGCGTGTCATTCGCCCTCGGGTGCGGCAGCACGCAGCACCGTGCAGCGCACGGAGCCGCAGCTCGCCGTCGGCATACGCGTGTTGACTCAGAGTGGGTCGAGCGAGGCGGAGGCAAGTGCTTCCGCCGGCGTGGATGCCGAGCAGACCGAGGGACCAAATCGCCCGCTTTGCTCCTTTCAGAACCGCAGTGCCGGCTGTAGGGCCGCAAGCTCGGTGCAAGTCTTCGCTTCTTTCTGCCTGAACTCGGCAGAGAGACGAGAACCCACAATCAGCTCGTCACCGAAGAGGTTGCACTTGGAGCCGACGGCACCGCCAGCAGAGAAGCAACAGCTCCTCGTCGGCCAGCAGAGTTCAGACGCAGCCGCAGCGGTGTGGAGTGACATGCCGCAGCATGCGGCCTGCCACCTCGCTGCTACTCCGTCGCGGCAGCACTAATTTCCGAGTGCCCTCTCGGTGCCCGGCATTGGCTCAGCAGCGTTCCGCAGCTCCTCCTTCTCGCTGCTCCACTCAAGCCGTCCGGCTCGTTCACTATTCCCTCCGCGACGCTGCCCGACGCAGCGACGTGCAGCGTGCCTGCGTCGCCGCATTGTCGGTGCATGCAGGCCCTCCTTCTCAGCGAGTACCCGGCTCTCCTCGGGCGGCAATGCTTTCGAGCTGGCAACCCTCCTGATGCAGGCGTGCGCAATGCCCCCATGGCGGCCAGGTGCCACCTCGCAATCACTGCATGCTGCAGCATGCAGGGCCAAGAGCCGACGTCGCAGATCCCCGCCCGGAGCCGACGCTGAGCTGGTGGCGGAGCAGGTGTGCGCGGAAAGGGACAGGTGTCGCAAGTCGGCTGGCCTGTGAGACGAAGCTGTCGGTGACCCTGGCCGAGTGGGAGGATCAGGCGCCTCCGTCGTCTCGGCACGCCCAATGTCGTGAGGACGACCTTGATGGCGCGTGGCCAGGTAAGGAGTAGGCGAGCACCATGTGCTGCAGGAGTGCTGGGCTCAGCAAGGATGCAGCGGAGGGAGAAGACGCAGTTGCATGAGGGCATGGCCGGCCGGCGTGCGGGTGCCAAGCAACATCGACCCTGTCCAATGGGCTGGGTGCCGCTTCGGAGGCCGATGCAGCTGCAGGCGCAGCGAGATGCAGGCGCCGGCGGAGGGGCTGCCGCGCCGACGCGCCGCTGCACCGCTGCCGCCCGCTCAACGGGCACGGCACCCCGGCCTGCCACATCTGATGGCTGCTCGCCGTGCTGCCCGGTGCCGAAGCGCAGCACTCGAGCTGCCCCACGATGAGCTCCGACACTGCAGCAGATAGACCATCCGATGCTGTCAGCGCCGCGAAGGGTGCCTGAGCGAGTGGGCGCCAGTCAGTCATGCCACCCGGCGGCGTGCGCGCGGCGCCGTCGTCTGCAATTGCCGACGCGGCCGCGGCCGCTGCGAACCACCGCACGCCGCAGCACCCATCCTTCCCTTCCCACCACCCTCCTTGTCTCGTCGTCTCGGTTCTCCTTCACCTCACACTCCTTTTCTCCTTCTCCTTCTCTGCGCCCGTCGCGGCCGGCCCGCTTCTCGCGCCGCAGTTCCTCCAGGCCGCGCCTCCTCCACGCGCGCGCCCGCTGCGTTTATTTCCCGCTCTTCAACCTCTACCAAAGGCAGCCGCCAGCCCAGCGACGGCGGCGCACACAAGTCCGTGTCTCGGTCTTGATCGACCCGAGCTTGCGCACCTCTGCGTGTCTGCTGTTGCTCTCAGTCCGAGTCAGGGCTTCGCTGCAGCGCCTGTCTCGCACGTCTCGGGTCGCCGTGGCCCAGACACCGCCTGCGCCCTGCGCTAGCGGCCGAGCGCGCCTTTGCTGCGCCCCGCCCCCGCTTCCGGCGAGCGCCCCGCCGCCATGCCAGCGCCGCGCCACTCGCTGCCGCCACACGCTGCGCCGCCCTTCCACTCTTCGGGACAGGGTAGGGGCCAGCAGCATGCGGCAGGTGTGCGCAACAATGAGCCTCAGCGCATCCTCGAGGCGCAGGGCATCCGCAGGTGTGACGCGGTGCCGATCTCGGAGGCCTGGGGCCTGTATGGCTTCCGCGCCGCCGGCCAGCCCGGTGGGCACCCTCCCGGCCCGGCGCCGCAGGTGAGTCAACTGTCGGCATCGCACTCCGATGCTGGTCATCGCGAGATGCATCGTGGACCCTCACCGAGAGGTGATGGCTTCGGCGGGCTGGTGCAGCGAGGCGGCAGCCTGCGCGCCGTGACGCCTCCCTCCGCACCGCCATCCCACCTCCGCTCTGCCGTGTTGTCGGCCGGACACATGCCGCCGCAGCCGCACCATGGCTTCCGTTCGGAGCAGCAGAGACGCCAGCGCGGACCGAGCAGCCAGGCATCGACGGCGGCGATGTCGCAGCGCAGCGGCGGCAGCGCCTATCCGCCAGCCGCTGCGCCGCCTGTGCGTTCGGCCTCGATGACAGAGGCTCGCACGGCGATGCTCATCCGCAAGAAGGTCGCTGCGGCGCGCGAGGGCGTCGACATGGACAATCAGCCGAGCCGCACGGGCTCGGCCTCGTCTGGCTCGTCGTACAACTCGCAGACTTCTTGGCGCTCCGGCGTCTCGCTGCGTCCTGGCCAGCTGCTGCCGAGCTACCCGGCGCCGAGCTTTGACGGCTCGCGCCGCTCGTCGCTGCTCAGCATGCACGCAGCCACGCAGCCACCAGGTCCGAACCTGATGACCGCTCAGCAGCGCTACGGCAGCTCGCCAAGCCCGCACGGAGCGCTGGGCCTGCTCAACATGTCGGCGCCGCCGCCGAGCAGCAGCGGCCGTGCCTCGCCGCCGGCGCCGTCGCCGGTGGCGGTGTGGCGGCAGAGTCTGCCCTTTGCCTCGCACCGCAGCGGCGATGAGAGCACGTCGCCGCCTCGCATCAGTGCGAAGGAGCGCATCGCACGGATGCATCTCTCACAGCTGCCTCTGGTCGGCCCGCACCCGACCTCGCAGCTGCCGACGTCGACGCGGCACAGCTCGCACCATCTGCCTCGCATGCCGCACTTGCCGCACCTGCACATGCCACGCTCGCTGCAGAAGCTCTCGTCGCGCTCGCACTCGACCCGCGACTCAAAGTCGCGCTCTATATCCGGGCCCATCGCCATGTCAGACTTCAGCATGAATCCCTTCCGCCGATCACTCGACGAGGACGCTCGCCGCCGATCGATGGAGAGTGAGGCTAGCGACAGGTCGCCCGGGAGCGCAGGACGTGCCCGCGAGAAGGCGCAGCGCAAGACGCTGTCAGATGCGCTGGGCCCGCCGTCGTCAGATGACGAGGGACCGTATGCCATCTGCAAGGCCGTGGGCGAGGAAGCACGCCGCAACTCCAAAGGCAGCGACGCCTCTGCGGGCAACACGCCCCGTCCCGATGCGCAAGCTCGCGGACCCAACGGCTTCGGCTTTGTCTCGCGCTGGGGCGAAGACGTGCATGCCTCCCAGCAGCGCCAACAGGCGATGCGTCTACAGCAGCAGCAACAGCAGCAGTACGGCGCGTCGCCGACCCGCGGTCCGGCGCTGCCCTTCAGCGGCACCACGCCTCCGCGAGGCATGCCGCTGTATGCGCCGCAGGCTCGCATGCAGGCACCTCCCAATTGGTCGAACTCCGGCCCCGTACCGATGCGCAATCCCTTCGACCAACCTGCTCCGGCACCCATGCTGTGGCAGCAGCCTGGTGTGCCGCAGCGGCAGCCCCGGCGCGGCTCTGTGCTGCCCGCCAACCTGCCACAGCGACCCCAGTTCGGGATGCACGACGACATGCTCTCTCCCAGAGAGGGCGCCGTGTCACAGCAGGGCAGCTGGCTGGGCGGACCGGGGCCTCGCATGCCCACCGGCGGTCGCCGCGGCTCTGCGTCACCGTGGCAGGGCCAGAACGGTGGTCCGCCGCCGGGCCAGGGAAGACGCGGATCGGTCTCACGACAGCAAGGCAACGCAGGCGGCCAGGGCAGAGGGCGTGGGGCTACGACACCACAGCAGGGCAGCCAGTATGCGCAGCAGCAGGTCTCGGGCAGGAGAGGCTCTGTGTCGCAGCGCCAACAGCAAGGTGGCCCCTCCGCAGGACGAGGCCCTCCGCCGCCCGCTGGTCAGCGCCGAGGAAGCGCGCTGCCCCGCTATGTTCCGCCGCAAGGCAGCGGCCTCATGGCCACAGCAGCACCCTTCGTGCCCGGCAGCCAGATCCCACGCCGCAACGGCGCCGAGGGCAGTGCGATTCCCGCACCGATGGGCCTGGCAGGGCGTGTGCGCAACACGTCCCAGGCGTCGCAGCAGCGCATACGACGCCCCAGCGTCGCCGCAAACTTTCTGCCTGCCACGCCACGCTCTCCGTCGGCCAAAGGCCGCCGTCCTTCGTACAGCAATGGAGGCATGCCGCACCCAGGCATGGGCCGCCGACGTTCCTCTTCTGGCGCAGGGCGCTATGCGCAAGAGCCCGGCATGGGCCGGCGCCGCAACGGCAGCATCTCGTATCAGCCGCCGCCACCGGCGGGAGGCCGCAGACGAGGCTCGTCGGTCAGCGGCGTGCGGTCCGCACAGCCTTCGCCGTCCCTTGCTTCCGCCAGCTGGGGTGCTCCTCCTCCAATGAACGGGAGACAGCGCGGCAACAGCGTGGGTCAGCAGGCCATGCCTCCTCACGTCGCACTGCCGCCTCACTTCGCACAGGCGCCTTCACAGGCCACACCGCCAGTGCGGCCCGTCAAGTCTCCGCAGCGGCAAGAGTCACCGCCTCTCATCAGCGAGACGGCAGCGTCGTCGCGCAGCAACAGCCGCGAGTCCGAGCGGCCTCACGGGCCCACTCGTGCCCCGAGCTCGTCGAGTACGATCCGCTTCGGCCCGCGTGGCACGACCGGCACTACCGAGGGCTCGCTCACGCCCACCGTACGTGCTGCTTCCACGTCACTGCCAGACGACGCGGGCGAAGACTCCGACGACGAGGAAGATGCAGCATTACAGCACGGCACGGCACTGTTGCGACAGCAGGTGCGCGTGGCCGATCCGTCGCCGTCGATCTTCGGCGGCGAGGACGCCGCCAGCAGCGTCGGTGAGTACAACGGCGTCATCGAGGTGGGCTTCGACCGCTCGCCGCGGCGCAAGAGCTACCTGAGCATCATCAGCAGCGGCGACAGCGTCGACACGGCGTGCGAGGAGGAGAGGGTGGCTCCCTCGCCTCCTCCCATGGCCGCCACACGCGCCTCGCTGCCTGCTGTTGCGGCACCGGTGCCGACTCTGGCGCCGTCTGCACTGCGCCGCACGCCGTCGGCGCCTCGCGCCGCCTCGATGTCGCTGCTGAAGCGCAACGAGAGCATCGCGTCGACGCGCTCCGAGGACGAGGCCGGCCGGCTGTGGAAGCATCTCGAGTCGCGCCTGGGCGTCGACCTGACCACTGGCGCCAAGAAGAGCGGCTACGACTCGCCGAGCTCGAGCCGCGCCAGCAGCAAGCTTGTCAAGCGGCGCTCCATCACGCGCACACGCAGTCCTGAGTCGCCCTGGGCGCTCGTGGAGAGTGCACTGGGCGAGCTCAAGCTCTCGCTCGGCAAGGTGCGCCAGCCGTCGCCCGTGCCGCCGGTGCCACCGCTGCCAGAGCGTGTGCTGGAGTCGCAGGACCCGGGCCTGCGCTACGCTGCGTCGGACGACGAGCCGCTCGAGGAGGCGAGCACACGCTCGTCGCGCTCCAACTCGCTCACCGGCGACAAGCTCGACTCGTCGCTCACGCCTACGCTGCCGGACGTCCCGCGTGCCTCATCGGCGCTGCGGGCCTCGCTGCCTGCCGTTGCCGACAGCAGCTCGCGCATCCCGATCTTCACCCGCTCCACGCGTCCGCTCTCCGAGGCTCGCAACGTGCGTGCAGTCGTGCCACGCACCAAGCAGAGCCTCCTGCCGACGCGCACCGGGCTATCGGCGAACAATGCCGCGCTGCCCGCTGTGACCGGCCGGCAGCGCATGGACAGCGCCTCGTCGCTGGCCTCATCGCTAATGACGACGACGAGCTCATCGCCGTCGCGCTCGCAGCGCTCCTTCTCCGACGGCCTGACCGAGAGCGACACGGACGTCTCCGACCTCGGCTCCGAGTCTGGCCGCCGCCGCTCGCAGACGTCCTCGTCGCACTCGCGCCTGCCGCGCCGCACGCCGCGCACGCCGCGCAACGGCGAGCCGCTGCTGCCGGCGAGCAGCAAGCAGCCCTTCGGCGGGCTCGAGGCGCAGTCACCCGTCGCCCTGGCGCTCACGGCGCTGCGCAGCTCGACGATCCGGCGCGCCGAGCGCGACCAGCTCGACATGTACGACTTTGGCCGGGCGACCGAGTCCGAGTACGTCGGCAAGCCGACGGCTGAGATGCGCCAGCACGCCGCTGCCCGCCTCGAGATCCAGGCACGCCGAGCCCTCTCGTGAGGCTGCCCCGAGCCCCTGGCACCCCCCCTCATAGAGCTCCAACACCCTTCTCTTTTCCTTTTGTGCCACCGTGCGTCACCCTCCTTTGCTTCTCCTTCTTCTGAACCTGCTCCGCCTGGTGCGCGACCCTCTAATACATTCTTTGACCTGGCCTTGCCGTGTGTCCTGCTTGCGCGTGTCGGTGCTGCTTGCGGCTCGTGGTCCGGACGCTTCTCGCTGCTTCGCGGACGGCGTCTGAGCGGACGTGCCGGCCGGAGATGCGAAGGCGTGCTCTCGGCCGCAAGCGAGTTGTAGTCGGGATGCCGTGTTTGGATTCAGGCCGGCGGTGGCTGTATTCAGACGTTCAAGCTGCACGTGCCGCTTGCCACCTTGCCGGATCGCCGCCTCGCCGCCGCTGCTGGCGCTCAAAATGCGCACGCTCCACCTCTCTTGCCCGCTTCCTTCTCCTCCACAACACATCTCATGCTCGCCTCTGCCCTGCGCACCTCTCTCCGCACCACCACCCGCACCCCGCTCTCGCGCACCTTCACCGCCTCCGCCGCCAACATGTCCGTCCAGAAGCTCAACAGCCACTCCGAGTTCCAGCAGCTCGTGCGTGTCAGAGCCTGCCATGCCCCACCACGCCTGTGCTGACACCTCTCTCGCCAGATCGCGTCCGACAAGGTCACCGTGATCGACTTCTGGGCGACGTGGTGCGGCCCGTGCAAGATGATCAGCCCCATCTTCGAGCGCATCGCCAGCACCGTCGGCGACAAGGTGCAGTTCGCCAAGGTCGACGTCGACGAGCAGGAGCAGATCAGCCAGGAGTGCGGCATCAAGGCCATGCCCACCTTCATCTTCTTCAAGAACGGCGAGAAGGTCGAGAGCGTCGTCGGCGCCGACCCGAGCAAGCTGCAGGTGAGTGCTGCGAGAGGAAGGATGGCGGAGTCGCGGATGAGTAGCAGGGGGCGACAGAGTCGCATTGGCGGGGTGACACTCCAGCAGAGGTCTGTGCGCTTCATACGCATCGAGTCATGCATCAGCCGACCAGAAAGGAAGGGAGCCCACTGCCCGACGCACACTTTCTGCTTGTGTCTACTGCGGCGAGCAGTTGTGCGGCATGCAGCGCTGCTGCTCCTCATGCTTCGCCGCCTTCCATTGCGTCTCCGCGTGCAAGCCTTAGCTGACACACTACCGATCTCTTCTTCTCAGGCTGCCATCAGCAAGTACTCCTCGTAATCGCTTCTCGCACTGCCGAGCGCCTGCGCCTTTGCGCGTCTGGCCATCGCGGTCTAGCAATTGAAAGAGGGTTATATCATTCATCGCTTTGAGGGGGCTGCGCACGAGACTCGAAGATTCTGCAGTGCGAGTTCGAGGACCGTGCTCACACGGCCAGGAGCTGCTGCGTGAGATGCTCCTCGGGGCTCCAGCTCAGCCGCTAGTCAGACCTGACGCCCTCACGCAAGCACGGGCAGTAGAGCCTTGCACACGCGCACACGAGCCTCTGCGCCTGGTATAGCATGCATGCATTGCAGTGTCTGTCTACGGCGTCACTTGTCTGTGGACGGTTGGCGGTCAGCGTGCGCTCCAGCTGCGCTGTCGGGCACGCAGCACGCACCGAATTAGCATGCGCACGTTATTGAGGAAGACGAGGATGAAGTCGTCGTAGTCGCTCCACTCTTGCGGGTTCGCCGCCGGTGCGGACTTGGCGGCGCTGGCGAGCCGGAGCAGCGCAGCCGTGTCGCAGATCTCGACCTCGAGCTCGTGCAGCGGTTCTTGTGGCTGCAGCGCCTCGTCAGTGGCAGTGAGAGACAGCGCATCGGCAGACGCACCTTCTCTGGCCGCGTCACCTGCGTCAGATCGACCTCGAAGCCCTGGTGCGTGTAGCAGAGGCGATTCTTCTCGCGGTGCGACGTCGACTCTTCTGTCGGCTCCTCGTCTGTCACGCAGTCCCGTCAATCCGCTGCTCCGCATCGCCCAACCCAGCAAAACGCACCAACGTCCGTCTCCGTGTTGATGCTGATGCGAAAGTCGAAGCCCTGATTGGGGCAGTAGATGTTCATGTCTGCGAGGCGGTTCTTGCGGATGATGCCGTGCGGCTGCCGGATGGCTAGCGTGTCGCTGTCGCGCGTCACGCGCACACGATTGCGGTACGCATAGTCGATCTCGCGCACGCGGCGGTACGACACTCGTCGCGAGGGCGTGACGAGGGAGTTGAGAAGGTTGTTGAGCTGCTGATGTTGGGGCTGCGAGTGGAGTGAGCCTTGGAATAGCCGAAGAGCGGAGCAGCGGGAACGCACCTGCGACATGCTGCTCTCGAAGCGCCAGCCTTCTTGCATGTTTAGGACTTGAGATGCAACACGGCACCATCAGCTCTCTTGCGCGACATCCTGGCGATCCCATGCCGCACTCACTCGTCTCGCTCGCGACTGGCAAGGCTAGCCGCTCGCCCGTGTGCGAGTCGATGATGCGCCCGATCTTCGCCTCGATCTGTGCGAGGGCATCGCCAGTCAGACATCTCCTCGACTTGATATCTCCCCACGCCTGGCAGCCCATCTTGCCCGCCTGGCCCCGGAGCTTCCCGCTCTGTCGCGCGCTCGAGCACCGCCACATCACGGTCCGGTGCTTGTTCACAGCCCTCGCTGGCTCGAGCAGCGGTCTTCGACAGCAGCAACCGAACGCCCATGTCCTGTGTACGGCCCTTCTCCCATCTCCTGCGCCTCTCTCTCCTCCTGCCATCTGCAACGCACCTCGAGGTCGGCCACGCCGCGCCCGTAGCGCCAGATCCAGTCGCCCACGATCGATGCCGTCTCGTCGCGCGGGTCCCAGCCGAAGATGGAGCGCTCTGGCGGCGCCGCAGCAGAGGATGAGGAGGCCATGGCGCGATGCGACGCGAACAAGAGCCGGCGCGGAGTGAGGAGGAGCGCGAGGAGATGACGGCGGGAAGGAAGGTAGGCGCGAGGGAGAGCCGGTGTCCGTGCGCCGAGAAGGCCGAGGCGGATCGGCGCGGCGCGCGCCGCGCTTCCAAGTTCTTTTCGCGCGACGCGCGCCAAAGGACGCAGCCGAGGCTGCTCCACTCGCCTGCTTCCTCTCCACATCATCCCGCTGCGTCTGCTTGCACTTCGCCGACTGCCTGCACGCCACATACTCTGGCCCGCACTCCCGCTACCAGCGTACCTGCACTTTTAGCGCACCGCCAGCTCTCGCTCTCATCCACGCGCCATGTACCCCTCGCGCATCGGCCAAGGCCGCGGCGGTCGGCCCGGCGGCAGCAGCGGCGGCGGCGGTGGGCCTTCGCAGGGCGGCGGCAGCCGTGTGTGCCAGAAGTGCCTCAAGCCTGGCCATGCGACGTTTGAGTGCAAGAACGCACGCCCTTACGTGCCGCGCCCAACGCGCTCGCAGGCCTTCAACGACCCCAAGATCCAGAAAAAGCTCGAGCGCACGATGGAGGTGAAGCCGCCGGAGGCGGAGGACATGTGAGTGCAGCGTTTGCTCAGAGATTGCTGCAGCTTCTGACTGAGAGCTGTCGTCATGTAGTGCCGGCACAGCAGATACGATTCTGGCTTCGCGTGCGGCCGCGCGAGCCGCAGAGAGCAGCACAGCTGCACCCAAGGCTGCGCGGGCTGCATCTAGCTCCTCGTCCTCGTCCAGCTCCTCCTCCTCGAGCTCGTCGAGCGACTCGGACTCGGACAGCAGCAGCTCATCGGGCGACGGCAAGCGGCGGAAGCGCAGCAGCCGGCGCCGCCGTCGCAGCCCGTCCTCGAGCTCCGGCTCGGACTCGGACGACTCGCGCCCGGCGCGCCGCCGGAGACAAGACTCTCGCGACCGCTCGGCCTCATCCAGATCGCGCTCGAGGTCGCGTAGCTCCAGTGCTGGCCCGGCCAGAGCTCGCGACTACGACACTCCGCCGCCGCGTCGCGCTAGAAGCCCAACACGCTCGAGATCACCGGCTTCGTCGCGCTCAGACAGCTCGGAGAGACGGTAGTGGGGCGCTGCAGGAGGAGTATCACGGGTGGGATTGCAGGCGGGTGGATCGCAATGCGATGCGGGAAAAGGCTGCTCGCTCAGTCAAGTGTCATGCAAACAAGCGTGTCGTCCGACAGCTCGTCCAGCGAGAGAGGCGCAGCGAGGCTCTCGATGCTGCAGCACGCGTCCTGCGCATCGTCTCGCTGCTGATGCACAGCAAGCACATGCGATGCATGCGACTCGTGCATGGCGGCGCGCAGCTCGTGGAGAGTCTCGAAGTCGTCTGGCTCGAGCTCGACCCATGCGTCCGTGATGCTGGCCCAGTTCGAAAGCTGTCGGTGCAGTGCGTGCTCCCCCGGCGTGGAGCTGCTTCCGGGCGGTTGAAGCGCTGGACTGCTGGGAGCCGCATGGGACGCATGGAGTGGCGAGGAAGGCTCGGAGGACAGATCGAGAAGCAGCTGGAAGTCGTCCTGCACGCTGTCCAGGCGACTCGCGCTCGAGAGAGCAGGGGCCTTCTCGCGAAGCGCGAGCGGTGCAGGCGATGACGAGGCAGCGGCTGCCTCTGAGAGTGGCGGCAGCGGGACGGGCAGCAGAGCGTTCTGTTGCGGACGTGCATCAGCAATAAGTCTTCTCGAGCAGCGCGCAAGACCCACAGGCAGCGTGCTCCCATTGACGAAGCGCTGGTCGAGCAGAGCGAGTCCGTGATGGAGCGTCGCAGAGATGGCGAGAGCGCCGCGGGTGCTTGCCTGCGACCGGCTCCTCTGATGCAGCGAGGCGGATCGCAGGAGGCGTCGTGCTGCTCGCTCTCGAGCGGCTTGTCCTTGCGACTGCGGCTCAGCATGTGCCAGAACGGACTGCGGGCGCGACGGCGTCAGCGTGTCTCGCACTGAGCCGTGCAGCACGGGCGCACCTTGACGAGCTTTGCGACTTTGCCATTGGGCTTGCGCAACGAGGAGGCGACGCAGATGCTGCTGAGAGACGATGACAGGCTCGCTAGCGACGGTCGAAGCGCTCGAGACCTCTGAGGGCCAGGTCAGATGTGCTCGATCATCGCCGTGGTGCGGTGCTCACTGCAGCGAGCGCATTGTTGAACAGAGCTCCACCATACTGCGCCATCTCTTGTCCAAGGAGCAGCAGCGCCTTCTGGCACGCGGCCCAGTGTGCCGCAGGCGCTGCAGACGACAGAAGCCCTGCCCGAAGATGCCGTGCTGCTGGTAGCAGGTCAGCTGCGCTATGCAGCGGACCCCAGCCAAGGAACTCACCGCGACCTGAGCTAGCCCTCGTGCGGCACTCGAAGCGCAAGGTCACGCTGATGCAGTGCAGCGTGGTGCGCGCCTCAGACGAGCCTCCGTCCGAGGATCCGCCAGCGCTCACTGCGTGCAGGCTGTGAGCCTTGAGCTGCTGCTGCATCGTGCCGTCGACGTACATTCGATGCTTCGCTCATCGCACGGTCTGACACGAGGATCTCGCAGGCGCAAGGCGGAGGCGTTCTGCGCTCCCACAGCGTGTCAGCGCAGCAGACCAGACCGCGTCTTGAGAGCTCGCCAGCTTGAAGAAAGACGCCATCATGTCTGCGAGCGGGCACGCGAGGAGCTCAGCTCCTGAGAGACTCCACTCCTCAGCTTCGTTCTGAACACGCTGTGAGCATGTATCGAGGCCAAGTCGATCTTGCGCGGGGACTGACCGACGGCGAAGCCCGTGATACTCCAGCCGCCCGGCGTTTGCTCTGCTTCGGAGGTTCGACGCACGCGGACAGTCTCACAGCCAGCATACCGCCATTGAGCTGCACGGGCCTCTCAGCGCCGCTTGTATGCGATTGCGACGCTGCGGCGCCGTTGGCAGGCTCAAGCGTGCGGAACGCGACGTCTATGTGGAGGAGCACGTCCTCGACGCGGACGAGGTGGATGCTCTTGCTGCCGACGTGCACGTCGGCGGGTGCAGGCGGCATGCTCGTGTATGCGTTGAGTACAGCAAGCGGGTGAAGAGGCGACACGTAAGAGCTGACAGTAGCAGTACGCAGGCTTGGAGAGGATGACGGTCGCAAGGCAAGCCGCAACGCGCGCGCAGCTGGCCCGACGAGGCGCGCGGCGGCATGCGCGCCGCCGCGTGTGGGCAGACATGCGCCCGAACTGCTCACTCCAACCCTCGCACTGCCAATCTCTGATGCATCCAAGCAACACCTTTCACCAGGCACATGAAATAGAGAAAGCATTGATTTGTTGTGAAGCCCGTGACGAGTCGCATATACCCGGGTGGAAGCGCGGCGCACATCACTTGTCCGCGGCAGTCTCCTCCTCCTCGTCCTCGGCGCTGCCCATCAGGCCGTATGCAACGACCGTGGCCAGACCGATGAGCGCCGTGATGATGCAGCCCACGAGGGCGCCAACGGCACGCGGCGTCCAGCCCGTCTCGAGGAACGTCGGCTCCTTGCGCAGGCCGGCGAAGTTCGTCGTCTGCGAAGGGCGTCAGCACAGGTGCGTGGAAGTCGCAGGAGGAGACTCACGCTGTTGAAGCCGGCAGCGTTGCCGGTGGGCGAGATGCCGAGCGCTGCGCACTGCGACTGCAGGTCGCCCGGCAGCGTCAGCTGCTGCTGCGCCAGCATCGGCGCCTCGATGAAGATGGCAGCCAGGCCGGAGGACAGGTGCTGCGGTACGGCGCGAGCGTCAGCACTCGTCGAGGCCTATGCTCTCGGCTAGACTCACCCAGTCGATGTGGCAGTGGAAGAACCACGCTCCAGGGTTGCTGAAGACAAGATCAGCCATTGCTGCAGAAACATGGGCAACGCAGCACTCACTCAGCGCGGAAGCGGATCGTGGCGGAGCCCGTACTGTGGATCGTGACGGTGTCGCGGCGCATCGGGTTCTCCTGACCCTCGACGAACGGCGGGTTGAGCGCCGGATCGTCGGACGTGACGTCGATCGCCTTGTGCACAACCTGGAAGTGATGGCCGTGCAGGTGGAAGGGGTGGGTTCCGGCATCCCAGTTGAAGACGGTCAGCTGGATCATGTCCATGTGGTTGAGCACGGTGGCGCCGGTGGCCGGGCCGTACACGGCCACGTCGTTTGCAAGTGCGCCCATGCTCGAGATCGTGTTGAGCGTCGGCGTCATCGGGCTGACGTAGGAGACGTTGTTGAAGGAGGCGTACTGCAGCAAGATGTCAGCGTGTCCAGCGTGCGGCGTGACGGGCTCACTCACGTTCTTGCCGTCCGAGTACGTGTTGAAGACGACATTCAGGTCGTGGTTCACATCGGCCGGCTCCATGGCCTCGGCGACGAAGGGCACGAGCTTGGTGTCGTCGAAGTACTCGTACGCCTCAAGCTCGGCGCGGTCGGAGCCCATCGGCTGGCCGCTGGCGTATTCGAGCGTGGCAGTGACGTCTGAGAGACAGATGTGAGCGACCAGACAGGCGCAGAGCGAAGGCGGAACGCACTGAGCTGCAGGTCATCCGGCACGACGTCGAACATGTCGGGGTCCTGCGAGCGCATGTCAGCAATCGTTGAGCCGCGATCTGTCTCAGCCGCTCACCATGTTGGCGTGGATGCCCCAGTTCTGCGCCGTGTCGTTACGCGCCGTCACGAGGATGGAGTAGCGCTGTGCGACGCTGATCGTGATAGCGTCGACGGGCAGCTCCTGCGTGTCGACGCCGTCGGCCTCGATGATGCGCATGTCGTGGCCCTCGATCCAGAAATGGTACATGGCAAGAGCGCTCATGTTGATCAGGCGCAGACGGTACGTCTTGCCCGGCACGAACGGCAGCGTGGCGTTCTCATTGAAGCCCGGCAGGTACGAGGCGACGGTGCTGGCGTTGCTCGTGTGGGCGAAGTAGACCTGAGGGGACTCTGTGGACGCAGTCAGCGCCTGGGCATGCCAATCTGCCTTTGGTCGTCTCTCTCTACGCACTCGGCACGGGCTCAGCCTGGAGAGAGCAAGAGGATCAGCTTTGCACGAGCGTCTCGACGCACTCTGGCACTCACGCCAGTCGGGTTCCGGTCGTTGAGGAACTGCGTGGTGAGCAGGAAGTCGTGCTCGTCATGGTACCTGCGCGGCACATCAGCCTTTGCTCTGTCTCCCCGAGCCCTCCATCGACGCACCAGTCCGCGAGAATGATGGTGTAGTCGTCGTCGTACTTGTGCACTTCGCCGGCGGCGTTGTGGATGATATTCGGCGTGCGCATGCCGTCGACGTACTGGCCCTTGTAGTGGCCGTGCCTGTGCCAGACACCTCGTGTCAGCTGGCTGCCGTTCCTCGGCCTGCAGGTCTCGACTCACGTCCAGAAGGTGCCCCACTGCTCCCTCCGCCCAGCCGCAGACGTCGGGCTGTTGAGCGGCTCGTACACGACGCTCTGGCCCTGCGGGATCGGGCACTGCGTCACGCCGACGGCGCCATCCCAGTATGCGGTCTGCAAGCGGTCTCATGAGCTTCCCTTCCCTGCACATCGCTTCCCTCATACACACGTTGTTGAAGAACATGCCGTGGCTCTGCGCGGCACATCGCGGTCAGCTGAGGCCCAGCCGCAAGTTGAGCGCAGCAGACTCACATGCAGCGAAGTGCCTGTTCCATCGCGCAGGTCGTTGGTGACCTTGATGCGCACCACGTCGGTCGAGTTGACGTTCTGGCGCCGCAGTCTCAGCAAAGGTCCCGCGCAGGCGATGCCGTGTGCGCGAGCCCATGCCCCGCGCTGCTCGCTCCTCTGTCTCTGCCACTCACGATGATCTCCGGCGGCCACTGTCCGTTCACGCCAATCGCGCGCCGCTCCATCATGCCGTCCGGGTTCACGCCGTTCACCCAGCCCACCGTCCAGTCCTTGTACACATCAGCGGCGGCCACGAGGGCAGGCGCCGCGGCGAGAGCGCCCGCAAGCAGAGTAAGAGGCGAGCGCATGGCGGCTGCTGCTCGCTGTCAGAGACCGAGGAGCGGAGAAGGAGTGAGAGGGAGACCGGCTGGCGGTGGAGGAGGTCGTGGTGCGAGAGAGCGTGCTGCAGCGCTGCGAACGGAAGGTGATGCAGGCTGATGATGTCCCAGCGGCTCCGACACGGCACGGCCGGCGTGGCCGACTTCCGCTCCCAGCCGCATCAGCTTGCAGCGCCCGGCAAGGTGACACTTGCCGGGTCGAGGCTCCTCGAGGTGCCGTCCCTCGGCGGCCCGCTTCGGAAGCGGCTCTCCAGCCGCAGCGCAGGCGGCGAGAGCGGAGAAAGGGAGCGCGCGGCGCAAGCGCGATTTTTGCTCCTGCAGCGGCTAATCAGATCTCTCTGCGCGCGGTTGCCGACGCCTGCCGGTCGCCATCCTCACGCATCATCCTTCCCACAAGAGGCCGCCTCGCCGCGTGCTGCCTCCTGATGGAAGCTCTTTATGCATCGATGCGCTCGAGAGTGCTGATCCGATTCCATGGGAGGAGCAATGAGGGCCTGGAGTGGCGCACTGCCGGCGGATGTGTGCTGATGCGCGGCCAGCAGCCCAGGCACGCGCGCCTAGCGCCCGGCGGCATCTCCTCGCCGCGGCTGCGGAAGCGGCTGCGGCGCGTGGCTTCCATGCTGCGGGCGGGCGAATTCGCTGCAAGCCTTGCTGCTCGAGGTCATCGTGGAGACCTCACCCCATCATCATTGCTCGAAGGCCTCGACAGTCTTGGCAGATGCACAAGGCTGCAGCATCTCGAGTGGACGCAGCGGCGGAGCTTGCGATGCGAGGAGGCGGCCCGCCGATGCATCGCAATCACCCGGCAGCCGGCTGCGGACGCGCGTGAGCAGATTCTGCCGCCAGCAGGCCAAAACAACGCACCTCCGCTCCTGATGCTGGGGCTGCTCGCTGTTGGCCATGCATGCATCGTCCTCGATCGTTGCTCCCAGCAGCTCTCCTCCCATCGGTCTCAGGCCGCAAATGGCGGCGTCGATGCGGATGGCACCTCGCTCGCCTGATCTTCTCGCGCTCGCCGCGCTTCGGTCGGGCAGAAGCCGCTGCCGCAGCCGCGCTCGGCCGACCGGCGCGTGTTCTTGCCGCCGGCTCTTTGGCGCGCCCCCGCCGGCGGCTCGCGAGTGTCCGGGTCGCGTGTGGCGCGCTCGAGAGGCGCTTTTATCTGATGAAGCATCAGACTGCCGCCGTGCCCGTGCGGCGGGCGAGGCTAGCGCACCGGCGGGCCCTGAAGCGCTGCAGCGCCGGCCGCACTCGCTCGGAGCCGCACTCGCCGTCAAGCGGTGCAGCGCCGTCAGGCCGGCTGGCGAAATGTCGCTCACCGGCGTGAGAAGGAGAGGCGAGCGAGAGAGAGGCCGGCCGGGCCTTGTACTTGTCAAGGCACACCTGCTCCGCTCCCTCCGCTCCTTCCCACCACCTCCCACACTCCTTCACCCTCCCGCACTCCACTGCCCAGCATGTCGAGCGGCCCCGTGGGCAACAAGGTCTTTGCGCCGGCCATCTTCTTCATTGCCTTCCGCGAGGCGCTCGAGGCGTCGCTCGTCATCGGCATCCTCAGCGGCATGCTCGAGAGCCTCGTGCTGCACAAGACCAAGGACTCGCCCACCAGCACGCAGCAGAGCGACGTGGCCGCCGATGAGCTGCGCGAGAAGGAGGCACGGACGCTGATCCGGCGGCTGCGCAAGATTGTGAGTGCACAAGGCAGGCTGGCACACACCGCGGAGCGCCATCGCAGCGCCAGCGGCTCGTGGCTGACTCTGGCTCGCAGGTGATCCTCGGCGCCCTCTCTGGACTGGCCGTCGCCTTTGCCATCGGCGCAGCCTTCCTCGCCGTCTTCTACACGCAGGCCAACGACCTCTACGGCAAGGCCGAGGAGCTGTGGGAGGGCATCTTCTGCCTCATCGCCGTGCTGCTCATCACGCCCATGTCGCTCGCCATCCTGCGCGCCGACAAGAGCCGCGCCAAGTGGCAGAAGAAGCTGCGCAGCGCCTTTTCGCCGCAGACCGAGCAGCCGGCCGTTTCGGAAGCGCCGAGCTCGGACGCTGCGCACAGCCCGGTGCTCGAGAAGTCCCACAGCGGCGGCTCGCCGGGCGAGGAGAAGAGCAACGAGGCGGCCACGCTGCCGACGCTCGCCACGTCCGCTCCGCCGGCGAAGCGCTCGCTCATCACGCGCACCAAGGAGCTCTTCTCGCCGCTGGCGCAGAACCGTCGAGGTGCAGCGGCCATCTTCTTCATCCCCTTCGTCACGACGCTGCGCGAGGGCCTCGAGGGCGTCGTCTTCATCGGCGGCGTCTCGCTCGGCCTGCCAGCCTCGTCGATCCCGCTGCCGGCCATCGTGGGCATCGCCGTCGGCCTGCTCTGCGGCTGGCTCATCTTCCGTGCCGGCACGGTCGGCAAGCACGTCCGCATGTGAGCACGACGATCAGGCCTCGGCTTTGCATGGGCTCACCATCCGTCTCAGCTTCCTGCTCGTCTCGACGTGCGCGCTGCTTCTCATCGCCTCGGGCATGGCCTCGCGCGCCGTCTACTACCTGCAGGTGAGTCGAGCATCCGCCGTTGCGCACCGCCGCATCTCACCCCTTGCTTCCAGTTCTACAGCTACATCCAGCTCGTCGGCGGCTCGGCGGCCGAGTCGGGCGACGGCCCCGGCTCGTACTACCACCGCGGCTACGTCTGGCACCTCGACTGCTGCAACCCCGAGACGAACAGCGGCGGCAGCGGCTGGTCCATCCTCAACGCCCTCGTCGGCTGGAACAACACCGCCACGCTCGGCTCGGTGCTGGCATATGTGTGAGTGATGCAGTTCGCTGGCCTTTGCACACCTGCTGACGTGACATCCACAGCTTCTACTGGCTCGCCATCACGGCCTACCTCGTCTACGCAGCGTGGAAGGAGGGCCGCCTCGGCAAGGCGGTGCGTCGTGTCCGTGGTGGCCCGCGGGCGGCCTCGACCGCCTAGATGAGCGCCTGCAGAAGGCAAGGGTCCCCGCGTCACACGGCCAGAGTCTCAGAGTGCTTCCTAATCGTATCTGTCATGCACACACGAGGCGGGCTGAGGCGATGGCAGAATGGCGTGACATTGGTTGGTTAGCTGGTGCAGATGCGGCGTTGCAGAGAGGTCCCTTTTCTATCGTCTCCTTTCCCGTGATATCGAATGTGTGGTGCGGTGCTGAACGCTGTCTCACGGCTGCTGGTAGTCCTCGACGCTGACGTACTGCTGCGTCTCCTTTGCGCGGCGCTCGCGCTCGCGCCGCTCCTCGGGCGTCTCGTTGAGCTGCTCCGGCAGACGCAGGGCACTCTCGAGCGCCGCAGCCTCGTCCTCCGCGGCTGCTGCATCGGGCTGCGCCTCCTCGTCGTCTGCGCCGGGCGCTCGCCGGCCGTTGGCGGCGCGGGACCGCATCTGCAGATGCGTCGCTGCGGCGGCACGCACGGAGCCCGGGCCTTCCCGGATCCACTGCGCGTGCATGTCCTCGCGAATGGCGCGCGTGGTGCAGAGCGCCTGGTCGTCGTCCGCCTCGTCCTCCCACTCGAGCAGCGTCTGCAGCGTCTCGCCGCAGGCGCAGCCCGACTGCGAGACGTGGATGTTGGCGTACTTCTCCGGCTGCCAGTCGTCGCGGCCGCGCTCCGGCACCGGGTCCGGGTCCGAGATGGAGTAGGTCGGCAAGCGCAGGCTGCGCCACAGACAACAGCAGTGCGGCAGCACCACGCTCCACGACGCCGAGTAGACCAGCGGCTTGGCGTCGGGCGCGCTCGCGTCAGGCCGGAACACGATGCGCACTTCGAGCGTGTGCGAGATGCGGATGGCTGCCTTGCTGTTCGGCAACGTGCTTGGCCTGTGAGAGAGAGGGTGAGCCGTGCCCTTGCGGCTGCGACCGGCCGCACTCACCTGGTCACATCATCCTTTGGTAAGCGCGCGATCCAGCTGCCGTCATACGCGCCGTCGGACGTCTTCTTCGAGAGCATCTCGGCAGCGTCGATCGTGAAGAAGTTGAGCCGCTCGGGCCGCGCTGCCTCTGCGGCAGCAGGTGTGCCTTTCCGTGACTTGACGACCGTGTGCTGCACCAGCGACATGGCAACAGACTCGATCTGTAGTGTCGGCGACGGCGATGGCAGAGACAGAGCGAGACCTGAGGCCAGCCGCGTCAGCGGCGATTGATCAGAGTAGAGGGCTAGGCACTCACGCGCATAGCCGCCGACAGTCAGATGTTGTGACCGCACGACGATGGCGATCGGACCGAGGTGCTCGGCAAAGGAGCCGTGGCTCCGTGCATAGTCCAGCACGCCGTCCTGCGTCGGCACTGTGATCAAGAACATGTCCTGCGACGCGTGTGAGACGGCAATGCTACAGCGCAGTGTCAAGGCTCGCTCACCTTCTCCGCAACGAGCGGCCGCTTCTTGAGCAGGCCGCCGGCAAAGGTCACCTTTGCCGAGAGGCGGTAGTACACGCGGCCCGAGTTGCAGCGCTCGTACGGCGGCGAGTCGTGCGGCACGCGGATGGGGAACTCCCAGCGATACACCTTGCCCGAGCTGAGCGGCATGTTGGCCGCCTGCTCGCAGTTGATCTTGACGGAGAAGGGCGTGTTGGTCTCGTAGAAGCCGCTCGGAAACTGCGTGCGCGTCTCAGCAGGTGGCCTACTGCCCATGTCGCCTATCGCCGACTCACGCCGATGTTCTCCGTCGCCTCAAAGTTGAGCGTCAGCGCCTGGATCTTGCTCGGCGGCGTCGTGCCCGGCGGGATGCTCAGCGCGACGAAGGCGACGAGCACAGCATCGTCCTTGGGCGCCGAGTCGCGCACGCCCTCGGCGTCCGGCGTCGAGCCGGGCCAGAGAAAGACGTGCGCCTCTGAGGTCTCGAGAGCGAGCTCCATGGCGGCGAAAGCGGAGGGCTAGCGCGTTGCGGTAAAAGTGCTGACACGGGCAGCTTGCGCTGTCAGGTATGGACGCGCGTGTGCGGCAGTGTGCTCCTGGCTGGCGCAGACAGAGGACAGGATCGTGCAGGCGCGGGTATCGCGAGTGCGGCGACAGCGCCAGGTGCCCGCGGCGCAGCGCCCTTTTGACGCCCGGCAGCGGGCAGGCCGCGTGGTGCGGTGTGGGCGTGAAAGACCTGGAGGTGACTCGGATGGGTGCGTGCCGGAGGCAGTGGATGTGTGAGTCAGAGGTGCGTGGAACGGGATGGTGGGTGTGCGAAGAAAGAAGACGTGGCGCCGGCACGCTGTGGAGGCGTTTGGCAGCAGCGTTTGGCGGCCCGGCTCGAGGCGAAGCGAGTCGAGTAGAGTAGAGTGGCTTGCTGTTGCGGCGCGCGGCACATCCGCGCGCGGCGGGTGGGAACTTTTCCGCCGAGTCAGCCGCGCCTCCCTCTCGCTGCGCCAACGTCAAATCTCCGCCTTTCTCCCCGCGCCTTTGCCGGTCTCTGCCCGATGGGTCCGCTTCTTCCACCCGTGCGGAACAGCAGACGTACCACGCATGGCCACGGCTGGCTCCCTGCAGCCTTTGCATTGCAAGCCAAGCGCAAACAAGTGGAACCTGCGGCAAGGGCGCCGTCAAGGGGCACTTGCGGCCCGGCACGTCCTTCTCCGGTCACACGTGGTGCCTCTGGCGCAACGCAGCGCCGCAGGCGACCATCAACTCTGCCGACGTCTATGAAGCTCTGCCAGCTGATCCGTTACACTTGGCATGAGATTTCAAGAGCAACCAGTGTCACGCACATGCCGCCTGCTCGCCGTGAAGAGGGAGCCAGCTGCCAGCCGGTGAGGCAAGAGGGCACGTGATTCAGCGCCGCCGCTCCGGACCGGGGCGGCGCATCGGACGCTTCGGCGCGCGGGCCGAAGCGCCGGTGTTGGGCACGGCGGTAATGCCGCGCACGCCTTCCCCGCGCTGGGCCGGCGGCTGCGCCATGCGCCAGCGCGGCACGCACGCCAAGCTGGGGCGCGCATCTGCGCCTCCAGACCCCACACTCTGACTCTCGCGCGCGCCTCGCCTATAAATGCAGCGGGTCCTGCTGCCTCGCCTCCTCACACACCTCACACATACGCGCGCCTTTGCCAGCATGACGCAAATGCATCCGCTTGCACGCTCCGGCTTCGACGCGTCGGGCGCCTCGGGCCTGTACGACCGTGCGCGCCCCAGCTACCCGCCGCAGGCCATCGAGGCGCTGCTGGCCGCGCCGCAGCCGCCCGTGGCCGCAGGCGCACGCTTCAAGATTGCAGAGCTCGGCTCCGGCACGGGCATCTGCACGCGCGTCCTCCTCGACACGCTCGGCAGCGCGCGCCTCGAGCGCCTCACCGCCGTCGAGCCGAGCGCGGGCATGCGCGAGGGCTGGGAGACGGCCGTGCGCCCGCTCGCCGAGCGCGCCGCCGGCGACGCCCAGGTGCAGTGCATCGAGGGCTCGTTTGAGAACTTCGACGCCGGCAGCGACAATGACATTGTCCTTGTGGCGCAGGTGAGCCTCGCAGCTCACTCTAGCGGGCGCTCTGGCGGCTGATCAGCGTGCGCAGGCCTGGCACTGGACGCGCGACTTTGACGGCGCCATCGCCGAGTGCGCCAAGGCGCTGCGTCCGGGCGGCGGTGAGCCTGCGTGAGGATGCCAGATCTGCGCTCCAATGCTGACGCGGCTACAGTGCTGGCGCTGCTGTGGAACCTCGAGGACCGCGACGGCGGTGCGTGTCTCTGCGCAGCGTTCCTCTAGCGCACACTCACACCAGCTCTGCAGCGGCATGGGTCGGCGGCGTCCGCGACCTCTACGAGGTGTACGAGGCTGGCACTCCGCAGTGTGAGGCAGCGCGTCTGACATCCACGCACCCTTGCTCTGCTCACCTCCGCGCCTAGACCGCCACATGTACTGGCGCGAGCCGACGAACAACTCGCCGTCCATGGCCGCCTTCGAGAAGCTCGAGCCGCAGCACTGGACGCGCACCATCCCCACCACTGTCGAGGGCGTCAAGGACCGCATCCTCAGCAAGAGGTGCGCGCATAGAGGCGCTGTCCGTGCCGTCCACCTGCTCATGTTGCCCTCCTTCCAGCTACATCACCGTGTCGCCCAAGGACGAGCAGGAGAAGCTTGCGGCGAACGTCGAGAAGCTGCTGACCGATGAGAAGACGGAGAAGACGTGGATCAACAAGGAGGAGGGCACCTTCGAATACGTGCGTGTCCCGTGCAGCGCCCGCACAGACCCTCGCTGAACTTTCCACTCCCCGGCGAACTGCAGCCCTACCGCACCGGTGAGCACGCCGAGAAGCAGAGATTGCCGGCCCTGCTGACTCTCCATCCGCGTCCAGACCTGCACCTTTACCGCAAGAAGTAGAGCCGAACAATAGAATGCCTGATGCTGGACCCCGTGGAGAAGAACAGGTCGCGTGTGCTGTGTGGAGGGAATGTGCACCTTGTGGAGCCCCGCAACGCCTCGTTCTCTCAGTCGCATGACACTTCCCAGCACGAGGCTGCAGGGTTGCGCGGGAGCCACCTTCCTAGCTGGACATTCCCGGCTGAGCAAGTCTTGGCAACGCGGAGCTGACCGAGCGGACCGGCGGAGCGGTGACATAGGCCGGCGACAGCGAGCGGCATACCGGTTGCACTGCTGCGGGGTGGAGCACAAGGTTTGCACCGCGTGCGCCAGCAGGCCCCAGGGAGAGAGCGCGTGGACGCAGCGTCGCCTGCAGAGAGGGCAGAGAAGACCGAGGCCGTGGCTTCAGTCTTCAGGCACCGCCCTGCCCTTAGCTCAGGCACGTGGCGGCCGGACGAAGCGGCTAACGGCCGCAATTCTCATGTGTCAGGAGGCGCGGGAGTGCGGGAGTTGGAAGGACGTTCCTCGTGGCGGCTGCTGCGGCTTTGTCGTCGTATGCGGACCCTGTATGCCTGCGCTGCCGAGCAACACTTGCGCGGAGGAACAAGTTCCCCGCATGTTGAGCGCAGGCGACCTCGGGGTCACGCCGCTGAAAGTGCTGCTGAGCGTCACAGCACCCGAGGCGGGGAGTAGGAGTTGCATCTTGCATCGCCGTCCATCTGGGGCAGGATGCGACAGGAGCAGCAGGACGAGGCACGCGCGTGCATGACGCCATGCTGCACTGCTCCTGTGCACTCTCTCCGCAGTCTTGCGCCTGACAAGCCACTCGCCCACTGCCTTGGCGAGACGAGGGCGACATTGCCGAAGGAGATCGCCGGAGATCCTGGCGCCCGGGCACTGCCGCGTGGATGCTGCTGCGGCACAGACGAGAATGCCGAGGCTGCGCATGCGCCTGACTTCCGTCCCCGCCGCAGGATCCCAGCGGCAGAGATGCAGGACAGCACACGCGCCGCCCGCGTCGCTGCTCCTCCGCCGTCGCGACACACTCGCTGTACATCGGCCATGCACATGGCCGAGCGTGCTGGCCTGTCAGGTACGCCGCGCCAACCCCGCAGCTTGGCGGGCGTAACTGCGGCGCAGATGATGCTGCGCATGGTGTTGAGCTCTACTGCATCCCGCACATGCACGGCGCCCGCGCCGGCGCAGGCCCAATCGAGAGAAGCTAGTATGCGGTACACAGGAGGCATGCTGATGCTGCGCTCACAGCTGCGCTGCGTGCGGCGAGGACGGCACAGCGCAGCGGCGCTGCTGTGCGATGGCCGGAGGGCCTCGCCTAGCGTGCCTCGCTCGGCATTCTCTCGTGTTTGCAGCGCGTGGCTGCATGCTGCTCCAGAGCGCAGCGGAGAGGCTGAGATGCAAGAGCAAGGCCGAGAGGCACTTGGCCTGCGCTGCTGCGTCATGACAGCGCGGGGCTCCGGGCTGCGCGCCGAAAGCGCCGGATGCCGTCGAGCAGCATGCTGCTGCAGCGCCGCAGATGCCCGCGCCTGCTCGGCCCCGCGAGCGCCGCTGTTCTGCGCAGACGCCTGGCGTGCGGCGCGCCTCCTCCTCGAGCGCGCGCTCCTCTGCGCCGCTGCCGCGACAGCCACCCGACGGCTGCAGCTCCGCTGTCTCGGCGCTCTCTCGCGCGCCTCGCTCGTGCGGGCGCCGGTCCGGATGCGCTGCTGCATGCGCGGCCGCTCGCCGTCAGGTTCTTAAGCAGCGCGATCCAGCTCTGCTTCCCCGCATCTCCTCGTCCCACAGCCCTCCCCTTCCCCGCACCGCAACACAACACCCGACCGCCCGGACCGGCACTCACCTCGCTCCTCCGCGTCCACTCCCAGCCCCCGCCGCACCCACCAGCCTCTGCGCGCGCCCACCATGTCGACGCACAGCTCCGAGAAGGACAAGGCGTACGGCGCCATGCACAAGACCAACTCGCCCGTCGACGAGAAGGCGCCGGCGCCCGTGCTGCGCGCCGCCGCCAGCGAGATCACGACGTGGTCGCTGCTGCTCGGCCTTGCCATCTGCATGGGTGAGTGAGAGTGGGCGGTGGTGAGGGAGCGAAGGAGGGCTGCGCGCGGCGCGGCGCGCGTGCATGGCGAGTGCGCCAGCCGCGCGCGCGCACACGTCCGCGTCGCCATCTATTGCACCTGCTCCGGCGCGCGACCCGCTCTTTCGACGGCATCCCACTGACGCTCGTCCCTTCCAGGTGGCTTCCTCTTCGGCTACGATATCGGTGTCATCTCCGGCTGCCTCGTCATGCCTGACTTCGTGCGCCGCTTCGGCGGCGTGTACGTCGCGCGCGACAACAGACTCGAGCTGCCCGACGACATCTCGTGCGTATTCCAGTCCTCTGTCTGCATCCTCGGCCTGCTCACACCCTGTCCTGCAGCTCCCTCATCACCGCCACGCTCAGCGTCGGCACTTTCGTCGGTGCCCTCGCCCAGGCGCCCGTCTCCGACCGCTGGGGCCGCAAGGTCTCGATGATCATCTGGGCCTTCTTCTTCCTCGCCGGTGCTGTCGTGCAGACCGCCGCCTCGACCCACGTTGAGCAGCTGTACGCCGGCCGTGTGCTCGCCGGTCTCGGCGTCGGTGCGCTCTCCGGTCTCTGCCCGCTCTACCTCTCCGAGACGGCGCCCAAGGCCGTGCGCGGTCTCATGATCAGCTGCTACCAGTTCATGATCATCCTCGGCATCTGCGTCTCGTACGGCATCACGTGGGCCAGCAACAACCGCAACGAGGACCAGGTCGGCTGGCGTGTCCCGATTGGCTTCCAGATCTTCTTCGCCGTCGCCCTCATCGCCCTCATGCTGCCGCTGCCCGAGTCGCCGCGCTGGCTGCTGCAGCGCGAGCGCGACGACGACTGCCGCCGCGTCATGGCCAACATGCGCGGCCTCACGCTCGACAACACGGCCGCGGGCCTGCGCGGCAGCCCCGCCATGGAGCAGGACTTCGAGGACATGGCCGAGGGCATCCGCGCCGAGGCCGACGCGTTTGCCGGCACCAACTTCTTCACCGCCTACGCGCTCTGCTTCTCGCGCAAGAACCAGATGTGGCGCCGCACCGGCACGGCGATGCTCATGCAGCTCCTGCAGCAGCTCAACGGCCAGAACTTCTACTACTACTACGGTCCGATCTTCTTCAGCCGCGCCAACGTCGCACTGCAGCCGCTGCAGATCCAGTTCATCTTCGGCATCGTCTCGCTCATCTGCACGATCCCGGCCCTCTACCTCATTGAGCGCATCGGCCGCCGCAAGATGCTCATCACCGGCGCCATCGTTGAGGGGTGAGTCGTGTGCTCCGTGCGCATCGCGCGGCTCGAAGCTGACGCGTCCAACTCTCAGATCATGCGCCTTCATCGTCGCCTTCCTCGGCCGCTACGCCCTCGCACCCACCGGTGTCACCCCCAACTCGTCGCAACTCGCAAGTGGTAGAGCGTTCATTGCAGCGGCTGTGATCCACCTTGCCGGTTTCTCGATGACTTGGGGCCCCGTGCCGTGGGCGCTGTGCGGAGAGCTCTTCCCGCAGCACCTGCGCGCCAAGTCGATCTCCCTGGCCTCTGGTACGTCCTTTTTCCCTCTCTCTGATGCTCTCACGCTCACTCTGCGTCCCTCTAGCGACGAACTGGCTCTGGAACTTCCTCCTCTCCTTCTTCTCGAACAAGGTCGCCTCGAAGTACGGCACCTTCATCATGCTCATCTTCGGCTCGATCCTCTTCACCGCGGCGATCATCGTCTTCCTGATCGTGCCCGAGCTCAAGGGCCTCACTCTGGAGCAGGTCGACGAGATGTTCGAGGACCGCTCGATCAAGCCGTGGAACAGTGGCAAGTGGATGCCGACGACGGGCGCGCAGAACCGCGACACCCTCAGCGGCCTGCCGTGGCAGAAGAAGAAGAACCACAGCGAGCTCTAAGGGCAAGCTTCAGGGTCTCCTTTCGCTGCTCTCCTTGTCACATTGCATCTGGTGCGTCCAGGAGGCTCGATCGTACGGTCCACGCCTCGGGACGAGACGCGCGTCCATCCCCTTCCCACCTCTCCCGCTTGCGTCAAATGTACTTTCATACCTGCTCCGGGGCTCCAGCTACGAATCAATCAGTACCGCTGCATCCAACACCCGTCTGATTCTGGTCTGCTCGGTCTGGTATGCCTGCGCCACCGAGTGACGAGCGACAAGTGAGCTCGGAGGGGCGAGAGCCAGTGAGGAGGGCGACATTGGCGCGTCCCGGCTGCTCCCACGCTCCCGCGTGCCGCAGGCGAAAACAGGCTTGCAGTGGCTGTATTCGGCGCGTGCAGAAGTTGTATGCGGCAGGTGTGGAGTTGTATTCAGGCGCAGATTCATCTTCTATTAGCCGCACGGCATGCCGCGGCGCGCTGGCAGGCAAACAGCACGGGCGGCCCGCCGAGGCTCGGCTGGCTCGGCTCCACCTCGCGCCTCCTTTCGCCGCGCCCAGACCACGCCTGCCGTGCTGCACCACCTCTCCTGCTCACTCCATCCTCAGCCTGCCGTCTCGCCCGCAGCACCGCACCTCTCCATCACCGCGGCTCGAGCGCACATCGCTCATCTGCCTGTCATGCCGCCGGACAGCGGCGCGTCCAGCGCCGCCTCGGCCAACCCCTCAGCCGGGCCCTCTGCGCCCGCCGCCGCCTCGTATTCCGGCAGCACCTCGGCCTCGCCGCTCTCCTCGCCGACGGCGGCATCGACGCGCCTGTGGTCCTCGCATCTCTCGCCCTCCTCGACGGCCTCGTCTGCCGCGTCGTCTGCGTTCGAGCGGCGGCCCACGCGCCGCCGCGTGCCGTCCTTCGAGGAGTTCCGCGCCCAGGAGCCGCCGCAGGCTCGCCTGATCCGCCTGCGCGGCCTCTTCGACGTGCTGCTCGATGCGCCCGACGCCTCGGCGCTGGCCGATGGACGGGCTAAGCAGGAGTGGCACCGCAGCGCCTCACGGGCGCGCCTGGGCGCCGGCGGCAAGTATGCACGCGGCAGCATGGCGCCGCCCGGCCGCGCCGACGGCGAGCTGGAGGATGCGGCACAGCTGCAGCAGCAACAACAGCAGGGCGTCTCGGCGCCGCGCCAGAGCTATGCCAGCGAGCTGCTCGACCAGTGCCGGGCATGCAGGGCCGAGCTGGAGCGGGAACACGAGCGCGAGCGCAGCGAGTGCGGCGACGGCTGGACCGCCTGGATCCCATTCATGGGCTCGTCGAGCGCCAAGGGCGAGCAGAAGAAGCCGGAGAAGAGCTGGGCAGAGACGTTCGGCATCGGCTCGTCCTCATCCTCGCCCGCCGCGTCCGGCTCTTCGTCCTCTGGCGCCGCCTCTGGCCCGGCCTCGACACCGCCAGAAAATGGTAGCGCCTCCTCGCCGCAGTCTGATCTTGGCTCGGATCACGAGGGAGAGGCAGGCTGGGTCGGCTCGGGCGTGTGGGGCCTCTCGGCCGTCGGCGCCGCACAGCGGGACCGCGACCGCGAGCGCGACCGGCACGTGGAGATGGGCAAGGATGTGCAGGACGACGGCGGCCGGCGGCAGCGCATGATCGAGTGGGAGGGCTTTCTGCGGTACTCGGACATAAAGGAGCGCCGTGAGTGTGATCAGCCGGCCGTTCAGAGGCGTATGGGCTGACGCATGCTGGCAGAGCTGTATGCCATCTTCACGGAGCTGGACAAGAACGGCGACATGCACCTCGACTACACCGAGATCCGCACGGCGCTGGACCGCGCTGGTGAGTAATTCAGCTCCCGCCTCATGCCGCCGCGATGCTCATGCCGCTGTATCAGGCATCGAGCTACCCGAAGCGGCACTGGAGGACTTTGTCGCTAGCATGGCCGCCTCGTCGCGCTACCAGTCTGCGCGGCCAGAGAGCATCTCCTTTCCGCAGTTCCGCGACTACCTGCTGTTGCTGCCGCGGAAACCCAGCGTCAACGAGGTGCGTGCGCTGTCCGCAGTCTCTGCGCCTCTGCCTTGACTGACACGCTTGGCACAGATCTACCGCTTCTACCAGGTGCGCAAGGCCTTCGGCCTCTTCGGCGCCAAGGGCATCTTTGCCAGCTTCAGCGAGAACTGGGGCCGCGCGGAGCGGCATGGTGCCACGGCCGTGAACCTCGACGGCGATGTGAGCCTGGCCGGCGAGGAGCGCAAGAAGGCCGCTGCAGGCGCAAATGCGAGCGCAAGCTCGAACAGCAGCAATACGGTCGCCACGAGCGGCGCAGGCACTGGCTCGGGCACGGGCAAGGCCATTGCGACTGCACCCGCTGCGGAAGACGCCGCGTCGAAGGCTGCTGGCGAGCCGGCGTCGGCGGGCCAGGCCGCGTCGGAGGAAGAAGAGGAGGACGACTCGGACATGATCCATGGCGACGTCGCCGTCAAATTCCTTCTCGCAGGCGGCATCGCCGGCGCGGTGTCGCGCACTGCCACGGCGCCCTTCGACCGTCTGAAGATCTACCTCATCACGACCGGCTCGGCATCCTCGTCGTCTGCCTCGCCTCTGAAGGCCGTCGTCGGCGGCCCAAAGAGCGCGAGCATGCTCGGCGAGGCCATTCGCGCGCTCTACCGCGACGGCGGCGGCCTCAAGTCCTTCTGGGTCGGCAACGGTCTGAACTGCGTCAAGATTTTCCCAGAGAGCGCAATCAAGTTCCTCAGCTACGAGATGTCGAAGCGCGCCTTTGCCAAGTACGTCGACGGCGTGCACGACTCGCGCGACATCAGCGGCGTGAGCCGCTTCGTGAGCGGAGGCATTGGTGGCATCACGAGCCAGCTTGGTGAGTGAAGCTGCGTCGCATCTCGCATCTGGTGCTGACTCGGAGCCTCCAGCCATCTACCCTGTCGAGACGCTCAAGACGCGTCTCATGTCGTCGCAGTCCTCCTCTGCGCCCTCGTCCGCGCCTCGTCTCGTCGGCAACGCCCTCGTGCGCGCCACCGCGCGAGACATGTGGAACGCCGGCGGCATCCGCACCTACTACCGCGGCCTGACGGCTGGCCTGATCGGCGTGTTTCCGTACTCGGCCATCGACATGTCGACGTTCGAGGGCATCAAGCTGTTCTACATTCGCTACACCGGCAAGGAGGAGCCTGGCGTGCTGGCACTGCTGGCATTCGGCAGCGTGTCGGGCAGTGTGGGCGCCACGACTGTGTACCCTCTCAAGTGCGTGTTGCAGACTGTCTGGCGATGCGATGAAGCTGACCGCCTCGTCTCGCAGCCTCGTCCGCACGCGGTTGCAAGCAGCAGGCACGCCAGCACATCCACAGACGTGCGTATGCTTCTCCTCTTCTGCACCAGGCGAAACCGGCGCTGACGACGCACACAGCTACACCGGCTTCGCAGACGTCGCGCGCCGCACGTACGCGGCCGAGGGTGTCAAGGGCTTCTACCGCGGCCTAGTGCCGACACTAGCAAAGGGTGCGTCGCGCCGCTGTCTCTCTGCGCTTGCAGCTGACGCCCTTCTGCCTTCCTCCAGTCGTGCCGGCTGTGTCGATCTCCTACGTTGTGTACGAGCACAGCAAGCGGCATCTCGGAGTGCAGTAATGCTTCATCTTCTCCCTTCGCCCTATTCTACTATCCTGCTCTCTTCTCTCTCCCACACTCCCTTTGGCGTCACCGCCGCCGCTGCTCCATCAAATGATTAATAGATCATCCCAGTCCACCACCGCGCCGTGCGTCTGCTGCGCTCAGTACCCGTCGCCCTCCGTGCCCTCCGGCGAGAAGCCGCACTGCTCGCGCAGCAGCCGTTCCCGCGTAGCCTGTGCGACGCGCTTGGCTGCCTCGTCGGCCTTGTGCGCGGCCATCAGCTGCGGCAGCGCCGCTGGCGGTAATGGCACGGCGGCCGGGTGCGGGATGTCCTCGCGGTCGAGGTCCTGAGCGTGCGTCAGTGACTTGACTGACGGCACTGTGGCGCGGCAGCCGCTTTGAGGCCACCAGCAGGGCCATGTTGGCGCGGGCGTTGCATCGCAAGTGCTAGGGGCACAGGTCCGGCAGCTGGAGCGCCGCAGCTCACCGCAGCAGACCAGTCCGCGCTGGCGCCGGTCGTTTGCGCTGCACAGGCGTCCGCAGAGCAACGTCAGGCACACAGAGTAGCTGAGCCAGCGCATCGCGACCAGCAGTATCTGCTTGCCTCGTCCTGTCCGAGAGCTGCAGCTCGTCGTTTTCTCCACCCTCTGACGGCGCTCGCTGCACCCTTCACAACGCAGCCCGCCGTTTGGCAACAAGAAGAAGCACTCACGATCTCGCCCAGCAGCACCACGTTCTCTCCGCGCACGAGGAACAGCCCCCGCGGAATGTCGCCATACCGGTTCCCGACGGCAATGCGCTCTACGGCATCTTGCAGCACCAAGTTGGCTAGTCCATGCCCGTCAGACAGCGCTGCGGGTTGGGTAGAGCGGCCAAGCACATACCGAACTGGTCGAATGACCGGAAGACGCCGATCAGCTTCCGCCCGTCTCTCAGGATAATGAGCACCTTCTCTGCTCGCGTATGCCAAGCCAGAGCGGACAGAGCAACGTGCGTGTGGAGTGAGCAGCAGCGGGTAAGGAGGAAGAGACGATCGGAAGGGAGCTAGATCAGCAGATGCACTCTCAGCAGCGCGCAAGGCGACGCACTGTCGATGCAGTCCACCAGCGAGCCCGACGTGGTGAATGCGACGTGTGCGAGGATGGAGTCCGGATCCATCGCTGCGATGCCGTTGCGGAACGAGAGGAGAGATCGAGGTGGGAAGGCAGGTGTGGAGAGGCGCGGCAGGAGCGGCGATTTGGCACGCCGCGCGACCCGTTGAATTCGGACTACGGCCCGCACTTGTATTCGGCGGCGCTTACGGTGCATGCGGCGGGGTGGCCCATGCACCTCGAGACCCATCAGACCGCGCTCTCTGTCTTTTGTGCCGCTCCACCTGCTCCTTCATCTCCTCTCGTCTCCAGAAGCGGGCAACACTCCAGTCCTCTCGCACCACACGCTCGCCACACACATCGCCAGCCAATAGCTAAGCCGCGTGCAGCCCTTACGATGGCGGACCTCGCCCAGTGGCGCGCCGCGGCCACGCGGCGCATCTTCCAGGTCACCCTCTCCGTGCGTGTGTGGGCGCACGCTGCCGAAGCTGCGCAACTTGGGGCTGACACCTGCGCATTCTCGCAGCGAGATGAGGCCGAGCGCAGCGACTGGTATCTGACCTACCTCAAGGAGCTGGCCGAAGAGCTGCGCTCCGAGAATGGCGACGCATGTGAGCCGCACGCAGCTCAGCAGCAGAAGCAGCGCTCTGACCGCCACCTGCACAGTGCCGCCGCTCAGTCCCGAGATGGCAGACCGCATCCTCACTGCGCGCCTCCTGCTTGACCCGACGGGCGACGTCATGTCGGACGACGGCGAGAAGCTGCAGGTGCTGGCGAGCCTCGATGAGAACATGACGAGCTGGGACTGGCTCGTGGGCTGCTGGCGGAGATGCCGGCTGGAGGAGGGCAAGGTGCGGAAAGTGAGTGGCAGGGAGTGTACGAGCGCTAGAGCGTATGTGCGACAGAGCATGCTGACGCGAGGTGCAGGCGCTTGGGCCGCAGGCCGCCACGGGACAGAGCGACCTCGACTCGATTCGCACTCTCCTCACATCGTACATGGGCCTCGTCCTGCAGGACTCGTCGGCGTTCCCCAAGGCGTCGAAGGGCTCGCTTACGGTCTCGTCGCTCTCGCTGCTGCCTTCGCTGCTGAAGGAGTCGACGGGTTCGGCGGCCGCGTCCGACCCGTACGCCTCATCATCATCTTCCTCCACTGTTCCGACAGTCGGCAGGGACAGCTGGGCGACCATCGATGCAGTCGACCTGCCTCTCTTCCTGCGAGAGCTCACCGAGCGCTTCGCGGACGACGGCATCGCCGAGATCATCGAGCCTGTCTTGTGCGAGATCACGCGCCGCGTGCGCGATGGCCGCGAGTCCGAGGCGCAGGCAGGCGAGGCGAGCGGCTCGGGCGCCGGGGTGGATCGTGCGATGCAGGAGGCAGCGGCTGCCGGCGATGTCCAGGCTGTGCTTGCCAGGCTACTGGCAGGTGGAAGTGCTGGTGCGCCGCCGGCCGCCGCAGCAAAGAGGACGCAAGGCATGACAATTGATGGGCTGGACTGGCGGAGCCACATGACGGCACTGGTCGAGTGCGCTGATGTGAAGCCTCTCGCCGCGGTGGTGAGTGTGCCCTGGAGCATGACACCGCCACAAAGCGCCTAATTCGCCTAATTCTCTCTCTCGCCAGATCGCAACCCTGCCGTCGTTCAACCCGCAAGATGTGACACCAGCGACGCTCGAGCTCAACGCGCTTCTCGGCCCGCTGCTGCGGCTGTCGTGCTTCGCGGACGTGGCACCTGGGCTGGCCACGCAGTACTTTCCTGACATCAAGCGCCGCGGCGAGGTCGAGACAGGCATGTCATCACTGCGCTCGACGCTCGGACTCGTCCACAACTTGCACTTCCGCCTGCTCAACTCCTGCGTACGCTCCGGGCCACAGGGCAGAGAGGGCGTGGTGGGCTTCCTTGCGCGCGCCTGCGAGCTCAACAAGCGGCGAGGCGTCATGCGCGTCAAGGCGCGCGAGGTGGCTACCGACGGCTTCATGGTGAACCTCTTCGACACTGCGCTGCGCTTCTCAGAGCCCTTTATGGACCCCAAGTACAGCAAGGTAAGCGGCATCCACTTTGGCCAGAGAGTGAGCCTTGCTGACCGCCTGTCGCTAGATCGATCGCATCGACTCGGGCTACTTGCGGCGACAGAAGCGCTACGATGTCTCAACGCTCACGCGCCTGAGCGCGGACGAGGCCGAGGCGAAGAAGTGGAGCGAAGAGGGCGAAGGTGCGTCCTGCTCTGCCTGCCAACAGGCGCTGCTGCTGACGCTTGATGCCACAGACTTTGCCGCGCCGCCGAACTTCATCACCGAGATCTACTACATCACGCTGCGCCTCTCGAGCCTCGGCATGTCCAAGGCGCTGCGCAACTTCAACGAGCGCGCCGAGGAGCTGCATCGCATGAAGAAGCGCGCCGACGAGTACGAGGCAGACCGCGGCACATGGGCGTCAGACCCAAATGCGGCGCAGTACGAAGCGTTCATCAAGAAGGCGCGCACAGAATGCCAGCGCAGCGAGGCGATCATGGCGGCCACCGAGACGCAGCTGCTCGAACCGAGCTACATCGACCGCGTCCTGACGTTCACGAGCTTCGTGATGACGTGGCTTGTGCGCATGGCGGACCCGCTCGAGCAGCACCCGCAGAAGGAGGTGCAGCTGCCGCTGCCGAAAGAGGTACCCGAGCGCTTCCGCATGCTGCCCGAGCACATCTTTGAGGATGTGTGCGAGACGCTCATCTTCCTCGGCCGGTGAGTGGGTGATCCGGAGCCTGAGCTTGCGACGCGCTGACATGTGCCCGGCAGGTACAAGCCCGACTGCCTGCCCGAGGCCGTCAAGAACGATCTCATTACATTCTGCGTCACGTTCCTGTCGTCGGGCTGGTACATCAAGAACCCGTTCCTGAAGGCCAAGCTTGCGGAGGTGGGTCGCCACAGCAAGCGTCGCTGGCACTCTGCACCAACTGACGATGTTCTGCTCAGATCCTGTACTTCTTTGTGCTGCCATACGGCAGCCAGCCTGTCGGCTTCCTCGGCGAGCTGCTCAACTTCCACAAGCTCGCGCTGAAGCACCTCGTGCCCGCGATCATGTCGTTCTGGGTCGAGGCCGAGTCGACGGGCTCGCACACGCAGTTCTTCGACAAGTTCAACATCCGCTACCACCTGGCGCAGGTGTTCAAGGTCGTGTGGAAGGCGCCCGCACACAAGGAGCGTCTGCACGCCGAGGCGCAGGCCAACGTCGACACGTTCATCGTGTTCGTCAACCGCCTGCTCAACGACGTGACATTCCTGCTCGACGACGCGCTCGAGCGTCTGGCCGCGCTGCACAAGCAGCAGCTCGAGATCGACGACACGGCTGCGTGGGAGGCACGCACGCAGGAGGACCGCACCGAGCACGAGGGCCACATGCGCGGCAACGCCGGCCACGCACGCAGCATGCTCCAGTACGGCCACACCTTCCTCGCCGCGCTCATCGACTTCAGCGCCGAGGACGGCCGGGTGCGCGACGCATTCATGCAGCCCGAGATCGTCTCGCGCCTGGCGCCCATGCTCGACTACACGCTCGACACGCTCGCGGGCCCACGCTGCCAGGAGCTCAAGGTCAAGGACCCGAAGAAGGCCGGCTTCGACCCCAAGCAGCTGCTGCGCCAGATCCTCAGCGTCTTTCTGAACTTTGCGCCTCGCGACGAGTTCGCCGAGGCCATGGCTCGCGACGAGCGCAGCTACCGGCGCTCGATCTTCGAGAAGGCGGCGTCCATCGCCGAGCGCCACATGCTCAAGAGCCCGCCGGAGCTGGAGCAGCTCATGGCGCTCGTCGCACGCGTCGACGCCGTGCAGGCGGCCGACCTGGCGGAGGAGGAGGACCTTGGCGAGATCCCAGACGACTTCACGGGTGCGTGCGCTTCGAGCTTCGCTGTGCGCCCTGTGCTGACCCTGTGACCGCCGACAGACCCGCTCATGGCGACGCTGATGAAGAACCCGGTGCAGCTGCCGAGCTCGAAGGCGATCGTCGACCTGTCGACGATCAAGTCGCACCTGCTTTCGGACGCCAACGACCCATTCAACCGCGTGCCGCTGAAGATCGAGGACGTCATTCCTGGTGCGTCTCGCCTTGCTCGGCATCCCTGCACACCTCGCTAACAGCCCTCCTCGCAGCGACCGAGCTCAAGGCGCAGATCACCGCCTGGCTTGCCGAGCGCAAGAAGGCAAAAGCAGATGCCGACGCTGCAGCCCAGGCCTGAGCGGCCACACCCTAACCCCGCAATGACCACCCATCAGTGTGACGTGAGCGGGCTTGATTATGCGTGTGCTGTGGAGCGATGCAGGGGTCGGATGCAGAATACAGAATACAGATGTGGCGCAGAGGCGAGATGCAGCAGGGAGCAGAGACTACGGCAGCGGCTCGAGATTTGAGCCGAGCCAGTGCATTTCGGGCACCACCTGCCGACCAGACGTGAGCGACAGCATGCTGAGGGCTCAGCACTTGCTCTCACCTTGGCGACGACGACGCCCTTGAGCAGGCCGAGTGGCACTGGCCCATAGTGCCGGCTGTCATTGGACATCGGCAGATTGTCGCCGACTGAGCAAGGACCGGTCAGCCCAAGAGCTCCACACGTGGCCGGCACCGCGAGAGCGCAGAACAAGGGCGCGGCCGGCGCTCCTGTGTCCCTCTGGCGCCCGCACTGGAGCATGCCCTCGCCTCTACAGTCGTCTGACTCACCAAGCCACATATGCCCGCGCGGCACCGTGATGTAGCGGGCCGCGCCGTGCTCGGGCGGCCCCACCTCCTCGTCGAGGTCCTCCTCGCGCGTGCTGTCCAGCCACGGCTCCGTCTCGCACGATGATGCGCGGGGATCGAGCAGCACTGTATCGCCTTCCAGGCCCAGCACGCGCTTCAGCACCTGCCGGTCGGGGTGCGTGACGGACGTGGCGACGACGAGGTCGCCGAGGCGCAGCATCGAGCCCTTGCCCTTGCCCTTGACGCCGCCGGCGTCCGTCTCGCCGCGCCAGGCGCGCCAGCGGGCACAGAGCGCCGGCCGCACGACGACGACAATGTCGCCGCGCAGCGCCAGCGTCGGCATCATCGACGTGCCCTCGGCGCGCTGCACCTGCGCCACGTTGTCGCCGATGAGGATGCTGACGCACACGACCTGCGCCATGCGGACGGCGATGGGCCGGGCGACCTGCAGCATGTGGCGCTGCGTCCGCCAGAACGACGCCATCTCGCAGGCGGCAGCCGGGTGTCGCTGGGCGCAGTGGTCGGGTGTGCGGAGGTGTGGGTGTGCGGCGGATGAGGTGAGGAAGCAGGCTGTGGACGCGCGCTGGCGCCGCATGACACGAGCACGCGACAGGGCCCGATGCGCTTTCTTCTCGCGGCGGGGAGCGCGCCGAGCTGCGGCTGCGCCCCCAGGGCATGCCACGCCACCAGCCCCGCACGAGGTCACTGCGAGCACACGACATCAAGTGAGGGCGTTCGATAGCATTGAGCACGCTGCATCTCAGGCCGGCGGCTGCGGCACAAATGCGAGCGGGTAGTACCACGGCGAGTACTTGTGCTTGCTGCGGGCAGAAAGGAGAGCTCAGCAGATAGACGCATGCAGCGCAAGCAACAGCCACGCACTTGTACACCATCGCCGGCGGGTCGATGAACTTGGCCGGGTAGCGCCACGTCGCTGGGATGTGCTCGTCGCCGACAATGTGCGGGCGGCTGTCGACGTCCGGATTGAGCAGGGCGCCGATCGGCGGCACAACAAGCTTCATCGTTTGAACTGCGGCGAGAGATTAGTCGAAGCATGACAGAGAGCACGGAGCACGACTCACGCTCGGTGTCCGTCACCTGATGGGCATGACATGGTGAGCATCGACACGCAAGCCGCCCCGCCAGCACTCACAGTGTAGCGCGACACGCGGACATAGCCCACACGCTCGAGGCCGCGGAAGCCCAGGTACTGGCACCAGCGGCCGTCGTCGCCGGCGTGCACGTCGTGGATCTTGCCGTCCTCGAAGATGATCTTGTACGGCGCCGGCCGCTCGGCGTGCGGATGCGTCACGACGTACGCCAGCAGTATCGCCGGCGCAGGGTAGGCGTCGCGCAGAATGCGCGCGATCTCGGTGCTCTGCAGCTCGCGGTCGAGCGGGTCCTCCTCCTGGCCGTTGTGGCTGTCGGGAGATGTCAGCTTGGCGCGAGAGGGCGATGGTACGGCTTCTCTCACCTGACGACGACGTGCTGCAGGAGCGCTAGTCAGCGTCTTGGCGTACAGGGCATGATCGAACGACTCACAGTGTGCACTCCGTAGATGTCGAGCACCGCATGGATGGCCGGTGCGAGCTTCATGTCGCCTGTCAGCATGCGTGACCGCAAGAAAGTGCATCATGCTCACCTCTCCGTGCGGCGAAGGCAGCAGGTAGTGCGTCGAGTTGACGATCGGGAACTTGGAGAGCAGCACACAACCCCACGTGTGCTTGTCCGGGCCCGGGCCGATGTCGGCGTACATGCCAAGCGACTCGGCAAGGTGCTGTGTCAGGTCGCGATTGCCGAACACTAGGGGCTGCGCGTCAGCGGCAAGGAGGCTTCGAGCCCTTCGACAAGACGCACCAGAGCGGTGCAGGTCCGTCTCGAGCAGGCCGAACACATCGACCTCCATGTCCTTGAGCAGGTTTGACATGCGCCGCGACGAGTCGTACATGCTCTGGTCCAGGCCGAAGTGCACCGTCCAGATACCGGCAGTGAAGAGCCGGTCAGGTGCGTGGTACGGCACGATGGACGTCTCGGGCACGCCGCGAAGCGAGGCGACGGCGCGTGCTGCCAGCGTCATGAACACGACGATCGGCGCCGACAGGCTGGCGAGGCGGGCGCTGTGCTTGGAGAAGCCGGCACGCAGGCGATGGGCGCCTGGCGAGCTGCGAGCGCGCAGCAAGCCGGCAGCCAGGAGCACGAGCTGCCCGATCATCATCCTGTGCGGGACGGTCAGCATTCGTCTAATCAACGCGGCTGGGCTCTACTCACGCGCCGCTGTGCTCGCGGAAGACTTGCCCGCCGGGCACGAAGGCGTACGCCGCAGTGAGCACCGAGAAGAAGGTGAGCAGATCGGCGACAAGCCAAGCGCCGATCATGATGCGCAGCGGGTGATGGCGCATGGTGGCGCTGATGATAGGCCCAGCCAGCGGCGGCAGGAAGGCAGCAACGCCCAGCGCGCCGTAGAAGCCGGTCCAGTCCTCGAAGCGCAGAAGCACGAAGCTGACGCCCGAGCCAGCAGCGAAGAAGAGCGGGTTGACGCCGAGTCCCGGGATAGCCAACGACGCGAGCAGCGAGATGCCTGATGCAGCGAGGATGATTACGCCGTGCGGGATAGCCATCGGACTGCGGCGAGGCGTGAGCGATGCCTCCAGCGATTTCGGACAGAGATGCTCACCCCTTGACAGGCCATCCGGTCCATGTCCACGCAATCATGGTGCCGGAGTCGCTCAGGAACGTATGCAGGGCGTAGATGAGTGCACCCATGCCAGCAGCGGCCGTGAATGCCGAAGACCAAGACTCGGCTCGCCGCGCGGAGCGCCCAGCCGCAGCCTGCTGCTGCGGCCGGCTGATCCGCTCTGCTGTGGCAGCGACTGCGAGCACGAGGCCGACGACGTTGTGGCCTCCGTTGCCGGCGTGTAGGAAGGGCCAGACCGGGTTGTTGCTGTGGTTCGCGTACTTTGCCAGGCTCGACAGCAGCAGTCCGAGGATCCAGGCTGAGAAGACGTGAGCTTGGCAAAGGGCGCAGACCGCTGCGAGAGGCAGAGGCACTCACCTGTCGAAGTCCGCTGCAGGTCGTCCGTCTCCCAGGCCCGACCCCACTCAAGCGCTGTCTGGATGGCAAAGCCCACAGCGCCGACTGCCGTGGCGAGCAGGCGCACGAGCGGATCTTGGATCCACCAGACCGTCAGTCCGGAGAGCGAGAGGACGTGCAGCACTGCATCGACGCTCCGGCTGCGAGGGCCGACGCTGGCGATGCCCTGCCGCTCATTCAGCAGCGTCTTGCGGATGGCGGGCACCATCGTGAGAGCGAGTCCGAGCACCTGAGCCACAAGCAGAGCCTCGTGGCCACCGATGCCCATGTTGTAGACCGAGACTAGCGACGGGTCAGCATCACTTGCGCGAGTCAACGCGAGAAAGAGACGCACAGAAGAAGATTGCCGGGTGCAGCGCAGTGAGCGTGGACCAGAAGCAGAAACCTGTGTGTTGTTCAGCGCTGCTCAGTAGCGCGCTTCAAACAGCCCTCACCGAGGTAGACATCAGCTGCGAACGAGGCAGCGTCACGCAATGGCTCAGCCTCGGAGACTGCAGCATGGCCCTTGAAGCCTTCGTCCAGCGGCGCCGCCTCGGCCGCCAGCTTGCTGCTCCTGTCACAAATGCACGCATGTGACAGTCAGTGACATTGGCCCGCATCACCGCGGCAAGGGGGCATCGTACCCGGATGAAGACTCCTTCGCGCCCAGGGACAGGGACGGCGGCGTGCTCCACGCACCCGCCTTCACCGCAGCTGCGGTGCCGCCGCCAAGCCAGGCACCACCAAAGAGCCCTGCCGAGCTGTGCGCAGCAGAGGCAGAGCCCGCCGGGCCAGCGGGCCGCGGTGCCTCCACAATGTGGATCTCGAGGCGCGAGAGGTCGTACACCGAGGCGAAGTCGAAGAGCAGGTCGAAGATGATCAGGCCCCACTCGAAGAACGAATAGATGGTGTATGCACCGGGGATGCGCAGCACCTTGTGCCGGTAGAAGAAGAAGACCATCGGCGGGATCATGCTCCAGAAGCCGACGGCCGCGCGGCGACGCATGCGGCGCGCCTTGTCGGCCAGAGCCTCGCGAGCGCTGTCGCCGCCGGCCGACGCGAGCGAGCCGCTGGAGATGTACATCCACGCGGGCGTGCAGACGAGGTACAGGATCATGGCGATGTCGTGCACATCGTGGTCGTCGGTGCTCGTGATGTAGACCTGGCGCTGCGAGTCAGAGAAGGAGCGGGGCAGCTGCAAGCCGAGCACCTCACCCAGCCGGCACACGACAAGGTACGCAGGACGCCGATGAAGAGCAGGATGCGCGCGTGCGACGACGTTGGCTTCGACAGCGACACGAGCAACGACGAGAGCATCACGAGCAGGAAGCGCGGCCCGGACATGAGTGCAATGCCGATCTGGAAGACATTGCTGCGGCGCGGCTGTGATGAGGCCCAGGGCCGCTGCTGAGCATCTCTGGTTCTGCGACTCACCGCTCCGGATACCAGTCGCCGATGGTGGCGCTGACTGAGGGCCACCACTCGTCGGGGTAGCGCGCAATGCCATTCTTGACGACGAGCTCGTAGTGGAGGCTCAGCGCGACAGCAAGCGCGCCGCCGAAGGCCAGGAAGCCGCAGACGGTGTGGATGTAGGAGACGAGCGCGCACGAGACGGTCACGAGCGGCGGCGGCGCCTGCGACCGCCCGACGACGTCCGAGGGCATGGCGGCGGTGGAGGGTGATGAGGGTGGGGAAGGAAGATGCATGGCGCGCCGCGTGAGTGGCTTGTGCGCCTCAGACGCGCGCCAAGAGCGGCACGAAGGTCCGAAGCGAGGCGCGCTTCTCCTCCCGCCGTGACTCTTTCTTTCCCGCTGCAGCAAGCACGCCGCCGCAAAAGCATGGCGCAGGCCCCGGCACCCGCCTGGATCCACCGCTGGCACACGCCGGCGGCCCTTCATGCGCTCGACTTTCCACACCCGCTGCTGGCTGCCGGCGACGGCAGCGGGCGTGTGAGCGTGAGCGACGTTCGCACTGCACGCCCGCTGGCCGTGTGGCAGGCGCACGAGGCGAGCATCCTTGGGGTCAAGCTTTGGGGCCGCGACGTCGTCACGTACGTCTTGAATCATGCTTCGGACACTGGGCTCGACTGACGGTGCTCACAGGCATGGCAGAGACAATCTGCTGCGCGTCTGGGCGCTTCCGATTCGCGACGAGCAGGCCGGCTCGAGCCTCCCACCTCGCGACGTCGCCTCGCTGCCTCGCCCGACGGTGCGCTACGAGGTCGAGGTTAACGCACTCAACTACTGTCCCTTCTCGCTGCTGCCGCTCTCGCGGGCCGACAGCGCCGAGCTGCGCCGCGCCATGGGCTGGCAGGCTCGTGCAGGGCAGCAGGTCGCCAAGACGCCTCAACAAAAGCTCGGGGAGGAGCCTGAGGCGCTCGTAGCCGTGCCCCACACTCTGGAGGCTGCCTATGTGAGACGCAGCGCGGAATGAGCGCGACCTCAGCTGACCGCAGGTGATAGATCGATGTCTACCACCTGCCCAGCTGTTCCCGCATCGCGACAGCCATCGGAGCGCCCGATGTGCAGACGAAGGGCTCTAAGGACCTCTCCAATCGGCCAGGTGTGTAGCCACCCGCCCGTACAGGGTCTCTGCAAAGCTCACGCGCCGCTCAGGCATCGCCATGTCCGTGCATCTGTTCCGACGAGCAAAGAGCAAGGACGGCGAGGCGCAGCCGCTCAGCGTGCTCGTCGGCTACGAGGACGGCAAGGTCAAGCTCTGGGAGCTGCGCGCGCTGGACGTGGGCGGCAGCAGCGCGAAGATGGCGTGGACGCTCGCCTGGGAGGAGCGTGTCCATACAGAGGCTGGTGAGCGCAAATGTCAGCCTTGGCCTGGCCAGGATGCTCATCAGGGCACGTGTCTCGCAGTCATGGCGGTGGCGCTTAGCGAGGATCTCTCCTTCGCGGTCAGCGTCAGTGCAGACCAGCGAGTGGTGCGCTACGACCTCGGGCAGGTGAGTGAGCGGGGTGCTCAGCAATGAAGCTTGCCGCTTTTGAGCCATCAGCCACAGGTCGACGGCGCCAGGACCCTCATGCAGCGCACCAATCACGAAGGGCGAGCCTCGGTCTGCATCCGCGCAGACGGCAAGCTCATTGCGACAGGCGGCTGGGACGGCTCGTGAGCTTTCAGACATCTGCTAGACGAGGTGCAGTCAAACTGACGCTCATCGCAGGATCAGGCTGTATGCCGTCGAGGAGCTGCGCGGGCTCGGCAAGCTGTCGTATCACCGCGAGAGCGTCCAGGCACTGGCATTCGCTCGGCAGTCAGGTCCAGGCGCTGCTGCCGACAGCCTTAAGGACGCAGACTCGAGCGACAGCGAAGAAGACGAGGATGCGCTGGGACCGCTGGCGCATCACAGCACACGCAGCATCTCGCTGGCAGCAGGCGGCAAGGAGGGCCGCGTCTCCCTGTGGGACCTACAGATGCTCTCAATATGATGCCTCCTTCTGCGCAAACCGACGGAGTGATGCGATGCTCTAGTATTGCCTCATGCCCGTGTCGCCCGCGGCACGCCGGCCTCCTCCACCAGCACGTCTGCCGCATCGAGAATCTCCTCCTGCTCCACCTGCTCTGCCTCCCCGCTCTGCGCGGCCTGCATCGCCTGCAGTTCCCGCAGCATGCTCTCCACATCCATGTTGAGCTCCGCCAGCTCGTCTGCCTCGGCCTGCGGGTGCCAGACGGCGCCGCCGAGGGCCTCCTCGAGCCACTCAATGGCACCCAGGTCGCAGACGAGCTTTCGCCGCCGCAGCACCTCGTACGCGTGCAGCTCGCCGGGCTTCTTGACCTCCTTGGGCTTGGCCGCCGCCTGCTCGGCGCCCAGCTCGTGCAGCTCGATGAGCTCCGTGCGCGGGATGTTGTTCACCGCCGCGACGAAGTTGGCCAGCTCCTTGGCGTGGCCGCGCACCTGCGCCGGCGTGTACTGCGGCTCGGACGCCGACGGGCGTGCAACGCGGCCGGTGCTCTGCGGGTTGCGCGGCGCCGTGAGGAACAGCGCATCATCCCAGCCCTTGGAGCCGAGCATGCGGCGCAGCTCGCCCGTCACGCGCGGCGGCGCATCCCACGTGAAGTTGGGCACGATGACGAGGTCGCCGGCGCGCCACCGGGCGCTGAGTGCCGAGCGCAGGGCCAGCTCGCGCACGCGGCGCGGCAGCTTCGTCGACATGTCGCGCGGCCGCGGGCCGTGGATGACACCACCTCCACGCAGCAGCGGGTTGTTGCGGCGACCCAGACGCGCCTGACCGGAGCCCTTCTGCGGGCGGATCTTGGCGCCGCCGAAGTTGACCTCGCCGCGCGTCTTGGTGTTGGCCGTGCCAGAGCGCTGTGCGTCGAGGTAGTACACGACGGCGCTGTGCAGCACGTCGCGCCGCGGCTCGATGCCAAAGACGTGCGAGGAGAGCGGCACGAAGTGCTTGCGCCATCCTTTCGTCATGGGGTGCAGTGCGGACAGCTTCAGGTGCACGAGGCTCCCTGGTGCGGCAACAGGAGCTGCGCGCAGGCGGGCGTGTCAGCGGCAGGCGGACTCGAGCGAGAGTTGAAGACCGCATCTTCTGGTCGAGCACGGCGCCAAATACATCGCTTTGCGAGCGCACTACAGCGGCCTCAGAATCTGCATGACGGCAGCAAGCCTAGGGCCACCTAGCTCAAGAGCATGCGGGCACGAAAGGTGCCCAATCCTAGTGCCTTCTCGAACCTCGCCCTTCCCGCAGAAGCAGCGCTCTCACTCACCGCTAGCTTTCGGTAGCGACTGCATCAGCACATGTTCTGCCTGCGCGGCGGGCGGCGCCAGCGCCTCAGCACCGAGGCCCGGCGGGTCAAGCGGCGCCGAAGTCTGCAGCGAGCGGCGCGCCGGCACCGGCAGCGCAGCGACGCGGCGGCCTGCGCTGGAGCCGGCGACGGCGCGCGGCGCCAGCGTGCGTGCGAGCGGACGCAGGAGCGAGGCCATTGACGAGGCGGAGAGTGAGTGGAGTGTGAGGTGGGAAGGCAGACACGCGGCGAGAAGGCAGCGGCGAGGTCGCGCGAGTCGTGAGAAGTCGGCGGCGCTGCTTATGTCAGCACGCTGCGCGCCCCGAGCTGCCTCAGCGTCTGCTGCGCCCTCCGCTCCACCATGCGACCTGCCACCACGCCCCACCCGCACTGCTCCCGACCATGGCTGACTCGTACATGTGCGCCTTTCGCTCAGTCACCTCGCATCGGCCGCTGCTGACCGCGCTCCTGCAGGCCCGGCGCCAAGCCCGGCTTCCTCAACGCGCGCAGTGCCGCCGCCGCGCCGCCGCCGCCGCAGCGCAACTTCCTCGCCCGCTTCTGGGCACGCGAGATCATGGCGCCCGAGAAGCAGGCCGGCAACCTCGCCGTCGCCTGGGGCGTCGGCATCTTCGTCGGCGGCATCGCCCTCATGCGCACCGTCGGCGAGAGCCTGCTCGTGCCGCAGTTCTAAGTGGGGGAGGGCAGCAGGAGGGAAGGAGAAGGGAAAGAGGGGAAGAGGGATGTAGGGATGCTTGGGTGAGATGATGGGGAGCACGAATGTATCAACATCACGCCAGAACGCTGTGCGGGGTGTGAGTCGAAGGCAAGAAGTCGGCGCGGGTGCAGGTGAGATGAGAGGCGGTTGCAGGAGAGATGCAGGCGCGGACACGAGACGTCGTGGTGAGAGCCCGGTCGCGCTCTGACCGGCGAATGCGAAGCTGATCAGAGAGGATCGAGTGAACGCGCTGGGCTGATACGTGTATAGCGAGCTTGTTCCTCGACGACCAGATCAGCTGCACATGTGTTGGCAGAGCAGCAGATCAAGGCCTGCGCACCCGCCGCGGGGCCACGAGCTGCTTGGTGCTGCCTGCCGTTTCGCTGCGCTCTCCCTCGCAGCCACACTTGCGCAGGCATGCTCTCTATGTTATAGATGACATTGCAACAGCTCCCGTCGAAGTCGCCGCTCGCTGAGGCTGGCCCCGAGCTTCAATCGCCGGCACCGCGCGTCAGACGAGCGCACGCCCCTGCGCTTCGGGGCTCATGCCTGCTTCCGGTTCGCGGCGAGGTACTCTCTCCGCTTGATGTCCATCGCCTCCTCTGATGTGCTGAGAGGCGTATGAGAGTCAGCATGAACAGTCGTCACACGTCGTCTGACCTCATGCTCTGCCCGGCATACGCGCGCTGCGAGAGAGGCGCCGCGAGTACCATCTGCAGCAGCGAAGGCTTGTGCTCTGCCTCGTGACAGCTGGAGCTGCACTAGGTTCTGCAACATCTCCTGAAATGACGCCCCGGCTAGCCCAGCTCGTTCGCGCTCGAGGAGCGAACAAAGGCGTGCGCCGAGCGAGCACAACGGAGCGGCGTCCGGCGCCTTGTCCCGCACAGCAGCGCCTGATTCCTTTGAGCCCAAGAGGCGCCACGCCCCAGCCCCAGACAGCCCCACTCTGTGACTCACTACTGCTTCAGACAGTTCTGCAGCGCCTTGTGCTGGCCACGACATGCCCACGCAATGCTGACGGTGCGTCCCGTGGAGCACTCTGCGAACTCTGCGCGCAGCAGCAGCGGGCACAACGAGCCGAGAGCGGCAGTCAGCATGCGCCTGACTTCAGTCCTGGGGCTGTCTTCGGCACACACGCACCTCGCACAAGGGCATCGCACTTCTTGAGTGCCTCGGCCTTGGTCTCCTTGAGCAGAGCCTCGGACTCGCGGTTCGACAGCGCCGAGGAAGAGGACATGGCGGGCGCGGCGGCTGCGGTGGGCGGTGAAAGTGGTCTGAGACGAGAACAAGGGCGTCTCTCAGGAGATGCGAGCGCGCTGTGCGACAAGAGGAAGGCGCGCTGCGGATAGATGGAGTGGAGGAAGGGCGGCAAGAAGCAGCGGGGGGGGGGGGGGCATGCTGCTTTTGGTCAGCGCAGCCGGGGCGGGCCGCGACGCACGGCCGAGTCCCGAGGCGGCTGGGTGCGCCTGCCCTATGCGCCGCCGTTATGCTCGCCGTGCCTCCTGCCACCACATCAAGGACAATGGACCGAGAACAAGAGCACAGGCGACAAGAGGGATGCGCGGATGCGCCGTTCGGCGTCACCGACGCAATCAAGCGGGAGGACAAGGCAGGCGGCTGAGTGCGGCGCACTCCTCGACAACGCGCCGCGCGTCCATCCCTTGTCCTCGCAGGCGCCTCAGGGGCTCCCTTGTCCTCGTCTGCTGCGGCGCACCCCAGGACAGGGGAACATTGCAGCGGATGCAGCATGCGCCTTCGCCTCGCCTTTGTGCTCCAGCGCTGCGCTGCCTCACAAGGCCCCGCCGGCTGCGGCGCCCGCTGCGTCCCTTGTGCGTCGTGCGGCGTCCGCTTGTCCTCGAGCGTCGAGGAATCTTCTCTGCGCAGCAGCTGCCCATCGCTGCCTGATCCACATAAAGAGCAGCATGGTGCGCATCAAGCCCTCTTCGCCGCATCGCCTCACCCATCCCTCACTCATCGCCATGCCGCCGCTCGTCTCTGCGCCCCTGCCCTCGAAGCAGTCGACCGGCTGGACGCCGCCGCCGCCGTCGTTCCACTCGCCGCAGCGCATCATCCGCACGCTGGCACCCAGCACGCCGACGCCGCCGCCGCGCTCCAAGTTCAGCTGGAGCACCGCCAGCGCCGCCACGCCCGACCGCATCGCCGACCTCGATGCCTTTACCGCCAGTGCGTTCAGCTCGCCGCACTCGAGCCCGCGCCAGCGCGCTCGCCCGTCAGAGGAGGCCTCGTTCCGCGGCTGGAGCTTCGATGCGCCACGATCGCTGACGCCAGAAACGTGAGTGCTGCATTGAGTAGCGGCACATGCTGCATCGCTCACACTTGCCTTCATAGCCTCTCGCCCGGCCGCGACGCAGCCATCTCGCCCAAGACCATGGTCCCTCCGTCGTCGAGCAACGCCAGCCACCTCGCCGGCTCGCCGCTGAGCGTCGTGCCGACGAGCCGCAGCGTCTTCGTCGACTCGGACTCGGAGACCGAGGAGCTGGCTGCAACACACGAGTCGCCCCTGGCCAAGCTGCGTGCCGCTCGTGGCTTCTTCCGCTCGCCCACCAGCAGCGCCGCCGCCTCGCCGAGCTCGCGGCGCACCAGCCGTCTGCGTACCACGAGCGAGGATGGCTACCGACCCGAGGGCCGCCTCAGCTCTCCACTTGGCTCGCGCTTCGGCATCTCCGGTCATGCGCGCGGCGGCTCGTCTGGCTCCTCGTTCTACTCGACGTCGTCGTCGGTCGAGAGCTCCCTCTACCACGGCCTTCGCGGCACCAAGCCTGCAGCGCCGCCGCTCCCTGCTGTCTCGAGGCCCGACGTGCGGATGACAGGCCAGGCTGTCGGCGCTCTGGGCCTCGGCGCTCCGATCAGCCTCGACTCCGAAGGCCGCCGCCAGTTCTCCGGCGCGCAAGTCGTCCGCCGGCCCGCCGACGCCTTCTCATCGCGCGGCGGCCCAGCGTACAACATGGCGCCGGTGCCGCCAAGTAAGACTCCTGTACCTCAATCACTGTACACCTCGTCCGTCGCTGTCGCCGTCTCGCCTCGCAGCATCAACGCTGGGCCCTTCTCGGATCTGCTCGACGCTCCCGATGAGGTGCGGCAGATGCAGCAGGCCGGCAGCACTGCTTTGCCACACAAGCCGCATCCTCTCGCCGGCCGTGCAACTGTCGGCGTGGAGGCTCCTCGCAGGCCGCAGCTGCCGGGCCCTCTTCGGCTCGCCTTCGATCCGCGCCGTAGGCCACGAGCCCACCTCAACGCAACCGCCTCCGCCACGTCAGTCGCATCAGCCACGCAGCCACCGACGGCCACCTCGCCGGTACTCTCGCGCTGTCCATCGCGCATGATGCCTCTCCACCGCCGTCTGATGCCCTCGGCCGTGACGAAGGCGTCGCCACCGAGCCGCCCGCGCCGACCCTCGGAGGCCGACAAGCTTGCGCAGGCCAACAAGACCGGTCCGGCACTGCGTCGCCCGATGCGCGGCCCACTGCCGCCGCTGCCAGCTGCGAAGCCGCAGCCTACCGTGCCGCTGCCGTCGGTGCCGTCGCCGGAGCACTCGCCGTCTGCAGAGGCCGCCGACGCACCGCTGCTCGCCCAGCCTGCTCAGCTGCACCGCAAGCCGTCCAAGACGCGTGCCATGCTGCAGGCGTTCAGCAGTCGCAACCGCTCGCACCAGCGTCCGGTGGAGCCGCAGGAGGAGCTCGAGACCCACCCGACGCCGCCGCCGACGTCCTTCACGCCTGCGCACACGCCGAGTGCCTCGCGCGAGCTCAAGCCGCTCCTGCTCGCCATCCACGCCAGCCCATCGGGCGCCAGCAAGACGTCCGCACTCAAGCCGAGCGCTTCGCACCTTGCACCGCCGACGCTTCGCGCCCGGCGTTTCAGCCGCAACACGGCTGGATCGTACGGCTCGCTCTCGTCGCGCTACGACACCGATGCATCGCAGAACGCCTCGCCCGGCCTCTCGTCGTCGGAGGACTCGGGCGACGAGAGCGAGGCCAGCCTGAGCCTCGCCAGCCAGAACTTCCACGCCGCCAATCCGTTCGACCTCTCGCCGCTCATCATCGAGGACTCCGCCCTCGAGCCCGGCTCGCCGCTGCCGACGATCGAGACGGACGACTCGCTGGTGCACCGCGTCTCGGGCGGCCTGCGCGGCTCCAAGGATGCGCTGCTCTTCGACGTCGCGAGCCCTACAAGCCCGCGTCCGGCAGGCACACCGGCTCGCGCCGGCTTCCTAGCTTCGCTCAGTCCCGATCATCGCGCGCACTACCTCGCTCGGCACGCCGCTGCAGGCGCCGGACGCACGCACCGCCATGCGCCGTCGAGCGTCAGCGAGTCGAGCTGCGCAAGCAGCCTGGAGCACAGCTTCCTGCACCGCGAGGACTTGCTCGACGACGACGCCTCGACGCAGAGCCGCGCCTCGACGCCCGAGCTCGTCGCTTCGCATCGCCCGAGCATGCACCTCACCACGCCCACGCCCGCCACCGTCGCCAAGGGCTTCGGCGCCGCGCAGGCCGAGCACAAGTTGGGCCGCGAGTTCGACGAGGCGCTCAGCCGCTGGGCTCGCGCCGTCCCGACTGCTGCCTGCCCCTAGACTCTCACCTGCAGTTACTTCTCCGTCGCGTCACGCCTAATACGACTGTCACCCTCTGCGCTTTTCGGACTGATCTCGTTTCGTGAATGTTGCCGAGCCGCGCACGCGCTCTGTATGTGGCGGGGCGGCCCGCATTATGTACACTGACGGGTCTGATGTAGAGTAGCAGGTCGTGAGGGATGAGTAGGATGGGCGACGGCGCAGCGCCGCGAACGGCTGTGTCGTCTGATGTTTTCTGGTGCTCATGCTGCCGCTGGCGCGCTCGTCTGCGCCCATGGGTTGACGGCGAAGACCTTGAGCACGGGCGGCGAGCGCGTGATGTCCGCGGTGATGATGACGGGTAGCGTCTGCGTGGGAGAGAGTGTGAGCTATGGACTGAAAGGAGAGCGGCCCGGCCGAACTCACGGCAAGCGCCTTGACGGTCATGATGTGGTGGCCGGCCGCCGTGCGCGTCGTGTTGTCGAAGGTCAGCGGCTGGCGCTGGAACGAGCGGCTCCGCTGCACGCTGTCCTTGGCGTCCTCGCCGCTGAACACCTTGCGCTTGGCCTCGGCGAGCGCCTCGTCGTCGTCATCGTCGAAGAGCGCCGCCTCGTCGGTGTGGCTCTGCGACGTCATCTCCATGGCGTGCGCCTGCGCGTGGCGGCGCAGGTTCTGCACGTGCGTGTCGTCGCCCGTCTCGGCGAGGAAGGAGAGCACGTCGACGTCCGGCTTCCAGTACAGCGCGAGGCTGTTGCTGTGCTCGTCGTACTGGTGGTGCTCGAGCGGGATCGCATCGGTGTGCACGCGCTTCTCGAGGCCGAACTCGGGGATGGCAACGTCGAACGCGGCGTCGAGCACGCCGATGACGGTCGCCTGGCGCACGACGGGCCCGTAGCGCATGGTGAGGTCGTGGATGAGCAGGCAGAGGAAGAGGTGCGCCGACTGCTCCTGCGCCAGCTTGGCGGCGTCGCGCTTGACGTTGCACTGCTGCGCGATCTTGGCCATGCCCTCGCGGTCGACGGGGAACTTGTCGTGCCCCTGCAGCACGGCGTCGAGCTGCCGGTGCACCATCACGTCGGCGTAGCGGCGGATCGGGCTCGTGAAGTGCGTGTACAGCGGCACGTTGAGCGCGTAGTGGGCGTACTTCGAGATGTCGACCATGCCCGTGCAGAAGTACTGAGGTGCATAGAGATCAGCGATCGCTCTCTGCATATATGCCCGCACGTCTGCTCACCTTAGCACGCATCATCGACTTGGTCGCGAGCGTCTCGAGCGCCGTCCGCTTCGCGATGTCCGTGATGCCCTGCAGCGAGGCAAACAGCGCGCCCGACGAGCTGATGTCGACGTCGAAGCCCATCTGCGCGGCGCGTGCCTTGAAGCCGGAGAGGCGACGGTCGAGCGGCCGCTCGTGGCGGCGCAGCAGCGCCACGTCGGGCAGCCCGGCGGCGATCTTCTGCGAGACGGCGACGTTGGCGGCCAGCATGAACTCCTCTACAAGCCTGTTGGCCTCCTTGGTCTGGTACGGCACGGCGTCGGTGGGCAGGCCCGCCTCGTCGAGGCTGAAGCTGAGCTTGACGTTGTCGATGCGCAGCGCACCAGCCTCGAAGCGGCGCGCACGCATCTTGACGGCGAGGTTGTGCAGCGTCATGATGTCGGCCGCCACCTCCTCCGCCGAGTGGCCCGAGACCTTGGACGCGTCGACGGCACTGTCCCCGTCGATGATCTTCTGCGCGTCCGAGTAGGCGAGCTTGGCGCACGACTTGATGATCGTGCGGCCGAACCACGTGCCGATGATGCGCGCGTCCTTGTTCATCGTGAAGACGGCACTGTAGCACAGGCGCTCGACGTTGGGCACCAGCGAGCACAGCTCCTCGCTGAGCGTCGGCGGCAGCATGGGCACGGCGCGCTGCACGAGGTAGACGGAGGTGGCCCGCTTGCGCGCGTCGCGGTCGAGCGCCGAGCCCATCTTGACAAAGTGCGACACGTCGGCGATGTGCACGCCGACCTCGATTAGGCCGCCGTCGAGCGGCGTGACGCTGAGTGCGTCGTCCAGGTCCTTGGCCGTCGGCGGGTCGATGCTGAAGACGCGCGTGCTGCGGAAGTCGCGGCGCGTCTCGTACTCGCGCTCCGGGATTGACCATGGCAGCGGCGGCAGGCACTTAAGCGCGTTCTCGCCAAACTCCTCCGTCGCCGAGCTGAGGCAGTCCTTGAGCAGCGCCTGCGTCTCGGCCTCGGTGTTGCCAATGACGCCGAGCTCCTCGACGAGCGTGCCGAAGGGGTGCAGCGAGGTGATGGGCCAGCGCTTGATGCAGGCGACGAAGAGGCGGTTGTTGTAGCTCTCCTGCCCGCCCTCGGCCCAGAAGTCTGCCGGCGCCTGGTCTGCCGGGATGGCGATGAGCGGCACGCGCTTGTCGGTCGGACGGAACCAGACGATCTTCGGCCGCGCCTGCTGCTCCTGGCCCTGCGTGCCGTCGCCGCCCTCGCGCAGCGCCCGCTCGGCTTGCTGCTTTTCCTTGGTGGCGGCGCTGGACGGGCGCAGCAGGCCGAGCGTGCCGCTGAAGAGCTGTCCGGGCGTGCGCTCGACGATGGCGACGATGTGGCCGGCGAGGGCCGGCGGAGCAGCCTCATTCTCCTCTTCATCGTCGATGAGCTTGAGCTGTGCGCCCTCGACCTCGAGGTCGTCGCGAGCCTTGTCGGGCTTGCGCGCGGCGATGCCGCCCTGCTCCTCCTTGCGCTTCTTCTTGTCCTCCTTCTCCTTCTTGATCGACCAGACGTCGTTCGGGTCGAGCAGCTCGACAGCCACAAGGTCGCCCTCGAGCGCACGGTTGCGGTCCTTGGAGCCGGAGATGAAGATGTCCGAGTCGAGCACCTCGGTGGCGACGTAGGCGTCGGAACGGTTGCGCTTGTTGACGCGCAGCATGCCCACGACGAGCTTGCCGGCCGCGAGCAGCGGCGGCAGCGACGCCTGCGGAAGGTACGAGCCGAAGAGGGCCTTGCGCTGGTTGGCGCCGCCGCCCTGCTGCTGCTGGCCCTGCTGGTAGCCAAATTGCCCCGGGTAGGCACCCTGGCCGCCCATGGCAGGGTTAAAGCCGCCGCTGAACGACGGCGTGCGGCCGTGGGTGCCGCCCGGTGCGCCCGACTGGGCACGGAACTGGTGCAGCGTGGCAAGCTGTGCCTGAGCAGAGGCGAGGTCGGTCACCTGTCCAGCGCCGGGTGCCGGGCCGTTGATGCGCCAGTTGTTGCTGCCGGTGCGAGCGTGGCCACCGCGGCCGCCACCGCCACCGCCGCCCTGGCCACCGAAGCCGTCAGCCAGATCGGTGAGGCCGCCCATGCCAAACATGCCGAGGTTCAGCAGGCCACCGCCGGCCATAAGGTACTCGGGCGACAGCGCCGACGAGAGCTGCACGGACGGGTGGCTGAAGTGGCCGACCTGAGGCGCCTGCTGCTGCGGCTGCGATGCTTGCGACAAGAGCTGCTGCTGTTGCTGCATGAGCTGTTGCTGCTGCTGCTGCGAGTACTGCGGCGCCTGCGGCTGCGGCGGGAAGGAGAAGTCGAGGTTCGTCTGCATCGTCGGCCCGCTGCTCTGTTCCGCGGCAGCCTGGGCAGCCTGCTGAGCCTGTGCGTTCTTGTTGATGACGTTGACCGAGTGGCGGCGACCGTGGCCGCGCGGCACGCCGCCCGCCTGAGACGACTGCGCCGACTGCTGCGACTGGTTGCTGCCGAGACCGGAGAGGCCGCCCAGGCTGCCGTTGTTGCTGCCGAAGCTGCCCATGCCGCCGAGCGAGAAGCTGCCCATCGGGCCAGACTGCGGCGCGTGGCTCTGAATGCGACGATGGGCGCCAGCACGAGGCGCAGGTGCCGGCGGCGACTGCGTCATGGCGCTGAGCGCGGCCGACGGGTTGAAGTTGACCTGCTGCTGCAGGAGCGCTTGCTGCTGGAGCTGAAGCATCTCGATCTGCTGCTGCAGTGCGAGTTGCTCGGCATACATGGGGCCCGTGGCGCCGCTGAGCTTGCCAAGGCCGCCGAAGCTCGACGTCTGCATGTGCCCGGCACGGCCGCCGCTGCCGCCGAAGCTGCTCGGCATCTCGCTGCCCGCACGGCGATGAGCGCCGAACTCGCCTTGCTGCTGCGCCTGCTGGCTGAACTGCTGCTGCGCCTGCTGGCTGAACTGCTGCAGCGCCTGCTGAAAGTCCTGCGTGCCGCCAGGGAAGCGTCGCGTCGGGTCAAAGGCGCCCGTGCCCATGTAGTCGGCGACGGACGATGCGCCGTCGTCGGTCATGTCCTCGGTCTCCGCCGACGCGCCGCCAGTGAAGCCCATCTCGGCGAAGCGGCCCTGCAGACTCAGCTGGCGCGCGTGCGAGTGCATGCTGCGGTCGCTGGCGCCGCCTTGCTGCTGGGCGCCATGACGAGCAATGGCGCTCTGGAAGGCTGCGTTGCCAGCGAAGCGAGGTCCGCTCTGACGGGTGGTCGCAGGCGAGGGCGCCTCGACATCCTCGCCGAGCGATGGCAGACCACCGGGCCCGCCAAAGCCACCGCCGCTCGGGTTCCGCTGCAGCTGCGTCGAGAGCTGGGCCTGCAGTGCCTCCTCCTGCCGCGCCAGGCGCGTGCCCATCGAGGCGAGCTCGTCCTGCGCGTCGACCTCGTTTGCCGCGGTCGCAGCAGCTGCTGCCGCGGCGGCCGGCGAGCCAGTGCCCGGCGTCTTCTTGATGTCCTGCACGCCAGAGCCTCATCAGTGGGGGTCGCACAAGGTCAGAGCTTCCACACGCACCTGGATCATCTGCTGCAGGTTGTTCAGGGCAGAGCTGGGCTCAGCGCCGGCGCTCTCGCGAGCTGCCTGGCTCTGCTGGCCTCGGCCGCTCTGCGCCGCACCTCTGCCGCCGCGCGAGGCCGAGCCGCCGCGGTTGCCGCCGCGTCCACGTCCGCCTCGCGAGCCACCTGCGCCGCCAGAGCCGCCCTCGGCGCGGTTCATCGCTGCGCCACCGGCAGCGGGAGCACCGCCGGCGGCGGGCGAGGTGGTGCGGCGCTCGCCGGCAGGTGCGTCGGTTGCTGCTGCTGCGCTCGCACGTCCACCGTTCTGGCCGCCCCGGCCTCTGCCGCCACGGCCACCGGATCCGCCGCCGCCGCGTCCGCCACCACCGCCGCCAGCTTGGGCATCGCCCGAGGCGCGGCGCTCGCCCTTGGGCTTGGGCGCGTTCTCGACCATGTCAGGCGAAGCTATGCGCCAGTGCCGCTCGTGCTGTCGGCGAGAGGAGTCGTACTGAGGCGAAGCCGCTGCGCTCGTGGCGTGGGAGTGGAGTAAGGAAGTGTTGCACTCGGGCGCGCGCCGCAGGTGACTGGGAGCGCGGCAGGGAGAGAGTGGGCGGAAAGGAACGTCGTCTCGAGGGCGGTGGCAAGGCTCGAGGTGGGCGAAAGGAGAGTAGGGTGCTTGAGTCGTCGTGGAGCAGAGGGAGGCGTTGACCCTCGCCTCGGTGATGGGCACGGCGAGGCGGGGAGCTCATGCCAGCTGACGGCAGCGCGCGCGGCGGCGGCGCCCTTGAAAGTTGCCTGCTGCTCCGCTGGCGCAGCGCCGCGGCGCCTTCGCCGGCCGGCCGCGGCTGTGCCACGCGTCGGCGTTGCGCTGCCAGCGAGCTCGTCTCTCCGCACCGCCGCAAGGTACAGATCTGGCACTGAAGAGCGGGCTGCACTCTAAGCGAGGCCGAGCTGCTGCCTCGATCGTCCCTTTGCCGCAGCAGGTGCAGAAGCCTTCCCGGCGCCTGCTCGAGTGAGACCGCATTGCGTGAGCTCGTCTGCGCGTCGGCTCGCCTTGGGTGGCCGGTGCGCAGCGCAGCGGAGTCTGAGAAGCACAAGGGCGCCGCCCGCATGCGAGGCCGAGGGGAGGCGAAGGCGGCCTCTCCTCTCGTGCCCACGAACCCCATGCCCCTTGCGCGCCGCACGCGTCTCGCGAGACCAACTCGCGGCTGCTTAGTCAGCACGCACGGCTTCTTCTCGAGCAGCCCTCCTCGCCCACTCCTCCTGACAGGAGGCCACAGAAGCACTCGGCTGGGTCGTAGTTCTGACAGGTGCCATGCGAGCGCAATCGGGAGGGGTCTGGCTTCGCTCGAGCACCTGGCCGTCCGGCGTGAGGGCGCGGCAAGACGCCGAGAAGCCTCGCGCTGCACCTGAGCCTCCTTCTTCTCGCCCCTGCTCTTCAGCAGCTCTCTGACAGATATCGCGAAGTCTTGAGAGGCCTCTTTTGCCCTCAGAATGCTGCTCTAGACCATACGGTCATAATACTGGCTAGCTTGGAGCTATGCGATGCCTGCATCGTGTTGCTGAGTGACCGGTGTCAACAACGTCTGTTGTCTCTGTGCCTGCCGCTTCTTTGCGCATGCGAGGCGAGGGCGTCGCAGCCCATCGTCTCTGGGCTCGCTCTCCTCCCTGCGCTGTGAACAGATGCTCGTGAACCTCGACACCGCAGCGGTACGAGAGCAGGCAGCAGGGTCCAGGCAAGCACCGCATGCGTTCTCGCCGGCCGCAGCGCATCTCGGTGCGCAGGTCTCGTGAGCATGCCCCGACCCCGCGCCGCCGCCGGAGCGCGAGGAGAAAAGCAAACGCCACAGCTCATGCCTGGCGCTGGTCCATCTTGGTCTGCTGGCAGGCAGAAGCCTCGCTCGAGCCGGCTCGGGCGGTCGAGAGCTGTCCGCAGCAGCGAGGGCGAGCGGCGTTGGCGCGCACGGCGCGGGCCGGAGCGAGCCGGGCAGGCGCGGAAGCGCTCGGCGGCTGCCTGCTGTCGACGACCCTTGGGCGGCGTGCGTGCTCCGCTGCGCTGTGGCGAGAAGGCTGCCGGCTGAAGGGCTCGGCGCCCGGCGGCGACAGGTGCAGCGGCACGCCAGCAGCGAGCATCGCGGCGTGTGCTGGCAGACGTTCTCGGCGCTGCGCCCGCTGCTCCTGTGCCTGGCCCAGCCCGGCGCCGTCCGCGCGGCGCGCGGCAGCACGAGCAGCCGCAGAGCGGCAGGTGCAGGCAGGCGGCCGGTGCACGGCGCCGCGGCGGGCAGGCAAACTTCTGCTGGCGCTGCAGCCGGAATTCAGCGCCCTGCGCGCCCTCGGCTCGGGCCGCTCATGAGGCGCCGCGCCGCTGCGCCTGCTTCTTCTCCAACCACCACCGTCACCCTTCCCGCCTCTCCCCCCACCACTCATCCTCCAAAATGTGAGTTGCCCTTCGAGGTGTGCCCAGTGCTGTGGTGCAGAGGGCAAGCATGGCAGCAGCAGCGCGCGCGCGCGCACCTGCGCCGCGCGCTTCTTCGCGAAGCTCGCAGCCTTATCGCGGGTGCGAAGACGTGCGCTCCGTGCGCTGTCTTTTGCCTGTTGAGCTCGGGTTGCTTGATGCACACGCTTGTGGGCTCTCGAGCGGTGCTTTCGATGCTGCATTCGTGCTCTGCAGCCATCGCTTGCCGCTGGGCAGCGAAAGCACGGCCCTTGCACTGCAGAGCCGCCAGCCTGCTTCTCCTGCTTCGCCCGCTCCTGAACATGCCGCTGACGCCCTTTTCCTTCTTCTCCAGGGGCACCGTCGTGCGTACACAGCCGCTGCAAATTTTGCGCGCTCCGAGACAAGCTGCTGACCCGCGCGCGCTCTCCTCTGCAGGCTGATCCCGCCAAGCAGGGCACGAAGTCGCTGAGCGGCTTCGCCACTGACTTCCGTGAGTCGCGCGCGATAGAGATGCCCTGCGCTGCAATTGCTCACACCTCCTGCGCCAGTCATGGGTGGTGTCTCGGCCGCCGTCTCGAAGACGGCCGCTGCGCCCATCGAGCGTGTCAAGCTGCTCATCCAGAACCAGGACGAGATGATCAAGCAGGGCCGCCTTGCCTCGCCCTACAAGGGCATCGGCGACTGCTTCTCGCGCACGTACCAGCAGGAGGGCCTCGTGTCGCTGTGGCGCGGCAACACGGCCAACGTCATCCGCTACTTCCCCACCCAGGCGCTCAACTTCGCCTTCAAGGACTTCTTCAAGTCCCTGTTCAAGGTGCCCAAGTCGGACCCGTACTGGAAGCAGCTCTCGGCCAACCTCGCGTCCGGTGGTGCCGCCGGTGCCTCGTCGCTCCTCTTCGTCTACTCGCTCGACTACGCCCGTACCCGCCTTGCCAACGACGCCAAGTCGACGGCCAAGGGCGGAGGCGAGCGCCAGTTCAACGGCCTCGTCGACGTGTACCGCAAGACGCTCGCCACTGACGGCATCGCCGGTCTCTACCGTGGCTTCGTTCCCTCGGTCGTCGGCATCGTCGTGTACCGCGGTCTCTACTTCGGCATGTACGACTCGCTCAAGCCCGTGCTCCTCACCGGCTCGCTGCAGGGCAACTTCCTCGCCTCGTTCGCTCTCGGCTGGGCCGTCACGACGGGCTCGGGTCTTGCTTCGTACCCGCTCGACACGATCCGTCGCCGCATGATGATGACGTCGGGCGGCACTGGCCCGCACTACAAGGTGAGTGGCGCGCGATGTAGCACAGCACGCGCTGCACAGCATGCTGACCCCCTCCCGCCTGCAGTCGATGATGCACGCCGGCTCGGAGATCGTCAAGGCCGAGGGTGTCAAGTCGCTCTTCAAGGGTGCCGGCGCCAACATCCTGCGCGGCATTGCCGGTGCCGGTGTGCTCTCCGGCTACGACAAGCTGCAGGAGATCATGCTCGGCAAGGTCTACAAGTAAATGTCTCGCCGAGGCAGGGGAGCGTGCCCACCATGATTGCTCCCTCACACCACACACACCACGACGCTCCTGTCGCACACATCCCACACCGCTGTTCTTCTCTCCAATCAAGAGTATTCGCGACCCACTGAGCGTGCGACGTGAGCTGGACGGCATCGCGAGGCGGCCTGCGCACGGCGGGAGCGGCGGCGATGGCGGCGGCGGCGGCGGCGGGAGCGCGAAAGTAGGCGGCGCCGGGGACTGGCTGGCGGCGCACGTGATCTCGGCCGAGGCGCCACCTGCGCACGGGGCGCCGCGCGGCGAGAGAGCTTGCGTGCTCGCTGCTCGCTGCCAGCCGCTCCGCTTGCGAGAAGCGAAGGCCGCGGCGTCTTCTTGAGGCGCTCTGCCGCGCTGGCAAGCTGCGCTGCGAGGTGCAGCACAGGAGAGGAGCATGCTGGCCAGGCGGTAGAGCAGTGTCCGTTGCGTCTGGCGCTCGAGGCGCCGTGAGTGGTGGAATCTGCGGTGGAGGCATCAGCCGCGCTGCCTTCCTCCTCTCACCACCACCACTACCCGCACCAACCTCACACAACACACACTCAGCAACCATGGGTCCGTCTCTGCTGGCTCGCATGGCGTGTGCTCCGCAGCTGATGCGCTCCTCTGCCTCTGCCTCGTCTGCGCCCTTCGCCGCCCGCCGTCTCGCTCCGCTCGCGCCCGCCCTTGCCCGCAACCTGCACGCCTCGGCCGTGCGCGCAGGCGTGAGTGGCTCAACGTCAAGGGAATGTGCGGGGCAGGCGCTGACGCATGTGTGGCTCGCAGGTCGAAGTTAAGTCTCTCTCGGCCGGCGACGGCAAGACCTACCCCAAGAAGGGTGAGCTGGCATGGCATGCCGTCGCAAGCATGTGGCCGCATGGCTGACATGCTCCTCTCCTGCCAGGCGACAAGGTGACGATGCACTACGTCGGCACGCTGCAGTCCAACGGCTCCAAGTTCGACAGCTCGCGCGACCGCGGGTGAGTAGTGACGCGGTGCTGCCGGTCCGGGCGGCCGGAGCTGTGCGCTCGGCTCGACGTTAGCTCGCCGCTCACGCTGCTCTCGCATCGCAGCTCGCCGTTCGTCACCTCGATCGGCGTTGGCCAGGTCATCAAGGGCTGGGACGAGGGTGGTGCGTCTTTGCTGCTGCGGCAGTCGCTGAGGATGTCGGCTGATTGCTGTCTCAACCACAGTCCCGCAGCTCTCGCTCGGCGAGAAGGCTGTGCTCACCATCACGCCCGACTACGGCTACGGTGCCCGCGGCTTGTGAGTCTACCTGTTGCACTGGGCTACATCTGCTCTCTGCCGCTCTTGCTGATGCATGAACACCTGTCCAGCCCGCCGGTCATCCCCGCCAACAGCACCCTCATCTTCGAGGTCGAGCTGCTCAAGATCAACTAAGCGCCTCGCTCCCTGCTGCGCAGTGTCTATGCATCTTGAAATGCACCTCCTTATGCTCTGCATGCGTCTGCCAGTGTGTCGACAGCTCAGCGCAGCGTGCTTCGCTGTCAGAGCGCACGGCATCGCGGCGGCAGTGTGCGAAGGAAGATTAAGCGTGCCGGGCTCGGTTCTGGCCGCGGATATCGGCAGAGGAGGGCGTGTCGCGCTTCGAGGCCACGCTGCTTACGAACCCAGCACGCTTGGTCTTCCTCTCTGCGCTGGACGACGCTCCTTACCTTGGCTCGTAAACGGATCGTTTGACGGGCGGACGTGAAGGTATGATGATACAGGGCACGACGGGGTGGAGTAGGGCACGGGGGCCAGGCGGCTCGAGCGGCTGCTCCTCTCGAAGGATGAGCAGCGCAGCATCGAGGGCGAGGATGGCTTGGTCTGCTGCACCGAGCGCGCGCACGGCGGGACGGTCGAGAGTGGTGGCTGGCTTGTGACGACGTGACGGGAAAGAGCGTGGGTCTGGGACATGGGTGGGACGAGAGCGGCTGCCGGCTTCTAAGAGCGAGAGAGACTTCGTGCGGTCTCCTACAAGAACCATAGGGCCTGGCAAAAGGTCGGATCACGCTCCAGCGAGCGCATCACGGCCGTGGTGTCGATCTCGGGCAGGGGCGTGCGCTCGCGCGTGGCCGACGAGACGGACGTGGCGACGTCCGAGGCGCCCTCGCCATAGACGCTGCGGGGCAGATGATCAGCAAATGCAGCTTGCACGCACGACGTGGCCGGCTCACAGGCAGCGCGCCTTCTCGGCGAGAATGTCGGCGTACGCGGCGGCGGGCACGAGCGCGACGGAACGGGTGGCGCGCGCGTAGGAGAAGCAGAGCGAGTGGACGACGGTCTGGATGTTGTCCGAGGAGAATCTGATGGGTACGGCGATGGCGCGCGGAGGTCAGAGCGAGATCAAGGGCAAGAGTGAGGGCGAGAGGGGTGGCGCACTTATTCTCGTCGAGGAGGCACACGTAGTGCACGCTGCGCGGAGTACCGACGAGGCTGGCGCAGAAAGACGCATAAGCAGCTGACACTACGGTGACGAGGGCATAGCGACTCACCCTCCGTGCGACTGTCCGTACCAGTCAAACGCAAACGGATGCGTGGCAACCTGGTCGACGACGGTGCCCGACGGCAGCGACGCCGAGCGCTGGTCGTTGTCTTGCGGGTTCTCGGCGAAGAAGCGGATGTGGTGGCGCTTCGAGCAGACGATGTACGTCACCTTGGGCGCGTAGCCTGCCCGGAATGATTGGCATGCCTTTCGAATGGCATGAACTTCCTTCTCTACAGCCGCGGCGTACTGGCCCTGGGAAACGCCGTCGCGGAAGACGAGGAGCACGGGCGGGGGTACGCCGACCCAGCGACGCAGGTGGCCCAGCATCATCTGCTCGAGCTCGATGACAATCTCCTGCGAGCCGCCGCGCGTGTTGCGCTGGGCGCGCAGCTCGGAGCTGTACTTGAAGCGCTGGCCGTCCATCGTCGCCACCGAGGCGGCAATGGAGGGCATGTCGCTGCCGGGGCCGGCGTGCGTGACATCGATGCCGACCATCATTGCCTTAGGGTCGAGGCCGGGCAGGTCCTTGGGGCCGGTGACGATCTGTGCGGAAGCGTCAGCGACTGGGCAAGTCCTCAATTGGCGTGGTGCGCACCTGGTTCGTGCCCTGCAGCTTGATATTGATCTGAACGGACGTCGAGAAGGTCAGCTTGGCACACAGACCCATGCGACGCAAGCACGCACCTTCATAGCGAGGTTACTGCAGTACTGCTCTACGCCGCGCTCCTTGAGGCACTTTGTCGTGTTGGCGACCTGCGACGGCACGGGGCTTGCCAGCTGGACAAAGAGCGGTCAGCTCCGTGTCGAGCTCGTGCGCTACTCAGCGACACACCTGCATCGCACAAGCGCGCTTGATGGCCTCGTAGAGCGACGCGTCGGTGCGATCCATGAAGCAGAGGAAGAACTGCGGCGGCGGCGCCTTGGCTCCGAGCTTCGCCTTTGCCTGGGCAAAGGCCTGCTTACCGGCACCCTCGAGGGTCGTGCGCACACTCTGCGGGTCGGGGTTGCCGGCGATCATCGGCGGCGCATCGTTGACGATGTTCATGCCGAGGCCGCGCAGCGTCTGGATGAGGAACTTGACGAATGGGCCGCAGTCCTGGCGCGTGAAGTTGACGACGCTCCAGCAGATCAGCGGCTTGCAGCTTGCGGAGAAGCGCTGGCCGTTGAGGTTCCACGAACCGTTGTTCGGACTGCAAAGCGGCGTGAGCGTCAAGTGCATGAGGTTGCGCCGCGGCTGACCCACCGGGCAGTCTTGTTGCCGCCGTACGTGACCGTCGGCGCCGGTAGGACGCGGCCCTGCAGCGCCACGGGCTCAGGCGAGACCTCGAGGCCCCACGAGGCGAACTGCGAGAGACGAGGTGAGCGCAGCACTAAGGTTCAGTGCGGTAGCGGTACTCACGCGGCTGTCCTTCTCGTATGCGAGGTCGCGGCGGATGTCGGCGATGCGAGCCGCGCGGTCGGCAGGCTTCTGAGCACTCTCGCGGATCTGGTGCACGGCATCAGCATAGAGCAGGTGAGCCGCGAGCAGCTTTGCTCACCATGTCCTGGATCTGTGTGGGGCTGAGCTTGAGCGGCGGCAGCGGCGTGCCGGGCACGATGATGCAGCACTCGGGCGGCACGAATGAGCCCTGGCCGCCGACGAGCACGCAGGGCAGGTTCGGGTACAAGATTGTGTAGTTGTACTGTGCGTGGAGTGGGGGAGAGGAAGGTGTGAGAAGAGAAGACACGGGCGGGAGGGTGCAACAGGCTGGCGACGTACCTTCGTGCGGTAGACTCCAGCACGCTCATCGTGCTGCCATCGCGCTGCTTGAACGTCGTCTCGGCGGCGCTGCGGGGCGTGAAGCCCTTGAAGATCTCGAGCTTCGTGGCCGGGCGGTGCGTGACGCGGATCTGCACCTTGGCGAGGCGCTTGCGCAGCTCCTGAGCCTGCGGCTGCGTGATGTGAAGCAGACGGTCGCCGCCGCCGTGAGCGCCGCCCTGGAACGCAGGCTGGCCGCCACGGCCGCCACGGAAGCCTCCGCGGTCGCCTCCACGACCGCCACGGAAGCCGCCGCGCGCACCGCCGGGAGCACCGCCGGGCACGCCCAGCACCTTGGCGCACACCGTGAGGAAGTCGCCGCCGCCGAGGCTGAGCAAGGAAGGTCAGTGACAGGCATGAGCTGGCTCAGACGAACAACACACAATGCTGAGAAGGCCACGTCGATGTTGACAACGAGGCCGCCCATCGTGGCGCGCACCGACTGGAAGAAGCCCTTCCACACCTCGCCGCCGCCGGCCATGGGCACAGCGAGCCTGTGAAGCAGCAGTGGATCAGCAGTGATCAGCAAGAGAGTGTCGCACATGACGCACTTGGGGTCGAAGAAGCGGCGGCCTTGCGCGCCGTGCACCTTGAAGATGCGCGTGGGCTCGTGGCGGAAGAGAATTTCGAGGGCTTGCAGCGCCGTCGTCACCTTGTCGGTCGTCGCGGCGCTGGCAGCCATGATGGTGCGGCGGTCGGCGACGCAGAAGTCGGTCAGCACCTCGAGGTCGATCTTGGCCGCCTCGGTGATCGTGACCTGCATGTGACGAGTCAGCACGCGCGATGCAGCAAGCAAAGATCCGAGGCGCTCACCGAGAACTTGCGGCTACGCGCCGGCGGCGCATCGCCAGCGGGCTTAGGCGGCGCCTTCTCTCCCGGACCGAGCTCGTAGACCTTCTCGGGCAGCGCACACTCGAACTTCTGCTTGATGAACGGCAGCTTGGTGGGGCTGTAGCCGTTGCGGCGGCCGTCGAAGGCCATGGCCGCCGCAACCTCGACAGTCAGCACGCCCTCGGTCACGGCTTGCTCGAGACCGGCAGCGAAGACTTGGTGGCAGAGCAGCACGGGAAGAGCCTTGGGTCCGCCGCTGGACTTGGCCTTGCTGTCGAAGAGTCAGTCCTGGCAGAATGCATACTCTGGACCACGACTCACGGCTGCGGCGGAGCACCGGCCGCGGGCGCCTCGCGGTCATCGATGGGGTCAAGCACGATGTCGTAGTGCCACACATCGCGCACTGCCGGCGCAGCGCCCGACTGAGCGGCCTTGGAGCCGCTGGCGCCGCCCTTGCCGCCGCGTCCGCCCGCTCCGCCGCGTCCTCCGCGTCCACCGCCGCCGCGAGCGCCGCCACGAGCCGCAGCGGTGCCGCCACGGGCTGCGGGCGCTGCCGCCGCCTTGCCGCCAGTGGGCTGGCCGCCCATGCTGACGGCGTACATGTTGACGCGCAGGGCGATCGGGCGGCCCTGCAGTAGAGGCAGAGTCAGTGTATTGCGCCTACGCCACCGCGCCTCGACTGCGCACCTTGGTACCACCGGCATCTGGGCGCGGCGCCACATCTAGTGGGAAAGCGTGTCAGCAGCTGTCGACGCTCAAGCAGCGGCTGGTGTCCGTACCAAGCAGAGCGAGCGACTGGCGCTCCTGCAGCGCCGAGTGCTCCTGCTCCTCGAGCGACAGGCCGGCCTGCAGCGCGCGCGCGAGCTCGAGGCCTTCCTGGGACGTGTCAACTGCGGCGGCGGCTGCGGCTGCCGCAGCAGCCTGCGAGCGGGTCTGCGCCATTGTAGGCGCGGTGCAGCTCAAAAGTGAGGCGAGAGATGAGCTGTGTGGGGTGCTCGGCTGCGGTGGTGGTGGTGAAGAAGGCCGAGATGAGGGCTCGACTCAGCCTCTTGTCCGCGGCTGCCGCAGTGCGCGGGCCTCGCGCGCCTAGGGGCCTGTGCGGCGCTTCTTCCTTCGCTCGCCGCCTGCCTGCTCCAGCTTCCAATCAGGTGCAGCATGCAGCCACGCCAGCACATCGCTACGAATCTCTCAGCAGGCCTATCGATAGCCGCGCTGAGGTCATAGAGCGCTCGCAGCGAGTCCAACACCCCAAGGCAAAGACGGCCCACGGGGCGGCTAGGCCGAGGCACGGCGGCGCCCCTGTGACGCTCGCCGAGGCGGCACATCCCTGTCTGCGCAGCCGCGGCTTGATGATCTGCGGCCCGTCACATCGAGCGCTTTGCCGTCACACAGGCCGCGGAGTGTGTCTTGGATGATGAGGACGGCGTTGAGCTGGAGCAGACCTGCCTCGTCGAAGCGAGCAAGTCGCTCCCACCGCTCCGCACCAAGAGCTGCAAGCTGCTGCAGGTGCATCGGGCATGCATCGGGGCGCTGCCTGCACACGGTCACGACCTCTCGGCCCCCCGGCGCCCTGCCAAAGCGGCCTTCGTGAATGTTCTGCTGCCTCAGGCTGGACCTCCAGGGCAGCAGACGCTGCTCGTCGGGCCCGCTCGCTCGAGAACCGCCCACGTACGAATGCACGCAGGCCCGGTATCCGGCAGGGCGAGAGGCTCGGGAGCAGCGGAAGTTGCCGTCACGGCGCATCGCGCTGTTCTGGCGGCGCGGAAGCAAAAAGGCTCCGGCGCCGCGCGGCGTGTCGGGGGCCGGTGCTGCTCGTGCTGCTCTTGCACGCCGCCATCCCAGCACCAGCCGCCAGCCGGCGCAGAAGAAGGCAGACCACGAGCATCTCGCTGCTTTCGCGCTGTGCTGCTGCGGCTGGCGCTGTACCGTGCTCTGAGCTTGCATGCCGCTCTGCCGCTGCCGTGCGCCCCCAGCGCAGCAGATCTTGCGTGGACAGCCGGCTCCAGGAAAGCTTCTCCTCCTTCGGCGCAGCACAGAGTGCTCCTGCTGCGTCACACCAGGGGCAGCGCCGGCACGAGCCGGCATCGAAGGAAGCAGATGCGTCCCTGCTCCGCTCCGCCGAGCCGCCATGCACCGGCAGAAGAAGCAGCGCTAGCGGGACATCCGCACCGCTCTGCTCCCGCTCGCCCCCGCCGGCCAGACATCTGGCTCGCAACCGCCGCCGCAGCATCCAGCGGTGGGGAGCGTAGGGCAACGACGCCGGCATGACGAAGGTGTGCCTCGCTGAAGTCCAGGCGATCTCGCTGTGATGAGCACTTTACGTGAGAGGACAAACCCTATGCCTCTCCTCAGGAGTAAAAGCCGCGTGGCGCGCCGCTGCCGCAAGCACGCAGACGTCGCAGCGCAGCCTCAGCACCAGGCAGCAGCCGAGGCATCTCTCATCAGCATGCAGTGACCCGAGAAGTGTGCGCAGCATTCAGCCTCTGCGGTCGATGCGTGCAGCGGAGGGATGCCGCCCACCTCTGCGCTGCGCACGGCGTTGATGGAGCACGGCGCTAGGCGCGTCTCGGCAGAAGGCGCACGCGGCGGATGCTGATGGCGGCGCGCTCTTCATGCTGGTGCTGTGTGCTCGCGCGGTCTGGTGCGCTGCTGCACGGCGCCGATCCTCCGCTCTCTCACCTTCCCGTGCTTCTTCTGCTCACCGGCCCCGGCGCGCAGGAACAAAGTGGTCGTGCGCAACCCTGAGCTGCGCCTCAGCTCGCAGCGCGCTGCCGCCATGCCGTCAGCACGCCTCAAGGGCCGCGGCACATGAGCAGCAAGGCGCACCGGCCCCTCGGCACGCTCCCAGCGGCGTGGCTCGTGCACTGCCGGCTGCTGTCCTGCCCGCCGTCGCTCCTCCGTCTGCGCACTCCAGGTCACAGATCACGGCTCTCTCCTCTCGCTGCACCGCTGACGCTCCGAGTGCCCTGCACTGCAGCAGCGGTTGCACGCTCGAGCGCCTGGTGCTGGGTGCTGCGCGGCCACTCTCTGCTGCTGGCGGCGTTCTAGACGCTCCTCCTCCTCCTCGTCCGCCCCGCACATGGCCCGCGGGCCGTCTGGAACAGCCGCGCACACTACGGCCTGCTCCCGTGCTCGGCAGGCCTGCCGCTGCATCGCACTCGGCGTATGTGCAGCATGGTGATCGGATGATGCGGAACGAGGGCGCCGGCCACGAGCACGGCGAGACGCCATGGGCAGGCGAGCAGCCGTCTCGCCGACGCTGCTGGCCGGCCCCAGCAGCTGCGCCGTGCGCTTTCACCGACGGCGGGCGGAGGTAGAGCGGGCTGATTGCAGCCGCCGGCCGCCTGCCCGCACCCCACGGCCTCGGCGCCCCGCATGGTCATCGGGGCCCAGAGGAGCAGCAAGCACGCGGCATGAGCGCCGGTTGCGCGTCTCTCGGGCCACTCACTCTCCATGGGCGCCCTTCCATAAAGGCAGCGCACTGCCGCCATCCCTCCTCCATTCGCTCCCCCAGCATCTCTCCTCTCCGACTCGGCAGCCGCCGCCTACTCTCCTTTCCCTCGCACCGCCCCCGGGACCCGTCACCGCTCGCACAGCCCGTGTGCTGCCCACCACTCTCTTCCCACCCCTCCCATCCCACACGCCGCCATCATGCTCGGCCGCGTCTTTGCGCAGGCAGGCCTGCTGCTCTCGCTCGCCCTCTCCGTCGCTGCCGTGCCCGCCGTCGTCGAGGGCTCGCTGCCGCGCGTCATGCTCGACAAGCGCGCGCCTACCACGCCGTCCGCCGATCCCTTCTACAAGCCCTCGGCCGCGCAGCTCGCCAGCTGCGCGCCCGGCGACGTGCTCAACAGCCGCAAGGTCGAGGTGGCCTTCTGGTCGCAGACCAACTTCGGGCAGATCCAGGACTTCAACCAGAACGTGCAGGCCGCCTACCAGATCCTCGCCTGCTCGCGCGACATCAACGGCCAGCCGAGCAGCACGGTGACGACGGTCATGGTGCCGTACAACGCCAAGAGCAGCCCGCAGCGCCTGCTCGTCTTCCAGAGCGCCGAGAACTCGGCGTCGCGCGACTGCGCCATCAGCTACAAGCTGCTCAAGGGCTCGGGCCGCGGCGACTAGTGAGTGGGCGCGCATGGCGGCGCCCCTGCCCTTCACACGTCATGCACAGGGTCTTGCCTCATCTGACGCACACGCCTCTCCACAGCGACTTTGCCATCGAGCAGATCCTCATCAACCGCGAGCTGAGCCAGGGCATCATCGTCGCCTGGACGGATCACGAGGGTCCCGACGCCGGCTTCTCCGTCGGCAAGCTGGCGGCGCAGGCGGTGCTCGACGGCACGCGCAGCGTGCTCAAGTTCGGCACCGTCATCAAGAACCCATCGAGCGTGCGCATCGCCTTCTTCGGCTACTCGGGCGGCGCCCTCGCCACCGGCTGGGCCGTGCAGGAGCAGCCTGTGTACGCGCCCGAGCTCAGCTCGCGCATCGTCGGCGCCACGTACGGCGGCCCGCCGATCAACCCCAAGAATACGTTCCTGCTGCTCAACAAGGGCCAGGCCGCCGGTGTCGCCTTCGCCGGCCTCGCGGGCGTCGGCAACATCTACCCCGACACCAACGCCTACCTGCTCGAGCAGGCCACGGACGCCGGCAAGAGTCAGCTGGCGGCGTTCCGCGGCCCGCCGGGCTACTGTCTCGTCGAGGCCGTCAATGCGCTGCAGTTCCAGGATGTGTTCAGCATGTTCAAGTCGCCGCAAGACGTCGTGCTCAACGCGGCGCCCATCAAGAGCGTCCTCGACGCCGGTATCCTCGGCGGCAGCAATGCCCCGAGCACTGTGCCCTCGTGGCCGGTGCGCATCTTCCAGGCCAACATCGACGAGATCGTCGTGACGGGCGACGTGGACAACTATGTCAACGGCTTCTGCGACAAGGGCGCAAAGGTGCTCTACGTCAAGGAGTACGTCGGCGAGCACCAGTCGCTGTCGATCACGGGCACGCCTGCGGCGCTGGCGTGGCTCGACGACCGCTTCAACGGCGTCGACGCCGGCCTGAACGGCTGCAAGCGCGAGAACACGGCCAGCACGCTCATCAGCCTGCAGGCGTACAGCGTGTTTGGCCAGACGCTGCTCAACCAGCTGCTGGCCATCTACAACGCGCCGCTCGGCCCCGTGCTCAGCTTCGGCGAGAAGCGCGTGGCGACGCAGGGCGGCAGCGTCACGAGCCTCAACCGCAACTCCATCCTGGACCTCATCAACTCCGGCCGCGCCACGCCCAGCAAGAACCCCACCTCGTCGGGCAACTCGACCGAGCCGGCGGCGAGCAGCAGCAACAACTCGACCAGCTCGGACGGCCAGACGCAGAGCAAGGCCTCGTCGACGACCAAGACAACCAAGAAGCCCTTCTGGCAAATTTGGTAGACGGCCGGCCTCTTCCTTCTTTCGCGGATCGCTCACTAGACCGACCCTCACTGGCTACACGCTTTTTCTCGCTCGGCTCGCCTGTTCCAACGCGCCCCTTTCCCTGCTTGCTTCATCTCCCGTCATCGGCCTCTCCTCTCTTGTCGCTCTTTGCACTCCTCCACACACACTCTCTTGCTCTCTCGTGTACCCACACCCGCCGCCCTGCCGCCCCACTCTGCGCGGGCCGTCTGTCAGTCGTGCATCGCACGCAGCTCTCTCCGAGAATGGATGATTGCTCTGCGTGCTTCTCCGCTCGGTGGGTCGCTGCGTCACTCGAGTGGAAGGAGAGCAATGTGCATTGCGGATGGCTGGCGGACACGACCTACGACGTGCTGTCCTCTCGCGCTGGCGACGCAAAGGCGCCCGACGAAGCCGCTCTGGCAGGCGTAGCGCTCGGCGCCGGCGTTCTCGAGGCGCCTCGCGGCGTAGCAGCCGCCGCTGGCGTCTGCTGCGGCGCGACCGAGCCGTCCTTGTTTGCCTGCGCCGCAAGCCGCGCCTTGACAGTCTTGAGCTCCATGTCGATGCGGTCGAGCTGACGCTTCATCTCCAGCCCACTCGTCACGGCGCCAATCAGGCCCTCCCAGCGCTCCAGGTTGCGCGCTGTAGGGAAGACAGGTCGCGGTCCGACGGCAGGCTTGAGCTCCGCAAGCGTCTGTGCCACGCGCAACGCCAGCGTGGCGCGCGGAGCCAGCACGCGCGAGGAGCGCAGGTAGGCGCCGTGCGAGGTCGACTGGTTCGACGCTGTTGGGTTCACCGCTGGTTGAGACGCAGAGACGCCGATGAGATGCGGGTAAGGCGCCTTGTACGGCGTCGCTGGCACGGGGTCGAAGCGCGTGATGCAGTGCAGGTCGTCTGTCGCGAGCGGAGGTGTGAGAAGCCGTGAGAACGAGAAAGGGCGCCGAGCGACTCACCGAACGCTTGCTGCTTCAGCTCCGTCTTCTGCTTGTACGTCAGCTGCGTCTTGGAAGGGCCCGCCTCGTCGTCGCCGTCGTTGGCCTTGCGCTTCTTGCGCTGTAGGAAGAAGGGTGGTGAGCTGCAGTCGTCGACGATCAGAGACAGGTCGATGCTCACCTTGCCATCGCTCGGCTCCTCGGGCGCCGGCACGCTGCCCGGGATCGCGAAGCCAAGGCCAGCGCCGACGCTGGCCGTGCTGTTGCGATCTCCATTCGGCGTGCGTTCCCATCCGCCAAGCAGCTTGAGCAGATCCTCGCGCTCCGCCGCAAAGCGCGTCTCGTTCTGCTCGAGGCGGCGGATCTCTACGTAGAGCGCCTCCTCCTCGGCCAGCTGCGCCGGCGTGCGGCCGAAGAGCCGCTCGACTGCACGCTTGCGCTCGGCTTCGCGTGCGCGGTCGAAGGTGTAGGTAGCCAGCAGCGCCTGCCGCGTGTCCATGTCGGCCGTGGTGATGCGGGAGCGGATCAGGCGTCGGCAGAGGGCGTAGTAGCGCGCCTTGAGGTCCTGAGAAGTGCCAAGACGATCAGCATTCCCAGCGCTGCGTGCAGCAACTGCCGCTTTTCTGATCGCTCACCTCGATGCTCCGCTCCTTGCCGCGCCACTCCCAGCGATCGTGGATCACCACAAAGCGCAGGTCGTAGGCCTGGCAGAGGTCGATGAGATAGTCCGTCTCCTCCTTCGTCCAGTCCTCGTCGCGCAGGTGCTGGTGGTACTCTTCCGTCGAGTAGCTGTACACGCCCGAGTTGGTGTTGAAGTGCGCAAACTTGTACTCTGTGTGCGAGAGAGGCGGAGAGATGGACGTCTCAGCGCAGGGCTCGACCGCCGAGGTGCGGAGCAGACCGAAGGATGCTGCAACACGCGCCTGCTGCTCGTCCACTCTTCGGGCGCGACACTCACCTCTAGGCACCTCTTCTTGCGTCTCCGGCTTGCTGCTGCTGCCAGCTTGTGCCTCATCCTCGGCCGCCTGCTCGCCCTCTGCTGCCGGTGCTGCCTGCGCAGCCGGCACTTCCGCCTTGGGCACCCAGTGCGAGAGCACGAGGTCGTCCTCCCGAGCCGGATTCCGGAACGGCGCATTCACCCTGTGACGAGACACATGAGCGTCACATCACCTGTTCAGCTTGCCACAAAGCCACGCACCACTGCTTGGCCTTCATGGGCCGCTTCTTGAACTTGGGCTTCAGGCGCGCCTTTGCCGCCTGCGCATCTTCGAACTCGGCGCGTGCGATGGCCAGACTCGGCACACTGTCGCCGAGCAGCGCATACAGCTCGCGCGTGAGGCCATCGGGCTTCTTGGCGCCCGCAGCTGCCTTGCCGCTGCCGCTGGCGCCGGGCGCTGTGGGTGGGCCACGCCGCGCAGGTGCGGCGCGACGAGAGGAGGAGGCGCCACTGCCGGGCGCGGGCAGCGAGAAGATGTCGCGCACGTCGGAGGAGGAAGCCATGGCTGTTGAAAGAGGGCGAGAGGAGGTGAAGCGCAAGAAGCGCACCAAGATGGATGAGGAGCGGAGGAGAAAGTGCCTGAGGTCCACTTCGGCGACGCGTCTGCGAGGCAAGAGCGGGAGACGGGACACGCTGCTGCACGCCGCGAGCGTCTGGGGCGGTGCCTGACGCGCGGGGCACGCCCTATCGGGGCGCCGCTTGCGAAGCTTTGGGGCCGGCCGGGGAGCGCGAGAGGCTGCCTTCCCGCATCCACCTCCTCAGCGACATCTCTCTTCTCGGATCTGCGGTCTCGCTCCTCGCTCTCTCATACCGTCTATAGAGTACCACTTGCACCAGCGCCAGGGCGAGAGTTCAGCGCAAGTGCTCGCAAAGCTTCCATCCTTCCAGCGCCAGCGAGGCATTCGAGCCCGTGACTCGGGTCAGCCAACTCGCCGCAGCACTCCCGCTCGTGCATAAAGAGGCACCCCGTCCGCTGTCTCGGGTCGTTCTGCTGCATCCCACTACCGCCTCTTCATCATGCTCGCCTCGCAGCTCAAGGCCGCCCTGGCGCAGCGCCAGCATAAGGGCACGCTGCGCGCTCTCTCGCTCTACCCTGCCTCGCCCGCTCCGTCTACCTCTAGCGCTGCTACAGCCGCACAGCTCGTCGACTTCTCCTCCAATGACTACCTCTCCCTCTCCTCGTCGTCGACGGTGAGGGACAACTTCGTCCGGCGCGTCACGCACGCCGTGCAAAGCGGAGAGCCGATGCTGGGCAGCACGGGCAGTCGACTGCTGGATGGCAACTCGGACGCGCATGAGCAGGTGAGCGATCAGTGAGGCGCAGGAGGAGTCCGAGAAGCCGTGCGCTGTACTTGAGCCTCTCGCCGCTCTGCAGCACACTGACATCTCCCTCTGCAGCTTGAGCATCGTCTCGCATCGCACTTCCGCTCGCCCAGCGCACTCCTCTTCAACTCAGGCTTCGACGCCAACGTCTCTCTCCTTTCCTGTCTGCCACAGCCAGGTGATGTCGTTCTCTACGACACGCTCGTGCACGCCTCCGCCCACGAGGGCATGCGTTCCTCCCGCGCCCAGATCTGTCGCTCCTTCCGGCACTCCGACCCGGCCGATCTCGAGGCGCAACTGCTTTCGCTCCTCGAGCCGTCGCTGGATCATATGCCGCCCGCCAAGCGCGCCGCAGCGTCAGAGCTAGCACAGCGTCTCAAGTCAGGTCGCGCAAACGTCTTTGTCATCGTCGAGGGCGTCTACTCGATGGATGGCGACATCTGTCCGCTCCCGGAACTGCTGGAGATCCTCGAGCGCCTCGTGCCGAACGAGGACTGCAGACATGTCATTGTCGATGAGGCGCACAGTGTCGGCGTCTATGGCGATGCCGGTGAGGGACTCTGCGTCGCCATGGGCGTCGAGGAGAAGATCGCGGTGCGGCTCGCGACGTTTGGCAAGGTGAGTCTGGCTGCTCGCGAGGCTGACACAGGCACAAGCTTACGTTCCTTCGATGCCTCAGGCCTTTGGCAGCTCTGGAGGTGAGTGCTGCGAGAGCTCGCTTACCATGTTGCTGTTGCTCACATTACACTGTCCGCAGCTGCTGTGCTCTGCTCTCCGCTCTTGCGCCACTTCCTCATCAACTATGCTCGGCCGCTGGTGCGTACTGTGTCCTCTCTGTTCTTCGCAAGATGACGGCAAGCTCATTGTCGGTGCCTCTTCAGGTCTTCTCGACGTCCATGTCGCACCACACCATCCTCTCCGTGCACTGTTCGCTCGACGCGCTCTGCGATGCGCAACAGCCACGTCGCAAGGCCCAGCTCCACACCAACACGCGCCGCTTGATCGGCGGTCTCTCTTCCATCCTCCACTCCTCCTCCACGCCCGCGCCCGCATGGCTTCCAGCCGAGCTGCAAGCTCCGCAGCTCAGCGGATTGGCACCAAGTCCCATCGTGCCTCTCCTCACGCCCTACGCGCGCGAACTGGCAGAGCGGCTGCGCAGCAAGGGCTTCCTCGTCCGCAGCATCTGCTACCCGACGGTGCCGCGCGGGCAGGAGCGCGTGCGCATCTGCGTGCATGCCGAGAACCGCGAGGAAGACGTCGATGGCCTTGTGCGCGCCGTGCAGACGTGGAGCAGCGAAGTGCTGCAGCAACAGCAGCCGCAGCTTCCACAGAAGCGACCGGCAAACCTGCGCAAGGAGATCGACGCGGCTAGACTTTGAAGAGACGTGGTATGACGAGCTAAGACCAGATGCGCTAATTTTACAACGGGTAGACGAGTGACGGGCTACGAACAGGGGCGAGGGATGAAGAAGGGCGGCGTCTCTCATCTCAATGCAATAATTCCGCCCTCTCATGCTGTCTTGTGCGTGTGCGAGGCCGGGAAGAGGTGGAAGAGCCACACGCCCGTCCAGGGGATCATGAGCCACGTGCCGAGCGCGAAGGCCGCACGCTCCTTCTCGAACGCCTCGGCGCCGACGCTGTGGTGTGGAATGTGCAGTGCCTGCGATAGAGCGGGCGAGAGAGAGGCTATGGTGCCGACGAAGCCGACCAGCAGGAGGCCGATGCGCTGTGCGGACGCAGAGGTCAGGTCTGTGAGACTTGAGGAAGAATAGAGATGCAGCAACGCACCTGGAGAGTAATGACGTAGCCGAACGCAGTGTGCACCGTCGCCCAGCGCCGATGCTGGTCCCACTGCTTCGCCCGCGCAGTCTTCCACGCCATGAGCGTCGTTGCGGGCCTTGGTAGGGAGAAGAAAGGGAGGGGAAGCCGTTCAGCCTCGTTCGCTGCCTGCTGCACTCGTCACGGACCACGCACCACGCGACGCCCACCAGCACTACCGCAGCATTGAAGCTGGGCCATTTGAGACCGCTCCATTCATGCAGCTCAAACGTCTTGATAGAGTAGGAGAGGTTGAGAGGAATGAAGAGCAGGCCGGTGATGTTGAGGATCACAGCCGAGAGCAGTGTGGCGCGCCCGACCCAGCGGTGCAGCGTGCGGTACGAGGAGCGCAGACGAGCGGAATGCTGCATCGGGATGCCGATGGACCAGATGATCGCCGGGATGGCGTGCAAGCTGAAGAAGTAGAGAGGTTGACGATGAGCAAGCGTCGAAAGCGAGAGATGGGGAGGAACTGACCCGCCGTAGAGACCGGGCGCGCGGCTCATGCGCTCAGCGAAGAACGGCTTGCCGTCCTCCTGCGAACGAGCGTGAGCATTACGATCAGCCATGTACTTGGTTCATTCGGCTCTCACAGGCTGGCGATATGTCGTGAGCGTCGGAGAGTCCTTCATCGCCTCGGAGAGGTCGACAACAGGTGCGAGGTAGAGCAGCAGAGGTTGCGCGGCGAAGACGAGCATGAGTGCGCTGAGCGCCAGCATGAAGAACTGCGAAGGCTGCCGCGCCTTGGTCGCCGAGGCGGTGAGGCCCAGTCGTGCAAGGAGAGAGAGGGCAGACATGGCTGCGAGGTCTGGCCTAGCGATGATAAGGATGAGACGCAACAGTGGCTCTGCCTTGGACTCGTGCGCCTTTTGAATGTTCAGAGCGGGCGGCTGCTGCTGAGCTGAGCTCGACGTCTGACGTCCAGCGTGTGTACCTGATGACCGCGTGGAGTGCCAGGAGCGAGGCTCTTGAGGCGTGGTGGAGGCGAAGCAGCATCGGGAAGCAGCTGCTGCGAGGTCCGGGCCTCGCGCGGGGTTAAGCAAGCCGCGGCTCAGCGAGCGTGAGAGCGCCCAAAGCCGCGCGTCTCGCCTCTGCCGCGCACCGCACGCATGAAGGCTGGGCCCGCGCGGCCGCAGCGACCGCACACGCTGCGGCGAGCACCGCTCGGCGAGGCCAGAGCATGTGTTCGGCCTCATCGACGGCCGCTCGCTCTCCGCCATGCGCTTCGTCTCATGCTGCTTCTCAGCAGGCTGGTGGGCCCGCCAGAGGTGGACGGTGCGAGCGCTTGGGCGGCATGCTGTGCCGCGGCTGCAAGCCAGGAGCACGAAGCGGGACTTCTCGCTCGCTCGCTCGGCTCTGCGGCTGGACTTCCCGCCAGGCATGCTCAGTCGACAGCGTTTCTGTGAGGCAGACAGGTGTGGCTTACGGAGCCTCGATCTTCTTGCACACCGCCTACGCACCGAGCCGGTGCGAGGCGGACACGCCCACAGCGGCTCTTCTGTGCGGCAACGTCTGAGATTGCGCTGTTGGCTTCAGGGCCCAATGTGATGCAGACCAGCTACTGATACACGTGTGTGCTCTCTCTCTCTCTCTCGTCGTTCTTCATATCGCCCAAGTTTTCACTTCTTCTCGCCCTCGCTGCCGTTGCCGAACGGGTTGTTGCCGCCGAGCAGCTGCTGCAGCTTCTCGGGCGAGACATCGACGCCGGCGTCCTTCAGCTCCGTCATCACTGCACGGCCCAGTCAGCCTGTGCATCGACGCGCTGAACGGCAGAGCGCCACTCACCCTCGCTGACCTTCTGGCGCACCTCGCCGTCGGCCGCAATCTTGGCCAGCTGGAACATGCTCGGCGGCTTGCCGCTCTTGACGTCCACGCCCTTGCTCTCGAGCAGCTGCATCAGACGCTCCACCGCTGTGACAGATGTGTCAGATCTCTGCGGCATCTGAGATCTACAACGCCACCTGACGGATCTCTAGCTCGTCATGCTAGCTGTGGCCCAGACGGCCGGCCGGCAAGAGGCGCGGCCGGCCCACCGAGCATGCAGCGTCGCGTCAAGCAGCTGACGTGCGTGCAGATAACATGAACGGCCTACGCAGACCTGTTTCCCTGCATATCCTCAGAAGCAGCGTCTCCAGACCCACTCACCGGCCATAGCCTTGGGCGAGCCGAGCAGCTTGTCCATGGCGGCCGGCATGATCGGCGGCGGGTCCTGCGGCTCGGACGCACGGCGCACGGGCGACGTGGCGAGCGAGCGGCGCGCGACGGGCGCCCGGCGCAGCGTCGGTGCGACGGCGCGCGGCAGAGAGCGGATTGGGAGGCGAGCGAACATGGTGTGTGGTGTGAGGGAGGGGAAGCTGGAGGCGAAAGCGAGGGAGGGGCCCGGTCTGCCTCCACCTGGCGCGCCCAGGCCGCGCCTGCATGGAGAGCGTGGGACCGCGCACGTGACGCTCAGAAAGTGCTCCTGCTGCTCCTCCAGCCGCCTGCTGCTTCCTTCGCGACTGCATCTCTCCTCTCACCGACTTCTCGGCAGCATGCCGCTGCACACTGCTGCGCCGCCACGGCGCTCCTCGCGCCTCTCGCACATCCCCACGGCGCAACCGCTGCTGCTGCGTCTGGCGTCGGGCCAGACCCGCGCGGCGCTGCTGCCCACCGACCTGACCGGCGGCGGCCCTTCTCAGCGCGGCGCAGCAAAGACAGCGGCGAGCGAAGGGCCCATCGTCTCGCTCGGCAAGCTCGGCACGTTCCGCTCGCGCGCCATCGAAGGGCTGCCATTTGGACACTCCTACGAGCTCGTTGGCGGCGAGGTGCCGAACAGCGAGGACCGCTGGCGGAAACGCGGCGCAGCAGAGGGCAGCGACAGCGATGCCAGTGAGGAGGAGGTGAAGCCGCGCAAGGGCGGCAAGATGAAGAAGCCGGCTGAGGTGCGGATATTGGTGCAGGGCCCCGAGGAGGAGATCGGTGAGTAAAAGCAGCCCTGCGGTGCCGACGTGGAGGACTGCTGCTTTGCGGAGCTGGGACGTCGAGCTTGTCCTGCAGCCAGCACACGGCGATGCAAAGCGAGTGTGGCCGAATCAGCGCTCACACACGCATGTCTCTCAGAGGAGACCGAAGCGACCAACGAGCACTTCGGCGAGGAGACTGCGCCAGCCCTAACGGCGCTCGACGTCGATGCGCTGCGGCAAGCAGGCGTGGACGGGCGGCTCATCGTGCAGGCGGCGAGCGAGAAGAACGCGACGTTTCAGCAAAAGACGGGCTATGCGCAGGACAAGTACCGCAAGAAGAAGGAGATGAAGTGAGTGTGCATCGGAGCTCGACAGCCGTGCTAGTGCGGCGCGGCCCTAGCACACAGCTCTCGCACGCCCTGACGCTCCTCAGGCACATGCGGACATTCACACCGCTCGCGCCGACGACCTACAACGTCGCCGCCTTTCACTTTGAGCGCTCGCCGGAAAAGCTGCTGGGTATGCGTGCCGATGCGCTGTCGCAGATGCTCTCGTTTGGCAATGTCGGCGCTGGCGGGCGGTATATCGTGGTCGATGGCGTGGGCGGCCTGCTGGCAGGTGCAGTGCTGGAGCGGCTCGGAGGTGAGTGTGGCCTGGCCGGTATTGGGCTGTGCGCTGCTGACCTCGGACCTAGGCGAGGGCCGCGTCTTCATCATCAACGAGCACGACTCTGCGCCGACGCTCGAGCTCTTCATGAACATGAACTTGCCGCCGGAGTACATCGAGCCCGTGCTCAGGGCCGTCAACTGGGCAGCGACTGAGCGGCGATGGCGCTCGCGTGAGTGTAGCGCTGGTGGAAAGCACAGACAGCTGCTGACGATCCGCCAGTGGACGAGCCGTTGGCGGTCGACGAGGCGACGACGACGCCCGCTGGCAAGCCGCTCGGCGAGCGCGACAAGCAGCGTCTGCGCAAGCGGCGCGCGCTCTTCGAGGAGCACGAGCGGACACGGCACGAGCTCTTCGACGGCGAGTTCGACGGGTGAGTGCGATTGCCAGTTTGACCTCTGCACACTGACTGACGCTGCCTCGCACAGACTTCTCGTCGCCTCGCCATTCGAGCCCGTCTCGGTGATCGAGCGCCTCCTGCCTTTCATCGCCGGCTCCGGCAGCATCGCGGTGCACTCTCCGTACCTGCAGCCGCTCGTCGAGGCACACGCGCGTTTGCGCCTCACGCCGCATCTCCTCAACCTCAGCATCACCGAGCCATGGCTGCGGAAGTACCAGGTGCGTGCATTGCGTCTCCCGTCGTCATGTAGCTGACACGTGTGGCCAGGTGCTGCCCGGCCGGACACATCCGGAGATGACGACGTCGAGCAGCGCTGGCTACTTGCTCTCGGCGACGCGCGTGCTCACCGACGCCGAGTCGGAGGCGCTCGAGGCCGCGCATGCACAGGAGCAGGAGGAACGCGTGGCCGCAGAGGCAGCGGCGCCGGCAGCCGAGAGCGCTGCCGAGCCGGTGGCGGAGGCCGCTGCGGCGCAGCCGACATCAGAGGCTGCGACGGATGCTGCGGCAGATGCCGACGCCGAGCCGGCAGCGAAGCGCGCGAAGGTCGAGGAATGACAGCGTGTGCTTGAGCCGAGATCACGATGCCTCTTGCTTGACCTGGCTGCTCGTCTGCGCGTCTGCCAGTGGGATCGGCCGCTCATGCTCCGCATCAAGCTTCTCCTCGTCGAGCGACGTCTCGGCTTGCAGCTCGCCTTCGACCTGTGCGACGGCCTGTATCGCCTCGGCCTTGTCGTCGCTGAGCTCCACCTGAGCCCCATCCTCGACGGCCTCGACGCGATCAGGCGCTGTGAGCACGCGCACCTCCACGTCCTTCCACTCTCCTTCCTCTGCCGCCGTCTCGCGCTTCGCCACGGCCTCTGCCAGAGCACGCAGCTTGCCGAACCACTCCACCTTGCCGGGCAGCTGGTGCGTCGTGACGCGGCCGCTCGTGCTCGGCACACAGAAGCAGAGCGTGATGTGCGAAGGCGTCGCTGCGCTCGCAGGCTTCTTGTCGCCGTCGAGCGTCGGGATGTCGAGCTCGGCGTCGCTCTCGGCATAGCCAGCGATGGCGAAGGGCTGCAGGCCGAGGCCCGACTCATCCTCGGCTAGCGGCGTGCTGGCCGGCACGCGCACCCAGCGTCTCGTCGCCTCTGCTCCGCGCGTGGCACGCTCGAAGATCTGCGCAATGCCCTTGCCGACCATGACTGCGACGGCAGGGCGGCACTGCGCCACCTTGCGGATCAGCAGCGGCGCGCCAGCGGTGTAGTCCTGCGCCTTGAGGCCCGCGGCATCGCGTGTGGGTCGCGGGCAGAGGTTCGTCAGGCCGATGCGAAGATACGGCGCCTCTTGCACGAGCAGAGAGGGCCCTGCTGAGGGCAGGAACTTCGTAGGCGTCAGACCGGACTGATGCAGCGCCGGCCAGAAGTGCTGAAACAGATGAAGTGAGCGTCAAGCTAGCGGTAGTGCTTTCGTTGGACGCACATTCGAGAAGTGCGCAAAGTGATGGCCCGTCGCGCTAGAGGTGAGGCCCGGATTGATGCCGACGACGAGGACTGCGAGCGCTTTCAGGTGGTCTGCGAGGCAGAGGAGCTGCCGGCGCGTACTCACTGTCGAGGTCCGGCGCCAGATGGTCCGGCAGCAGCTTCAACACGCGCCCATCGGGCTGCTCGCCGAGCTCGGTGTCCTCCTTTGCCTTCGCCTTGCCCTTCACCCTCGCTTTGACCACCTTGGCCTCCTCTTCTTCCTCATCGGCCGCCGCCGCCGCCGCCTGCCCGCGAGCGGAGAGGCAGCGGGCGCGCTTCGGGTACCGGCGCTGCGATGGCTCATTGTCTTGAGCAGCTGCATCGCCGCCGCTACCCTCTAATTCCACAGCAGACTCTTCACCGCCGGTAGTGGCACTGCCGCCGCCGCTGCCCCGCTTGCCTGTCTGCGCATCCGCGCGGCGCGGCGGGGCCGGCTTGCCGCCGCGGAAGGAGTGGGCGTGGATGAAGGTCTGCGCGAGACGCGGCGGTGGCGGGCGCACCTCGACGTCGCCGGTCGAGGGCAGCAGCGGCAGACGGCGAGCCGGTGGCTGGCCCATGGCGGCGGCGGCGAAGGGCGGGAAGGAGGGGTGGAGGCGGGGAGCAAGAAGCACCGCCGCCGGTCGGGTCCGCCTTGCCGGCGGCGCGCGCCGCGGGGGCGCCAGCATGCGTGCGCCGCATGCGCAGCTGACGCGGCGCGGTGTGCTGAAACTGCCTTCACAACTCCCTCCTTCGCTGCACCAAGCCTTGTGGTTGAGCTTCGGGCTCTGAGTAGCTGCCGTAACGATTGAAACAAAGTGGTAGAGGTGAGTGATAGAAAGCATGCCCCTTGAGTCCTTTGTGAAAGATGACAGAAGCCCTTCGGATGGTTGAAGAGTCGCGTCGCTCCGATGCCCAGCGCACCGCCACACGGCAGCAGAGCAGACGACTCGACGCACGACTTGACCTAACGGCTACCTGATGGACGAGACAGCTAGCAGGGAGCTCAAAAGCAGCACATGCGGCTGCTTCCGCTGCCCCCACTCGCGCCCACGCAAGCCAAGTCGGTGCCGGGCTCTCGCGAAACGACAAGCCTCCCGCAGCCTCTTCGTTCTCTCCGCTCGATTCTCGTCATGTCGCGCGCCTTCTCCAAGTGGCAAGAGGCCGAGACGAAGCTAATCCAGAGCCTGAGCAAGGAAGACAGAGATGATCTGATCGATTACGGACGCGCGGTGTTCACGTCCGAGGCGGCTCTCGCCAAATTTGAGAAGGGACTTCGCGGAAGTCAGTTCGACGATCGACAGCTTGATTTCGGCGAAGTCGCTGAGGAAACTTTTCAGGCATGGAGTGCAGTCGTGTACGGTGAGAGTCTACGGATTAGAGAGGTTAAGCCAGGCAAGACTGACGTTGCGGGACGTCTCGCCTTGCTTCAGCGGACTTGGCGCAGCCTGTGAGCAGCGATCAACTTCGCCTCATCAAGAGAAGGCTGCGCGCTAGTTTCCAGCTTGAGCTCCTTCGACACGAGCAACTCGAAGTAGCGCAGCCCGAACGCAACGATGGTAGGGACAGTCAAGAGGCACTTGGGCTTGCGGGCGTCAACCTCCAGCTGCAGCTGGTTGACGTTCGCAACAATCTGGCCACTACGGAATCTGAGCTGAAAGCTGTGGTGGAAGAGCTGCAACAGACACGCTATGAGCTTCGAAAGCTCGAAGTCTACGCTGCGAACGATCGGGACAAGTGTCGTTGCACGCAAGATGACCTGCGCGCAGAGAGTTGGAGACTCGAGGCACGCCTGGGCCGGCTCGAGAAGACTACAAGCAAGCTGGACGAGGCTTACCAGCGGCAGACAGTCTCGACGGAGAACTCGCGCAGTCAGACCATGGAGGTCTGATCCGCAGAACCTCTCGACGACCGCGAGCTCGTCATCGAGGTCGTCCTTTTCTCGCTCGCGGCGTGTCGCTATCGCCGCCCTCACATCGCTCTCGCTCGAGGCCGTCTTCGATGGACAAGCGAACGCGTGTCCAACATTGAGATCTTTGCGAGCCGTGATCCAGCTTGCCCGCACAACCGCCGACCTTAGCTCCTCATCTCGCCGTACTCGTCGTGTAGGATCACGCGAGGATGGTGATGAAGAGCTGAGTTGGAAAGCGGCGTGCGACGACGCGCGTGTGTATATGACAGAAAAAATCACGTGACCGACACGTCGTCCTCGTCTTCCCTCTCTCCACATTGAGGCGGCTCCGTGTGTCCTCCATTGCGCCATATGCGACGCAGCCTCACCTTTTGGGGTCTGTCTGAAATGTCAACCTTTGCTCCTGTACACGAGGCACGTTCCAGCGCGCGATTAGATCCAGCCTCCTGCTGACCCTCGAAGAGAGAGGAGTCATCGCGTCGTGTCTTCTGCTCAGTCTACCCGCTTCTTCAATTAAGCTGAGACTAAGTCCTCGTGAAATCAGCTTCAGCATCGAGAAATGAAAGCCAGCGCAGAGATGAGCCGAGCGTGAGGCGCGACGTGGGGAAGCGAAAGAGGAGGCGCCGCGTTGTATAAGAGCCGCGCGTCTTTGCTGATCTCTCATCTCGGCCCCGTCCCACAAGCCTCATTACCGCACCCACGGCTCGAGCCCCAACGTCTCCGTCTCGATCCAGATCAATGCGCGGAGAACCTTCGCCTCAGTTCGAAGCTTGGGCCGCGGCCGAAAGAGAAAAGCTACGCATGCTGGAGGCATGGCAAAAGCAAGAGCTGCGTTCGGCTGTATCTCGAGGCGAGATCTGCAATCTGTCTCTCTTCGAGAAGAAAGTGTCGTCATGCTTGGAGTCCAATCAACAGCTTCGTCTAGCAGCAAGAGCCGAACGAGCTTACTCAGACTGGTACTTAACAAGAGCTCATGGTAAGTGGCCGCTGCAGTCCACACATTGCTGGCGCTAAGCCCGGACACCTGCCAGTCCACAAGTGTCTGTGCCAGGCTCGCTTTGTCGAGGGCATCGATGGCGAAGTCATCACACGTCACCTGCGCGCCAGTTTTTGGCAGCAATTTCTCGTCATGGGTGACCCCAGCGATACGATCAAGCGCAAGAGACCCGTACAAGAGGAAGATCTCCTGAGAAAGAAGAACACGGAGCTCGAGACTCAGCTGGATGAGCAGCAAAAGTTGTACGAGCAGCTCGCAGAGCGAGAAGAGCACCTTTCGGATTGGTCGTCACATCTGGAGGGTCGTCTGAAGGCTCAGCAACAGTGGAATGGAAAGCTTGACAAGTCGTTGGAAGACGAGGCAGTGACGTCAGCAATGGCGGCCTTGCAGCTAGGGGAGCAAGGAATGCTGCTTGTCAAGCAGCGCGACGACATCGAGACACAGCGCAAGACCAATGCGGAGCAGCGTCAGGCAAGCGACGACCAGCTCGCAACCATCGAGCAGCAGCGCAAGACCATCGAGGCGCAGCACGCAACAGGTGAAAAGCATCTTCAGCAGATCAAAGAGCAGCTCGACGCCATTGACGAGCAGGCCAGAATCATTGACCAGCAGAGCAGACTCCTGGACGAATATCAAGCCATCATCAAGACGCAGGCCCTCACTCTTCAAGCCTTTGTCGACGGAAGCAAGCGCGAGGCTCCCTCAATGACCAACGATATCGAACGCCGGCTGACGGAGATCGAGTACAATCAGACCTTGGCACTGAAGCGCACCCGTGACTGCCTTCTCGAGCGTCAAGCAGGCGCGGAGCAGGCCGAGAGTTGCAACAAGAAAGACGAGCGAGCCTCCTCACCGAGCCTGGGAGACCTTCGCACAGCTTTTGAGCAGCAAGAGATGCTCGAGGCTCGCGTGTCCAATCTTGAGGACACCATTGCGTTTGGCAACATCAGTGATCGACTGGAACGCCTCGAGGTCGCTTCCACGCTAAAACTCGAGGCGGACGCCACGGCCCGGATCGACCTTGATCGTCGTCTCATCAGCGTGTGCGAGAACATGTCGCAATTCGAACGTCGTCTGGCTCTACTCGAAGCCACCTCGACGGCCTCGACGACTTCCTGGCTGCTGTCGCCTCCAAACCACAGCGATTATGATCTCTCTGCTTTTGACGTCACTTGAGCGGTAGTTCAAGGTTGAGGGCTCCGTACACAATCCGACTGCAGTCAAGACCGCCTCAGAGTCGTTTGACCTGTCAGCGACGGCGCCAGAGTGGCTGAACGGTTCGCAGTACCTCACAGTCAGCTCTCCTCTCCGGAGGACTCGCAACCACCAGAAGCTCTCGTCCTCGTCTCACGCGCTCGTCATCCTCCTCCGATGCTTGACGCTCTGCCGACGCCTCTCTTCAAGCTCGCTACCTCACCCGCCTCAGTCTCTGGCCCGCCTCAGTCTCTAGTTTGAATGACCCTGTCTCTCACAAAACCTTAATATCACGACTTCTGCTCTGTTTACTCTCATCATTGTGCCCTTCTGATGCTGCACTTTTGCTCTCTTTGCGGACGGTGGTGTCGCAAGACGAAGTGTCCTCGAAACGTCAGAGATGCTGCTGTAAGCGGCGCCTTGAGGTGTATCTTCTCGGAGGAGCTGAATGAATCTCTCCCGGCCAAGCACCTCAAATACGAGATGCTCGGAGTCCCGAGCCGGTCCTTCCGTCCAAGAAGGGTCAGCGCTTCCGGTGTAAGTGGGATGTCTTCTTGCAAAGCACATGAGAGCGATCGCGCAGCGCACTAGGGGGCGGACCGCCGCCAGACCTAATCAGTCGGAACGCGTGAGGCCGGCCAGCAGTCTGGAAAGACGGTAGATTGACAGATGCGGGACGCTCGATGCTCGGTGCTCATCACGCGGCCTCCTTCTGCTGATCGACTGGCTGGCTGGAGGGACAGCGGTCTCGTCGGCGGCCGCATCTCTGCCCACCACCACAGCACCCTTCGCTGCCGACTACCTCTCCTGCCACCGCCTTCGCATCACCACCGACATGAGCAACAGCATGAGCGACACTCAAGACTCGCACGACCAGACGTGGGCCTGCCTGGCTCAAGAGCAGGTCCCCACATCCTCTTTCCGCAAGTGGCAGGAGGCCGCGACCGCGTTCTATGCCGCATTGGAGCCGGAAGGGCGCAACAGCTATGTCGCCGATCAGATGCGCGTACCCTGGGACGTCAGCAGCTCCGATGACCTCGACTACGCAGACAAGTTCGAGCAGCGTCCGGTGCGCAACGTTGCTGCGCTCCGCGAGACTGCCGGCGCCCACCTGCTCGAGGCTGACGACTTGGAGATTGAGTCGCTCCTCACTCGATTCTGGGCGAGTCTGAGGACTGGTGAGTCGTCTCAAAGCTTAAGCTTGATACCTGGACCTTACTCACACACGCACGGAAGACGACGAACGTGAGGCGGCCGAGGATAGCAGTGTCGAGACCAAGAGAGCACAGGCAAGGATGTCGGCGATCCTCAAGCTGCAGCTACTGGCTCAGGCCAAGAAGCTGGCCGCCAGCGCCGGCACGCCACAGGAGATGGAAGCGAGCGAGAGCGACAACGATTCAGAAGCGGCTGCTCAGTCCGATGCAGAGTTGTCTGGCGTGCCGCGCAACGTGAGTCTATCGCCGCAGGATGAAATCGTCTGCTGAGACGCTGTGAGAAGAAGAAGATGAAGCGCCATCGCTCGTCCTCATCGGAGTGAACGCTCGATGGTGCCCTGACCCACCAAGAGTACAATACTCCTTTGCGTCAAGTTGCCGGCACGATCGAGTCCCAAGTCCTGTATCATTCCGCATCGACGGCACTTTCTCCTCGCCGCGTCGTCGACACGTTTCCTCGACTTTGCCTCTCCTCACAATCAGCTCTGCGTCCCGGGTGCCAAGCTCCCTCACGCGCTCGTACTGTGCGACTGCTCCGAAATGAATCTTATTCGCCTCACGTCTACTGCTAGTCGGTGTCATGCTGCGCCTGCGTGCCTGCGTGCCTTCGAAGGACGTAGCCCCCGGCCTTTTGACGCGCACGCGCCGCGTCGCGCTCGGTGTTGGGACGCGCCGCACGTGGCTGGGGCGCTGCAAGGCATCACCTTACGCCTGAGCGTGATGCCGAATACACCGACGCTGCCCCTAGACAAAGCCACAGCGAAGCCGAGACGAAGTAGAGTGCCTGTCAGCGAGCGCTCTGCTGCCCCGCCTGCCTCTGAAGCTGAGCTGCTGCGTCGTGCGCTGCTCGTGCTCGCCAGGCCAGCTCGGCCTCTGTCGTCCTCACCACCACCTGCCTCGCACCGCAGCGCGCATCCCAGCACCTTTGTCAGCTCTTCACCTCACATAGCTCGCCGCCATGCCGCCCAAGCAGTCCCTCGCACAGGCCATCGCCGCGTGCCGCGCCGCCGTGCTCGCCTTCCGCAACAGCCTCGACGGCGAGCAGAAGAAGCTCTACACGGCGTGGGCCATCTCGAGCCTCGAGGCGCCGACGTGCGACCACTGCCAGCACGGCTACCTCTACGTCGACCACGCGCATCGTGCGATCCCCGTCTTTCTCGAGTCGCTCAACCAGCAGCAGCTCGAGGCGCGCTGTGCGCTCGATGACCAGTTCGAGGCGCTGCTGGACCGTCTGTCTGGAAGTGAGTGCTGCGTGGGGTCTTGCCTTGAGTCTTTCCCTTCACGTGGTACGGATGCTGACACCTTCTGCAGACGGCGAGGCCGACGAGCCCGTGCTGCTGCAGGCCTTCATGGAGCGCCTTATCCTCGCCGAGAACGCGACGCCTCGCGGCGGCAACAGCGCGGGCAGCAGCTCGAACGGTGGCGCCGTTGTTCGCTCGACTGAGCGCGCCGGCAACGGATCACAGGTCGTCAACCCTCGCGGACGTGGCCGCTCCGAGCGCCCTCTCTTCGAGGTGACCTCGACGCTGGTCAACATCAGCGACATGCCCAGCTACATCGCCAGCCTGCCTCCCGGCTCGGGCGCGGCCGCCGCCGCTCGTGCGACCCACGCGCAGATGGAGACGCGCCGTCAGCCGCAGTCTCTCGGCCCTGCGCATGGGGCCGAGCAGCGCACGGCCAGCTTCGATCCTACTCCAGCCGAGATGCATGAAGCGGAGAAGGGAAAGAAGGCAGAGGGTAGCGTCAAGCAGGCACAGTGAGGGCCGTCGTTGGTCGAGTAAGTCGGGCAGCTTCAACTCTCTGTGAGGCCTGCACATAGCGGTCGTTTGATACCTTGCCCTGCAGCTGAGCTTAGCCGTTCGCTCCGCAGCTCGACGCTCGGCTCCTCATTCTTCCCAACCAAGTCCTTCCTCTCTGTGTCGTACGCCGCCATCTCGAAGTCACATGTCAATGAAGCCGGGTCACTGCACGCGAAGCAGGCAGAGGAGTGTGTCGAGCCGAGAGGCGGATCGTTCATCTAGAAGAGCTTTGCAGCGGAAGCACGTGCGCTCTTCTTCCAAAAGGAGGTGAGGCTTGACCAGGAACAGAGAGACCGCCCCTGTCAGGGTCACTTCGCGCTCCTGAGGCGTGCTTGGGAGATCTTGCCGCAACGCTAAGTGCTCTATAGCAGGGAGAAAGGCAATGAGTGCTGTGTCTGGCTCGTCTCCGACCCCTGAGGAGGACCTGTTGCTTCTTTCGTCACGCTGCCGTACAGACGAGTAGATTCTACTTTGACTCGACTCGACCTTAAGAGAGCTCTACTCCCTGCACACCCATAACACTACCCCACCGAAGCCCGAAGCTGCTCGTCCGTGTCATCCTCGAGCGGCTCTTTCCTTCGTTCATTCCCTCATAGCGGCATCAACATGCCTCTGCAACCGCTCTGGTCGCTTCTCTCCCGCTTCCACTCGAGAGTGCTCGAGTTCGACAAGCATCTCAACGAGGAGCAGCAAGAGCTCTTCAGAGAGTGTCTCGACGACGAGATCGCGGAGCCACAAGTCTCGGATGGCAACGAAGCAGAGCGCGAGGTGGCCCAGGGCTCTGCCAGGCACGCGCTTCTCGAAGCCTGGCAGGGCGACGCAGCGCGCCTGGCGGAGAGAGCCTGTCTCGACGCCCTCTTCGCTCAGATCGTAGAGCACATGAAGAAGGGTGAGTGTCCTGCAATGTGCTGAGGTGCACTGACGCTGACTCACGCTACTTGTCTCGACCAGATGAGCCGTCCTCTTCGCTGCAACGCAACGGCGTCCAGGCTCTCGTCGAGCGCTTGCTGATCAAGGCAAAGGATCCCCCGGACGAAGCTTCGGACCCGGACGACATTCCGCACAACTTCAGTCACTTCGTGGCGGAGTCCCTCGACGGTCCCACCTACGCCGAGATCAACCAGCTGATGCGCATGATCGACGAGACGCGCATGACCCTCGAGTACCTCGAGGAGCATCTGGAGGTCATCACGGGAGGCTGCATTCCTGAGTGCTGCATTACCTACGCCAGACGCAGAATGAGAGGACGCTGAGGCGCACGCTGTGCGGCGCTGCTCGTCAGCGCCGTGTATGAGCGCCGAGGACGCCTGCGTCGCGTCGAGCTATATCCCATCGCTAGCCGCAAGAACGACTCACCCGCTCGCAAGTGCGCCGTCTTGCCCTCTGCCACCTCACATCTGTCCTCTTTCTGCCCTTTCAACGTCAGGGCGCTCCACTGCGCCGTCCGTTCGACATCATGTCGCCGTCAATTCAACTCTTTTGCTCGCTGCGTGGAGTTGGCTGCGACCAAGTCAGTCTCCATGTCTCGAGCTCTTTTTCCCTCGCTCTTAGTACCATACGCGACCATCGAAATGGCGCTCGCTGTGCGATGCGGCGATGATGCTCCTCTGCACGGCGTCGCTTGCGGTGCGCAGTTGTGGCACCCCCTGGCGTCACGCGTGCGGCGCGCTGCAGCACGGCGGCGGCGCTGGGCGCGGCACAGCGGCTCGCACCATCTGCATAGCGGCAGCGCAACTGGACTGCTTTGCTGCGCTGGCGGTACCGCGGATGTGCTACCGCCCCTATCTCTGCTTCATCTCTGCGTGTTGTTGTGTCTGCGCTTCCGCTTTTGGACGCAAAGTGCTCGCCAGCGCGTCACTCAGGTGCAGCGCCGCGCAATGTGGCGTCCCAGAGGGGCAGGGCAAGACAGGGAGGACGTGCTGCGCGGCTGCCAGCGCAGCGTCCATCGCGAGCTTGTTCAAGAGCCAGCGCCGCCCGCTGCGGCCTGCTTCAGCACCACCATCACCCTGTCACACGCTGCCGCTCGCCTCGCACCATGGCCGACTCCCTCTCGCTCGTGGCGCAGCTCAGCGCCTACCGCGGCGCCGTGCTGGCCTTCCACGCCACGCTCTCGCCGGCGCAGCGCACCAAGTACACCGCCTGGCTGCTCGGCCACCTCTGCCCGCCCGAGATGGTCACCTGCGCCAACAGTGCCGAGATGCACGTGCACTGGGTGCGCCCGGGCCTGCTGCCCTTCGAGCAGAGCCTCAACAAGCAGCAGGTCGCGGCGCGCTACCGCCTCGACGAGCAGTTTGACCGCCTGCTGATGTGCGTCGGCAACGGTGAGTGCGGCAAGAGCTCATTGAGGGGAGCACCGAGTCGATAGTGTGCAAAGGCTCACGCCGGCCACCTCCAGGCTCGCTGCCCGACGAGAGTCCCGAGGTGCTTCAAGCCTTCCTCGAGCGCATCCTCACCGCCGAGGGCGGCACCGCCGCCACAACGCCCTCTCCTTCGCGCGCCAGCTATCCCTCGACGTACGAGCGCGAGAGCATCGTCGCGACGACCAGCTTCGCCCGCGTGCCCGGCGGACGCGCTGCCGCTATCGCTCTCGCGGGAGCCGCGGAGCTCGCGGGCCTCGAGCGCCCTTCGGCATCGGCCATGCGCCAGGAGTCGCTGATGGATGCACTGCTCGGACGCATCACCGAGCTCGACATGTCCGACGACGACGAGTACGAGTACGACGAGGATGACTCTGAGTACGGCGCCAACTTCATCTACATGGACAGCATGCTGGAGCGCGAGCTCTACGGCCCGCAGCGCGCGATGCCGGCGGCGGCGGCGCCCAAGCCTCCCGGACAGGGCCAGGCCAAGCGCAAGCGCAGGGGCAAGAAGGGCAAGGGCAAGAAGAAGGCTTAGCTGTGAGGCGATGTGCGTGCGAGACGCGAGGTACAGCAGCTGACCTGAATGCCGATCAGCGACCCGAGCCTTAAGCCGCAAGGACGTCTCCAAGCACTCGCTTCCTTCCGCCACCCGTAGCTCTCGCTCTCCTTCCGTCCGTCTTGATCCCGACTCGTTCCACGTCTCGTCTACGCCCCTGCCTGTATCAAGCTCGCATCGCCGGCATGACCTACCACTGCCTCCGAAGTGTCACCTTTCATCGTCGTGTCTGCACTTGTGACTGAGCTCGTGTGTCTTGAAACCTCGTCATCTGCTCAGCACTTGCATCGAATGCCCAAGGCGTGTTGCCGCTGATGATAGAGCACAAAGAAGGTGCGCGGTCACGCACGATGTGCTCCCCAACGGTTGGGCAGCGCTAGTGGTGCGGGCAGGGCAGTCTGAGTAGACGCGAGAGTCACGCGCCCCTCACCAACGGCTCTTCTCGCGAGACCGCAAGGACTTCTGACAGGCCACCACGACTGCGCCTCCCTTCTCACTCCATCTGCGCCGCGTGTAGCAGTCGAGTGAGATTGCCTCACAGCGCATAAGCGTAGCCAGCGCCCGGAATCGAGCGCGAAGGGCTAGCCGCACGGATCTGAGCCGCACGGGACACACAGCCTGGCGAGAGGCTGCTCTCACGCCCCTATGCGTGCTGCGCAACGTCGAGCGCGTTCTTGCGGTAAACACGGCTGCGCTTCCTCATTTGGACGTGTCTCTGCCAGCTTGCCCAAAGTGAGCGAGACCTCCTTCTTCGAGAGCGCCCGCCCGCTTGAACCTGCTGCAAGGGTGCAGGCGCTGCGGTGCTGGGTGGCGTCAGCCTTCTCGAGCTGCCTGGCCGGGCGCTCTTGCTGGACGCTTCGCTCAGCTTCACCATCTCTGCGCTTCAATCGTCGCTCGTGCACTCATCCATCCTCGTCGGTCCTTCAACATGCCCTCTCAGGCGTCGCTTTTGCAGGCGGTGGCCGATTACCGCAACGGCGTGATCGCCTTCAGCCATGGCCTGAGCAAGGAGCAGTTCAAGGAGTACCGGATCGCACTGCAGCACCAGATCGCCTATCCCCACTCGCCCGCCAGTCTGATGACGAACGCTTGGTATGGCATGGACGACCTGATCGCGGAAGATCAGAAGGAGCACAGAGCGCGCCTTTTCACGGCCTTTGAAGAGCTTCTGCCTCGCATGACTGGCAGTGAGTGTCGCCGGGGACGCATGATGTGGATCAAGCTCACCACTACTCCGCCTCTGTCTCAGACCGCAAGCCCGAGATGCGCTACAACCTACTGGCCTTCCTCGAGCGCTACATCATCCTGGAGGATGAGAACGCCCGGTCATCCGCCCGGTCATCAGCAACGTCGCAGACTGGAGGCGGCCTGCAGCAGCGCGTCGCGAGTCTCGAGCATCGCGCCGACCACAACGAAGACGTGGTCACTTCGCTCGGCATCTCGATGCAGAGCGCCGACGGCGACCTACATGACTGCATTGCGCACGAGAAGATGTTGCGAGACATGAAGATCTATGAGGTGGTCGAGCAGGCGATTGCGGCGCGCATGGCGGACGTCAGGGCGCAGTCTCTCAAGACCATCTTGCTCGAGCAGCGTGTCGGCGAGCTGCAAGCCAAGCAGCAGCAGGCAAGCGCCCTGTAAGAGCGCTTCTCCAGTCTCGAGGCACGCTTCGCCGAGCAGCGCACCGAGAAGCGCATCTCTCAGCGCGACGAGGAGCTCAAGCAGGCTCACAAGCGCATCGCCGAGCTCGAGGCTGCGCTGGCGAAGACGCAGCTTGCCGCGGCCGAGCCTGTTCTCACGGCGAGCGCCTCTGGTGCGAGTGCTGGTGGCAGTGCCGACGACGAGACTGCCGCTGCGGCCTCGGCTGAGAAGTGAAGCTGCTCAACCACAACTTGTCTCTCGCGCACTGTCTGTCTTCAGTTCGCAGCATCCTCAAGAGCTACGACCATGCGGAGCGTCTCCAGCCCTTGTCTCTACTTGTTTCTCCAACGTCCCTATGCGGCCACTCTCCTGTACACGACACACCCATCTCGCTGCGAGACGATGACGAGCGCGGTCCTAGTGATGAGCATTGTACAGAGGCGGTCGTGAGCTGGATGTCGAGAACGTGGAGCAAGGGGCGCGAGACAGAGCTCGGCGCCGACGGCGGCGCAGGTATGGGATGGGAGAAGGCGGCAGCGCAGACAGCGCTGCTATGTACACGGAAGACGCAGCGAGAGGAGGAACGAGTCGCGGACGGGCGTGCGCTCAGCAGTTGCACGCATCGCCACGCCCGGCACCGTCGTTGTTGCCGACGCGCAGGCCGCCGCCACCGGCCGTCCGGCCGGGCGTGCTGGCAGCGCCGGCGGGAGCAGCGGCGCGAGCCTGCGCCTGCTGCGCTGCGATGGCGTCGATCGGGATCTTCTTGGCTGTGGGGGCGCGTCAGCAAGCGCTGCGGCACCAGTCAGAAGCGGACTCACCAATCTCCGTGAAGAGCTCCACCACACCCTCGCCCGTCTTTGCACTCGTCTCAAAGAACAGCAGGCTCGTCTCCTGCGCGTATGCCTCGGCCTCCTCCTTCGGCACAGCACGTGCGACGCCGGGCGCAGTATCGGCACCCGTCGTCGTAGCCGCATCGTCCTCCTCGGCCGCCTCAGCCTCCGTCTCCTCAGCAGCCGCCTCGCCCGAGCCGGACGCAGCTGCCGGCGCGGCGCCGAGCAGGTCCAGCTTGTTGCCGACGAGCGCAATGACGATGTTGGGGTTCGCCTGCCGTTGCAGCTCCTTGACCCATGACTTGGCCTTCTCGAACGAGCTCTGCGAGGGTGTGTGAGCGGATGCACGTAGAAGGGCAAGTGCGGACAAGCTCTTCGGGCGTCACTGTCCCATCGAGGAGCCAGGGCCTCATGCCGACTTTGAGGGCCTCACGCTCCACATTGCCTCAGACGAAGCTGCTGCTGCTCCAAGGTCGCAGCTCCGTCGTGGATCCGACAGGTAGCGCAGGGACTCTACTCTGAGCGTGTCCTGCCCTCCGCACGCCGGCCGCACATCTCCGCAGACTCACCGCCTTGGTCACGTCGTACACGACGGCGGCGGCCTGAGCGTTGCGGTAGTACATGGGCGCGAGCGAGTGGAAGCGCTCCTGGCCCGCCGTGTCCCAGATCTCAAACTTGATGATGGCGCTGTCGAGACGGCATTTTTGCTGTGCGAGAGCGGAGTGAGCCGATGCAAGGTAGGGAGATCGGGACACTGGCCAGACCGCAGAATCGGCCGGGACCTCCGCCTGTCTGGCCCAAAGGGCCCTGTCTCGGCCTGCGCCGGATCACGGCTCGGTTCACCGTCCGCTGCGGACAGCTCTGCAGGCAATAGCGCAGGCAATGGCATCTGCTGCGCTCCACACTACGCAGCGCACGCCAGAGCCGGCTGTGACCGCACTACACAGCAGCGCATACACCTCTGCTCGCCAGCAGCGCCTCTCCATACCGCCCCCGATCACACTCCCAGTCCCGCGACTGACCGTGAGGAAGGCGGCGCCGATGGTGGGCTCCTTGTTCTCGACGTACTCGTCGCTGACGAAGCGCAGCACGACGCTGCTCTTGCCCACGGCGGCCTCGCCGAGCAGCACGAGCTTGGCCTGCCACGGCTTCTGCGGCGCGGCGGCGGCGGGTGCGGCGGGCTGTGCGGGTGCGGACATTGGGAGAGGCGAGGGTGTGAGGGTGGAGAGGCAAGGCTGGCGCGGTGGCACGTGGACGCCGTCAGGAGGTGCGTGCGGCGGCGACTTGGCGGCGCTGGCGGGGCGGCGCGGCGGGCTGCTCCCACGCAGTGAGCCGTGCTTATGTCAGCATGGCGGCGGCGCCTTGCGGGTGCGCTTCTCGCCGTGCGCCAAGCCAAATATTGCTCATGCGCATCGCCAGGCACCGCGCCAGCTCGCCGCCGCCACGCAGCGAGCAACAGCGCGCGCCGCGCTCAAGTCAGCCCTCCAGGCGCGGGTCGTCCCCCGCGGCGCACCCTCGAGGGGACTCGCGGCTGGGCTCTCGCATCTCGACGGCCATGCTCCAATATGGGCAATGCGCGCAGAGTGAGAGCAGGCGAGCACGAGAGCAGCGCCACAGAGCAGGGCGGCTGCCGTCACACGCAACACAGCAGCGCGCCCGATGCGAGGTGTGGGCGCCGCCGCATGGCAGCTGGCACAAAACAGCGGCGTGGTCCGGCGTGGTCCGGCGGTCGCTGAGGTGCTGCGGCTGCTGCTCCCAGGATGCTGCGCCGAAAGCTGATTCTGTTGCCGAGACGTCGAGAAGCATGCCTTCGTGGGCTTTTGAAGGAGGCGCTTGGTGGATCACTTGGCACCGATCGCCTCCTGGACCAGAGTCAGCACATGTTGAGCCGGACATCTCTCGCTTTGGCTACGCCGTGCTGCATCTTGCTGTCTCGTACGAGAGGAAGAGCTCCCGCCCCCGCCTTTTCCCTCTTCCCCACACTTCGGCACAGCGGCGATTTCGGCAAGGTTGCCGAGCGGGCAAGGAAGGGTACGCCTCGCTGCGGCTGGCTCGCAGCCTCACAAGCGCGGCGCTCCGCCCGCGCGGGGCGACATTTGATCCGTCGAGTTGGCCTTAGCGCGCCTTGTCAGGCACAGAGGTGGAGAGGCGCACGAGACACCCCCGCACTTTGCTCCCTTGCGGGTGTGAGCTCACATCCGCAGCGTTGCGTATGCTGCGCCTTCTCTTCCCTCAACATCCTCCAGCCACCCAAGCCAACGCAGCATGGCCGCCTCGCCGCCGCTGCACGACGCCGCCTCGCTCGAGAAGGCCGGCCCGGGCGACGCGCTGCCCCGCGCCGTCTCGCCGCAGCCGTCCGTCGTCTTCGATGCCGACGCCGAGGCCCGTCTGCGCCGCAAGATCGACCTGCACGTCATCCCGCCCGTGGCGCTGATCTACATCTGGTGCTTCATCGACCGCACGAGTGCGACCCATCAGAGCGTGCTTCAGTGCGACGTGTGCTGACACGCGCTGGTCCAGACATCGGCAATGCCCGCCTGGCCGGCCTCGAGCGCGATCTCGGCCTGCAGAACTACGACTACAAGTGCGTGTGCTGCGATGTGTGCAATGCGCTTTTGCTCACCCGCGCCTCAGCACGCTGCTCTCCGTCTTCTACGTCTCCTACATCATCTTCGAGATTCCGCTGACCGTGCTGTGCAAGCGCGTCGGGCCGGGCCGCTTCTTGCCGGCGGCGTGCTTCGCCTTCGGGCTGCTCAGCATGTGCGTTGGCTTGCGCAGTCCGCTGAGCTCATGCGACTGAGATGCCGCTCCACCCAGGTGCACCGCCTTCGTCACGAGTGCGCCTGACCCGTTCGGAGCGGGAGTGAGTATGCGCTATCAAACGGTGGCGGTCTTCGCGCTGACGACGCACAGATCGCCGTGCGCTTCCTGCTCGGCGTCGCTGAGGCGCCCGTCTTTCCCTCGATCGGCTACTACCTCAGCCGGTGCGTACGGCTGTCTTCGCTGCTGTGAGCATGGCTCACCGCTTCCTCGTCCTGCTGCAGATGGTACCGCAAAGGTATGCCTGCCAGCCCGAGTCTCAGGCACGCGTGCGCTGATACAGAACACAGAGGAGCTCACGCTGCGGCTTGCGGGCTACCTGGTCTGCGCTCCGCTTGCCGGCGCCGTCGGTGGGCTGCTGGCCTCCGCCATCCTGACGCTCGACTCGATCGGCATGTACCGCGAGTGGCAGATGATGTGCGTTGCAGCGAGCGCCCCTAGACGTGTGTGGCCCACTGACGCGGCCTCTAGCTTCCTCGTCGAGGGCATCATCACGATGGGCGTGGGCATCGCGACCTACTTCCTCATCACAGACCGCATCGGGACGGCAAGTTGGCTGACGCCCGAGGAGAAGGCGCTCGCCGAGGCGCGCATCGTGTCCGAGAACCCGGCCAGCGCCGTGCTCGACAAAGTGCGCGCCTCGATGGTGCTCAAGGGCATCTTCAGCCAGACGACGATCTTCGCCGGCCTCATCTTCCTTCTCAACAACACGACGGTGCAGGGCATTGCCCTCTTCACGCCGACGGTGATCAGGACGCTCTTCCCGGGCCGCACGGTCGTCCAGCAGCAGGTGCGTGCGTCGAGCGGTCCGTGTTGCCGCGCAAGCTGACGCCGCTGGCACAGCTGCTGAGCGTGCCGCCGTACATCTGCGGCGCCGCGGCTGTCCTGCTCGTGCCCTACTACTTCATGCATCGGCCGCGCTGGATCTCCATCGTAGGATCCAGCTGTCTCGTCGTCGTCTCGTGAGCCTGGCCGCAGCTTGCGCTTGGCCGCCGCTGACGCCTCTTCATAGCTACGCAATCTTCCTCGGCACAGAGAGCGGCTCTGCTCGCTACGCGGCAACGTTCCTCGGCGCAGTCGGCGCCTTCGTCCTCGGGCCGACGGTGCCCGGCTGGAGTGCCGTCAACTCTGGTGCGTTGCTTGGTGCAGTGGCTCAGGATGCGTGCGCTGACGCGGATCCCCAGCAAACGACTCGCAGCGTGCCGGCGCCATCTCGAGCGTCATCGCGCTCGGCAACTGCGGCGGCCTCATTGCCAGTGCGTCATGAAGCATGCGCATCACAAAGAGAGAGCGCTGATCTCTTCCTCAGCGTGGAGCTACCTTCCGCGTCATGCGCCGAACTACGTGCCAGGTGCGCTTCGGAGGTGCAGCATGCCTCGCCACAGCGTCTGACCCTCGCTCCGCAGGCAATGCGCTCAACCTGGCCTGCGGCGCCCTCATCATCATCCTCACGCTGATGCTCACCGCCTTGTTGACGCGCGAGAACGCCCGCCGCAAGCGCGGCGACCGCGACTACCGCCTGGAGAGCCTCTCGCCCGAGCAGGAGGAGCTGCTGGCGCACCAGCATCCGCGCTTCCGCCTGCGCGTGTGAGCCGAGGCAGCGTGCAGGAAATGTGAATCGCGCGTGTGGTCTAGAGGACATGCAGTGACGGAGCGGGCAGGCACAGAGAGTAGGGGTGAGGGGTAATGATGTGGGAGGCAGCCTGGAGAACGAAGCGAGTCCGCGAGCGACAGGGCCATTACAGCTTCGGCTGCTCTGACCGGCTCGCCACGGCGCCGCCGAGCTCCTGCGGCGGCGGCGGTGGTGCAGAGGACGTCTGAGAGCCCTGCTGTGCCCGACGCTGTGAGGAAGGTGTGAGCTGTGGCACTGAGGGGGACCACTTGGCGCAGACGCACCAGCATGCCGCGCTTCTCAATGTTCTTGTCTGCCGCATCGGCACGCTCGAACGGCCGGCGGCCGAGCAGGTCGACCATGTCGGAGCGCGTAATGACCTCCTTCTCGAGCAGCAGGTTGGCGACCTTCTGCAGCTCATCCTTGCGCTCCGTCAGGAGGTCGACGGTGCGCTGGTACGCCGTCTTGATGATGTGGCGGACCTCATCGTCGATCTGCTGGCCAGTGGCCTCTGAGTAGGGCCTGCAAAGCGTGCGTGAGCGGTTGCACGGCAGCAGGACGCTCAGCCAGCACTCACTTCTGGAACGTCTCCTGGTCCGACGAGTACGAGACGAGGCCCATGCGGCCCATGCCGTAGCGCGTCACCATCTCGTATGCAATGCGCGACGCGCGCGAGAAGTCGTCCGAGCCGCCCGTCGTGACCGAGTTGAACATCACCTGCTCCGAGGCGCGGCTGCAGTGAGGCGTATGTCAGCCAAGAAGGCGCACTAATGCTTCAGCGTGCTGCACTCACCCGCCGAGGATCATCGACAGCCGGTCAAGAAGCGCCTCCGTGCTCGAGAGGTACGTCTCGGTCGGCAGGTACTGCGCGTAGCCAAGGGCGCCGACGCCGCGCGGGATGATCGAGACCTTCAGCAGCGGGTCGGCGTGCTCGAGGAACCAGCCGCAGATGGCATGGCCGGCCTCGTGGTGCGCGACGATGTTCTTCTCCTCCTTGTTCAGCACGCGCGTCTTGCGCTCCAGGCCCGCGATGACACGCTCGATGGCCATGTCGAAGTGCTCCTCGCCAATGGCCGCGGCGCCCTTGCGCGCGGCAATCAGCGCCGCCTCATTCGTCACGTTGGCGACATCGGCGCCCGAGAAGCCCGGCGTGAGCGTCGAGAGCTTCTCGGCGAGCAGCTCGACCTCCTGCGCGCCCGCCTCGGCGAGCTTCAGCGGCTTCAGGTGCACCTTGAAGATCTCGGTGCGCCCAGAGATGTCTGGCCGGTCGATGGCAATGTGCCGGTCGAAGCGGCCCGGGCGCATCAGCGCCGGGTCGAGCACGTCGGGCCGGTTGGTGCCGGCAAGCACGACGACGTGCTCCGTGGTGGAGAAGCCGTCCATTTGCACGAGCAGCTCGTTGAGGGTCTGCAAGCAGATGTCAGCACAGCGCGCGCAACGGTCACAGCAGCGCGCGACTCACCGACTCGCGCTCGTCGTTGCCGCCCATCGCTCCGCCCTTGCCACGGGCCTTGCCGATGGCGTCGATCTCATCGACGAAGATGATACACGGCGCGTGCTTCTTGGCGTTGGCGAACATGTCGCGCACGCGCGAGGGACCCACACCAACGAACTAGAGGCGCGCGTGAGCGGCAGCAGCATGCGCGTGCGGCGGAGCACTCACCATCTCGACGAACTCGGAGCCGCTGACGCTCAGGAACGGCACGCCAGCCTCGCCGGCAGTCGCCTTGGCGAGCAGCGTCTTGCCGGTGCCGGGCGGGCCAGACAGGATGGCGCCGCGCGGAATCTTGGCGCCGAGCTTCTCGTACTTCTCGGGCTTCTTGAGGAAGCTCACAAACTCCATGATCTCCTCCTTGGCCTCGTCCATGCCGGCGACGTTCTCGAACTTGGTCTTGATGTCCGTCTCCTGGTTGAACATCTTTGCGCGCGACTTGCCGATGCCGAACACGCCTCCGGACCCACCAGCGCCGCCAGCACCGCCCATGCCGCTCGCAGCACGGCGCGTCATCCAGATGAGACCGCCGACGATGAGCAGCGTGGGTGCGAACTGCAGCAGAATGTTTGAAGTGGACATCTCGTCCTTGTACGCGACCGGGATGCGCTGGCCCGCAGGAATCTCGAGCTCGCGCTGCGCCTCGTCGAGGCGCCGCTCGAAGGCCTCCACGCTGCCGACGGTGAACCAGTAGCTGGAGCGGCCGCCGGCGCCGCTGCCGCTCGACTGCTCGCTCGGCAGCGAGCCCGTCGCGTTGCTGTGCAGGTACACCTTGACGCGCGAGCGGTTCACGACGACGAGGCGGTCCACCTGGCCCTTGTCGAGGAAGGCCGTGCGGAACTCCTGCCATGTAATCTCGCGCGACGAGGCCGAGGGCGACGTGTACTGGTAGACGAGGTACGTCGTCAGGAGCGAGAGCAGCAGGCCCTGGCCGTTGATGCGCAGCTCGACGGGGCCGTTTGGCCCGCCGGCCTTCTTCTTGTCGCCGTCCTTCTTGTCGCCCTCCTTGCCGTCCTTGCTGTCCTTGCCATCCTTGGACTCCTTGCCCTTCTTGGACGCGCCATCGAGGGCAGACCAGAGGCCCTTCATCGCGGCGACGACCGGGTCCTCGTCTGCTGCCGGCTTGTTCTGCTTGGCGTCCTTGAGGCCCTTCTCAATGTCGCCCTCGAGCTGCTTGCGCTTCGCCTCCTCAGTGGCATCAGCCGGCTCGGCCTTCCTGCCAGCAGCGTCAGGGGCAGCGTCGGCCTTCTTGCCCTCTGCCTCGGACGTGGCGTCTGCGGCCTTCTCGCCCTCAGCGCCGGCCTTCTCAGCGTCGGTCTTCTCCGCGTCTGCCTTCTTGGCCGCGGCGTCGTCCTTGGGCGACTCGGGCACGGGCGTGGCGTAGAAGCGCTTGTGCAGCGTGGCGGGCCGGGGCGCGCCGAGGGCGGCGGCGCGGCTGAGCGGGTGGCGCAGCGGCGCCGTGCGCAGCAGCGTGCGTGCCGCCGGCGTGCTCACGGCTGCGGCCGCTGCGAAGCGCGCCGAGGCGCGGGTGGCAAGCGTGGGCAGCATGGTGGGCAGGCGAGGCGCGCAGCGGGCGCGAGACGCGACGTGGAGGCGCACGCGCAGCAGCGGCGACAAAGGAGAGGCGCGCGGTGGGCAGCAGTGGGCGCCGGGCAGCGAGGAGCGGAGGTGCGGGGGCTGGCAGTGGTGGCGCTGGCGAGCGAGTGTGTGGTGAAGAAGGTGGAGTGACTCGCCGCTGCTGCTGACCTTGTCTCGTGATGCTCGGACGGCCCTGAGGAGGCTTCGGCACGCTGACGTGCGCTGCGCCGTGGCCTGCGCTGACGCAGCGTGCAGCAGCACCAGCACCCTCGGGCGGCCGGCTGCACGGGCGCCGTCGGCCGATGCCTGCTCTCACGGCCACCTGGCGGGCGATGAGCGCGACGCCCGCACCCGCATGCAGCTCTCCGCCGAGCGTTGCCCGTCCGCCATGCCCGCCTTCCCACGCACCGCGTCGCGCAACCACTCCGCCCTCGCACGCGCCGCACAGCAGCGCACGTCCACCTCATTCCTTCTCGCCGGCCTCACTCCTTCGCTCGTGCCCGACGCATACCCTCACACACACCTTTCGCCGCGCTTCGGTCGCAGCCGTCTGCGCCTCCGCCGACGTCCATCGCCGCGTGCATCGCGCCCACCGTGCCGCCGCTGGAGCGAGCCATCCAGCGCGCCGTCGCGCCATGAACGGGCCCGGCGCGCCCACCGGCGCCGGCTCGCCTGGCGCCGGCTTCAACATGGGCGCTCTCGATCCTGCGCTGCTCATGGCCGGCACCGGCGGCGGTGCTGGAGGCCAGCAGCAGCAGGGCGGCGCCGGCCAGATGGCCAACCTCGGCGGCGGCGCGATGCAGGGCATGCCCGCCAACTTCGGCGCCGGCGGCATGCCGCAAGGCATGTCTGGCATGAACCTGCAGATGCAGATGCAGATGCAGGCCATGCAGGCCATGCAGAACGCCGGCTTCGCCCAGCAGTCGCAGCAAGGCGGCATGGGCATGCCGCCGCAGCAGCAGAACATGCAGCAGAACCTCGCTGCCTTTCAGCAGCAGCTGTTGCAGCAACAGCAGCAGCAACGGCAGCAGCAGCAGCAGCAACAACAGCAGAGCATGCAACAACAGCAGCAGCAGTCGCAGCAGCAGGGCCAGTCGCAGCCTCAACAGCAGCAGCAGGGCGGCCAGCAGTCGCAGCAGCAGCAGCCGAATGCCGGCGCCGCGGGCGGCGGTGGGCCGGGCTTCGGGCCAGGCGGACAGATCCACAACCCGATGCAGATGCTTCAGGTGAGTGTTCTTGAGCGTGTGGACGCTACTCGAGAACGAGAGCGGTGCGGGTGCTAGTCAATGGCCTCTCACGGAGGCTCAGCCGGGAAGAGAGCATCTGGACTTAGCGCAGAGCTGGCAGACGTGCCACGGCCGAGAGCGCGAGACTCACACGTCTGCCAACAGGCCATCGCCGGCAACATGTCAGCTCTACAGCGCCAGTGGGCCGCCGTTGCGACACAGCCCGACTCGCAGCAAAAGACACAGGCGCAAACGCATCTCGGCATGCAGATGAAGCGGCTGCAGGCCATGCGCACGCAGGCGATGACCGCTCTGCAGGCCTCGGGCGGTGCCGCTGCTCTCGGCGTCCAGCCCGGCCAGCAGTCGCAAGGCCAGCAGCCGGGCCAGCAGCAGCAGCAGGCACAGGGCACGCCGCAGCAGCAGATGGCCTCCGGCATGGGACAGCAGCCCGGCGGGCAGCCGCAGCAGCCGCAACAGCCGCAGTCTAGCGGCATGGGCGCCGCTGCCGAGGCGGGCGCGCACCAGGCCCAGCTTGCGGCGCTGCAGGCCTTCGCTCAGCAGCAGCGAGCCTCGCAGCAGCAGGTCGGCCGCGGCAGCCAGGGCAGCGTGCCCGATCTCTCCCAGCTGCAGGCGCAGATGCAGCAGCAGCAGCAACAGCAGCAGCAGGCGCAGCCGCAGCAGCAGCAGGGCCAGCAGCAAGGGCAGCAACAAGGTCAGCAGCACATGCAGCAGCCATCCTCGTCCGGCGATGCGCAGCAGTCTGGCGGCCAACCGCCCTCGCGCGACTTTCTGCAGACTGTGCGCGCCTTCATGGCCCAGCGCGGCACGCCGCTGCAGCCAAACATGCCTCTCACGTTCTACGGCCCGTCTCTTACGCCGACGCCCGCCGAGCCGACGCGCGCCGTCGAGCTGCAGCCGCTCTTCGCCATGGTGATCAACGTCGGCGGCTCGGGGCGCCTCAACTCGACGCCCGGCGGCTGGGCGCAGATCGCGCAGCGCCTCGGCCTCGCCGCGTCTACGTCGCCGGCGCCCGTGCAGGACTCGGGCGAGGGCTTTCCGACGCCCGACCAGGTACCTGGACGCCTCGCCGTCTGGTTCCGCGACCGCCTCGGCCAGTTCGAGCAGTTCTGGCTGCAGCGCATGCGCACCAACTCGGCCGGCTCGTCGGCGCCGCAGCTCGCCGGCTCGCCGGTGCAGAGCGCCCCGCAGCCGCCCGCACAGCAGGCTCAGAGTCAGCCGCAGCAGCTCGGCCAGCCGCAACAGCAACAGCAGCAGGGCCAGATGCAGCAGCAGCAGGGTCAGATGCAGATGCCGCAGCAGCAGCAGATGCAAATGCCGCAGCAACAAGGGCAGATGCCGCAGCAGCAGGGCCAAGCGCAGCAACAGCAGCAGCGTCCGCAGCAGCAGGCGGGTGCGGCCGCTGGCGCCATGGGCGCGCCGCAAATGCCCAACGTCACCATCGCCCAGGCGCAGCAGCTGCAGAACGCCTTGCCGCAGCAGATGCAGCAGCTCCAGACGCTCGTCAACGCGGGCCGCATCACGATGGACCAGGCCAAGCTGCGCTTCACGCAGATGCAGCAGAACGCCGCGCGCGCCATGCTCCTCGCCCAACAGCAGCAACAACAGCAGCAGTCGCAAGCCGGTCCCTCGTCGCAGCCCCAAGGGCAGACGCAGCAGCAATTCCAGAACGGACAGCAGCCGGACGGCCAGCAACGACCCGGCACGGGCCACAGCGCGTCCGGAGGACAGCAGTGGAACGCCGGCCAGCAGCAACAGCTGCAGCAGATGCAACAGCTTCAGCAGATGCAGCAGCAGCAACAGGCGCAGCAGCCGGGCCAGCAGCAGGCGCAGCAGCAGCTCCAGCAGTTCCAGCAACTCCAGCAGCTCCAGCAGATGCAGGCGATGCAGCAGGGCAACCCGATGCAGCAGCACGCCGGCATGCAGCAGATGGGCGGACAAGGCCACCCGATGCCGATGCAGGCGCAGCAGCAGCAGCTCCAGCAGCAAATGCAGCCGCCGCACCAGCAGCAACAGCTTCCACAGCAGCAGCAGAACATGCAACAGCAGATGCAGCAGCAGCAGAGCGGCCTGCCGCCTCATCTCCAGCAGCAGTCCGCCCCGCAGCAGTCGATGCAGCAGAGTGGCGCGCCCAACACCCAGCAGCACGTGCAAGGTATCTCCGGCCCGCCGGTGCCCTTGATGCAGGCTCCGCCGACGCCAAAGGAGGCGAAGAAGAGCAAGCCGCGCGCTCGCAAGCCGACGATGACCTCCGAGGCCGGCGGCGTGCCACCGCCAGATGCACCGCTGCCGACGTCGCAGGCGCCTGGCGCCGCTCTGAACCCGCAAGCGCCCGATGCCGCATCGCAGCAGCAGGGCCAGCCCGGCTCGCAGGGTACCGCTCAGTTCCAGGCCGCGCAAGCTGCCATGCGCGCGCTGCAGAGCGGCACGCTCAACCGGCAACAGCAGGAAGCTGCGTACGCAGCTGTGCGGGCCGGTACTGCTGGTCTGCAGCCTGGCGCACGGGCACCGCAACCAGCGCAAGGCGCACCGCAGAGTGTGCCACCGTCGGGCACCAGCGCGCCTGTCCCGCCGCCCACGATGGCTGTCGCCATGCAGCAACAGCAACAGCAGCAGCAGGCCGCCGCCGCAGCGGGCGCACCCTTAGCGCCAGGTCTTGGCGCTGCTGCCGCGCAGGCACTCGCCGGCCTGCCGGGCCAGGGCCAGGCGAGCGTGGCGCCTCCGCCGCCGAGCAAGTTCAAGATCGAGTACATGCCAATCCGCCGGGATCTGAAGAGCCACGGCGGCTGGGACCTGGAGCAGGTCGACGAGGTGCTCGGTCCGACGCTGGAGGGCCGCGGGCGCCTGCCGCGCACGGTTCGAGAGCTCGGTCTCATCGACGTGCTCGGCCTCACGATGTCGCTGCGGAGCCGGCTAGAGACGGAGGTTGCATACGCGCTCAACGCTCTCTGCATCATCTCGGCCGGCAGCGGCGCGCCGCCCAACATCGAGTACACCTTCCCGCTCGCCCCTTGCGAAGATCTGCTCGACGAGCTGCTCGAGCTGCTCGAGGAGTCGGCATTCGGCCGCGACGAGGATGCGCTAGATGCCACTCTCACCTCCGAGCGCGTGCCCGCCGACGGGGAAGCGGACGTCACCGCACCAGAGAACCTCACGCATCGCGACTGGGTGCTCGCAGCCCTCGAGGACGAGGAGAACCCGCAGCCTCTGCGCCGGCGCAGACGGCGGGCGCTGTCCATGCCCGAGACGGACGAGAATGGCGCCGGGCCATCGCGCAAGCGGCGAGCGGTCTCTCGGCTGCGCGCCACAGCCGACTCTGATCCCGGCGCGAGCGCGTCTACGCCGCCAGCCAGTCCGCCAGCACGCGCCGCAAAAGCTGACGACGACGAGGTCGAGGAGCTGTCAGGCCCAAAGCACTGGGCGTCGCTCCGGCAGGAGCGCTTCGCCGAGCGCTCAGCAGCGCTCGCGCTGACAGTGCTCGACATCGTGCGCAACTTCTCGGTCATGCCGGACAACGTCGAGCTGCTGGCGCAACATCCGCGCGCGCTGCGTCTGCTTGCGCGCCTGTGCGTGGCCACAGAGCGGGAGACACGCGAGATGCTGCATCTGCGTGGCGCGCTCAAGGAGCCAGAGGCAGAGCTGGACGACGCCTCGCGCAGCAGTGCCGCCGACGAGGACGAGCGGACGGTCTTCACGCCGGCAGAGGCGCTGCGCGTGCGCAAGGATGTGCTCGCCATGCTGTCGCACATCGCCGGCCCTCACCTGCGGCTGTCCAAGCTTGGACGATCGGCGACGATGGCGCTCTTCGACCTGCTCACCGCCTTCATCATCGACGCCGGCGACATGGAGCACACGTCTGGCCGCGTCTGGAGCACCGACATTGGTGGCCCACCGCCGCAGCCCGGCCAGCGGCCGCAGCTGCTGAACCGCAAGGTGCCGCAGCACGCCGACTCTGCGCTCGATGCCTTCTCTCGCTTCGCGCAGCCGGACGAGAACCGCGAGGTGCTCAGCGCGATTGTGCCGGCCGCGAAGCTGCTGCGCCTGGGCACGTGCCTCACGCGCCTGCTGCCGGTCAGCGAGCTTGACTTCTACATCATCAAGACGGAGGGCCGGCTAGCGTACCACGAGCGCGCGGCGATGTCGCTGTACAACATTGCCTTCCTCGCGCCGCCGCGCATCAAGGCGGCACTGCGCGATGCGCCGGGCGTGCCGGGCGTGCTGTACCGCTGTGTGCGCAAGCTGCTCAAGGTGCACGCCAACTTCGAGGCGAACCCGTTCAGCTGCCTCGTGACGCGCCTGGCCGAGACGCTGCGCCTGCTCTCCGACGGCAACGACACGTTTGCCACGCTCAACGGCCGCCACACCGCCACGGCGCCCGGCATTCTCGTCGACGAGCTCATGGGCGTGCTCGACATCTTTGCCACGGACAACATCGACCCGGGCCTGGTTGCTGAGCTGGAGGTCACTGTATCGACGACGTAATGGGACTGCTGCTACTGTTGCGCGCGTCTGAAGCTGTCTCATTCACTGCCGTCTGCCTTGGCCAGCGCGATGATGCTGAAGTTCAGCGAGTCCTTGTCCTGGTCGATCTGAGGGAGCACCGCTGGTCAGCAGAGCTGCGCAATGGTCCTGCGCTCCACTCACGAAGTGCTCCTGGATCCACTGGCCCACGACGCTCAGCAGGTCCTCCTGGCGCTCGACGCGCTTGCCGCGGTACATGGGCCCGCGTCTCCGGCCGTCGAGCTCGACGAGCTCGCCATTAGGGGCGCGCACAAAGGCGACAAAGTGCGTGTCGACGTCGTCGGTCGCCTGCGGCGCCGCCGTCTGGCCCTGCACGGCGACGTCTGCGTGCGCCGAGGCCAGTGCGCCGGAGCTCTGCAGCAGCGCCGCGCGCTCCGCCGGGTCGGAGAGCGCTGAGGCTGAGGCGAAGAGCTGTGCAAGCGGCGAGTTGGCGGCAATGGCGCTGCGAGCCGGACTGTTGGCCAGCGCGTGGAGCAGCGCAATGGTGCCGCAGGCGTTGCCGATGTTCTGCTTGAACCAGAGCAGGCCTTCGTCGTCGCCACGCGCGGCCCACTCCTCGTCGGCGGCACGGCGCCGCTGCTCGTAGCCGGCCGAGATGGGAAAGAGGAGCAGCACGGCGCTGCACGGCTGCGGCACCATGGCCAGCAGCTCGGCGTCGAGGCCGTACACGTCGTGGAAGGCGAAGCGCTCGGCGTCAAGGCCGAGCTTGGAGCTCCACTGCGAGGGTGTCAGCGAGCGCGCGCCACTGGCTGCGCACGCTTACGCACCGAGGTGAAGAGCTCCGGGTTGGACTCGAGCGGGATCCAAGGCACGGCCATGACTGTGGCTGCTGTAAGGTGCGAGGAGATGAGGTGCTGGTGGTCGGGAGTGGAGAGTGTGCGCGCGGGCCACCCTCCACGTTGGGCCGCGCGCCGCGCGCGGCTCCGCCCGAAGATCACACGAGCCGCAACCGCCACCGCTCCTTCCTGTGCCTCTCCAACCACGCGCTCCGCCTCGCCTCCTTTGCCTTCTCCAGCTCCCTTCTTTCTCACTTCTCTCGGCCTCTGCCGCCTCTCGCATGTCGCTCACGTCACTCTTCCCGCGCGGATCGCGCTCGCCGTCACCCACGCCCTCGCCGCCCGCCTCGCCCTCAGCCGAGGCCGCTCCCGTCGTGCCGCCACCACGCGACGGCGGCGACGATCCGAACGACCTAGGCGGCTGCGCTGCGCGTGTCCGCTACTTCGCTTCAGGCGCAGCGCCGCACGTCGAGTACGCAGCTGAGGCTGAGGCGTTCGCTGGGCCGAGCCGGCGCGGGGCCCCGCAGTCGGGCGACGAGGCCCGGATAGCGACAGATGCCGGGGCAGCAGGCGGCGCACACGGCGCACACTACGACGTCGTGCTGGATCTCGACGTTCGGAATGGCTGTGGTGGGCGGATCTGGCCCTCAGCCCGCGTGCTAGGCCAGTTTCTTGCTGGCCCGGCGTCGCCCATCCGCGCCGGCGAGGGCAGCGCGTGGGGCCGCGGCAAGCATGTCATTGAGCTGGGCTCGGGCACGGGACTGCTGGGCTTCCTCGCGGCCAAGCTGGCACCGGAGGCGACGGTGTATGTTACGGATCAAGAGTGAGTGCCGGCGAGAGAGCAGCTCGGCATGGGCCAAGACCGACCTAAGGGGCGGAGAGCTGACGAGTACGGCGCAGCGTGATGCTCTCGCTGCTCCATCAAAATCACAAGCTCGACGCTGCAGCATTGCCAAACGTCGTGGTGGCCGAGTGCGACTGGGGCGTGCCAATAGCCGCGCCGCTACCGCAGAAGGCCGACGTGCTCTTGCTTGCCGGTGAGGAGCCTCGCTCGCTCTCGCAACGCAGCGCCCGGCTGACGCTTGCCGCCAGACTGCGTCTATCTCGAGACTGCCTTTGCGCCGCTCATCGAGACGATGCGCGGGCTTAGCCGGCCCGACACCGAGATCTGGTTCAGCTACCAGCAAAGGCGGAAGGTGAGGTGGCCGCGTTCTCACACGAAGGACCTTCGCTCACGACGGCTCGTCCCTCAGGCAGACAAACGCTTCTTCCTGCAGCTCAAGAAGCACTTCACGGTGGGTGTCGCCATGCTGTGTCACCGCTACTTCTGGCTGACGGACGCGTCTGCAGTGGGAGGAAGCGCTCGAGCCGGCACAGGCGCGAGAGGTGTCGCCCGCACGCCTGTTCAAGATGCGTCTACGCGATGCGGGCAAGCAATAGCACATCTTGCTTTGTCGTCCTCTGGCTTCTGGCGAGCGCGGGCGGAGCGCTCCATCGCAGCAGATCCCACTCGCTCCCGCAAAGAAGAGGAGCGAAGCTCTCCGCCTCTAGACGCCGAGGGCCGTCGCACGCGGCTTGGGTCTTGCGCAGTCATCACCATGCACCATCTCATTTGCGCGATGGGTCTTGGCTGCGGTCCGCTCATGCATTCGGGATTGCACTTCTCGCCTCCTCGTTCCTAACCCGCAGCTATGGGAGCGGCTTCGAGATCCCGAAGCCTGTCAGAGGGCGCTTCCACGCGCGCTGTTTCCGGTCATCCGCACCTGCGTTGGCCGAGGCCAGGCCGGGGAAGGTCGTCGTATAGCCCCGCCTTCGGGTCAGGCACAGAAAGGGGATGATCGGCTGCCTCCTGCCGCACTTCCGCCTCTGCCGATGCTGGACGACGAGCGATAGCCGAGCTGAAGAGGGGCGCGATCGCCCTCGAGAGTAGACGTCACGACTCGCGAAGGCAATACGGCGGATGCCAGATCACGCGCGATGAAGACTTGCTGTGTGTGCGCTGCCGGCGGCTAGGCGGCATCGGAGCGCGCCATCGGGCCGGGCATCATCTCTCTGCGCCCCGCGACGGAGCAAGCTCACGCCTATCAGCTGCCGGGCTCCGAGCGGCGGTGCTGACTTGAGCTTGCGAGGGGTTGCGCCGCCGCGGGACGAGCGAGGTGAGATGCGCAGCAGCTCTGTACCTGACGGCGGGAACCGCCCGCAGCAGCCCTCAGGCCGCCGCCAACGCTCCTCTCGTTGTCGCGTCTCGCATGCGCTGACGCCGCTCGTGCGCCCTCTTGAAAGCGGCAGGCCGCATCGCCGCTTCCTGCGCTGCGGCCGCGTGTGGCGTGAGGGCCCTGCATGCTGCATGCGTGAGGCGCAGAGCCGCCAACGCGCACGGGGAGCACGGCATGACACCTCGCCGAGCTCGCCGAGGTGGCCGAGCAGCGTCACCTGACGGCTGCAAGGCTCGTGCCGTGCCCGGCGCGTACGTGGGAGCTCCCCGCGCGCGTGGCACGCGCCTTGGACCGCGGGGCGGGGCCAGCTGTCGAGCTCGCCGCCTCCTTCCTTCCCGGCAGCCACCTCTCAAGACAGCGGCCAACGCCCAAAGAAGAGCTGAAAGGGGAAGAGGCGATCACGACTCTCACGACCACGACGACGCGGCACACTCCTCGCTGCACACTCAGGGCAGGAACATTGGCTTGCGGCTCCACTCCTCAACCCAACGCGGCAGCAGGCCCCCTCATCAGCCCCGCCCGCCGGCGAGCCTCTCCCGTCGCCTCGAGACGCCGGCCCCTGAACGCCCAAGTGCGTCGCCGATCTCGCGCAGAGGGGCACGTCGTGCTCGCCGACCATCGAACTCGCCGAGGTCATCTCTCGCCGCTTCTCTACGCACCACCGTGACCTCGGCCCCTCGTGACGCCGCCACGATGAGCAACGCGACGAGCATGACGCTCTACGAGCCGTGTCCGGTGCGTCGGCCCCGCTGCACACGCCTCGGCTCAAGACTGACCATCCCGAGCGCAGCCCGGACTCGGCGGCAGTGACTGCGCGCAGGCGACGTGCGCCTCGCCGTTCACCGCGCCCGCCTCGCGCCCGGCCTCAGCCACCGCCTGCAGCACCTGTGACTCGGGCTTCAGGGGCCTCAACGTGGGTGCTCGCGTATGCTCTTTCTGCGCAAACGTGCTGACTCTTCTCTCATCAGTGCAACGTCTGCAGCGGCAGAGGCTCGTGCGCTGCGATCCAGACTCAAAAGGGCGTTCAAATGGGAACTGGCGCCAGCACGCTCACGGTGAGACCGCTTAGGCCACATCTTTGGCCCAAACAGAGCTGACGGTGGCGGCGCAGTGCGACACGCAGCCCGACTCTGCGGCGGTCGGCGTCAAGTACGGCGAATGCAAGGTGTCGTCGCCGACGTTCTCGGCACTCTTTGCCGGCGACATGCGCCTCACCATGACCAAGGTGGCGCCCAGCGGCGCCGGCGAGATGGGCGCGCTGGGCCTCGGCACCTGGCCTGCGCAGGCCGGCACGACGCTCACGCAGCTGTGGCTCGACGGCATCGAGCAGTTCTACTGCCAGGCCAGCGGCTGCGTCAACTCGAACGTCACCGAGTCGGTCGCCAGCACTGCCAAGTTCGGCACGTCGGACTGGGCGTGCTCGAATCTCCAGTGCCACTGCATCTCCAGCTCCAAGATCTGCAGTCCCGACGCGCCGTTCGGCATCGGCAAGATCATCGCCGGGCAGAACGGCTCGCTCTCGATGCCGTGCGACTACGCGGATCCCAACGACGAGAACGCGACCACGCAGTGTGCCTTCAAGAGCCAGGTCATCACCAGCACGCTGGGCGAGGGCGGCTTGTCCCTCACCGAATGCTCCTTCGGCAGCTGTCTCTCGCAGCAGAGCATTCAGAACGCGTGGTACGACGCCGCTCAGGCCGATCCGGCCAAGAGCGGCGGCGTCAACCTGTCGGGAGGAGTGATCGGAGGTTTGGCGGTGCTTGGCGTGTTCCTGGCGGGCATTGCGGCCTTCGTCGTCTATGGCATCATGGCGCGCCGTCGTGCCGCAGCGCGCCTGCGCAAGCCCCGCCCCGAGGCGTTTGGCCTCCGCTGGGATTCCCTGCACTTCCAGCTGCCCAATGGCAGCGCCCTGCAGCGCTTCACGGGCGTCGGCGCCGCCGTCGTGCGCAAGCGCAAGGCCTACGACGAGGAGCACGAGATGTCGCAGATCGCACGCGACAAGGGCCGCCGCAGCGGCCACATCCTGCGCGGTGTCTCGGGCGAGGCGCCGCCCGGCGGGCTCACGGCCATCATGGGCGCCTCCGGCGCGGGCAAGACCACCCTCGTCGAGATCCTCTCGGGCAAGAACAAGCGCGGCACGGCCACTGGCGGCCTGGCGTATGTCTCCGGCGACGGCACGGTGCTGCCCAGTGCGCCGCCGAGCGACTGCCGCGTGCTGTGCTTTGTCGACCAAGAGGACCACCTGCCGCCGCACTCGACGGTCCGCGAGGCGCTTTCCTTTGCCGCCGAGCTCGCCAACCCGGAGAACGTGACGGCTGCTGAGCGCGCCCAGATCGTCGACGACACGATCGCCACGCTCGGCCTCGGTGCCGTCGCCGGCGCCCTCATCGGCGACCGCAAGCGTCGCGGCCTCAGTGGCGGCGAGAAGCGCCGTGTCAGCATCGGCATCGCTGCTGTGGCACGTCCGTCGATTCTCGTGCTCGACGAGCCGCTCAGCGGCCTCGACTCGCTCGCAGCCATGCAGGTCATGCAGGCGCTGCGTGCCATGGCATCGGGTCCGCGCTCCGGCACGACGGTCATCATGACGCTGCACCAGCCGTCGTTCGAGATCTTCGAGATGCCGAACAAGATCATGGTCATGGCGCACGGCGAGACCGTCTTCGACGCCGCTCCGTTCACCGCGCTCACCTGGTGCCGTCGCCGCAACGCGAACATCTCGATGGGCCAGAATGTCGCCGACGTGCTAATCAAGATCTGCTCGGAGGGTGCTCCTTCCACGGGCTCGGCGTCGAACTCCATCTCCGAGACCCAGCAGGCGACGGGCGTCGCCTCCAGCGTCGAGGGCAGCGAGAAGGACGAGTGGCGCCAGCGCGTCGGCACGGCTCCGGACGTCAAGACACCCGGCAGTCCCGGCGCCTATGCCGTCAACATGCCCATCGTCGGCCCTCGCGGGCCGCTCGTCGCAAGCCACGGCGCCACGCCGACGACACTGGCGACGCAGATGCGCGCCCTCGTCGCCAGACAGGTCAAGACGGCCAAGCGCGACCCTACCGGGCCGCTCGCGCACATCCTCGGCAGTGTTGCCATCGGGCTGTTCGTGGGCGGAGCGTTCTTCCAGATCGACCTCACGATAGCCGGCTTCCAGAACCGCATCGGATCGCTGTTCTTCGTCTACATCCTCATGACCTTTGCCTCGCTCTCTGCGACCGTGGGCATCGACCGAGCACGGCCGCTGATGGAACGCGAGCGCGCCGCGGGTCATTACCACTCCATGGCCTGGCTGGCCACGTATTTGGCCTACGATCTGCTGCTGCTGCGCGCTATCCCGGCGGTTCTGCTCGCGACAATCGTCTACTGGATGGTCGGCCTGCATCCATCAGCGCAGAACTTCTTCCAGTATTTGCTCGTCTCCGTGGTCTACGCCGCCGTCGCGGGCGTGTTCTCGGCGCTGCTCGGCGTGATCGCCGCCGACCTGTCCGTTGCGGTGCTCCTCGCCGGTCTGAACATCTTGTTCAACATCGCATTTGGTGAGTCGTCGCGCATTGGGTGCCTCCTCGACACACGTTGGGTTCCGGCCGTCATGCACACCTGCTCTGCGCTGCGTGGCGCCGTCTCGCGGCTCTGCTGACGGTATGCCACTCCTCTCTAGGCGGCTTCCTGCTCTCGCTCGACCACCTGCCGTCAGTTCTGAGATGGATCCGCTGGTTGTGCCCGCTCAAGTATGCCCTCGAGGCTGTCGGGTCAAACGAGCTCGTGGGCCTGGAGCTCGTCGACAACCTTGCCGGCGTGCCGATCCGCACGCCCGTGTCCCTCTTCGCAGGCGGTCTCTTCGGCTTCCAGGACGGCTCCTACTATCGCGATCTGCTTGTGCTGGCGCTGCCCTTCCTCGTTGTGAGTACGGAAGCAGGCTGGGTGTGTCCCATCGAGCGACAGGCTGACACGCGCTGCTCTCGCAGGGCTTCATTGTGCTCCTTGCTCTTGCCACGCAGACGCTGATGCGCGAGCGCTGCTGAGTTGCACATAGCTACATCTCTCTCTCGCGCTCTCTCTCTGTTCCTGTCGTGTTACCCTTCCCATCGTGTCACCTGCCTTGGCTTTCTTTACCTTATGCCCGCCCTACCAACGCTTTTGGTGTCGGACAGCGCCGCCGCGCGTCTCTTCATCACACCACGCTGCCATTTCAGACTATTTGTTCTTGTAGAAGACCTCGTCACAATCTCTTTATTGCTCCTACTAGAATGTGCGTGCGAGCTGCGACTCGTGAAGCCCAGCGAGTACTGAGGTGGCCGGCTTGTCCTGTCCAGGGGGCGGCGGAGTCAAGTAAGAGTGGAGGCGACGCGCAGCGCCGCTCACGCCCAGCTCGAATTTGCCGCGCGTCAGAGTCTGCGCCCTTGCTTCCCAACCACGACATCAAGCTCAGCCGCCAGACATCAAGCTCTGCCTCAGCCAGCGCCAGTCTTTGTTTGGCGCCCAGGCTCCGCAAACTCGCCGCAATGGAGACGCGGCTGCTGACCGAGAAGCCGCGCAAGGCTGCGCCAAAGGTCGCGCTCAAGCACGCCTACTCGCCGGCGCCGGGCGGCGTCGAGTCCAACCTGCTGGTCCTGCTGCATGGTCTCGGCGACACGCACGTGCCATTCCTGACGCTAGGGCGCACGCTACAGGCTCAGCTGCCGCAGTGCGCTGTGCTGAGTCTCGAGGCGCCGTCGCAGGTGCCTATGCTGGGCGGCGGCATGTGGTGGGAGCACTGGGACGAGCTCGGCGAGGGTGAGCGCAGAGAGTAGCGCGGTGAGTGCGCAAAGGCTGACGCTCTGCGCGTAGTGCTGGTGCCGGACGCCCAGAACCCATCAAAAGCTGTGGCAGCGCTCAGCACGCTACTGTCGTCGCTCGTGGACTCGACTGGCTGGCCGGCAAAGGCGATCCACCTGCTCGGATTCGGACAAGGCGCGAGTGCAGCAGCCGAGGCGGCGCTGGCGTGGACGCGCTCGCGCAAGGGAAAGGACGGCGAGCAAGGCCTCGGCAGCGTCGTGGCCATCTGCGGCGCGCTCGTGTCGGTGAGTGCGATGCCAAAGTGATGGCTCAGGGCCAAGTAGAGCGGAGCATCGAGGCCGCGATGTGACTGTCACAGGCTTGTCATGCGAGCCCATGCGCGAGCTCGGCCACAGCTCGGACGATGCGCGAGCCTGATTCCGCCACTCGCGATCTCTCTACGCTCGACGGCTAACGCTCCTGCCGGCAGTTCCCGACACCGCCAGCGACCTCCACGCCTCTGCTCTACATGCATCGCTCGTCAGCGACGGCCGCCTCAGCGCTCAGCTCGCTGCGCCGCGGCTTCGCGCCCGTCGTGGAGCACAAGCTGGCCGCCGGGCCCGACGCCATGCCGCGCGGCACTGAATGGGGCCCCATGCTCAAGTTCTGGTCCGAGGGCCGCTGGCGCAATCGCGGCAAGTGGGAGCGCGAGGGCGAGGTGTATGCAGTGGAGCCGGGCGCAGCGAAATGAGCACACGTCAAACATCACGTCGGACTGCGAGCGGGGAAGCTGTGAACGAGCGATGTATTGATGGTGACTGCGCCATGAAGAGGTGCTCATGGTCGTGAAGATGGTGATACAGCGAATGTTGTGTGAGGAAGAATGAAAGCGAGAGAACAAGACGTGCGTGCGACAGGCCAGGAGCGGCCGACGAAGCGAGTGCCCGGATGTGCAGGCACATCGCTGTGGTACGGGAGGACGGGTCGTTGCTCAGAAGCGGGCCGTGCAGAGAACGGCCTGGACTAGACGGACCAGCCGACGAGCTACGCCTCAGAGCCGCTGGTGAAGCTGCCGCTGCGGCCGGTGCGTCCGCTGCTGCTCGACGCGCCGCTCGTGCTGCCGCTGCGGCTCGATGGGCCGCTGCTCGGCTCGTAGTCATCCTTCTCATCGACGGGCGAGAGCATCGTGCGCAGTGCCGGACGCTGCTTGACAAGCTCAAGATCCCAGTCCGAGCTCTCCTTGGAGAAGAGCAGGTGCGGCACGCCGACTTCTTCGTCCTCGCCAAGCACATGCGCCGGCAGCTGCGAGTAGGCGGAGGCCCAGGGCGACGGTCGGCAGAAGAGACGGTCGATGCCGCGTGTCGACCGCTCGCGCTCGTGCTTGGCGTCTATCCGGCGCAGCACAAAGTGCGCGATGAGCGCAAAGTACGCGGCCGACAGGGCGCTGCAGGACGCGTCAGCATCGATCGTAGCGCAGAGGTGTAGCGGCACTCACGTTCCGGCGACAAGGTCGATCGCGTAGTGGTGGTGCTCGTACTGCGTCGACCAGAACATGCCGGAGCAGTAGACGAGGGCGAAGACGAGGCCCCAGGTGCCGCCGTAGCGCGCAACGAAGAAGCTGAGGCATGTTGCAGTGGCAGCATGCAGACTCGGCACTGGAGCGAGCGTCAGCTGTGACAGGCAGAACAGCTGCACCGCCTAACTCACGAGCGCCAAAGACGACGGGCGACGCGGCAAAGGCGTGAGTGTAGAGATGGCTGCCGAACACCTTATCGAAGCGCACAAGGCCGGCGGCCGAGCCGGGGAAGGAGTAGTCCGGGATCTGCAGAGTAGTCTGGATCAGCTCTGTGCATCGCTGAAGCTTGTTGCGCGCCACTCACCACGGTCGGCGGGTAGGTGTCTGCGTACCACGGCGCGGCATTCGGGAAGAGGAGGTGGATGCACAGGCCGGTGAAGTTCTGCAGGCCGAGGCACCAGCCAAACGCAATGGCGGCGCCCGGCGGGCACCATGCCCAGGCCCACCAGCCCATGAGGAACGGGCTGGCAAAGTGCAGGCAGCCGTAGAAGATCCAGGCGAGCACGTCCTGGAACGCATCCCACGTCGTGTTGAGCGCGACGTAGTTGAGCACCTTGAGCCACGCGGGAAAGAGCAGCACGAGGTATGCCAACGGTGAGCGCGTGGCGCTGCGGGCTCGCAAGAGAAGCGCGAGAGGCACCAGCGCCACGGTGAAGAGCAGAACGCCCTGGAACGAGAGCAGCGCGGCCTCGAGCTGCGGCAGGAGCTTCGTGTGGATCTGCGTGTGCAGTTGGTGTCAGCCTTGCTGCGTCTCACGCTCGCGTGCCGTCGGAAGACGTCTGCAGTTCTCCTTGCGCAGCGCACTCGGCCTCTCTGCTCGATGGCCGAGCCGGCGATTGCAGCTCAGCACGGTGACGAAGCGGGTGTGCCGTCGAGCGAGCGCGCATCCGCCATGCGGTGCCCCGAGCGCGGCCGTGCCTGCATCGAAGTCCGCCTGGCGTTGGCGCGGCGCGTCTTGATCTGCGAGGCTTGGCAGGCCAGGCGCCTCCACCTTGCAGACCGGCTCGCAGCACCGGCACCGGCACCGGCCGTAGCGCTCAGCCTCGCCAGCTGCACTCACCGTCGGACGCCACTCATCTGGCAGGCGGCGCGCCATCTTGAAGCTCAGTGTCCACACGACGGGCGGCAGGATGCCCGAGAGCAGGCCGGCGAGCCAGCGCGCATGGCTCTTGTCGTTGAGCAGCACGGCGTGGCAGTGCCGCAGCAGGGCGCCGAGGGCCCGCAGGCGACCCGTTGCCGCGGCGAGCACGACGACGAGCACGGGCAGCAGCGGCAGCAGCTTGAGGAGCGACATATCCTTCCGCGAAGGGAGAGAGCGGGGTGCGCCGAGAGGCGGGAGAGTGGGCGGGACGGGCCTGAGGAGCGCGGAACGGAGAGAGATGGGGAGCGAAGGCAGGATGCGTCGGAGGTGTGGACGTCGAGTGAGAGGCGGGCCCGGGGAGACGAGGAGCGCTGCGGTGCGAACTGAGCGAGGAGGAGCCGAGAGAGGCCGTCCGCGGACCGAAGCGGCAGGCACGAACGAGGTCAGGGGCCGTGCAGCGCGAGAGCGTATCTGGCAGGCCTCGCCGCGGCTACTTCCTCTTCGAGGGCCGAGCTCGATCTGTCCAACGCAACGGCTGTGTACCTCGCACCTGCAGCGCTGAGCACAGCCCATCTCATGCGGCCGCTGCATGCCTGCTGTGCTCGAAGGGGCTCGCGATGGGCAAGGTCGCGTGGCCTGTCCGCGGCTTCACGCTTCATCACCACGCTCGCGCTTGCCTTTTGCGCTGCAGCACGCAGCCACTCTTACTGCCCCTGACAGCAGCAGCAAGGCAGGGCCTCGCTCGCACTTCCGCTTCTCTGCGCTCGCGGGCCGCCTCCTCGGGCAGCGAGCAGCGTGCACCTCTCCGGCGTCTCTGCGCGGAACACGCCTGCCGGCCTGCCGGGTGCCGTGTGCGGAGCTCCCTCTCTCGGCGCGCCTGCTGCTCGGTACACGCACTCCGCAGGCGGAGGTGCCTCTCTCGTTGCGAGGCCGGACAGGCACGCAGCAGCGGCATGAGACGTCAGCACGCAGCACCGCCGCACCGCACAGCACCGCATCGACGTGCAGCGGCCGAGGCGGGCGGGCAGCATCCTTCTGCAGCACGCAGCATGCAGCAGCATCCCGGCGGAGCGGCGGGCGGGTCACACGAGCCGTCGCTTCGACGATCGCCCGCTCTGAGCTGCCTGCTGCACGCTTGAGAGGCGCGATGTGGCACCTCGACGCGCAGGCTAATCATCGCCCGGCGCGCGCCAAGCCGCCCGATGGCTGCCGCCCGCGGAGCTTGAAGCGTGGGCCGCAGCCTCAGCCGCCGAGCAGCACGCCGACGGTCAGCGGATCTGCTCCTCGCGAAGGGGCGAGCCGCGGCTTGATGACGCGCGGCGCCGGCTGGGCACCTCCGAGGGCAGCGCCAAGGCGGCACAGCGGCACTGCGGCGGTGTACGCGGCCTAGGGCTGTGCCTGGCCGAGTCCCGCACAGGGGCGCATCGAGAGGCGCTTTCTGCTCGTCGAAGGCGAGGCACGCAGCCTCTTCGCCCCTCCTCCGAGCAGTCCCCTGACAGGGCCGTCTCCCGCTGTCGCCCGCTGCAGGCCGGTCGTCCATACCTTCTGGCGCTTTGGCGGCTGGACCTGTGCGCCGCACACACCTGCGGCGGCCTGGCCGCAGTGCAGGTGCAGCACACAGGGACAGCAGGGTCCTCTGCGCGGCAAGCGTCGCGCTGCGATGCGATGCGCTGCAGCTCGTCGGAAGCATGCATCCGCGGGCCGAGTCTGCCCACTGGTGCATGCTTCACGACCCTGACGCTGCGGTGCTGCTGGGTGCTGCAAGGAGCACGCTGCACACTGCTGCGCTCCTCCTTTCCAGAGCTCACTGCTGCTGCTGCGTGCTACTTCCTGCGCAGGGCACTGCATCTGGCTCTGCATCTGCAGAGCGGCAGCAGGCAGCCATTGGCATGCGAGACGAGGGCGAAACGGCTCGCGTGACCCGCCCTTGTCTTCGGGTCACGGCTTCGAACGCCGCCGGAGGTGAGAGAGAGCAACAGCCTCCGCTCGTCTCGCTGTGGCTTGCGCCATCGCGCCTGGCGTGCCCGGACGTGCCGTGCTTCAGAACGTCCGGCTCGTGCCACCATCAAGGACGCGGAGCCGCAAGCCGCCGGATCTCTTGGAGCCGGCGGGAGACGCTCCGAGCGTCGTGTGGCGGGAGCAATGCCGGCGGCAGCGGCAAGGCGTCGGTCCGGTGAGAGAGTATGTGTGCATCCTTCGTGTTCAGCCATCAAGAGTCCGCCGGACGTCAATTGCCGAGCGGTGGCAGCAACTCTCTTCCTTCCGCACTCCGTGGCGCTTTCATGAACCCCTCTCGCCGCTAGCTCGGCCTTCTGGCCGCGAAGCACTCTCACTTCCGCTTTTAGACCTTTCGCTGACGACGATTCTCGGTCTACCGCCTTCGCCGTCGCCGTGGCATCGCTATCGACCAGGCGCACCTGGCGTCACAGCTGCTGTCGCAGCGTTGCACTGCAAGGGCGTCTCACTGCCTCGACGGGGCTCTGCTCTGCCGCCCATGATGTGCACGCGCTAGGGCAGACGCAGGCGCACACGAATGACCACATCGGAGCTTGAGTCTCTAGAGCCGCGGCAGCCGACGAGGCGCCCTGGAGAAGCGAAGTCCAGCAGCGCCTGGCAGACCTTAATGCCGCTCTACCCTGCCGTCGAAGCGCCGGCTTTGCCCGCTATGTTTCCGCAAGTGGCTGCGCATGCCCTCCGCCAGCCTTTGACCAGAGCCCATTCTCCTCATTGAGCTCTCTTCTGGCAGTCCGCTGCTCGAACCGCCCCTATACGCTCTCCTCCGCCTTCCAACTTTGCACCGCTAGATCGCCAGATGTGAGATGAGGCAGCGTGCGTGTCGCCGCGCGCCGCAATTGCTTCGATATGTTGTCCCCGCCCGTCAACCCTTCCCGCAGCATCCCATCGACACCCGTTCGTTGTCCTGGCCTATGACGTACTCAGCAGCACCTGCTCCTTCCCTCCGCCATTCTCTGCCTCCATCATTCCCCTCCATCCCGCTCCCATCCCTGCCAAGCTCTCCCCCACCATCTCCTCACAACCGCGGGCCGAGCAGCCGTCGGAGCATCTTGACGTGCTTGCCCGAGCGGTGCACGGCGGTGCCGCGCAGGCGGCCCTTCTGAGCGCCGTGCATGTGCTGGTTGAGATGCTGCTTGCCGGCGAGGCCCCGCTTGAACATGGGGCCCACGACGCGCGAGCCGACGCTGGGCAGCATGATGGGCGCCATGCCGGGCACGAGCTGCGCGTCGGGCGAGAAGAGGGGCATGTAGCGCGTGCGTGTGGGCGTGCGCTGCTTGCCGACGGCGCGGAAGCGCTTCGAGGCGCCCGAGTGTGTCTTCTGCTTGCCGCCGCCCCACGTCGCCGCCAGGGCCGAGACGGAGAAGGCGCGCGCGGCGGCCACCAGCGGCGGCGCCAGCAACGCGGCGCCGGCGCCGAGTGGCCGGGCGGCGGCAGTGGCGCCGCGGAAGAGGTGCGCCGAGGCGCGGGCGAGGGACATGGCGACGGAGGGAGCGGGCGTCGTGGAGCGAAGGTGGAGCGAGAGGCGCACGCCAGAGGCTGGCCGGCCTGCAGCAGGAGGCAGTCGCAACCGCGCACGTGATCGTCCTTCCGCCCGCGCCTGACTCACGCCCCACGCCTTGCTCTCACGCCCCGCCCGCCCGCCGCCGCGATTTAGGTGCCGCCGCCTGCTCCGCATCGTCGCGGCCGACCACCACTCCCTCCCGCGCATGTCCAGCCTGCTCGCCTTTCTCTGCCCCTGCATCGGCCCGCGCGCCCGCAGCGCCCGCGCCGGCGACGGCAGCTCCGAGCGCGACGCGCTGCTGCCGCACGCCGACGCCTCGCGCCCCTCGGGCTCCGCCTCGGGCCCCGACGGCGCCCGTGGCAAGAACGGCGACGCCGGTGGGGCTGGCGGCGCCGCAGAGGAGGGCGTGAAGCGTGTGCGCCGGCCAGACGTGCCCAGCGAGCGCCTCGGCCGCGCCCGCAGCAGGACGGAACGGTGAGTGGCGAGCACGCCAGACGCAGGCACGGGCGTCGTGAGACCGAGCTGCCCTGAGCCTGGGAGCAGACAAGTGGGCGCAGCGCCGAGGCTTCCTTGCCCTTCTGCCCTCAGCGCTGCCGTCGTCGGAGATGTATGAGGCCGTCTTGGAGGAGGCGCGAGCAGCTGCTCGTCTTGACGCGTTCGCAGTCAAGAGTTCCTTGTGGCGGGCATAGCGGATGGAAGAGGTGCAGCGCTTCTCTCTACAGGAGCTGCACCACTTGTCGTCGTGTGGGCCTCATGCTTGCACTGAGCGAGCTAGAGCTGACGCGCAGCTTGCAGCCACCTGCGCCACGTCGACGCTCCGCTCGAGACCTCTCCACCGCGCGCCGGCTCGGCGGTCCGTTCAGCCTCCTCATCATCTGCGCTCGGCCGGCGGACACGGCGCTTGCCCGTCTCCGCTGCCGGCAAGGTGCGAGCGCTACATCTCGGCCTCGATCCGAGCAGTCCCGGCACCAGTCCCGGCGCGGCTCCTGAGCTGGACGGCCGCGCCGATGCCTCGCCCGAGGTGCGGCCAACTGCTCGTCGGGCTCGCTCCTCTGGGCGCGATGAGGCGGGCGTGCGAGGCAGTCAGTCCGAGCACAGCTTGCGAACGCTCTACTCTCCCGATGTGAGTCGTGTGCGATCTCGGTCGCCTCTTGCGCCTGCTCACCCTGCGGTTTCAGGCCGCCGCAAAGGTCGACCCGCGAGAGCGGCTGCGACAGGCCGTGCAAGCCGCCGGCGGCTTCTGCGAGCGCTTCGACGCCACGCCCGTGTCCGAGCATCTCGAGTCGGGCGGCGAGAGCGGCACGGAGAGCGAGAGTCTGCCGCGTGGCTCGACGAGCTTGCCGCTCGGCAGCGCGCCGCGAGGCTAAGCCCAGCAGTCTGAGCACGTACGCTCCGGCGCTCTTGCCTCCTCCACGCTCGACTACGACCGCACCGCATCTCATGCCTCTTCACTTGCACGCGCGACAGCCACAGCGCCTCGCCCTCTGTCCCTTCATTGCACTGCACCATCCTGCACTTCTCGCGCATCTCTGCGCTCTCCAAAAGCGGCCTCAAGCCCGCCCATTGCCATCGAGCACACCCATCCACATACCCTCTTTCCCTGCGTCCGCACCGCGACAAATCGCCGCGCGCTTCGCATGCGTACCTGCACACCACACTCCTTGCCCCTCGAGCACCTCCACGCCTGCCGCGCCGCTCGAGCGCGCCGCACGGCCTGAGGCTGAGCCTACAATGCATCGTGCACACCCATGTCGCGCTTGATGCCCTCATCGTCTGCCAGAGCAAGACTAATACTGCTGCGCCGCGCTGCGGCAGACAGGAGCTTGGTGTGACGCGCTAAGGCCGCCGCCACGACAGCATGGCGCATGTCGCGGGTCCAGGGGCTCTGCCTTGGCGCGTGGGGCCGGCTCCGAGGACGACCAGCCCTGCGCTGCGATGCTGAAGCAGGCCTCTCTTGCCTGGTGCAGTCGAAGCGAGAAGGAGAGGGCTGCGAGAGGGCTCTAGCCATAGTGCCCGTCTCCGCGCTCGAGCACGAGCCTCGCACCTTGCCCACTCGAGGAGCAGCTCACCTGGCGACTCCGTGCCGCAAGCGGCCCCGCCTTGCGCACTTGCGCTCCGCTGTGCTTACAAAGTTTAGACTTCGTCCGCCTTGAGGCTCAATGTGCATGCTTCTTCCAGCATAGAGGGTTCCCTCTCCGTCCCCTCGACGGCCAACAAGCGCAGCAGCCGCCAGGATGCGGTTGGGCGTAGGTCGACGCTGCGTGCTGCCGGTGGGCGTGAGAACAGCAGCCGGCGAAAGCAGCAGAGAGCAAGACACGGCCTCTGCACCCGTTTCTGGCGCTGCGCCCGCAGAGAAAGCGCCGCTGCCGCTAGGCAGCGGGAGGACGCAGGCGCCGTGCCTGCGCCGCGAGAGCAACACCGCATGCGGCCTGCCCAACGCGACACCTCGCCTCGGGCCAACTCCGCCCAAGCCGTGCGTCCACACACATCTCCTTCGCTGCTCTTGTCTACTCCTCAGGTGCCTGCCGAGCACACGCTGCGCCGAATGGAGCAGGTCTTGCGTAGCGCGGCAAGCCACACTGAGCGGCTGCCACCTCTTTGCGTGGACGCGTGTGCATCCAACGGCCCTCGCTCGCTCGCGCCGTGCCGCTTGTGCGGTCGGAGAGGGGCATCGGCGCCCAAAGGAGCGCACGCGCCACGGCGTCTGAGCTGCGCTGCTCAAACAAGCACTCGGGTGGAGTGCTGCCTAAGCCGGAACATCTGGCCGGCGTCCAGCACGACGCCTGAGACCGGCGTCACGCTGCGGCGGCGTAGGCGGCCGCGCGAACAAGGACGCAGGACAGACGTGCCCCCGACGCCTGGCGGCTTGGCACCCTCCGCCTCCCTCATAAGCCTGGCCTCTCCGCCAGCTCGCCCACAGCTCCTCCTCCCTCACCCACCCTTCACCCCCCTCTGCTCGCTTGCTCCTCCTCTCTCTCCCACAAACCTGCTGTTTCGCACACACACTCTCTCTCCTTGCTCCCTCGGACTACCGCAACCCCGCAATCCCGCTCTTCAGCATGCACGCCCCGCGCTCCCTCGCGCTCGCCCTGGTGGCGCTCGCCTCTTCCGTTGCTGTGTGCGTCGCTGCTGCAGGCCACCGCCTCCGCCTTCACTAGACTCACATGCCATGCCACAGCTCCGGCAACGCCCTGCCGCGCCAGCACGCGCGCGCCCTCGGCACGCCGCCGGCCGGCCTCGGGGTGCGTGCGCCCGGCCAGGAGCTCGTCGCCGCCGCCGTCGAGCAGGTCAACGACGCTCCGGAGGAAGACCTTGCGCCCGTCGAGCTCTCCCACGAGCCGCGCGAGCCCGAGGTTGAGGCGCGCAACCTGGAGAAGCGCGCCTCGGCGGCCCGCACCGCCTGGCTCAACGCACAGTGCGTACAGCGTAGATGCCTACCCCCCGCCGCAGCACGACTGACTCGCTCTGCTCTACAGCAACACCGTGCGCGCCAAGCACCAGGTGCCGGCACTGACCTACTCGGCCGAGCTGGCAAAGTACGCCAGCCAGAACGCACGCAAGTGCAAGTTCGCCCACAGCGGCGGCCCGTACGGCGAGAACCTGTACGCCAGCACGCAGACGTCGACGAGCGTGCGTCCCAACGCCGTCAAGGCATGGGCTGACGGTGAGTGACGAGAGGCGAGAAGTGGCGGGGTCAGCTCTTAGCGGCGAGGGGAATTGTTCCGTGTCTCTCTGCATGTCTCTCATGTCGCTGACACATTACCCCGCAGAGGTCTCGCTGTACGACTTCAGCAAGCCGGGCTACAACAGCAAGACAGGCCACTTCACGCAGGTTGTGTGGAAGAACACCAAGGAGGTCGGCTGTGCCGTCGTCGACTGCCCCAACGAGTCGCTTGGCTTCGGCGGATACAAGGGCACCGGCCAGGTCGTGTTCTGCGAGTACCGCCCGCCGGGCAACTACGTCGGCGCCACGCAGTTCAAGGCCAACGTGCTGCCGGCCAAGTAGGCGCAGCAAGCCCAGCCGCCGTCCCTTCGTCTTCTCGCATCTCTCGTCCCTTGTTGCCGCATTGTCCTCGTCTCGTCACCCCATCATTAGTGCCACCCCGTCGCGTGCCGGCCACGCAGACCCTCAGGAATCAATCCCTCATATCCACACATCGCGAGGCGTGGTCATTGAGCGTGGATGTAGGACATGAAGTGCTGGGCGGGCCGGGGTGGAGTGCTGATGATGGACGAAGAGATGCTACAGGGTGGGGACATCGAGGCGTCTAGAGCAGCACAGCGGCAGCACCAAGCACAGCCAGCAGGCCCGCGCCGGCGCCAAGCTTCACGGCGCCGTTGGAGCCACCGGCGGCCGAGGTGCCGCTGGGCGCGCCCGAGGAGCCGGAGCGCGTGCTGCTGCTGCTGCCTCCCGACGTGGCACTGCCGCCCGCAAGGCTGCGGCTGATGCTGGTCGCGAGCGCCGCGACGCTGCTGGAGGCCGGCGCCTGCGTGCTCGAGATGCTGTCCGTCACCGAGGCCGAGTTGTCCTCGATGGACACGTACGACGCCGCGACGATCTGCCGCAGGTTGGCCTCCTGCGCGTAGCCGGCGAGCGACATGGTCGACAGCGGCGTGCCGGGCTGCGACAGGTTCGACGGCGCACGGAAGTCGTCGCCCTGCAGGAAGACGCTGTGGCAGAGGTGTCAGCGCCCGCGGTTTGGCGGGCAGGTGCGAGGCCGACACTCACACCTGGAAGTAGCGGTGCGGGCCCGAGCCGGGCGCCGGCGCAGGCGAGGCATACTCGGTGATCGCCGGCGTCGAGTTGCTCAGGATGCCGTCGGAGCCGAGGTTGAAGTTGTTGCCGAGGAAGTGGCGCGTGAGGAGGCCGTCTGCGTGGCACAAGGCGTCAGAGGCGTGCCGACACAGCACAGCCGCAACGGAGCTCGAGCTCCGCCGATTCCGTCCAAGAGTCCCTGCCATCGCCAGCACTCACCAGGGTTGCCGACACCAGCGGCACCAGCATCCAGGAAGGCAACCGTGAACGTCTTGCCGCTGAGGGCGCTGGCGCTCTCGGGCGCGAACTCGAGGCGGTAGCTGGGCGCCTGCGTGACGTCGCTGACGCTCTGCGACGTGCCGATGGCGACGGGGCTGCCGCTGCTGCCGAACTGCAGCGAGAGCACGGCGGTGAGGTTGAGCAGCTGCTCCGAGATCGGGTTGGGCACGAGGCCGGCGCCGTTGAGCTGGGCGCGCGTCGAGGCGAGGCCCTCGGCCACCTGCGAGAGCGAGGCCTGCTGCGCCAGCGCGGCACCGGCGCTGAGCGAGAGGACGAGGAGGGAGCGGGCGAACATGGCGAAGAGAGTGTATGAGGGTGAGTGAGGAACGTGGGCGAGGGGGAGCGAGACGGGAAGATGTGGTTGAGAGGCAGGCTGGGCAATGGCTCAAACGCTGTTTTGTGGGCGGTGCTGGCTGCCCCTGAGGGAGAGCAAGGCATGTGCTGTCTGCACAAGTGTGCATCAAGATCCTTCGCTTGCCTGCGTGCTGCATCTGCACGCCGTCGCAAGCGCCGCCTCTCCTCTGCTGCCAGCGTCGGCGGAGCGCCGTGCATTCCACGCCCGATCTCGCCGGCGCTTGGCAGAGAGCGTCGTCGGGACACCGCTGGCGGCATATGCTTGTCTGGCGCCGCAGCAAGGCAGCAGCGCCTCACAAAGCGTTGTGGCCGCTCCGCTCCCATCTCGGCGTCTTGCGCCTTCCGTTGCGCCTTCGGCTGCACCGCTCCGGCGCCACGCGGCGCGCATGAGCATGCACCCTGCACGGCGTGCGTGCGGTGCGCGCCATCGAGGTGTTGATCCAGCCGTGCGCGTCCAGACGTGCTGACTAAGCAGACAGGGGGCCCTCACACCTACGAGGCCCTCACACCAGACGGCGAGCAGGTGGACCGGTCTCTTTCATGCCTCGACGGTCTCAAAGTCGTAGATGAAGGCATCGGCCAGCAGCGGCTTGACGCGCGACTGCCGCAGCGAGGAGATGCAAGTCAGCACATGCTGCCTCGCGCCGACCCTGCTGCTGGACCGGCTCACCGCAAACTCCATGTGCACGTCGTCGGTCTCGAGGTAGTGCTTGACGTCGTCGGCGCTCGCAAACGTCACGACGAAGGTGTGCTGTGAGCAGTGGTGCAGCGTCAGCCGGTCGTCTGATGCAGCGCAGGGCCAGAGTTGCGGCGCCGCTCACGTCGAAGCCCTTGCCTGCGCCCTCAGGGCTCGTGTTGGCGCAGCCGCCAACGAGCGCGCGGATGTAGGGCTTGCCGTCGCGCAGGCAGGTGTGCTTGAGCGCCAGCAGCTCGTCGAAGTACTTGTTGCGCTCTGCCTCCGACTGCGGCGCGGGGCTGGTGAGCGGGAGGGTGGAGGAGGTGGAGGGAGACGCGGCGAGACGCACCACGGAGTTGGCATAGCGGAAGGAGACGATGTGGGTGATGGTCATCGTGGGCGTTGAGGTGATGCAGCGCTTGAGAAGATCGACGATGCTCAAAGACAGCGACAGAAGGGCAGCTGGGGAGGAGAGGCGGGGTGCGGAAGAACGCGGAGGCGGTGCCGGCTGCCTGCTGGACCGTGCGTGCTGGCGGCCGGCGCTGGCGCCCGCAAGCGGCGGCGCGGTGCGGACACTGGCGGCGTGCCTGCCGCGCGGCGTACCACGCGGCGCGCTGCCAGCTTGGCAGACGACGGCCGCCGAGCTCCGTGCTTCGCTCCTCCTCTCCACACCCTCACCCCCGCCCGCCATGTCGACCATCGCGCACTCGCTGCGCGACTACCGCGAGCCGTCGCGCGTCGAGGCGACGATGCACTCCTTCGGCCTGCCGGCGAGCGAGGCGCCGCTCGACGAGGTGCCCGCCGTGCTCTCCCTCTCCTCGGGCGCCAGCAGCAGCAGCAGTGCCGGCGCCGAGGCCGGCAGCAGCGCCGCGGCGGCGCAGGAGGAGGAGCAGGTGTATGCCGGCCGCCTCACCCTCACCGCCTCCTTCCTCCTCTTCGCCAGCCTCGACCGCCGCTCGTGCCGCCTGACGCTGCCGCTCTACTGCGTGCGCCGCGTCGAGCGCCTCAATGCCGGCCGCAGCGGTGTCTTTGCGCTGGCCGTCGTCGTGTGGCACGGCATGAAGATTGTGCGTGGCGCTGCATTGGCACAGCCTCTCCACCGCTGCAGCAGCTCACCCGTCTTGCCCACAGATCATCCAGCTCAACGCGCTGCGGCCGCAGTGCGAGCAGTTCTGCGCGCTGCTGCGCGACGGCCTGCGCGCACAGCTCAGCAGCATGAAGAAGCTCAAGGGCTTCACCGCCGGCTGCTACTCCGAGGTGCTGCTGGCCGAAGCCGCCGAGGCCGACGGCGAGAAGCCCGACGCGACGCCCACCGGCGAAGAGCCGCCGAAGCTCGATGAGAAGGCGGCGGCGGCGGACGCGGCGCCACAGGACGATGCGGCACGACCGGAAGGCGTCGATGAGAAGGACAAGAAGGCGGCAGAGCTGGCGCGACAGGTGGCAGGCGTCAGCGAGGGCGAGGTCAAGCCGGAGGACGAGGTGCCGCCGGCGCCCGCATACCACGCCGGCCTGGGCGCGCGCTTCAGATATCCCGGCGACCCGCGCAAGTGAGTGAGCATGGCTGCGCACTGGAAGCCCTCAAGCTCATGCAGCCCCGCCCAAAGGCTGCGCGAGAAGTCAAAGATGAAGCTGTGGCGCGACTATCTCAAAGGTGAGGCACCTCATCCGACCGTGCGAACCGCGCTCTGACCAGGCCGTCGCGCAGTGCACGGCCGCAACCTCACCATCGTGCGCTACCCGCAATTCCTGCGGCTGGTGCAGGTTGGCCTGCCGAACCGCGTGCGCGGCGAGATCTGGGAGCTCACGTCGGGCTCGATCTACCAGCGCTTCGCCAATGCCGGCGAGTATGAGCGCATCCTGAGGGAGAACGAGGGAAAGACGAGCACGTCGACGGAGGAGATTGAAAAGGACCTCTATCGCTCGCTGCCCGAGTTTGCGGCGTATCAGAGCCCGATCGGCATCAATGTGAGTGCTCTCCTCGTGCGCATGTCGCAGCACCACTGACCACGCTGCCGCCAGGCTCTGCGGAGGGTGTTGACCGCCTACAGCTGGAAGAACCGGGAACTTGGCTACTGCCAAGGGCAGAACATCCTGGTGCGTGGCGCGTGGCTGCGAGCACTGCCTCGCTGACCTGGTGTGCCTCGCAGGTTGCTGCGTTCCTGATGTGAGCATGCGTTGCTTCTGGTCGCTGTAGGCGACGCTGACACGGCGCTGCAGCTACATGTCAGAAGAGCAGTGCTTCTGGATGCTCGACATGCTCTGTGACCGCCTGCTGCCCGGCTACTACACGTGAGCGGCCCGGACGTATGGCGCCGAGCTTCGGCTGACTTTCTCCCCTCAGCCAGTCGATGTCCGGCACGATTCTCGACCAAAAGGTCTTTGAGCACCTCGTGCAGCGCACGCTGCCCATGATCCACGACCACTTCCTGCAGACGGACATCCAGCTCTCCGTCGCGTCCCTGCCGTGGTTTCTCTCGCTCTACATCAACTCGATGCCCATGGTCTTTGCCTTTCGCATCGTCGACTGCTTCATGGCCATGGGCCCCAAGGTGCTCTTCCAGATCGGCCTTGCCATTCTCAAGATCAACGGCGAGGAGCTCCTCTCCGGCCGCGTCACGGACGACGGCGCCTTCATCAACATGCTCAAGCGCTACTTCCGCACGCTCGGCGACAGTGCACACCCCGACGCGACGAACCCGCGGCATCGCCAGATCACCAACTTCCAGGAGCTCCTCGTCGTGGCGTTCCGCGAGTTCGGCACCGTCACCGACGAGACGATCGCGAGCGAGCGGCGCCGCTTCAGGCAGGAGATCGTGCAGGAGATCGAGCTGTTCGCCAAGCGTGGCGCCGTGCGCAACCTGCGCGACCTCGGCTCATTCAGCAAAGAGCAGGCGTGAGTGCAGTGGATGGCTAGCCCTGGCATGCGCTCATCCTTGCCTTGCTGCAGCGGCCTGATCTACGACCAGGTGGTGGAGGCGATCTACCGCACGCGCCACGCGCCTCGCGCCGGCGACGGGCCGGGCAACGCCGTTGCGCCGCCGCTGGCACCGACCGACGCCGACTACAAGGAGATGCGCGTCGACCTGCCGACGTTCCGCTACTTTCTCGCCGAGGTGGCGACGTGGGCGCGCGACGAGTACGTCATCTCCAATGGCTTCCAGGAGCGCACGGAGCGCAAGGTGCCGGAGCACGACGTCGTCGCGCGCGTCTTCCGCTACTGGGACTCGGAGAAGCGCGGCACGCTCAGTCTGCAGGTGAGTAGCTGCTGATGCCGAGGCGACGCATGTGCTGACGCGTGTCGCCCTGCTCAACTCAGGACATCGTCTCGGGCCTCGATGCCATCATGTCGGCACGCGGCGACGTGCTCGCCAGCATCGAGTGGTTCTTCCGCCTGCACAGCGAGGGGCGCGACTCGCTGTCGAAGGACGAGGTGCTGCGGCTGAGCGAGTCGCTGCTGTTCCGTGAGCGACAGCGCATCGGCCTGCCTCTTTCAGCGGCTGACGTCTCTCGCCAGTCTTCCGCAACGAGCAGAGCGACGGCTACCTCGGCGCCGTGTCGCAGCTCATCTCGCAGTCGTTCGAGCATGGCGGCGATGCCGCAGCCGAGGCGACATCGTGAGATGACACGACGGCCCGCCACTAGACCAGCCTGCTGCTTCCCTGACTGCACGCCACGCCGCCCCCTCATACCTGGCAATCGAGAGCGCAGTGAACAGACAGAGACGATGGCAATGGGCTCGTGATCGTGATGGACAGGACAGCAGGGTCGTAAGTGGCGAGGGACGTAATGGGCGGCGCAGACGTCTCAGTACTGCGAGCGAGGCGTCATCAGCGACAGACGGCAGCGAGACGGGTTCTGGGCGCTCTCACCTGCTGGCCGTAGCCGCCGTAGCCCTGCTGCTGCTGGCCAAAGCCGTTCTGGAAGCTCGAGCCCATGACGCCGCCGGGTGCAAAGCCAGTCGGCTGCGGCCGCAGTGCGTCGTAGCGCTCTGCAGAGGGGGAATGCACTGGTCAGTCGACGTCTGCACAGGGGCCGAGCAGGGCAACGCACGGGGAGCCTGAGGTGCATTTGCCGGGTCGACGTGTAGCTGTCCTTGCCGCATTTCTGTGGGGGAAGCGGTCGTCAGCGACACGTCGCGATCGCATCGAGGCGCCACTCACGTCCGAAGATCGACGCCGCGCCGAGCTTGTCGCCGGGCCCGGTCTGCATCGGCATCTGGATGCCCGTGGCCTGCGGCTGCAGCTGCTGCTGCTGTTGCTGCTGTTGCTGCGGCATGGCGGTGAACTGCGGCGCGAGCATGCCGCCGCCGAAGCCCGACACGTTTGAGATGCCATAGTTGGGGTTGTAGCCCGTCTGCTGCGGCTGCATGCCGCCCATGCCGTTGAAGCCACTGCCGCCGCCAAAGCCCGTCATCTGCGGCTGCTGCTGCTGCTGCTGGAAGCCAGTCATTTGCGGCTGGAAGCCCGTCATCTGCGGCTGCTGCTGCTGGTAGCCGCCAAAGCCAGTCTGCTGGTTCTGCATCCAGCCCGTCTGCTGCGCCTGCAGCCCACCGCTCGTCGGCACGAAGTGCCCAGTGCCCTGCGTCGAGATGAGCGGCGCGAGCAAGCCCTGGTTGCCCGGCACCGGCGCGACTGGCCCGCGAGGGCCGTTCGAGCCAAACGAGCCGCCGCCGAGTGGGCTCGCGCCTGGTCGTGGCGAGACGCCGCTGGACGGCGGCCGCATGGCGGCCAGCTTGTCGAACAGCGCAGAGTTCGGGTCGGCGGCCGGCTTCGGCGGCTCGACGACTGGCGCAGGCGCGGGCGGCGGCGGCGTCGGCGCAGGCGGCGGGGTAGGTGCTGCCGGCGTGCGACTGGCTGCGGGCACGGGCGTGCTGGGCTTCGTGCTCGACGGCCGCGGCGTCCACGCATCGTCGTCGAAGCCGCCGCTGCCCGTTGCAGGCGGCGCTGTCTTGCGTGACGCGCCAGCCGAGGCAATAACGGTCGGGCTCGATGTGCTCGAGCGCGTCACTGGGCTGGCAGTGCGCGCCAGGTCCTCGGCGGCAGCGGCAATGCCGGCTGCGTCGACGCCCGTCGTCGAGGACTTGGGCGTCGGCCGGCCGCGCCGCGTGTTGTTGCGCAGACTGCCATCAGGGCCAGAGAAGAGATTCGGCGCCGGGCTCGTCGACGCGCCATTGCGGCGCGCACTCTGCTCCTGCTCCTGCAGCTTGCGCGCCATCTCTTCGTCGGCCTTGAGCTGCGCTGCAATGTCGCTCTCGCCGCGTGCACTGCTGCCGCCACCTCCGCCACCGCCGCCGCCGCCGCCTCCACTGCTCTTGGCGTACTTGCGCTTGATGAACTTGTCCACGCGGATGATGTCGCCCTCGCGCAGGCCGATGCTGCGCAGCGTGCCCGGCTCCATGTCGGGCAGGATGGCCTCGTCGATCTTGTCTCGCTCAAAGGCGGCCGCGTAGCGCGTGCAGTCGTCGACGTCGACGCCGGCGGCGAGGAAGAACTCGAACCAGTCGACGTTGCGCTTCGGCCCGCGCGCACTCTCCTGCCGGCGGCGGGCCTCGCGCTCGGCCTCCTTGCGCTTCTCGCGCTCGCGCTCGGCGCGGCGCGGGTCGGCAGAGGAGGCGGCGGCCGAGCTGCGGCGCTGCTCGCCACGCGCCTCGCCGCGCCCGATGCTGCTGGGCGCCAGACGCTTGCCAGTGACGTCCTCGAGGTACTGAATGTCGGCGTTGCTCATCTTCTCCACAGCCACCTCAATCACGACGCCGTTGAGCTTGTGCAGGCGGATCTTGCCCTGGTTGAAGCCGAGGAACTCGGCCTCGACGCGGAACTGCGCCGAGCGGTCGTGCCACACGCGCGTGCGCGCAGGGTTTGGCCGGCTCTTGCCGCCGGCGTCCTTGGGACGCTCAGGCACCGAGCGCCCTGCTGGGATGGGCACGTCGCGCACAGAGGCAGTAGGAGCGGCAGGCGCAGCGGCCCTTGGCGGCGCAGGGGCAGGTTGTGCCTTGAGCGCCTCGCGCCGGCGATCCTCGGCCTCGCGCGCGCGTCTGGCAGCCGCCTCCTTTGTCCGCCGCGTGGCCTCCATTGCCTCCTGCTGCTCTCTGCGCTCCTCCTCTTCAGCAGCAGCAGCCGCAGCTGCATCATCGTCGTCATCATCGGCGGCGGCGGCGGCGCCGGCGCCGTCGGTGACCTCGACGTAGCTGGCAGGCACGACGCCCTCTTCGCCGCGCGCGTTGCGCACCTTCCACCAGTCCTCATTCTCGCGCTCGACGAGCGTCAGCGGCTCGTTCTCTGCCACACTGATCTCGTCGTCGCCCTGCGCCTCAAAGTCGTACAGCGCCATCGCCGGCTCGCCCTGCGCGTGGCCGTTGCTGGCTGCAGCAGCGGGAGCCTCCGTCTTGCGCTGCGGCGGCGGCAGCGTTGCGCCTCCCGCGCGCGCAGGCGGCGGCAGCACTGGCGCAGCAGCGACGGAGGAAGACGTGCGTGACGCAGCGCCTGCGAGCGGCGGCGGCATGCTCCGCGTAGCCGGCGGCGGCTTGACCACGCCGTTCTCTTCCGCAATCGCCTTGCTCTCCTCGATCTTGCTGACCACAGCCTCGCCCTCCGACTTGCTGCTCATGACGAAGCGCAGCGCGTTATCCTCGAGGCCGGCCGCGGCGTCGAGCTCGAGATTGACCTGCTTGCCCTTGCTCTCCACCGCCGTCGCGACGATGTGCAGCACGCTGATCTTCTGCACTGGCTGCTTGTCCGACTCGGAGGCAAAGAAGAGCGAGCCGTTGCCGACGCCCAGCGTGCCCTTGCGCTTCTTCTTCTTGCCATCGAGAGCCTGTGCAGTTTGCATGAGGCCTGCCAGCCCGCAGCGGAGCGCCTCTCTGACTCACCGAGACGCCCCACATCTTGATTTCGTCTGCCTTGTCGCCTGCCTGCGCCGGCGCGAAGGCCGTGATGGCGCCGGGCGCAGCACGCGGCGGCGCGGGCGAGAGCGGCGCGGGCGGCGACATGGGCGCCGGCGGCGGCGAGAGCGGCGCCTCATTGTCGGGCTCGGGCGCATCCTCGGCCACTTCTGCGCCAAGCCCTGTCTCGCCATCCACGGCAGCGACCTGACAGCCCACACACGTCAGCACCGGTACCCTGCCACGCGGCGTTGCATTGCGGCGCCGCACGCTGCAGCTCCACGTCGCCGCACTCACCTCGTCGACGTAATTCTTCGGCACGAAGCCGAGGCGCGCCTCGTGCGAGCCGTCGGCGTAGCTGACGAGCAGCCAGTCGTCGTCGTCGTCGTCGAAGACGTTGAGCAGCGCATCCTCGGCAAGGTCGAGCTCCTCGTCGGTCTGCGCGGCGTAGTCATACAGCGCGCGGCTCTGGCGGCGCGGCTCGGCGGGCTCGAGGTAGTTGGCGGGCACGAGGCCGATGCGCGCTGCGTCTGCGTCGTCGTGGGCGTCGGCGCCGGGCGGCGGCTTCAGCTTGGCCTTGTGCCACTCGGGGTCCGAGGCGTCGAGCACGTAGAGGAGCGCATCCTCGGCGAACGAGAGCTCGTCGTCGGCGGTGGCCGTGTAGTCGTAGAGGGCGCGCGAGAGGGCGACGTAGGCCATGGCTGCGGCGGGCGCAGCTGGCAGGTGCTGCGCGAGGAGAGGCAGCGGCGACGGTGCTGAGGCTGGGTGGAGGAGAGACAAGGGTTGCGACAGCGAGGCGGAGGTGCCATCCGTCCATCCGCGCCGCGCGCTGGGCCGCTGGCTGGAAGCCGTGCGCCCTGAGCAGCCTGGCGCATCGCATCGGCACAGCACGCGAGCAGTGTCCGCGCGGCGCCAGGGCCAGCGGGATCGGCAGCGCTGGGCCGCCGTCTGTGGAGCATGCACGTCGGCGAGACACTGCATGCGCGCGCGCTGGGCGGTGCGGGCTGCGTGCGCGACTCTGGCAAGCCCACCCGCGCGTGCGGCGCACCCGTTCATCGCCGCGCCATCGACTCGAGCTGCTGGCGCCAGGGCAGCTTCGCCTCTGTCCCGCCTCCATCTCCACCCGTCCGTCCCGCACCTCTTGTGCGTCGCCTGCACCCGCTCAGCGAGCCTGCACACACTGACCGTCTCTCCTGTGCCAGCCCCGCCCAGCATGCCCGTCGGAGCCATCCCCGCCATCACCGGCAAGCTGCGCAAGCGCCTCATCCTCGACCTCAGCGTCGCCCTCGGCGGCGGCACCGCCCTCGGCTACGCCTACTGGTGCGTGCGCGCACAGGCCAGAGTGCTGCAGGAGCAGAGACAGTAAATGCTGTCTGCTGCAAGAGGGAGCAGAGCGGCAGAGCGCTCGCGGGCGCAGAGACGTGCTGCTACTGGCGCCAGCCATGCCGGGCGGGTTGCGAGTCGCGCGCGCCGGCGCACCGGCGGCCAGCAGCGGGCGGCGTCTGCGCATGCCGCAGTGCGCCTCTGCTGCGCCTGTCGCGCTGCGCACCTCTGCCCCGCAGCCCTTGCCTGCTGCGCCTTCGTCGGCCGCGCTGCAGCGCACCCCCGCGAGCTGCCCTGCTCACTCCCCTCTGCGCCCCGCAGGTACGGCGTCCACGTGCCCTCGGTCAAGCGCCGCGACACGTTCTACGAGAAGCTGCAGTCCGACAAGCAGTAGACAGCTGCTCGCTCCGACAACAAGGGCTAGCGAAAGGGACGCTCAATCGATCACAGTGAAAGCGAGTGCGATTGAGGCGCTCGCGACGGGGAGCGTCGCGGCTGGCGCTGGGTGAGACAGGGACGGACAGAGCGAGACAGGGGTGGAAGAAGCGAGAGACGGGCGGAGACGTCGCGGCAGAGGCGAAAGGGTGACACACGAGAGTGGGAGAAGGACCAAGAGAGGGCGCGGATCGGGGGCCAGTCAGGCTGGGCTGCTACACGAGGAGCGCAGCGCCAGCAGCGAGGAGCACTGCGACGGCGAGCGAGATGCGCGCGGGCGCGACAGCTGCCTTGGCGCCGCTTGGCTTTCCCGAGCTGCTCGTCTCGACGCCCGAGTCGATGACGTTGCCGTTGGCATCGCGGATCTCGCCGCCCACGGCGCCGAGCTTGCCGCCGTCGGATGCGGCAGCGGGCTGCGCCTGCGCCGCAATCGTCGTGTCGGGCGCCAGCACGGCGGGGCCCCCTTCAAGGCGGGGAGAATCGTCATTAAAAAATCCGGTGATGGAGAGGGGCGCTGCATCGAAGTCTGGACCACGCATGAGCGGTCAGCGATGCGGCCAGAGGGCGTGGGAGCCCGGCCACTGCCAGCACGCACTCGAGAGCTGCAGCTGCGTCTGCGCACAGATGCCCTCGGCCGACTGCCGGCGCCACGGCCGGCTTGCGGGCACGTCGCGCACCGAGAACTGGCACGGCGACTGGCGCAGGCCGCGGCGCGTCGTGACGATGGCCGTGTGAGCCCTGGCCTGGCGGTGTAGAAGGTGGGGGGTCAGCGGCGGGCGGCGGTGAAAGACGGACCCTGCGCGGCGGGGGGCGCACCTGCTGGCCCGGCGTCCAGACGTTGGGCGACTCAAACGCAAATGTGTATGCCATGGGGTTGCGCACCGGCTCGGCCGAGGTGCGCGCGCAGGCCGTCTGACGAGCGTCCCAGGACATCGTCGGGTACTGCAGCGTGTCGCGCACGCCGTCGGTGCCGCGACAGCCGCCTTGGAACGGGTGCAGCAGGTTGAGCCAGTGGCCTGTTCGGGGAGAGGGGGCTGGTCAGCGCCATGCTCTGCTCCCCGGTCCTGCCCGGGCGAACTCACCGACTTCGTGCACGAGCGTGTTGCCCGTAAAGTCGTTGAACTTGTTGGGCCGTGTCTTGTGGCCCGTCAGCGTGCCGACATCGACGATGCAGCCGTCGCCGTCCTGCGGCTCGCGGCCGGCCGTGGGGAAGGTGCACGTGCCGGCGAGGGCATCGCCGTCGGGCGCGCTGATCGAGTTGACGAGGAAGATGTTGAGGTGGTCGCGCTTGAACGTGCCGGCCGTGCGCTTGTACTGGCCCATGAGCGCGTAGGCGGCCCGCGCATTCGACTTGTTGTAGCGCCAGAAGACGCTGCGAGTCGTGACGCCCGTTCACACTTGACGCTGCACGACGCGGAAGAGGATGCGCATCTTTGCGTACTTGACGCGCAGGATCTGGATCTCGGCATCGAGCGCGGCAGAGTCGACGATGACCTTGCCTGCCTCGTCACCGGCGAGCCAGTGGAAGGAGACGTCGATCATCTGGTACGGCGGCAGGCAGAGCGTCGGCAGCAGCGCCCGGCGCGCCATGTAGCCCGGCTGCTCCTCGAGCTCAGCACGCCGGCGCAGCGCCTCGGCCATGTCAGGCTCGCGCGCACGGGCAAGACAGTCGGCCGTGCCGGAGATGTTGGCAATGTAGGCCAGCTCGATGAGCGCCTGGTCGGCGGCGACGTCGGGCGGCGTGTAGGGCGCCACAAACTCGCCCGCGTAGTTCCAGTCGCCGTCGGGCACGCTCAGCGGCCACGTGGCCGGGTCGGTGCTCGTCGTGTTCGACTCGAGCAGCGTGCCGTTGCCGGGCTGCGTGCCGTTGATCGGCAGCGTGCCATTGAGCGGCAGCGTGCCATTGATGGGCGCAGGCATCTCGGGCAGCGTCGTGTTGGTCGGCGGCTCGGTAGGCTCGCTCGGCGTGGTGGGGGGGTCGGCGGGCATCGTGGGCTCGCCCGTCGTCGGAGGGTCGTCGCCCGGCGGCGCAGGCGTCGGAGGCTCGCCCGTGGTGGGCGGGTCAACCGGCGTGGGCTCGACAGGGATAGGCTCGGGCACCGTGGGCACCGGCTCGCCCGTCGAGGGCAGCGTGCCCGGCTCGGAGCCGATCGTGCCGTTGGTGACGCCGCCGCTCTGCGCGACGACGCCGTGCGCCGCGAGCGCACAGAGGAGGAGAAGACGAGCGAAGCGCATGAAGTGCGACAGCTTGAGGCGAGGAGGATAGTGAGGACAGGCTTGAGTGGGCGAGCACGAGCGCCTTATGTAGGCATTCGTCCTCCCCGAAGCCACTCGCACGCCCGACCTTGCTGCACGTCCAGGCGAGCACGAGCTGGGTGCATCTCGCCCGCGCAGCCTCCCCTTTTTGCCCTTTCTCCCTCAGCAGCTCGCTGTGGACCGTCCTTGCCGTGCTCGACGCTCCCGCGGCGGTGCTGTCCGCAAGCAAGGCGCAGCGCTGTGGGTACGACGCATGTTGCCTCGCAGCCCGTTGCTGCCGCCACCTGCACCGCAGTCGGGCCCAGTGCGCGCCCAGGTGTTAGTTCCGGCCCGAGGTTTGGCGATGCCGACTCGAGGCGTCGCGAAGTAATGCGTTGACGCAAGGCTGTACCTGCATCTGGACGAGACAGCCACAAGGCTGGACGCGATGGCATTCGGCGTACCTTGCTACGGTCGAGAGCGCCCAGTGGAAGGTGTTGCAGCGCATCAACGCGGATGGCAGTGAGAGCGACCCGAGAAGGCACGCCAAGCACAGCAACGTCTGAGATCGGCGCGGCTCGAGAGTCGAGGCCCGTTTCTGCGCAACTCCGCCCCGTCGCGGCAGGCGGCGGCGGCCTGAGCTTGCGCGTGCCCAGGCGGACCCTGAACTTAGTGCCAGATCTGGCCAAGTGCTGCGGCACCGCATCTGTTGCTGCTCCTGCTTCCTCTGCCGCTTTGTGAATTTGAAGGCACGCATCTGCGGCTGGAGCTGCTGCTGCATGCTGCATGCTGGTGGCCAGCGCTCAGAGCGCAGACTGCATCTCGCAGCTGCGTCTCGAAGCCGCATGCCGCCCACCTGGACGCCCGCCTCTTGCTGCCACACGCGCCCGGCACGGGCCGCGTGCATCCGCGGAAGCAGGCGTGGAAGTGGCATCTGAACAAGAAGCGCGCAGTCGAGTGCTGGCCTCGACAGCACCAGTTTCTGCGACGGCCGAGCGAAGCAGAAGTGCCCCGGCACCGTCACGGGTGGCCACTTCTCAGCGCCTCTCGGCGTGCGGTGCTCTTCAGCGGGTCCGAACGCGTCTTCGACGCGCGGGTGTGGGCGCATGCGGAAAAGCGCATTCTTACTCGGCTGGGCTGATGCTGTGCCTGGTCCAGCAGCAGCGGCAGCAGCAGCGGCAGCAGCATCGAGCCAGCACAGCTCTGGACCTACACCCTCGGCGAGCAGTATCTGCGGCTCCGGTGCATGCCAAGCTCCGTTGCGTGCCGAACGGGCGGGCCCAGCCGCAGCACCACGCAGCGGAGACAGCAGGCAGACCCGCAGCCCCGACGGCAGCAACACCAGCAGCGAGAGTCCCACGCGAATCATGCCATCTTCGACACCGCAGGCCGGAAGTCGCTGCGGCTACGCTCGTCCTCCTATGGCGCTGCAGAGCGCTGTCAATCGAGAGAGGCACCCTGGCACGAGAAAGCGGCAGACTGCTCGACGCCAAGGCTGAAGATGAAGAAACTCCGTGGCGGCATCGAGCAGCAAGCAAAGGTTGGTATTCATTTGACGAAACACGGATCGAGCGACAACGACCTACGACCTGCAATCCAGCGAGGGAGTGCGGGAGGTCGAGTCTTAGTTATGTACATCTTGGCTCTCGAGCTCAAGCCTCGGCAGCCGCCGGCTTGCCGCTCACGAGCTCGGCCTGGGAGCCGGCGTGTGGGTTCGAGCTGCGCGGCGAGAGTTCATGTCCAGCGTACCCGCCGCCGCCGCGCTTCTTCTTCTTCTCGCCAGCGTGGCCAGTGTACGCCGGCATGCCTCTCACCCACACCCACAGCGCCAGCAGCGCCGCGGCAACGGCCAGCGCCACGAGTGCGCCAATGACGCCCGCCACCACGGGGCTCACTCGTTGTCTGCCCTCCGTGCTTGCCGGGCTCGCAAAGCCAGCTCCGCCCGTGCCGTTGAGCGCCGCCAGCGTGTCGCAGCCCCTCGCGCTCGTCTCGCCGCACGCATCGCACCACTCGGCCAGCGACTCGACGGCCAGCGGCCTGAGGTGCTGCTCGAGCTGCGCGCGTGGGAGCAGCGCGCCCGCCTCGGCGCCGAGGATGGACAGCGGCGCCCACTCGCCCGCAGAGCCGTTGCGGAAGAGCAGCCGGAACGAGTCGTCGCTGTGCAGTTCGAAGAGGAACGTCGAGGCATAGTCGACGACGGAGTCACGCGGCATGTACTCTTGCACGTCGAGCAGCGTGGCCATGCTCAGGAAGAGCTTGTACGACGCGGCGACGATGCTGATGCTGAGCGCGTCGCTGGCGTTGGAGAGGCGCGACATGTCGTCGAGCAGCGTAGCGGAGAAGGCGTGGCCGGCAATGTTGCCGATGGATCCCACCTCAGGTGGGCCGAAAGCGTAAGACTCGTGAATGTCGGCGAAACGCTTGGCGCGGAACAGGGTGTCGTCGGAGATCTGAGGCGCGAGGGTGGCGTTATGGATCGACTCGACGTTGAGGAAGTCGAAGCTGAGACGGCGCGAGTGAGCGGGGGAGAGGGCCAAGCTCTGCACGGTGTGGGTGGCAGCTCACAGATTCCAGGCGTTCTGGTACTTGCGAGGTCGATCGCCTAGCACGTCGGTGCGGTTGTAGAAGGTCTCTGCCAGGAAGGCCGATTGCCGGCCCCACTGCGTCTCGTAGTACTCCCTGTTATCGCGGGCAGCTACATCAGCATCCGCCTTTTCGCTTGGCTAGCAAGGTGGGGGGGGGGGGGGGGGAAACACTGTAGGGACGACTCACGCGAGGCGCTGCTGCCATGCACTGCATTGCGTCCATCCCTCGAGCGCAACCGACTGCTCCGGCTCGACTGTCTCGATCTCGATGAGCTGTGCCCGGTTCTCCCACGTCACATTCTGGCCGTTGGCGAGGGTAATGGACTCGGGGTAGGGCGGGTAGAGTCCTGCAAGCGGTACACAGTCAGCGTTGCTGCGGCGTCAGCTCGATGTGAGTCGCCGTACCTTGAGCGAGAGCATTGGCAGTGTCGACAATCACACTCCCCTCTCCCCCCGCATCCGCGACAATCTTGACGCTCCTGCCGCGATGCACTTGCGCATCCAGGCTCGCAATGCGCGTCGCGCTCGAGTCGTTGAGGTAGCGCTGGCGCAGATCCTGGCCGTTGGCATAGCCCTGCAGATAGCCTGCCACAGTCAGGTTGGTGTCCGATGCGCTGTCCAGCCCAGAGGCGGGGTCAGCGCATGCATGCGCAAGGAGAGCAGGGGAGGCCTCTCACGCGTAGGAGATGGGGTTCTGGTAGAAGCCCTGGCGGTCGCCGTGGCGCACGAGCACAAAGACGCCGGTGACGGGTGCGCTCATGGTTGTACGCTTGACCAGGGGTGTTGAGATGGTAGTGGTCGAGAGTCAGGATGCAGCGAGGCCGACGCAGCGGTACAATCGTGGCGGCCTGAGACGAGCCGTGGTGCTGCGCCGGCGCCGAGAAGAATAGCGCCTCGGCAGCGGCGCACCGCGCGGCGGTTGGGCCGATCAAGATAAGGCCTTGGCGCGGCTTGAGCGCGTGGGAAACTGTCGGCGTCTCGGCCGATGTGCCATGCGGCGCGCGAGGTGCGGCGGTGGAGGCGCCGCATCGACCTCTTGGCATCTTGCCTTCCCACCGCGCACCCTCCTCCACGACCCCACACTCCGGCTTGGCAATCGCCATGCGTCCGCCCCGGCTGGCACTGTCCACTCCCGCGGGTGCTGGTGTGGCGCTTCGGCGTCTAGCCCGCCCGCGCGTTCCGGGGCGCAGCCGCAGCTTCCATGCGCACCCGCCCAGCCCCGTCGACGGCGCGCACGACCCGCACAACGCGCTCGCACACCTCGCTCCGCCGCCGTCGCAGTCACAGACGCACGCCGGGCCCAGTACTGGACCGCTGGCGGGCTGGAGTGCCAGCGTCAAGGCCAACCTGTGCACGCGCGACATGCCGACGACGTGTGGCAGTGCGATGCTGCGTGGTGCGTTGGTTGGTGGTGGTGGTGCAGCAGCGATGTGGAGAAGGGGCGCTGACGTGGCGAATGGCGACGGCGCATGGCGCACGACGACAGACTATACGTCGCCCTTTGACGCCACGGTCGTGCAGCGCCTGCGCGCGGCGGGCGCCGTTGTGGTGGGCAAGACGAACTGCGACGAGTTTGGCATGGGGTGCGTGTTGCCCGCTCTCCCCTGGCGCCTTGCCTCTCTCTCGGCGCTCAACATCCGCGCCATTGCAGCTCGGCCAACGTGCACTCCCTGCACGGCCCCGTGCTGAACCCCGCCGCGCCGGCCGCGACGGCCCTGGGCCACAACGAAGAGGGAGGCAGACAGCGACATCGCACGTACCATGAGCCGCGCGTCGCCGGCGGCAGCTCGGGAGGTGCGGCGGCGAGCGTCAGGGCGGGCCTTTGTCGGGTGTGAGTGTGGTGCTGGAGAAGAGGGGAGGGGAAGGGAGAAAAGAGATGAGGGCACGCGGGGTGAGGAAGAAAGGGGAGGGGGGAGGGGGAGGGGGCCAGGGGGAGGGGGGAGGAAGGAGGGGAAGGGGGGAGGGGGGAGATCCTGTGCGCATCAGGCCGCTTCACCGCACTACAGCACAGCTGCGCTTCAAGCCGGGCAGCAGCTGCTCACCTCTTGGTTCCTTTAGCGCACTGGCCTCAGACACCGGCGGCTCGATCCGTCTGCCCGCGTCGTACTGCGGCGTGTGGGGGCTCAAGCCATCCTACGGGCTGCTCAGCCGCTGGGGCCTCGTCGCGTACGCAGACAGTCTCGACACCGTCGGCATCTTGGCGCGCTCCTGCGAGGACATCCGCACGACTTTCGGTGCGTTTGTCCCGTTTGAGCGTCTTGCAGCATAGACATGCCCACTGATGTGAGCGACGCAGATGTGCTCAGCGAGTACGACCCCAAGGATCCCTCTGCTATTCCGGAGGAGACACGTAGGAAAGCGAAGGAGGTGGCAGACAGTGCTTTGCCTCGCAAAGGCTCGCTGAAGGGCGTGAGGATAGGCGTGCCCCGAGTGAGTTCCCCCCCCCCCCCTCTTCGGGCGCCCCGGCCTTCTCCTTCTTTCCTTCTCGATATTCCACCCTCTCTTAGGAGCTGAACCGGCTCGCTCTCTAGGAGTACTTCCCCGCTGAGCTCGAGCCTCAAGTCGTGCCTTGCGTGCAACGAGCGCTCGCGCGCCTGCGCGACGCCGGCGCCACGCTGCACAGCGTCAGCCTGCCCTCGACGCCGCAGGCACTCAGCACCTACTACGTCCTCGCCAGCGCCGAGGCGAGCAGCAATCTGGCGCGCTACGATGGCGTGCGCTATGGTGCGTCTTTCCCTTGGGCGCTTGCTGAACGGTGCGTTGCGCTGACACTGCTCTCTCTCACACACACACACACACAGGCCATCGAAGCGACGACACCGCTGGCATTGACGACGGCAGCACTCATGCGTATGCCGCGACGCGCAGCTCAGGCTTCGGCGCCGAGGCTCAGCGTCGCATCCTCCTCGGCACGTACGCCCTCACCGCCGATGCCTTCGACAACTACTTTCTCCAGGCGCAGCGCACGCGGCTGCGCATCCAGCACGACTTTGACAGCGTGTTGCGCCTGCCTTCTGTGCTGCGCGCTTCGCCCGGCCCGGCAGCGCGAGACGCGGGCGTGGATGTGCTGCTTTCGCCCTCGAGTGTGCGCACCGCGCCGACGCTCGAGTCCATGCTGCCGGCGTCCGACGGCGCAGCGCCGCCGCAGGGCGCAGCGGCACGCGCGTCGCCGTACGTGCAGGACGTGCTGACGGTGCCCGCCAGCCTGGCGGGCCTGCCGGCGCTGAGCGTGCCGGCGGGCGTCGCGCAGGATGGCTGGCCCGTCGGCGTCTCGCTGACGACGCAGTGGGGATGCGAAGAATTGCTGTGGCGCGTTGGCGAGGCGTTGGAGCCGGAACGATGACGCGCAATGCAATCGTCCCCATCACTCGACGCGCCGTCGTGCACGCTTCACGCGCAATCGTCGCTCAGCGCTTCGTGCAGCCGGCGAGTCCCTGTCGTGCACACAAGTCAGAGGTGCCACAAGAACGACGTCGCTGACAAGCCACTCACTGATCGGCCCGAGCGCATCGCCGAGCTGCCAGAGCTTGTGCTCAAGAGGCTGTGCGATCCAAGCTGCCACCGAGCCAGCGACGGCAACGATGAGACTGGCAGCGAACGGACTGGCGCCAGCGTCGGACAAGCGGGCTTCGTCCTGCATATGCCGTTATCAGCCAAGAGCGGCCACTGCGCTTTGAGGGCTGCTCACCTCGCGCTCCTCTTCCGGCAGCCACATGTCTCTACCACGCCAGAGCGCAGCGGCAGTCACTCGTTGATCGCCCGCCTCCGTAGCCGCGCTGGCATCTGCCTCTTCTTCCAGCTGCGCCCCCCACTCTCGTGCACACGTCGCCGCTTCGCGCGGCGATCGGACAAGCACGAAGCGGAGTTCCGGCCCGTCGCCCGCCTTCTCTTGGCGCACTTCTTCTAGCCAGCTTCCGAGCGCGTCAAGTGCGCGCTGCAGCGGCGCCGTGATCTCGACGCGGTTCCCGAGCGACGAGTACTGCTCGACCACGACTAGGACGCGGTCGTGTCGCGAGGAAAGAAGCAGAGGACGCAGGTTCGCGACGCCTCTTGCTTCGGGAGAGAGAGCAGCCGGAAGCATTGACACCTTGACGAAGATGCACGCACTGCGGGCGTCGAGCCACAGATCTGCGTCGAGGCCATCTCGCTCGATGAGTGCGATCTGATGGGATGAGGGTCAGCCATGCCGTGGGTGGGTTCACCGCTGCAATGCACATTCTGCGCTGGTAGAGCGCTAAGCAGCAGACGATTGTTGAGTAGCCGCGTAGTCGCGATGTAGAAGTGGCGCTCCCAGTCCTGACCGGGCTGCTCGTCGTCGTCTGAGATTGCGAACGCTGGCGAAGCCGGTCGCGGCGCTGGGGTGCTGGCTTCTTGCACAGCTGGTCGAGTGGCGACAGTTGGCTGCTCGAGGGCTGCAGGCGGCCGACTTCGCCTGCCTTCTACGCCACGCATGGCGAGGAACGTATCGAGCTGATCCAAAGCCGAGGGAGCCGCCGTGCCTTCGGACCTCGACACGGCGGGCGCATCAGCAAGCTTGCGCTGCTTGATGGCTTGCTCGAGCGCCGATGGAGCATGGCCTCGCTTCAATGGTCGAGACGGGCCCGGGTCCCTGCTGCGGCCGCGTTCAATGACGCGCTCTGCGTGCGGCGATGACTGGAGCGGTAATTGTGCTGTGGCCTCGTTGAGGTCTGAGACGCCGAGCTGATGCGCTCCGCTCTGCTCGCGATCGAGGTAGAGGTCCGATGGCTCGAGCAGCGGCGGTGACTCGTCAATCTGCGAGAAACGGCTGCGCAGATCAAAGGACTCGCGTGAGAGCTCGGGGTCCAGGCTCAGGATCTCATCGACGTAGACGCCCCCATCATCGACCAGCTCGTCGTAGTCGGACGACGCAACGCTTAGTGGCGCCTCAAAGCGGAACGGCGAAGGCTCGACTGAGGGCCCAGCGGTCCTGCGGCCGATATTGAACAGCAGCGGCGCATCCGGCGTTGCGATCCGCTCAGATTCGGCTAGCCTCAAACTTGAGACTCGGCCTCGATCGCGAGGCAATGTGGCCTTGAGCAGCGGAGAAGGCGACGCAGAGGGTGCAGCATCGCTGCTTTGAGCAGACGCGTCCAAGCTGCCCACTGTGGCACGCACCTCTCGCTCCAGGGCGTCTTCGATCGCCGTGTCGTCTGCAGCGCCAGCAAAGACTAATTGCTCATCAAGAAGCTGTCGCGATAGCAGCGCGGAGTCAGAAGCGGCGAAGACTCTGCTTGGCAGTTCGATGTTCAGCGAAGCCAGGCCTGTGGCCGCACGAGGCCGGAGTCGGAGGCCCGCACTTGTCGCTGTGCGCAAGGCACGCTTGTCGGAGGCGGACAGCAGCTCGATAATGGACTGTGGAGCGACGCTCGCGCGAGTGTCTTCGCGACTGATCACTTCGAGCTCCACGTCTGCCAGAGGAAGGTCAGCTCGCTGGCAGAGGCGGAGGATCAGGGTGCTCACTGTCAAGTAGCAGCGCTGCGCCGCGAGGTCGTCTGAGGCGCTCATCGCGGACGAGAGCCAGAGCATGCGGAGGCAGCGGCAATCTTGAGTGTGTCGGCGCCTCCAGTGCCGTCGGTCGAGTCTCGGCTGCGATCTCGCTGAGCGCAGCGAGCAATGGCCGCTCGTACCGCAGCATCTGACTGCTGCTGATACGTAAAGGATGATCAGCCTTCGCTGGATGCTACGCAGCGCATTGCTCACCGGTCGCTCGCTCCGCTGTTCATGCGAGTCGAGAGCGTGCGGGCAAGCGGCAGGACAAAAGCGTCTGCCACGCAAGCGTCAGCGACACGCGCTTTCGATGCGTGGTACAAAATGATCACCTACCTTCTTCCAAGGCGTGTGGATCAATGAGCTGATCGAGCTCGAGGTTAGAGTCGCGCTGCGACGTTGGCTGTTGCGGTTCTCCTTTCGATCCATCGACGGTCAGCGTCGAGAAGTTGATCGTGGCAGCATCGTGGGGTGAGGAGCTTGTCGCGGCGCTTGGACTGCTCGCTGGTAGTACAATGTCCTCTGATGGCACGTTAGCATCGACATTACAACGCTCAACGACCAGCTCGGACACTCACCCCATGCGTTCCATTCGGTGATCCCCTCTCGCGTCACCGCAGTGAAGCGCGCCTCCGTCCCCACACGCGCCGCTATCCTAGCCGCTCGTTCGAGGCCTGCAAAGATGTCTGAACGAAGAAGGCCCTCCATAGTCCAGACGCGAGAGCTGCCGTGCGCAAGAGCAGCATTCGCGAAGATCGGAGGCGTCATCGAGCGCGGCTTAGGGACGGTCAGCGGAGACACTTTGGCCACGTCACGTCGACGACTCACAAGGAGCATCGCGTCGGCATCGCGCTCTGCTTCGAGGCCCTCTGACAGCTCTCGGAACTCAGCAGCTTTCGCAGAGTCATCGAGTGCTACAGGCTGGGCCTCCGCGATGCTGCGGCGCAGCGCTGCGATCTCCTCTTTCGAGCCCATGACTCGTGCGTCGCTGCAAGAGGCGCGTCAGTTCGCAACTGCGCCCTCTCGAGACGCTCTGTTCGCACAGCAGCCGGTCACGCGTCCACGCCGGCTCGTCTGGCGCGTCGTCGCGCGCTAGCTCGACGAGAGCGATGGGCAGGTCGAGGTCGAACTGCGTGACGAGCGGAGCGTGCATGGCATCGAAGACGCTCAGACCGCGCTGCGGCATGGACTGGACGTCGCTCTTGCGGAAGAGAACTTCAGTAAAGCCTCGCGGACGTGCTCCTGTTCTTCTCGGTCAGCGCAGGTGTCTGCCTGCAATGTGGCTGCACTCGCCGGACGTCACGTCGCCGTCATCTGCCTCCAGATCCGCCACTGAGGTAGCCGACGGCCGCGACATCTGCCTGATCGCCTCTGTGAGGCATTCTCTGCCTCCTGCGATGCTCTCAAGCAGTAGGGATGCTATGTCGTCCTGCCAGCTGTACTCCTCCAGCGGCAGTGACAAGATGCCAAGGTGGTACGTGCTCGTCGCCGGCGTGTCCTGCGCGAGGGGAACGGCGCGTGGCAGCTCGACCAGGCACATCGAGAGGGCTTCGATGAACTCTGCGACCTGCGAGAGCGCGGTCAGAGACGCTCCTGCTGATGCGTTGTGCGTCTTGAGCAGCTGCGCTCACATCCAGATCGAGATGCTCGCGGACATAGTGCGCGCCTCGCGCCACATGCTCGCGCGAGAGGCGCGAGGCGGGCCGCAGGCGGCTGTGCATGGCGAGTGTATGCGCGCGGGTGAGACGAGGAGCAGCACTGCGATCGACCAGGCGGAAGAAGAGAGGACGTGTAGAGATGCGGACGGCTCGTCGAACCTGGAGCAAGGCGGTGGTGGTGGGACGGGCGGAGGGCTCGCGCGGCGCGGCGCCGTCGTGGGCAAATCGCGCACCTCCGCAGCGTTCCCCGCGCGAGCTGCGGCCCGGCCCCTCTGCGATCTGGCCTCACTCGTGGACCGCCGTCGATCAAGTCGAAGTCGGCTTCCGGCACCGTTTGTTGGCCTCGCACGGACGGCAAGGCGAGTCAAGGCTCATCAGCCAGCCCCACAGCCGCCGTGCCTCTCTCCGCTTCACCACCTCATCGCGCCTCTCTCGCCTCGTCAGCCAGGCTCAGCTCCCTCTTGCTCTCGCCTCACACACGTTTATCATGAAGCGTCCGACTTCTGCATCTCCACCTCCGCGCGTCAAGGGCGAGAAACAAGAGCCGGGCAGCTCGTCCTCTGCGCCGCCCAAGAAGAAGCGCGCTCGCGGCAAGTCGGCGCCGGGGACGCATGCGCCAAAGGAGGCCTGGGAGCAGAGGCACTGGCGTGAGTCTCAGCACAAGCATTGCACGACTTGCATCTTACGCTCAAGCTACCAAGGTGCACTTGTGAAGCGCATCTTCTCCGAGATGAGCCGTCAGTCAGCGACGGCGCGCGACAGATGGCTGTGGTGTGAGCGCGCGCTGACGCCGCACGACGGCAGGTCCGGCGATCTACGCCGCTCCCGAACTCGAGGCGTTCCGCGTGCATGGCTCAGACCCGATCAATCGACGCATCAAGCAGCTCGAGGCGGACCTGCTGCGCCGCTACTCGTAGGAGGGCCAAGTGTGCTGCTGAGCTTCGTGCCGGCTGCAGCAGCAAGCGGGCAACACGGCACCGTTCCTTGATGCTCCATCCGCCGCCTGCCTTGCGTCAAGCACGCCGACTCTTCGTCCTCGTGAATGTATTGATTCTTCAGACCCTTCGTAAGACTGTTCATGCGCCGTATGAGTCAAAACGGGGCGTGGCCGCGCCAGGCCGGCGAAGTGGCAGTCGAGAGCCCCAAGTTGGGCGCGTGGGAAAGGCGGCGAGAGAGCCGCGGGATCGGGATCGCGAGGGCAGGCGGCCGACGTGGAGCTGCGCCGTGCGCCGTGCGCTGCTCTTGTGTCCTCGCCACCACGCTTCCTCCACTCACCTCTCATCACCAGCCACGCAGCGCCTGCCAGCCGGCTGATGGCCGCCAGCGAGTCTGGCGCAGATGCAGCGGCGCCCAGCGCTGCCCGCAGCTTCGCCGCGCTCGCCGTGCCGGCCCACTCGCCGCCGCCGACGGTGAGCGTCACGCCCGCTCCCTCTCCGCCCTCGCGTCCGCCGTTGGGCGCAGCCTCTGCCGCTTCCTCTGCGGCGCCGTCGCCCGCCGCTTCCTTCATCCTGCAGCGGCCCGCCAATGCCGCCGCGCCGCGTCTCTCCTCGGCCGCACACTCCTCCCTCGCCGTCGCGCTGGCCCGCCCACCGCCACTCGTGCGCCGCACGCTGAGCGGCAGCAAGGGCGCCGGCACGTCTGCCGAGCTCAGCGATGCCGTCGCCACTGGCGCCTCTGGCTCGCTGCTACTCAGCGTGGACAGTGAGAGCGAGGGAGCGCCGAGCGCCGGCGCTGAACTGTCTGCGCCCGAGGAAGCGCGCCCGGGCTTGACGTCGCTGCCGTCCGCCAGCGGCTCAGACCTGGCTTCGCGCCTGCGCCACGCCATCGAGGGCGAGCTGCCAAACGTGAGCGTCGACGAAGCAGAGGGCTCGAGCGAGGCGGACACAGATCGCGAGCCGGCCGGTCGGTCTTCCCACGAAGCGGCGCAAGACTCCGGCGTCGCGCAGGCACCAAGTCTGGCCGCGTCTGATGCCGAGCCCGCGCCGGTGACAGGGCAGCAGGCCGCTTCGGTAGCCGAGGGCAGCTCGAGCGAAGAGCCAAGTGCGGGCACAGGCTGGGGATGGTCGACGCTCACGACGCTGCCGACTATGCCGCCGTCGCTCAAGATCAGCGCGCCCTCGCTGAAGCGATTGGGCCTCGGCGGATACTCTGCCTCGAGCGAGGCGAGTGACACTTCTTCGATCGATTCCGCTCCTGGTCCGAGCGGTCTGCGGAGGTGGTGGGGCGCTCCCAGCCCAGTGAGCTCTGAGACAACGGTCGCCGAGCAGGCATCCTCCCCTTCGGCAGCGGCATCGAGCGCACAGCCGCCGCAACCAAAACTGCCGCGCGGCTCGTTTCCCGTGTCGAAGCCGCGCAAGAAGAGCAGTGCTGCGCAATCGTCCGCGGGCGAGAGCAGGAGCGGGCGCGCCGAAGCATCGTCTTCTCGCACGCCTGTCGACGCTGCCGATGTAGAGGCGCAGGCAAAGGCAAAGGCTCGCGAAGAGAGGCGGAGACGGAGAGAGCTGGAGAAGGTGCGGGAGGAGGAGAACATCAGCGAGACTGGTGAGTACTGACAGCCGTCCTTGCGGCGCTTGCATCGCAGAGCTGGCTTGCTTACGACCTTTGCCGCGCTTCAGACTTGTCTGATCCGCATGCCCTTGGAGCAATCCTGCCGCCAGGCGACGGAGACCCACCAGATCCGTCGTCCTCACAGCCTCGCTTTCCTGAACGGCAGTACTATGTGCTCTCAGCCGCTGGCAAGCCCGTCTACGTCTCTACGCTCACGAGCGCCCGGTTGGCTCGCGCCGAAGCAGCCACTGCGCTCAGACGCAAGCAAGACCCGTCCGCTGACGGGCCGTCAGAGGAGCTCGCGGCGCTGCTCAAGGAGCATGAGGCAGCGGATGATCTGGAGGACGAGGCGGCGACGATGCGAGTGGCAGTCATGCAGGCGCTTGTGTCCAACTACGCCGGCGTGGGCGGCAATAAGCTGCAAGAGGCATCGCGGGAGGTGCTCGAGCTGGCGCCACGAGAGCAAGTGACGTATCTGCTGCGTCCGCCGCTCTATCTCGTCTGCATCTCGGCGTGGGGCGAGGCCGAAAGCACGCGACGCAGCCATCTCGAGTATCTGCACTTCGCCATCGTCTCGCTAGTCTCTGGCAGTCAACTGAGCAGGCTCTTTGCGCGTGCGGCCAACTTCGACTTGCGCCGCTTGCTCGAAGGCACCGATGGGCTGCTCGACTCGCTCGTGCGCCGTCTGCAGAAGGATCCTGCTGTGCCGCTGGGCGCGCTGCAGCCTCTGCGCCTGCTGCCGGCGCTGCGCGACGATGTCGGCTCACTCCTCGGCCCCGCCCGCGGCACCGAGCGTCCCAAGGATGTGCTGTACGTCTTGCTTCTGGCCCGACAGCGCATCGTGACGCTTGCGCGCCCACGGCGACACTCGGTGCATCCCGTCGACTGCCAGCTGCTCATCAACACCGTGTACGGCACAAAGGCGCTGCGCGAGAGCGGCACTGAGAGCTGGGTGCCCATCTGCCTGCCCAAGTTTGCACCGCAGGGCTTCGTCTACGCGCATGTCTCGTTTCTCGATGCGAACGACGCAGAGGAAGCCGCGCTGGCAGAGGTGAAGCCGGGCGCTTCGGGCGGCGGCACGAGGCAGCCCGATCTCGCCCTCGTGCTCGTGACGGGCAACCCGGGCGGCTTCTCAGAGCTCAGTGCGTGGCGCAAGAGCATCCTGTCTGTGAGTCAGCTGGCAATGGAGCTTACACGCGATGCTCAGACGACTGCCCTCAGTCATTGCAGACCACCGGGCTGCTGCCGCGTCTTCTGGGCGCGCTGCCTGCGTCGCCGTACTCGGCAGACGACATGGGCATTGCCGGCCTGCGGCACTTCGTTTTCAAGTGGCGTGCCAATGTGCAGCTCACGGCGCCGCGCTTCGAGGCGCCGTACGAGGCGGGCAGCGAGGCGCAGCAGCGCCTGCTGACGCTCTACAACGTCGCGCACGACGCCGTGCATGGCCGTGCGCGCAAGGCGCGCGCCCGCGCGCGCGCGCAGGACGAGGAGCAGAGCGCCGCTGCTGCCGCCAAAGGCACGCCTGTCGTAGCAGCGAAAGCGCCAGAGGAGCCGAGACGAGGCGTGCCGACCTCCGTGCTGGCGTCCCACCCGCCGGCGCGCACAGGCGGCACCGCCAGCTCCTCGCATTCACGGACCGCCTCCGACGAGCCAGCGGCGCCGGCCAGCAGCAGCACGCCGCAGATGCACATCTGCCGCACGGCGCACGAGGCCGTGCTGGCATGGGTCACGCCGCCGTTTGAGCTGTACATGGCCGCCGGGCCGAACCTGCCGCGCGGCGCCCTTGTGGCGGCGGCGTCGGCCGTGGCGCGCTGGGTCAAGGCGAATGAGGCGGCGCTGTTCTTGATCTCGAGCCCGACGCTTTGAGCTGGCAGCAGGCATGCAGGCTTCATCTCCTTGCGCAGGATGTGCTGTCTGACGCGGGCCGTGCAATGTCATCAGATACCCAGAAGATCGAGATGCGCCGAGGGAGAGAAAGAGGACTTGAGGGAGGTGAGGAGGCGGCGCACGCTTACGTAAGGCAGCCGCGCGTTGGTGGAGGTGCTGCGCGCCCTCGAAGTCCGTGCGCCGTGAGGCCGGTGCATCACGGGCACCTTCTCTACCTCATCATCCCCACCGTCCCACACTCAGCAATGGACGACTCCGTCGCGCAGTTCACCAGCATCACCGGCTGCGAGGCCGAGCGCGCAAAGTGAGTCGCGCTGATGCTCTGCGCTGCGGCACTCCGCTGACACGAGCGCCCGGCCAGGTTCTTCCTCGACGCGGCCGGCGGCGACGTCGAGATGGCCGTGGCCAACTACTTCGAGTCGGGCGGCGATACAGCTACAGCGGGCACGCCTGCTGCTGCTGCCGCCGACGACGAAGAAGACGAGCCTGTGGCGAGCTCAGCGCCTGGTACGTGCAGCCAGCCAAGAGCCCGTGCAGCCCCGCTCCACACTCGTTGCTCACCCGTGCGCTTCCAGCGGCCTCTTCAACGGGCCCGCGCACGCTCTCTGGTGCTCCGGCTGAGCCCATGCCCGAGGGCTGGGGCCGTCCGGCTGCCTCGGCGGCGCCAGCTCGCAGCGGCGCTGGCGGCTTCACGGCGGGCGGCGGGCGCGGCGGCATTGCCACGTTCCGCGACTTGGCTGCAGCTCAAGGCAGCGGCAGCGGCGGCCCCTCTGGACCAGCCGGCGACGACTCTGACGACGAGTCCGATGACGGACGCGACCCGGCCAACTTCTACGCCGGCGGCGAGCGCAGCGGCCTCAACGTCGTCAACCCGAATCGCGGCGCGCGTGGTCCGCAGCCCGACGTGGTGGCGGACATTCTGAGGCAGGCGCAGGAGGCCGGAGCACGTGGACCGGATCCGGAGGAGGAGGGCACGCTGTCGCGCACGGGCGGCACCGGCCCGAGCTTCAGCGGCCGCGGACGCACGATTGGGCAGGAGGCAGAGGAGGAGGATGAGTTGGCTGGTGCTGAGGAGGAAGAGGCGCCCGTGGCGGAGGAGACTGTGATCCGTCACCTCACCTTCTGGCAGGACGGCTTCAGCGTCGAGGACGGTCCATTGATGCGCTACGACGACCCGGCGCACGCGCAGACGCTGGCGCAGATCAACAATGGACGTGCGCCGCTGGCACTGCTCGGCGTGCGCTTCGGCCAGCCCGTCGAGCTGCGCGTGGCGCGCCGCACCGACGAGAAGTACACGCCGCCGCCTCCCGCGCCCATGAAGCCGTTCGGCGGCAGCGGCCAGCGTCTCGGCAGTCCGGCACCCACGCCGTCGTCGTCTGCGCAGCCAGCTGCTGCTCCTGCTACGCGCGCACCCAACCCCACCAACGTGGCGTTTGAGATCGACGATGCGCAGCCCACGACGACGCTGCAGATTCGCCTCATCGACGGCCAGCGCGTCAGCGCTCGCTTCAACACGTCGCACACCGTCGCAGACATCAGACGCTGGATCGATGCGTGAGTGATGCTCTGTGCATGGAGCATGCCGCATCGTGCTCTGTGCGTAAGACCTTGTCATCGCTGACGCTTGGCCTCCCGCAGATCGCATCCGAACCCCTCACGCAGCTACGTGCTGCAGGCGTCGTTCCCCCCCAAGCCCATCGCCGACGAGACGCAGAGCATCCAGGCCGCCGGCCTCGCGGGCAGCGTCGTCATCCAGAAGGGCACCTAGGCACGCTGTCAGACGGGACAATGGCATGTGACATTCGCGACCAGATGGCATGGGTGAGGAGGGTGACTCGAATGTGTGTGCGGTATAGCGTGAGTGAAGGGGCCAGAAGCGAGAAGGACGTGAATGAGGGACCAGAAGCGGTGCAGGTGGCCAGAGAGGGATGAGAGAGCAGCAGCACATCAAGCAGCGGGCGCTGGGTTGCCGTTGGTCGCATCCATGAGGTTGGTGAGGTTGGTGACGTGGGCGAAGTACTCGTCGTTGCGCTCAGCGTCGAAGAAAGGATTGTCGCGGCCGTCGACCAGGGTGACGTGTGCCATATCGCCGTAGTAGTCGAAACGCAGGTTGAGCAGGGAGCTCGCGCTCTTCATGAAGTTGAGCAGCCCGCCCGCCGGCTTGATGTGAGCCGAGTAGGCCTCAGCACCCAAGCGGTCCCGCAGCTCGGTGCCGAGCGTGGTCAGGGGCAGGCCTTGCTTGAGCACGTCTTCGTCTGCTCGAAGGCAGTCGATGATTGCGAAGAGCATGAGCGGCTCGAAATGCTGAACCTGGAGCGACTTGAGCTGCTGACGCTCGAGCGGGTCGTACTCCTGAACCTGCTCAATCTTTGGCGCGCCAGCGTACTGGAGGTACGCCTCGTTGTGCGCGTCATCGAAGAATGGACGGCGAAGATCGACGAGCGCTACCTTGGCGGTGACACCAGCCTTCAGATTGAGATTGACAAGCTTGCTTGCAGCCTTGAGGTAATTGATCAGCCCGCCGGTCTGCGTGATCCGCACTTCGTAGACCGGACTGGACAGTCGCGTTCGCAGCTCGGGGCCGAGCTTGGAGAGCAGCAGCCCGTGCGTCAGCGTGCGCAGGCAGTCGACGAGGCAATAGTAATCTGCCGGGTCGCCGCTCAGAGCCTGCGCCGCTTGACGTGTCTCGAATGAGCGAGCAAGCGGCGAAGGCGCACGAAGCGGACCCAAATCGCCAGACGTGGAGGCCTGCAGCACCGCTGTGCGCGGCGTCTTTGGGTCGGCCTGCATGACACGTGAGACGAACTGTGCGTCCACAGCGGCGGGAGCACAGCGCCAGGGAGCCTGCACCGAGGCCAGCCTGAGGTTGAAGTCTTCCTCGCCAAGCTGGGAGCGCACGTTGCCCTTCTTGACCGTGAGGTTGATGGGCACGTATGGATACGCGAGAATGAGGTAGTGGCCCCACGTCTCGGCGCCCGCGATCTCGTACGCCTGAGGCGTGTCTTCGAGCATGCACTCAAACACCGCTTCGGAACGGAGCGACGCAAACGTGCTGAAATGATGCGGTCCCGAGCTGTGCACCTTGAGGATCGCGTTGACTGCGAGCGGCATGTCAGAGCCATCACGCTGTGCTGTGCGCATCATACTCACTGAGCGGCGCAAAGCGCTCCCCGCCGGGACACATCGCCGTCTGAGTCGCAGCGACGCGGCTGCCCTCCGATGCATTGAAAGCAGGTTGCAGGCGAGCCTCTGGCTGTGCAGAGTCGCCAAGCGCGTGCCAGAGGCCTTGGATGACGCTCTCAAATCTGGCATCCACCGGCGCTTGCTCGGCACGCCAGGGACGATTCACGTCTTCGAGCTTGAGCCTGGTCTCGCCATACAGGCCGCCAGACTCGACGCGCAGGCGGAGAAACTGATGCGCGTCGATGAGGTAGGCTGCAAGAGAATTGTAGCCGGCTCGGTACAGCGCATTCGGATAGCGAAGCAGGAGATCCGAGCGCACTCGATCGATGCGGAGAGCGCCGAAGCCGGTGCTGTGGCCGAATCCCTGCTGCACGTCTTTGAATGTCGCCGCGAGCGGTTCGAAGATCTCGCCGCCAGGCGGTGGCTGCTCGGACGAGACGTGACTGACATGCGAATCAATGGGCGGGGCCCGAGATGCAGGGGCAGCAGCCCTGCTATCGGGCAAGAACGCGTCGGGCAGGCTGCCCATGGCCGGCGACGCAGAACCGATGTCCATGGAGGTGGCAGGTGCAGCTGCGCCTGTCACGCGCGGGCGCTGAGCGTCTCTGTCGGCAGAGGCATCCTCATCGTGCTCGCGTGCACGCTTGCGCGACGACTCTGCCACGCTCGACTCGGCAGTCTGAGTCGCTCCATCTGGTGACTTCTCGAGCGCGCCCTGCGCCAGTCGACGCACACGACTTGCTTCCGCGGACAGCTGCTGGATGACAAGCTCAGCATCCTCGAGCCGCTGCATCAGCTTCGTGTTCTCGCGCTCCAGTGCGTCGGCGCGACGTTCGATCTTGTCGGAGCGGAGCTCTGCCTTCTCCATCCGGCGATGCTGAGCATCGTAATGTCGGTCTTGCTTCTCGATTAACGCCGAGAAGCGCGCTTCCAGCGCCTCGTAGCGCGCGTCGTGCTCCTTCAGACGCGCCTCCTGCGCATCGAAGCGAGACTCGTTCTCCTCGAAGCGCTGTCGTGTGGCCGACAAGAGCGCCTCGTGACCTTTGTCCAGCTCCTCGCGCCCGGCCTCAAGCTCGTGAACGCGCTTGTTGTAGGAGAAGAGTGTGCGACCGTGCGCTTGTACCTTCTTCTCGAGCTCGTACGAGACGTACGGAGCGGCCGCGCCGGAGTGCGGCAGCGGTGCCGACGGCGGCGGTGACGGCCGCCACGCACCACGACGTGACGTCGAGGAGAACTCGGAGTCATGAGACGGAGGAGAACGCTGTGTATCGAAGTGCGCAACAGAGCGATGCGATGGAGATGCATGCTCTCCGCGCGGCAGAGGCGGCGGTGGCGAGCGGTTGCGCTGCGGCTGGCCGTTCGACGTGGAGGCTTGTGGCAGCTGCGGTGGCGGCAGCGGCGACAGCGGCGCTGTGGCAGTCGGCGCCGGCCGAGCACTCGCAGAGGCCGCTGCCGACGGAGGCGAAGGCGGACCGTACGGCAGCATATCGGTGTCTGTGTGGTGCTGTGCTTAGCCACTGGCTAGCTCTCAGCTCAGCAGCGTTACTCACCTTGAGATGAGGACATCTCGCCCTCTTCCATCTCGCGCACCGCCTGCACCGCTCTAACAGCTGGCTTCTTCGGCAGCAGGTGCGGCAGCGACTGCGGCTGCGGCAGCAGCTGAGGCTGCGGCTGCGGCTGAGCCTGCTGCTGCGGCTCAACCTGCTGCAGCTGCTGAGGCTCTGGCTGCGCCTCAGGCTGCAGCTCCGGGTCTGGCTGCGCCTCAGGCTGCAGCTCCGGCTCTGGCTGCGCCTCTGGCTGCGGCTCTGGCTGCGGCTCTGGCTGCGGCTCTGGCTGCGGCTCCTGCTCTTCCGGCGCATCGAGCAGCTCGTCCACCTCGTCCTGATCGCCGGACTCAGACGCGCCCGACACCGACATGTCCTCGTCGGAGCTGTCGTCGAGACAGATGGCGTCCTCCGTGCTCGCGCCCGTGCCTGCGCCCGGCAGGCCCTGCGACGCGTGGCGCGAGGCAGGGCGCGACTCGTCGACCTCCAGCTTGGGCGCCTGCATCGAAGATGCTCGCGCGGCGGCTAGGCCGCGGCGGGCGCAATGTGTGTGATGAGGCGCAAATGCAGCAGTCTCGTCGTCGTCGATCGCGAGTCGCTTGCTCTGGCTGCGCCAGGCGTAGACAGCGCCGGGCCGTCAGCGGAGCGGCGCAAATGCGCGCCGCTTCGACGAGGGACTGCGCGGCTGTCGCGACTGCGGAGGCGGGCCACGGCCACGCGGCGACTGGTGCGAGATTGTGGGCGAAGAGGTGTGTGGAGAGGATGCGGGCGAAGAGGTGCGTGTGTTGAGGAAGTGAGCGATGAGGGAAGCGGACGTCGAGCTCGCCGGCGAGATGATGGAGGTGCGAAGGCAGGATCAGCGGCGCGGCCGTCAGCGTGGTGCGCGCGCTCTTTGAACGCCCGCGGCCGCACTTCCGCGGACCATCTGCCGCACGGCCGCACGGAAGACGGGACCAACACACGAGGTCTTCCTGCTATCTCACCACCACAGCCGGACGCCAGGACAGCCAGTCAGGCAGCAAGTTGCTCCGGACCATCGCTACAAGCGCAGTGCGCTCCGCTGCGTCGACACAGCCAGCGGCCAGGCCGACAGGCTCGCCGTCGCCCGTGCTCGTGCCGAGCCGCCGGCCGGTGTCTTCGCATCGGGGCGCGTAAGAGTCACGTCCAGTCATCGAGACAGCGCGTCGCGAGACAGACCGACCAACTTCGATAAGATGGACGTGCTCGCCGCTCGGGTGGCAGCCCCAGCCCCCCTTCTGAGCGCTCCAGCCATGTTGCAGCTCTCGTCGTTCGCATCCGCCATCGACGCGCACATGCTGCTCAACGCGTCGCTCGCCGTCGTCTGGCTCGGCTCGCTCTTCTTCCTGCTGCCGTCGCGCCGCCGCGTGCAGCTCGAGGAGGACAGCGCCGAGCAGCAGGCTGCAGCTGAGCGAGCACAGCGCCTCGCCGGCACCGCCATCGACGAGCCGCAGTTCCACGCCAGCGTGCGACGCTCACGCGCTGCGCTTGTCACGCTCTGCGGCTGCGCTCTGGCGCTGCATCTCGCACAGGTCATCCAGCGGCCGCCATCGACGTGGCAGACTGCGACGCCTCATGCCGTCGCGATCGCACTCTGGCTCAACATGCTCGTCCTGTCCGCACGCGGCCACTCGCAGTCGCGCTTCGGCAATCTGGCGCACCTCTTCTCGCTGGCGTGCATCTTCAGCGGTGTGCGCATCTGGGACCTGCTGCTACCGCCAAAGCCGCGCCACGGTGTGCCACCGCCAGAGGGCTACCTGTTCCTTCCGCCACTGGAGGTCGCCTCGGTCTCGCTGTCGCTGCTCGCGGTCGCGCTCAGCGGCACGGCTCGTGTCGGTCCCGCCCGCGAGTACTCGCCGCTGCCGGGCAAGGAGCCGCCGCGCCCGGTATTGCCCATGGGCAGCGGAGGTGCCTCTCTGTTGGGCAGGCTCTATTTTGCCCACTGCTTCTCCGTGGCACGCCTGGCGTGGAAGAAGGGCTACCTCGAGCCGACCGCGTTCAGCCTCATCGATGGCTCAAACAAGGCCGAGCTCCTCTACGCCGATTTCAAGCGCACCTATGCCGAGGCGGTCGCTACGCGGCGTGTGCAGCTGCAGGAGAAGGTCGGGGATCTGCGTGCTGCCTGGCCGCTGATCAAGGCGCTCTGCCGAGCGAACGCAAGCCGCCTGGTACGTGAGACCTCTCTCTGGTTGTGGCTGCGCTGACGGACCGGGCAGATCGTCTCAAACATCCTCGCCTTCATCGGCGGCATGGGCTTCTACGCTCCAGCGTTCTGCACCAACGGCCTGATCTCGATTCTCGAGCGCCAGACAGAGAAGAGCAGTGGCGGCGAGCGCGCCGAGCAAGGCCTGATCTTCTGCGTCGGCCTCTTCGCCGCCATCGTGATCCAGTCCAACATCCTGGCGCAGAGCTGGATGGTCGCAATGGCCGAGCTGCCGCAGCGCATGCGCGCGCAGATTACGACGAGCGTGTACGCCACGGCGCTGCGCCGCAAGGATGTCACGGCGACTTCGACGGCTGCCGAGGGCGACGCAGACTCGTCGGACGACGCATTTGCCTCCAAGGCGCAGGTCATTACGCTCACGACTGTCGACGCGGCGCGCATCTCCGAGATTCCAATGTCGCTCCAGATCCTCCTCATGTCGCCCGCCGAGCTGCTCGTCGGCGGCTACTTCAGCATCAAGCTGCTCGGCACGGGCGCGCTGCTCGGCTTTGCCTCGTCGCTCATGCTGCAGCCGCTGGTGCTCGGCATCGGCAAGTACATCATGCGGCGCACGACGCAGCTGCAGAAGAAGCGCGACGAGCGCGGCGCCATGCTGGGCGAGGCGCTGTCGGCGATGCGCATGCTCAAGTTCAACGCGTGGGAGGACGCCATGTCGCGGCGCATCCTGCGCGTGCGCAAGGATGAGCTGGGCCAACAACGCAGTGTGTGGCTCGCGACTATCCTCAACCAGCTGCTCTTCAACTTCACGCCGACGCTCGTGACGCTCGTGGCGTACGGCTACTTCAGCCTGGGCGAGGGCCGTGCCCTCACGCCGTCGGTGGCATTCACCGCCAGCGCCGTGCTCGCCGAGCTGCGCTGGGCTTTTCTCAACATCCCGCTCGGCGTCAACCAGCTGTCGCAGGCGCTCGTGTCCCTCGCGCGCGTGGCACGCTATCTGGACCGGGCTGAAGACGACCTCGTGCCGCTGGCGCCAAGCACGACGCTTGCCGGCAAGGTCGGCTGCAAGGACGCCACGATCGCATGGCCGCGCACCGGAGGTCCGGCGGTGCAGGGCAGTGCTGCGAGCAGTGCGGCCTTTGCCCTGCGCTCCGTCTCGCTCGAGGCCGTGCCGGGCGCGCTGAATCTCGTCTGCGGCAAGATCGGCGCCGGCAAGACGCTGCTGCTGCTCGGCCTCCTTGGCGAGTGCGACGTGCTCGACGGCGAGGTGTCGTGCCCGCACACCCCCGCCGATGCCATTCCGCTCGAAGGCAGCGCCGCGAAGGCGACTGGCGCCTGGCTGTGCCCGGACCGATCGGCGTACATGCCGCAGGCCACGTTCCTCATCAACGCCACGGTGCGCGACAACATTCTGTTCGGCACAGAGTGGGACGAGGTGCGCTATGCGGACACGCTGAATGCCTGCGGCCTGCTGCCGGACCTGGCGATCCTCGAGGACGGCGACGAGACGGAGGTCGGAGAGTCGGGCGTCGGTCTGTCCGGCGGTCAGAAGGTAAGCGGACCGGAGTGCGCCATTGACGCCGAGCTGACGTCTTCATTGTAGGCCCGCGTATCTCTGGCGCGCGCAGTCTACTCCCGTGCGCAGACGCTGCTGCTAGACGACCCACTGTCGGCCGTCGACGCGGCGACTGCTGCGCACATCGCCGCGGAGCTCTTCTCTGGCCGAGGCTACCTGATGGAGGCCCGCACAGTGCTGCTCGTCTCGCACGCCGTCCAGCTCGTCGCTCCCCACGCCGCTCAGGTGGTCGTCCTCGATGGCGGCCGGGTGGCGTACGCCGACACGTCCGAGGCGTTCCTGCGGTCAGACTTCTACAGCGGACTGATCGAGGAGGCCGAGGAGGAGGAAGTCAAGCCCGCTCACGAGGAGTCAGAGAGTAGCTCTGGCACCTCGACGCCGTTCGAGAAGGCCGCGACGCCGCTGCCCACGGCAAAGAAGGCCGGCAGCAGTGCGCCCGCGAAGCTGGTGCAAGAGGAGAAGCGGGCGCGCGGCGCGGTGCGCGCCGCCATCTACGCCGGCTACCTTCGAGCGGCAGGCGGCTTGTTGGCGTGCGCAGCTGTGCTCGGCAGCTATGCCGCAGCCGCACTGTTCGCCCTCGTCGTGCAGTATTGGCTGAAAGACTGGACAGCCGATGTGATTGCACCCGTGCGCCAGCACTCGGACGCCTGGTGGTTCTGGCGCTGGGCTGGCATCTCCGCCGTGCAGATTCTGCTCTGGACCAGCCGCGGCTGCATCTACTTTGCCAGCCTGGCGGCGTCGCGCCGGCTCTTTGACGCCCTGCTCGCCACGGTCCTCGGCGCGCCGATGCGCTTTCACGAGGCCACTCCGCGCGGGCGCATCCTGAACCGCTTCAACGAGGACATTTCGGCAGTCGACTCGGGCCTCGTCGCAGTGCTCGACAAGACGATTGAGGCAGGCTTTGTAGTCGTGTCGTCGTTTATCGGCGTGTCGGTCGGCTCGGGCGGCCTGACCTTTCTCCTCGCGACAGCGCTGCTCTCGCCGGCGTACATCATCCTCGGCGGAGCGTACGCCGCCGCCGCTCGCGATGCGCGCAGACTCGCCTCGACGAGCACGTCGCCCGTCGTCTCGACGTTTTCGGACCTCATCAGCGGCGCGGCTGTTGTGCGAGCGTTCGGCGCGTCCAAGCACGGCATGGCGGCGCTGATGCGGCGTCTCGACGAGGCCAACTCGTACACGGTCTGGGTGCCGCATCTGCAGCGCTGGTGAGTGAGCGCACGTCGCCAGTCGTGGCATCACTGACGTGCTCTGCAGGATCGGGCAGCTCTTCATGACGCTCAGCGCATGCGCCGTTTTTGTCGCCTCGCTGGGCATCTTGCTCTCGCCGAGTGTGTCTGCCGCCCAGGCCGCCTTTGCGCTGGGCTTCCTCATCACCGTGCCCGAGCGCCTGCTGCACCTCATCTTCCTCTACGCCAACCTCGAGCAGAAGCTCGTCAGCGTCGAGCGCGTCGTCGAGTGGCTCGACGAGGTGCCGACCGAGAGCGCTGCTGAGGAGGAGAGCACAAAGATGACGCCTCCAAAGGGCTGGCCGACAAGCGGCGCGGTGGACGTGAGCAAGCTCTGCGTCTCGTACGGCCCGGACCTGCCGCTCGTGCTCGAGGACGTCAGCTTTGCGATCCCTGCAGGCACCAAGCTCGGCGTGGTGGGAGCAACTGGATGCGGCAAGACGACGCTGGCGACGAGCTTCTTCCGCATGGTGCTGCCGCAGAGCGGCTCGATCCGCATCGACGGCGTCGATATTGCGCAGCTGAGCCTCAACGACTTGCGCTCGAGCCTGCAGATCGTGCCTCAGGTGGGTGTCGCAGCGCAGCCGGAAGTAGCCTCGCTGACGTCGCCTGCAGGACCCGATCGTCTTGTCTGGCCCGTTGCGCAGCACCGTGGACCCCTTTGAGGAGTACGCGGATGCCGAAGTGCTGCAGGCGCTGCGAGCCGTGCACCTCATCGGGCCCAGCGCGGAGGCTGGAGCGGGCGCAGTAGAGAATTCGGCTTCGGGCGGACACAACTTTGCAGACCTCTCCTCGGAGATCGCAGAGGGCGGCGGGAATCTGAGCTCGGGGCAGCGGCAGCTGCTGTGTCTTGGTGAGTGAAGCGTACTGGGGTCACCGCAGACATGCTCACACAACAGCATCAGCACGCGCGGTGCTGCGCCGCTCCAAGTTCATCGTGTTCGACGAGGCGACTTCCTCTGTCGATGCTGATGTGAGTACATCGGTGCACATCCCTGGGCGCACCGCTCACTCGCTCTCTGCACAGACGGACGCCAAGCTACAAGAGACGCTGCGTCAGACCTTTGCTGAGTCGACGACGATGTGCGTGTCCCCCGGCCCTGTCGCCGCGTTGCGCTCACTCCTTGGCCCACAGCACCATCGCGCACCGTATCCGCACCGTCGTCGACGGCGATCTCGTGCTCGTCATGGATCGCGGGCGCATTGTTGAGCTAGCAGCGCCGCACGAGCTGCTCGCGCGGCCGGAGAGTCGCTTCTATCGGTGAGTCAAGTAGTCCTCACACACTGAGAGCATGCAAGCATGCTGACATCCCCCGTGCTGCGGCGCCAGCCTCTGTCGAGCGTCGGGCAAGGCCGAGTTCCGCCTGCTCACGAGACTGGCGCAGGAGGCGGCGCAGCGGCGCTCGATTTAGAACACAGGAGCATGAAAAAGGGGGGGAAAGGAGAATGCAATTAGACGCCCTCGCCGACTTCGCTCAAGGTGCGGGTGACACGTGTGGCGAAGGAGTGGACGCGGAGAAGGGCAGCGAGTGCGTGGGGTGAGGGGGGTTGGGCAGAGCGTAAGGGGACGCAGCGTCCTGCCTGCTCAGTCCGACGAGAAAGTGCGTCCGAGCGCCAGTCTCGCGGCAGCGTCGCCCAAGTCGTGGCAGCTGCCCTTGCTGAGCAGGCGTTGCATCGGCCTCGAGTTGGGACGATACGTCGAGGGCGCCCTGCCGCTGCTCTCCTTGCCCGAGGCGGCCTGCTTGAGGTGCGGCTCCGAGAGGACGATGGGCGAAGAAGTGTCTGCCGAAGCGGCGGAGGCGAAGGTGGTGGCGCTGCTGTCCGAGTCGTAGCCCTCGCTCGAGCTCGAGGCGGCGAGGGAAGGGCATTCGTCGCCGCTTGACGTCGAGTAGTCCGTGGCGGCTGAAGACGTCGAGTACTGCGTCGCTGCCGAGCTGGCGCTCTCGCTGCGACGATGTCCCTTGCCCACCGTGAACGAGGAAGCAGGGGACAATTGCAGCTGGGCATACACTGCGTCCCATCCCTCCAGCGCCGCGACAGGACGCGGAGTCTTGAGTGCCGCCTCGAGCGACTGGAGGAAGCTGGCGTGCAGACGGGGCGTCGGCTCGTCGAGCGCCAGAGGCTGCTGCTGCTGCTGCTGCTGGGCCGCGCGCTCCTCGTCGGAGGAAGAGGAGGGCGAGAGCGAGCCGGGCGGCGAAGAGAGGAGCAGCACGGGGCGCAGGCGCGAGCGCGGCTGCACGGCCGGACGCGCGTCGCGAGACGTCGGCGTCGTCGCAGGGATGCTCGAGGCGCGCGTAGGCGTGACGGGCGAGTCTGCCGCCAGCGCATCGAGCGCCAAGGTCGGAAGAGGCGGCGGCACCGAGCTGGCCGCGCGCCGGCGCCCGAAGCGCGTCGAGAGACGCTTGGTGCGCGAGCAGCGCGCGTCGATGTGTTGGGCGAGGTAGAGCGGCGAGAGCGCCTCGTCGGCGCTGGAGACGTCCAGGGGCGCATCGGCGGCAAGGACGTGCATCTCGCTGTCGGAGAGAGTGAGGGCGTTGCTGCGCTTGCGCCCCAGCCGCGGCGTGGGCGACGGCGGCAGCGCCACGAGCGCGGCCTCGGGCAGCGCGGCAGGCTCTGTGCTCACAGCGTCGACGTGGTCGTGGAGCTTGGGCACGGCCTTGCGTCTGATGGCCGGGGCGAAGCGAGCGCGCGGCGGCGCAGCGAGCAGATGCGCCGCCGAGACGGTGGCGACGGCGGCGCGCAGCCGGGCGAGGTACCAGGCGTCGGACTCGAAGGGATCACTGGGGAATGCGGCGTGCTGCAGCGCCGCGAGCGAGGCGACGAGCTTGGCGTCGGCCACCTCCATCGCCAAACGCTCAGAGGAGACGTAGTAGAGCGGGACGAAGTCGGAGCTGAGCGCGTGCTCGGTGGCGGAGTCGAGAGAGGAGAGCGAGTCGAAGCTGAGCTTCGAGGCCGAGGCACTGTCGCTGCTGGTCGGAGGCAGCGAGATGTCGTCGTCGACGTCCGCGCTCGGCACGTGGCGATACTCGAGCGGCGCCTCGTACGCCGCAATATGGCGGCCGCGAGGCGAGGTGCGGAAGCGGCGCAGCGGCATGGCTAGGCTGAGTGTGGGAGATGTCGAAAGGTGGGGCCAAGGTGGAAAGAGGCAGAGCAAGAGAGGGCACGACCAGCGTGGGAGTGTGGAAGGCGAAGCAAAGAAGCAAAGGCGAAGCCGGACCTGCCGGTGGGAGAAAGAAAACGGGGCGCGAGAGAGAGAGAGAGTGTGTGGATGGTGGTGGAGAGGAGGTGAAGTGTGCGGCGCTGTGGCGAACTTGCTATCTCCCTCGCTGCAGCTTGGCCATACAGCTTCGAACCTCAGCCTCAAGCTCCAGAGGGCGCTTCCCGCATAGCATTCGAAGCGCATGCCGGCTCAGGAGTGGGCGGGCGCAGGTACAGCCATCTGGCGCAGGGGCCAGGCGTGGAGGAGAGCAAGGAGGCTAAGGCGCGAAGGCGGAGCGCGGCGCAACCCAACTTTAGCGCCGCTGCGCCCAACGATACCGCGTGGGAACGCTGCGCCCACGCGCGCCCGGCGGCGGCGCAGGGGCCGAGGGCCGGCTCCGAAGTCTCTCCTTCGCCGGCCGTGCCTTATTGCAACTGCCTCGCAGCTCGGACGCCGAGCTCAGGGGACAGGAGCAGCGTGCCGCTCTTGGAAGGCAGCCGAGGCGGCAGGCTCCTAGCCAAAGAGGAGCGTCGGCGGCAATAGAATGTGACCTGGCCTCACCAGCACGAAGGCCGAATGTGCTTGCGCCGCTGCGTCGGGTCTCTTGGGCGCAGCAAGAGGGGCGAGGGCCCACAGTGTGAGATCTCTTCCTTCGGCGCTTGATGCTCTGGCCTATCACACGACCTGCCTGACGCTGAGGCTGGTGCGGGCGCGCTGGACTCTCTGCCCCCCTAATTGCGGCGCCTCTCGTGCGGGCACAGACATGTCTGCCAGTAGCGAGTGCAGCTGCCTGCCACAACAGCGCCTGCTGTACAGCACCAAGTCGAGTGACATGAGACAACCATCTCGATGGCTTTGCAGAGCGAACGCCGCACTCGCCGCAGCAGACGTGAAGAGAGGCGGCCTTGCAAGCAAAGCCGGCGCTGCTGTCTGCAGGAGACGCCCTGCACTGCATCGCTATGCCGCCATGAAGCGAATGGGCCAGGCTGCGTGCCATCCTCTCCCCACCACTGCAGCGTCTCGCTTGCGCGGTCAAGTTGACCTTGACGCTGACGCTGTGAGGCCTCATGCCCAGAGGTGAGGCACCCTCGACCGCGGCCAGACGACTTGCGGCAGATGCGCGTGGGAACACGCGGCGCGGCGCCTTTTGGCAGCGGCGGCCATGTGGAGCAGGCGGCATCTCGCGTGGCCTATTTCTGTCTCGCCACCACCACCACCACCATCGGCACCTTCATCCCTCTCGCTCCTCTCTCTCTCCACAGAAAGAGAGCACAGCCCGCGACATGCCGCGCACGCCGCCGCCGCAAGCTGGGCCGTGAGTTGGTGGGCTGAGGGGGTGGTGCTCAGAGCTGCATGGCCGCAGACGGCTCATCTCCGCACCCGCAGCAGCAGCTCGGCGCGCAACCCGCCGCCGACGCCCGAGCATGTGCGTGTCATGCAGGAGAACCGGCTGCGCGGTGAGTGTGGCGCGTGGAGGATCAGATGTGGTGGCGGCAAGCGCTCTTCGTGGGCGGAGTGGCGACACGAAGTCGGGGAATCGCAGCAGCTGACGCTCCACCTACCCGTTGCAGCCAAGGCCCGTCTGCAAGCCCTCGCCGCTGCGCAGAACCCCGAGCTGCAGCTGAATGCGCACGGCAAGCGTCCCGCCGGTCCTCTGCCTCTCGAGCGCGGCGCCAACGCCTCGCTGCGTGCCGACGTGCCCGCCTCGACGCGCAACGCCAATCTGCCCGACGAGCAGACGCGCGTCTCGCCCTCAAAGCCTGCGGTGAGGGATGATGCGCCGCTGCCGCGCGACAAGAGCCTGGGCAACTACATCGAGTACGACCTCAGTCGGCTGCACAATTCGAAGGGTGGCTTCTTGGTGGAGGAGGATGAAGGGTCGAATCAGACGGCGGAAGAGAGAGCGAGGGCGAGGGAGAGGGAGCTGGAACGCATGAGGGATCAGATGGAGCCTGGTGAGTCTAGACGCACCAGTATGCAGACGAGTGGCAGGGAGCACGAGAGCCTCGCTCGTCTCGCTCGTCGGTGGCGATGTTTGTTCTTGCATGAGCCTGCTTCTCACACACCCTTCTCCTCTTAGGCGTGACGCTGGATCCCTCGAAGCGCGAAGTGTGCGTCGAGTGCGCCTCGCGCGAGCTCGACGACCAGCTGCGCCGCGTCTTTGGCATCTTTGTGTGCCGCGCCTGCACAAAGAAGGTGCCGGAGAAGTACAGCCTGCTCACAAAGACGGAGGTCAAGCAGGTGGGTCCAAGCGATGTGCGGCGGTGCGCGCAGAGATGTGCTGACGCCCCCGTCCTGTGTGCGCCAGGACTACCTGCTCACTGACGGTGAGTGGCACATCCGAGCGCTGCAACGCCAGCGCTGACACCTTTTCACCAGCCGAGCTGCGCGATCCCGAGCTGCTGCCGCACCTGCTCAAGGCCAATCCGCACAAGGCGACGTACTCCAACATGATGCTCTTCCTGCGCAGCCAAGTCGAGGCGTACGCGTTCAGCGCGGCAAAGTGGGGCTCCGAGGAGGGCCTCGACGCCGAGTTTGATCGGCGCGAAGATGAGAAGGCCAAGAAGCGCGGCAAGAAGTTTGCCGCGGGCCTCAAGGAGCTCAGGCGACGCACGATGAACAACGTCTGGCAGCAGCGCAAGGACGAGGAACATGTGCATGTCTGGCAAGAGAGCGCAGAGGGCGACAGCCAGACGTGCGAGTGCGGCGCCGTCATCGACGTCGAGGTGTTCTGACGTGATCACCCAGTGCTGCCCCCCTTCTCGGCTACCTTCTCTGCGCTACCCACATCCCCACGCTGTATTCTACGATCTAGCAAAGCATCCATTCGTCACGCCGTGCATCCGCCTCGTCGCAGCGACCATTAGAGCGTCCCGTTCGATCCCACAAAAGAAGGCGCGCCTCGCAGAGGCAGAGAAGAGCAGAGGGAACGGCCCACGGCGCTAGTGCGCGTGGCCGTCGTGGTTGCTGTGCGTGGAGCGCGGACGCGAGGCCGAGCCGGACGCCGACGGCGACGAGCCGCCGGCGGCGAGCGTGCTGCCCTTGGGCGGCGGGCAGCACGACTCTTCGGCGCAGCTCGAGCCCTCGGGGCCGCAGCTGATGAGGCAGGCCGTCTCGTTCTGGGACTGAGGGAGGGAGTCAGCGAGGCTCAGCAATGCCATGCCGCCGCGCGTGCCACTCACCAGCTCGGCCTCGACCAGCGTGCCGGCGGGCGTGATGAGGCGGCCGTGCTCGTCGGTCTCCTGCGGCGCCACATCGACGCCGCTCATGCGCGCCGCCGTCTTGAGGCCGCCGCGCACAAACTCGGGCTGGATCGTCGCGGCGTGCACGCCAAACGAGTGCAGCACGTTGCGCAGACGCTGCGCAATGTGCATGTACCGCTCGTCCTGCCCGGGCCCGCAGTCGACGAGCACGTGCATGCTGGCGATGATCGTGCTCTCGCTCAGCTGCCACACGTGCAGCTCGTGGATGCTGATGACGCCGTCGGTCTGCACGAGCATCTCGCGCACCTCCTCGAGCGGCACGGAAGGCGGCACGCCCTGCAGCAGGATGAACGACGCCGACTTGACGAGCGGCAGCGCAGAGGAGAAGATGATGATGGTGATGAGGAACGAGATCGCCGGGTCCGAGTAGAAGCGCCACCAGTACGTCGTCTCGAGGATGAAGAGGCCCGAGGCGATGACGCCCACGTTGCCGAGCGCATCGCCGAGCACGTGCAGGAAGACGCCGCGCATGTTCATGCTGCCGTGGCTGTGGCCGCCGTGCGAGTGTCCATGGTCGTGGTCGTCGTGCGGGTGTGCGGGCGCAGCCGCCTCGACGTCGTGCGAGTGGCCGGCGTGGTCGTGTGCCTCCGTCGCGCCGTAGCCCGCCGCCGGCGCCGCGCCGTTGAGGCGCGCCGACTCGTCGCGCTCGTAGCCGAGGTCCTGCGCCGCCTTGACGACGTAGGCGCGCGTCTGTGCCGGGTGGCCGTACAGCGACGTGACGCTGTCCTCGCGGTGGCGCGTCTGCACCGCCGTGCTCGTGCTGCTCTCGCTCGGCGCCGCCACGTCGCCCTCGGCGCGCGGCGACGGCGGCGCCTTGACGGGCGCGTGCGAGTGCGAGTGCCCGCCGCCGTGCGAGTGGCCGTGGTCGTGGAAGAGGAAGAGGCCGACGATGTTGCTCGCCAGGCCGAACGAGCCGACGATGACGACGAGGCGCGGGTTCGACACCTCTGTGCAAGCATCAATAGGGGCACTCGGTGCAGGGCACGCATGTACGCACCCGTGATGTTGACGGCACGCTCAATCGCCTCCATGAAGATGCTGAAGCACAGCGCCAGCAGGAAGACGCCGTTGACGAGCGCACCGAGGATCTCGGCGCGCTGCCAGCCGTACGAGTAGCGCGCGTCCTTGGTGTGCTCGCGCGTCGAGAGCTAGCAGAAAAGAATGAGCCTTGGCGGTAAGGGGACGGTAATGGCTGCCAGGTAGCGGACACGCGCAGAGAGCTGGCTCTCCCGCCCGCAGGTCTGGGCCTTGCTGCGCCAGGAGGGCCCTAAGAGGGACAACGTGGCGACGGGCATAGCGCTGATGCTCAAAAGCGAGCGTCCGCACCTCACCCGGCGCGGCGCACCGGCATGGCACGAGGAGCGGCCGCTCGTGTGTCGCGCTTCGCAAGTGGCGTCACCAGCCAACGAGGCGTCTGCTGCGCTGCACCGCCAGCCGGCGCTCCTGCCGCTTTACCTGACTGGCTTCCACCTGGCCGTTGCAGCTAAACGTCTGCACCCACTGCACAGCTGCAGACGCCAGCCAGCCATCTGCGCCCATCTGCTGCGACCCGATCTCTCCGCTGCTTTTCGGCGTACTCACCCGCAGAGCGTACAGCGCGACGATGAGACTCATGACATCCTGCGCCGTGTCAGCTGGACGCCGCAGTGGCGCATGCACAGCACACGCACATTGAGCATGTGGAAGCTGTCGGCCACGAGGGCCAGCGAGCCGACCGAGTAGCCTAGCGGACGAGGTGTGAGCGCAGGCGGCCCGAGCGCAACAACACGGCGACGCACCGACGATGATCTCGACGAGAAAGAAGACGACATCTGCGGTGCGCTCCTCGTGTGAGCAATACAAGTGGCGCACTCCGCGCGAGGACCTCACCGATGATGAGCAGCGTGATGATGCGCGCCTCCTTGCCAAACGACACCATGGTGGGCGCAACAGGGGCGAGGTGCAGCTGAGACAAAGGAGTCGAAGGAGTCCGGTCGCTCGGGTCGTGAGCGTGAGAGCCTGAGCTGCAGGAGCGAGCAGCGAGGCAAGTGAGGAGGAGAAGCGCAGCGAGTGGCTGCTGCGAGGAGAGAGGTGGTGGTGAGAGGCGCAGCCGTGACGTGTGCTTCGGCGCAGATCAGCAGCCTTCGAGCTTGGGCCGCCTCGCCCTCGCCGGCCGGCCGCAAGATCGCCTCGGCCGCCGATGCAGGGGCGACGCCACACAGGCGCCGCGCCGCAAGCCTGCGCAGCACTTTGAGATCCAAAATCCCGGCGCGGGCACGTGACATGCACCGCCGGCACAGCCGGCCGTTTCTGCCAGTGCCATGCAGCGCAAGGAGCTCGAGAACCACCGAAGGACCCGTTCTTCATGCCACTACTTCTCTGGGGTCTCTCAAGCTCGGCCATGCGGGATTTTGATCAGGACCATCGAGCGCGAAATGCGAGAGAGGGCGCTTGCGGAGGCACGCGCGGCGCGCGGCGCGCCGCACTGCGCAGTGCGCAGCTCGGGCCCGTGTCACGCGCATTCCAGCTGCGTGCCGTCGTGTTTTGCAGCCTGCTCCACGAGCACGCGCGACTCAGACACTTTTTCTCGGCAGGATCCGCTCGAGAAATGAGCATTGCAGTCGTACGACGGGTTCAATTTTGTGCGCTCTGCACATGTGAAGCTGCGCTGGAGGCAGCGAGGCGGGGGGCGGTGCGCGCGGAGGCGCGCGCCCGGAGGCTGGCCTCGTCTCGCGCGTCGGAGGCGACCCAGCGTCCTTGCTGCTCACTAAATGATGCCGAAGACACACACAAAGCTTCACACGAGAGGCAGAGGGGAAAAAGTCTCAATTCGCGTGACGCAAGAGGGACTGCTCGGCGCACAGAGGTCGGACAGTCGCGGACCGGGAAAGTGGGGTGGTGGTAGCAAAGGGATGAAGACAACGGGCTCGGAAGACGCAGGGCGTGCTGGAGAGAGACGCAGAGCGTGCTCTGGGTATCACAGGCTCAGAGTTGGCGACGGAAGTCCGCGTGATCTTCGATGACGAGCTCTCCGCGGTCCGCCTTGCGGTTCTGGAAGCGGAAGTAGAGCGTCTGGATGAGCGTGATCGCGATGGAGATCGAAGCCATCGCAAGAGTAAGGTGTACGCCGGTCGAGTAGTGAGGTGCCTGCTTCTGCGTGAAGGCGAGACCCGATGCGATGCCGCCGAGGCCGCCTGCAGCAACCACCAATGCGGAGGTGAAACTTCGCTTCGATGCCTTGCGGATCGAGATTTGCGAGAAGCCGGCGACGAGCGGCACGGCCGTGTTGCAGCCGGCGACGGCGAGCATGACACCAAAGTAGCGGGCACCGACGGAACGCACGTAGGTGTAGAGCACCGTGCCGATGATGAGGAGGAGGAAGGCGAAGGCGATGAACGGCGTGCGCGTGCGCGTCCGGTCGCTGAAGTAACCGCACGCGATGATGACTGTGGGTGGAAGGAGGTATTAGCGAGGCTCTGAACGACTAGAAACCACGAATACTCAGTTGGCAAAGCAAACGCATAAGGTGGAAAAACGAGGATCTGGCTAAGAGCACCGCTGAAGCCCATGCCCGCGAGAATCTGAGGCAGGAAGTACGAGAGCGAGTAGCTGCGAGGAGACAGGGGTCAGCTGACGCGTCGACGGCGCAGGCGCGGAGCATGACTCACCTGCCGAGCGTGGCGGAGAAGAACTGGACCGCGAACGAGGCCAGGACGGGGTCCATGGCGTACTTGCCCGTCTTCTTGAGCGTGAGCTTGTCGGGCGTCGCGTCGGCGCGGTCCATGTCGATGCGCGCGGCGACCATGGCCTTCTGCTCGGGCGTGAGGAACTTGGCCTGCTCGGGGAAGGAGACGAGCGTGAAGAAGCCGACGACGCCGAGGATGACGGTGGCGATGCCCTCGAGGAAGAAGATGGAGCGCCAGCCCTCGCCGAGGTAGCCGCGCGTGCCGACGAGGCGGCGCTCGACGGGGTACATCTTGATCTGGGCGAGGCCGTAGGCAATGATGGCAGAGAGACCGGAGGCGAACACACTCTGTGGAGGGCCAGCTGTGAGCGAGCGAAGCACGGCACGTGCACAAGCAACGCACGAAGGAGTAGAAGATCGAGACGCGCTTCTGCACCTCGTGGCGGAGGTACCAGGAGCTGAGCAGGTAGACGGCGCCGGGGAAGAGGGCGGCCTCGAAGATGCCGAGGATGGCGCGCATGGCGATGAGGTGGTCCGCGTTGCGCGACAGGCCCATCATCGTCCTGGAGGGAGCGTGAGCGCTTGGCAGCGGGAATGCAACTGGCTCGCGACTCACATGACAATGCCCCAGAGGAAGGTGGCGCCGCCGAGCCAGATGGGCGCACCGAACTTGCGCATGCCAATGTTGGAAGGTAGCTCAAAGACTATGTACGTCGGGAAGAAGGCGAGCACGGCGTACGAGTACTCCTGCGAGCCGGGGCGGTTGAGGCCGAGCGACGCGCCCATGCCGGCGGCGCGCGCGAGGGAGATGTTGGTGCGGTCGATGAGCGACACGGCGTAGAGCGCGGCGAGGATCGGCACGAGGCGGAAGTCGATGCGGCGCATCGTCTTCTTGAGGAAGGCCGGGTCGTAGCCGTCGTTGATGTGGTCGCGCGTGACGAGGTGGCCGACCTTGTGGCCCTCGACGTCGCCGTCGCGCGGCTGGTAGCCGGCGGGCACGTCGATGTCCGACGTCTTCTCGTCGGACGCGCGCGTCGTCTGGGGGTGGACAGCCTGCATGGTGGGAGAGGCGGGCGAATGGAGGAGGTGCGGGGGTGCGGGGTGAGGCGGCGAGGCGGCGCCTCTTATACGTGCGTGCGAGAGGGCTCGGCGGGCGGACATGGGCGGGCGCGATGCACTCTACTCGCTGAGCCGCCGGCGCGCTGCCGCTGCCGGAGCCGTGGCGGCGCTGCCATCTGTCTCGCCTGCAGGGAGCGGCGGGAAGCCACTCGGAGGCACGGCGGCAGTGCGCTCTCGCAGAAAGTGCAGAAACGACGCGGAGAGGCCCGCCGAGGAGGATGCGCCGCCCGTCTCTGCCGCAGGGGGGCCTCACAGGCGCACGCCGGCAGCATGCCGCTCTGCCCTCCAAGCGGAGTCTTCACCCTGCCCTGCATGTGGCGCTCGCTGGTCCGCGGACGTCCGTCCAGCAGGTGTGGGGAGCGGAGTCGTTTGCCCGCTGGCATGGCTTGGCAGGGCATCGCTGCCGCGCTGGCCAAGTGCTGCAGCACGGCACCTCGCCAGCCGCGCTCGCTGCGCCGCAAGTTTGCGCGGGAGCGCGGCGGATCCGGGGAAGGCGCGCGCCTCTGGCTCGTCCAGTGCCGCTGGCGCCCGACCCCCTCGCACCCGTCCATTCGCCGCCCGCGGTCCATCTCAGCACGGCAGCGGGCCCGTCTCCCGATGTGCATGTGCTGTCAGCGGGTCATGCGGCGCGCGCACAAGGCGCCGACGAGCTTCCGAGGCGGCGCTGCAACGGGCGTGTCATCCGTGCAACGGCCGTCGCTTCCTCTGCATCGCTGCACTCGCTCGCTGCCGCGGCCTGCTGCCCGCCAAGCACGGCCAGCCGGCGTCTGCGCCGTGCAGCAACGGCACTTCCCCGCGCACCCCCTCCAGCCAAGCCCTGCCGCCGGCGACCCATCCAGCCAGGCCCTCTCCATGCGGCTAGTGCCCTCCTGCGCCTCTGCCTGTGCCTTGCACCGCTCCTGCAGCCCTGACGGGCGCACCTGCAGAGGGCTGTGCTGACTCTGACTCGACTGGCAACGCGGCCAGCACTGTCCCCTGCCCCTTCTTGCGCCTCGGGCATCGTCCAGCTGTCGTACGTGCAGCATGCCGGCGTATCCGACGGCGCAGCGGATGCATGTGGCGTGTTGAGCAGCCGCTCTCTCTGCTGACTGCGTCCCTCCGTCGGCGGCTGACGCGCCACGTCGTCGTGTCCCTGTCCGTCGAGCACCACGCGCCTACACTCGGCCAACTCCGCCGCCGCTCCTCTCACCCCGCACTCGACACAGGATCTCGAAGGGAGCCGACGAGGACCCCGAGCTGCCGGGCGTTGTCCCGCCGCAGAACAGCAGCTCAGCCACCCCCGCATGCCGCACGCTGTGCTTGTTCTGACGCCGCAGCGGAGGCAGACGCGGAGGTGCGGCTGGCGGGCATGCAGGGCCCTGCTTCTTGCTGTGCATTCCGCACCTCAGCCCATCTCGTGGTGCCCCAAACAACGCCGATGCACACTGCACACGCTCTCTTGGACAGCAGCCCGACAGGTGCAGCTCGGCCATGCAGCAGCAGCCTGCAGCAGCATGCAAGCCGCTGCCTCCCGTCCGTAAAGCCGCTGATGGCCGCGAGCACGATCTGGGGTGGCGACGCCGCGGGCCTGTCGACCCTGCCAGACGCTCAGGCCTGCGTTGCGGCGAGTCCAGCCTCAGGCTTGGTCCGGCCAAGGGCACGATTGCAAATTGCCGTGGCCTTAGCGCGTCCTCGCAGGCACAGGCGCCGGCTGTGGCGCCTGGGCAAGCGTTCCTTGATCATGCGCCGGGAGCCTTGCTGGTCTGCTGCTGCTGGGCTCTGTGCTGGCCCGCTTGGCCGTCGCGTCCGCCTGATCGCGGCCTGCGCCGCCAAGATGAGGAGGGAGCCTCGATCCGCTCCTCTGTGCCGCTATTCCCGCGGCGCGAGGTCCAAGCCTTGCTGTGAGGGCAGCGCACTCCACGGACATCCGGCCGTCATGCTCTGCGCATGTCCTGTACCATGCCGGCGTGTTGCGGCTTGGGAGGTGCCTTGCAGTCCCCTGGTGCCGGCGGTCAGGGAAGGGTTGCAGGCCAGTCGTCCTGCGCTGCGCATCTCCGCCATGCGCGCGCCGCGCTGTCTGGCCGACCCCAGCCGCGCAGCCACTCCGCCACGCGACACCCGACACCGAGCAAGGCGGAGTACGATGGCTACCCCGCAATGTCTACCCTCGCAGAGATGACGCGGCTGCCTCGGCCCGACGTCGATGCCGAGGCCGAGGTCGTGTGCGCAGTGCGGGGCCCCGTGTGCTGAGGATCGAGGAAGATTGGCTTATAGAAGCGACGAAGGAACTGGCTCCAGCTGGGGCGCGGGCGCCCGCAAGAGCTGGAGCATCAGCAGCCACAGCCGGCAGGTGCGTAGCCGACGGATGCGAGAGGGCTTCGCACAGCAAGCAACTGCAAGCCTGCGATCCCAACTCCAGCATCGTGCAACCTCGTAATGGCAACCCGGCTGGGCCCTTCGGCATCGCCGACGAACATGCTTAGGTAGGAGGAGCCCGAAGCTTTGACGACCACGCGGACCGCAGCTTTCTGAGCAGCTATGTTCCTAGCCGCTCTTGACTGCGATGGCCCGCAGTCGAAACGTATTGCTCCTCAAAGGTGAGCAGCGTTGAGACTTCTTGCGTCGACGCCGGGCGAGGCTATGTTGCAACGACGGCGTGGAAGAGAGAGCATCTGAGGCGTCTCAGAGGCTAGGCGCGTCCTCGGCAGCCGGCAGGCGTGGAAGTTTGAGCTCAAGTCAAGAGCCTGCGCGACATGCTGCGACATCGAGGGCCGGTGGCTTTGACGGGTCTCGATGGGCCGCAGCGTCCGACTTGACGCAGCGAAGCGCTCTCGAGACGTCGCTATCCTCGTTCTTCGCGGATGCACGCTTCGCCTGAGACGGGGCGTAGCAGTAGACCAAGGTCTTGGAGGCAACGTGCACGCCAGCGGCTCCTCGAGCAGGTCGGCTGCGCGTGTAGCGACTAGAGGACGGCAGTTCGACTTGCTCGGCTCGCCTGCACCCGTGAGGCGCTCAGATCCTGGATGAGCAAACGAGGAGAGTCCCCTGAGGTAGCAGCGGAGGTCAACAAGCGACCAGGCGAAGCCGCACCACGCGCGTGAGGGGTGGGAGCGCACCTCCCTTCCTGTGGGTCATGGCCGAGTCAGGGGTAGCGCCCGCCGCACTCTAGCAACACGAGGACGAGAGGAGGCAGCCGGCTCCTGAATAAGCTCCTGACGCTCGAAGACGATTCAAAGTGCTTCCGGTCGCCGGTCCGGGTGCCGGTGCGGTGGGCCTGGACCTCTTGCGCCCCTCTGCTGCAGTCGGCTACTCGGCTTCGACGCAGCGAGCGATGCCGGGGTCTGCCCGTGAACTGCAGAGCCTTTCTGCGCTTCCGAGCGACGCTGGACGTGCGGCGTCGGCTTGACGTCGGTGGGACTCCCAGCTCACTCACAGCGGATGTATGCGTGCAAATCGGGCCCGGTCGGACCTTGCGAATGCAGCGTCGCAGCGCTGGGCAGCTGGTTGGCGGCGCCGGTTCCTCACGCCGCGTCGTTGTCGCTTTGCGGTCGAGCACGTACCGAGGCTGCGGCCGTCGGCTGCCAGCATCGAGGGCTCGTCGAGCGAGACAAGATGGCACGTCGCCGGCAGGGAGAGGCTGCAGCGAGGCGTGTGCATCTCGACGACGTCTTGGCTCGAGCGGCCGCTAGCTGGCCACGCCCACCCGAGAGTGTGCCAATGTGTTGCTCGACGCGTAGCGCGCCTGGTGTCAGCTGCTCCATCGAGCCAAAGGGGGGGGGGGGCGCTCGCATCGTGGAACGCCGTTCTGAAGGGCGCGAAGAGCAATAGATGAGTCATTCAGAGATTATGAGAGTATTACGAAGCGTGCAGGCGAAGCGAGGGTGGCTGGGAGTCGGGTGATGGGGTGGAGGTCGGGAGGCAGGGAGAGCCAGACGCGTGCCTGACGCACGCCACGTGGCGGCGTCGCGCTCGTACCTCGCCGCGCCGCACCAGCCACCTCGAGCCCCTCGCGCGGTCGTGTGCGTCTCGCACCTCCTTCCCGCATCCACACTCACGCCTCTCTCACGACCGATCACGAACGGGCGACGCCTTGTGCCGTCAGCCATGCCCACGATGCTGCACGTCATGACTCTCCTGCCGCTGCTGTTCCTGGCGCTGCTGCCCTGCATCCACGGCGCCGCGCTCACGACTGTGCTTGCGCCGCAAGAGCGCTCCTGCTTCTACGCCTGGGTCGACAAGGCCGGCGAGAAGGTCGGCTTCTACTTTGCCGTGCAGAGCGGCGGTAGCTTCGACATTGACTACCACATCGCCAGCCCGAGCGACAAGGTCGTGCTTGAGGGACAGAAGGAGCGGCAGCTCGACGTCGTCTTCACGGGCAACGAGGTCGGCGAGTATGCCTTCTGCTTCGAGAACGACATGAGCAACTTCAACGAGAAGATGGTGAGCGCGCTGAAGAGATATGAATGGCGGGACGGACGAGGCACGGGTGCGAGAGATGGGCTCAAGCGGATGGATGCAGCGAGGGCAGACCGTGAGGCACGCCGGCCTTGCTAGAGAGCTGCAGACGGACTGCTGCTGCCGAGAGGGTGGATGCAGCGAGAGTGGACTATCAAGACATGCTGGTATCGCGAGATAGCGGCAAGCGATCTGCCGGTGGTGTGGACCTCGGCTGGATGGCAGATGGCCGGCTGCGAAGGACGGCGAAGCAGACTTGACGTCGTGCGAAGGACGAGCGGGAGATGCGCTGCCGGACGCGCCGAAAGCAGCATGGCGTCGCAACATCACGGAGCGCATGGCGCAATAGCTCGGACAATGCGTCATGGCGCCAGCACGCGAGCAGGCAGGGCTGCGAGCGAGGCAGGGGCAGAGATGCTCGCGCTCAGAACGGCACCTCTGCGCATCCCTCTGCGTATCCCTCTGCACACGCTTTCCCCCGCCATTGCAATACGCTGACGCATCCTCCCTCAGATCGACTTTGACATCACCGTCGAGTCCGAGCCGCGCCTCGACGCGCCACTTTCGGGCGCGGCGCTCCTGACCGAGCACTCTGCGCCGCTGGAGGACAGCATCCAGAAGCTCGACGGGCAGCTCACGCAGGTGCAGCGCACGCAGCGCTACTTCCGCGTTTGGGAGAACCGTGGATTCAGTACCGTTCGGAGCACTCAGTGAGTTGAATGGAGCGGCAGAGATGGCGCGAGATAGGGCGTGGATGCAGCGATGGCCCAGCAGCGGAGATGAGCCGTGCGTGTACGCCTCTGGCTCGCGACATTGCTCTCGCATGCGCTGGCATGTGCAGAAGAGCCTCTGCGCCGTAAAGCCTCGACACCGACGTTGCTCGGACCGCCCACAGCGACGCCCGTGTCTCATCCCACGTGCTGACGCCCTTTCTCTCTCCTCCAGATCAAAGCTGCTGTGGTACAGCATCATCGAGTCGCTGGTGGTCATCGGCCTCTCACTCGGCCAGGTGCATCTCGTGCGCCGCATGTTCGAGAAGGGCAGCACGCGGCGCTACCGCGTGTAGAACACTGGTGCGGAGGAATAGACGAGTCTGCTTTACGGCTGCTGCTGTGCGAGTGCGGAGAGGGAGGTGCGTGCAGGTGTGATAGCGCAGTGTCCTTGAGCAAATGGCGTTCGTATGAGCTTGCAGGCGGCTGAGTGGCATGCTCGGGCGCAAGCAGTGCGATCACGCAGAGAGAGGCCAGGCGCCTCATAGTTTCGCAACAGGTCCTGCGCCTGGATCATAGCGACACTGAGCGAAGGTGCAGGCGGTGGCAGGTGTGAAGCTCGCGAAGACGAGCGATGGTAGGGACCAGAAGGAGGCGAGCTCGCGGCGCTGTCGGCGGTTGGCGAGGCGGTGGCTTCGCGGCCGCGGCGCGTGGAGGCTCGTGCGCTGCAGGCGCGCGTGCTGTGGCGCGCCGAAAGGAGACGTCTCGTGATGCTCTGCACCCGCTCCCGCTCTCTTCCCTTCCACGTCCTCCGCACACGCGGCCCGCTTACTCTCAACGGGGCAGCCATGAGCTCCTCGTCCGCCGGCTCGCCCATCTCCGTGCCCGTCGCCATCGTGCTGGGCCTGCTCTCCTCCTTCGTCCAGTCTCTCGGCCTCACGCTGCAGCGCAAGTCGCACCTGCAGAACGCGGCGCTGGCGCCCGAGGCTCAGCGCAGCTCGACGCGCCGGCCACTCTGGCTCGTCGGCTTCGGCATCTTTCTGCTCGCCAACATCGGCGGCAGCGTGTTCCAGATTGGCGCACTGCCCATCGTCCTGCTGGCGCCGCTCGGCGCCGTCAGCCTGCTCTTCAACGCGCTCCTGGCGCGCTTTCTGCTCGACGATCTCGTCAGCTGGAGGGTCGTGGGCGGTGAGTGGGCGTGGGAGGTTGCGAATTCGAGAGGCGGAAGAGCGAGCGGTGATGCCGCAGAGACGAGGACCGTTGGAGGCACACCCAAGGCGGGCGCTGCCGCGAACGAGCAACAGCATGCATGGGCGCGTGGGCGAGGCCGCACCGCCCGATACTATGCAGCAGGCGCCGCACTTCGGCCCGAACTACCGCCTGTCTGGATGCATCTCGCTGTACTCACACCACTCCGCAGGCACCGTGCTAATCGCCGTCGGCGCCGTGCTGATCGCGTACTTTGGCGTCGTGCCCGAGTCGCCGCACTCGCTCGACGAGCTGCTGGCGCTCTATGCGCGGCCGGCGTTCATCGCATTCGCCAGCATCTGGCTGCTGGCGTTCCTCGGCGTGCTCATCGTGGTGAGTCGCGGCGTTGCCAGCGTTATATGCCTCGCTGACGTGCGGCAAAAGGCACACCTCGCCGAATGGTCGCTGCATGCGCGCTTGCAGCGCCTCGGCGACGGACCCGGCAAACGCCGGCGGCGACGGCGCGGCAGCAGCAGTGACTCTTCCCGGCGTCTGCTGCAGCGGCGCTGGTCAGCACCGTCGCTGGCGCCCGTGGCCGAGGTGTCCGAGAGCACCAGCGGCGTCGCTACACCCGTTCTCGCCATCATCGATGCGCAGGCGCGGCGCGAGCTCGATGCCGCGGCGGAGGCCGCACCGCTGCTCTCTCCCGCGCGGAGCAAGGCCGACTACGGTGCGCTCTCGCGCTCGCCGCGTCGCCGGCCCGCCTCGAGCGAGCCTTCGGCCGCGGCACTCGCCGCCTTCATGGCCGACCCTGCGGTGCGGCGCACGCGCCTGGGCCTCAGCGTGGCATATGGCGGCGCCAGCGGCACGCTTTCGGGCATGTGTCTGCTGCTTGCCAAGAGCGGCGTCGAGCTGCTCGAGCTCACGTTTGGCGGCGACAATCAGTTCAACCGCTGGCAGAGCTGGATGCTTCTGGGCATCATGCTCAGTGCTGCCGTGCTGCAGGTGAGGGGATGCAGGGGGAAGCCAAAGTCCATGGACCGCTGACCGACACCCTGCTCAGCTCTGGTACCTCAACAAGGCCCTCACGCTCGCGGACCCGACGCTCATCTGTCCGCTGGCCTTTTGCTTCTACAACACGTCGTCCATCGTGCTCGGTGAGTGGTCACTCTGCACACGCACAGCCCGCCACGCTCACACTTCGGGCAGGCCTGGTGTACTTTGACCAGCTCGGCTCGCTCAGCGCGCTCTCCATCCTCCTCGTCGTGCTCGGCACCATCATTCTGCTCTCTGGCGTCTGGCTCGTCAGTCTGCATTCGCACGCCGCGCCGGCCGCCGCCGACGGCGCCGACACCGAAGTCACTGCGTCGCCCGAGACGTCCATGCTCTCGCCTGCCGGCGCAGACGCCACCGAGACGACTGCGCTGCTGGGCGCCAACGCCGCGGGCATCGCTGGGCCGCATCTGCCGCCAGTTTCGGCGGCCTCGGAGGACATCACGCCGCCAACGAGCCCGACGACCAGTCGTCTTGGCTCTCCCCGTGCGCGGAGACACTCGCGCAGCGCCTCACTGGGCATTGCAGGCCTCGGCCTCGTGCTGCCCGACTCGCCGCTCCACACCTCGGTGCACTTCGACGTCGAGCAGTCGCGCGCCAAGCCTCGCGAATCGCTTACCTCGCAACGCCGCACGCTCTACTCGATGCTCCTGCAGCGCGGGCTCAGCATCGGCATCTCGCCCTCGTCGCCCGGCTTCCACATCCATCCGCCGCCCGAGACGCTGCAGCATCTGCTCGCGGAGCGCGCCGCGGCCGCCGCGGCCGAAGAGGCGGCCGAGGACGCAGAGGCATGGCGCAGACGGCCGCGTCGTACGCTCAGCGAGGGCGACGCGCTGCATGTCGAGGCGGCGCGTGGAGCGGCGTTGGCGCGTGCAGAGGAGATGCGAGAGCAGGGCACGCAGGAACCACTGCCAGTCGTGGTGGTGCAGGATGCAGAAGAGTCGGCGCTGGTCGAAGAGGAGGAGGAGGAGGCACAAGCGCAAGAGGAGGAAGAACAACAGCCTCAATCGAGCGCCTGGACGCTGCTGCCGCGCGCACTCGACTATGCGGCACTCTCGGCTCGGCTGCGACGATTGAGGAGCAGCAGTGGCGCCGAGTCTTCTTCCACGCAAGAGCCAGACGCAGAGCCGCACGACGTCGAGACTGGCACGGCTCCCGCCGCGCCGCGCCGCTCCTGGCTGAGCTGGCGCTGAAGTGAGGCCTCTTGCCCCCTTCTTTTTTTCTCCCTTCACGACTCCCCCGGGCAGCAGCTGGCCTAGCAGGAAGCAGCATTCGAGAATGTAATTGATACCCCCGCGTCTCCATCTCACCTCTCCCGACTCCACAAGATCATAGCGAGACCGCCTCCCCTCTCACTGCAGCACGGCAGCGAAGTCGAACTGGCTCCCGCGGCTGGCGCCCGAGGGATACGTGCGGCGCAGTGCGCCGTCGAAGGCGCGCGGCGGCGGAAAGAGGCGCGACGTGGGGAACGTGTGGCTGCCCGAGATGGCGGGTGGTGAAGGCGCTGTGCGGGGTTTCGTTTGTCAGCCGCCAGCACGGGCGAGGTAAGGATGCCGCCCCGGAGGGGGGGGGGGGGGGGGGGGGGAGGGGGGGGGGGGGGGGGGGGGGGGGGGGGGGAGGGAGAGGGACTCACGTCGAGCAGGCGCCGAACGAGCGGGAGGCGCAGCGGGCGCACGAGCGGGCGGCGCCGCGGGTGCGCGGGCAGCGGGCGCCGGCGGGGCGGCGGGAGCGCGAGCCGCGGGCGGCGGCGGCGCACGCGCGGGCGACGCTGCCGCCGCGGGAGGCGCGACGGGCGCGCGAGAAGGCGGCGGCGGCGGCGGCGGTGCAGCAGGCGCGCGAGACGGCGCTGCCGCTGCTCTTGGCGGCGCCGGCGGCGTGGCAGGCGCCATCACAGCGGCAGTTGCGCGCGGCGGCGGCGCCGGCGGAGGAGCGGTGCGCGCGGCCGGCGAGGGACGCGAAGGCGGCGGCGGAGGAGCGGCGGCGGAGGGACGAGAGGGAGGCGGCAGCGAGGGTCGTGCGGCTGTGGCCGGCGGCGGCGGCGCGCGCGAAGGCAGCGCGGGCGAGGGAGCCGCCGGCGGAGCTGGACGGCCTGGTGTGAGAAGTGTGAGCCAAGCAGCAAGTGTGAAGTGCGAGAGGGCAGGTGCGAACTCGACTCACCTGGCGGCGGCGGCATGCGAGACGGCGCAGCGGCAGTCGGCGGCGGCGGAGCGCGCGAAGGAGCGGCGGCGAGGGGCGGCGCAGGACGTGCGGGCGGCGCACGACCCGGCGCAGCGCCCGTCGCTGGCGGCGCTGGCGGTGCTGGCGGCGCAGGCGGAGGTGCCGGTGCTCCTGCCGGCGGCGGCGGAGGTGGTGGAGGCGGAGGGGGCGGCGGAGCGCCGCCCGCTGCTCCACCTACTGGCGGCGGCGGCGGCCGGCTGGGTGCGCCTGCGGGCGCGGGCGGTGCACGCGAGGGGAGGGAAGGCGCGGCGCGCCCACCTGCTGGTGGCGGCGGCGGCGGCGGTGGAGGAGCCGCGGGTGCGCCGCGCGAGGGCAGAGAGGGCGCCTGAGAAAGGACGCCCGTGTGAGCTGCCTGTTGCGCGATGTGCACACGACGACGCGAGGCGCAACTCACCGGGCGCCCGCCTGCGGGTGGGGCCGGCGGAGGCGGCGGCGGCGGAGGTGCGCCGCTCGGCTGGGCAAAGCGTGAGCAGCGGTGATGCGCGGAGAGGCGCGCTTTGACTCACAGCGCGACCTCCAGCTGGCGGTGCAGGCGGCGGCGGCGGCGGCGGCGGCGGCGGTGCACCAGTCGGCTGCGAGGAGAGATGAGCAGCTGCAGCGCACACGCGCCGCAAGCAGACTCACAGCACGAACCCCTGCTGGCGGCGCTGGCGGCGGAGGCGGCGGCGGTGCACCTCCCTAGAAGGAATGTCAGCACGCGCATGCGTCCAGCCAGTCTCTGGCCAGCCCAACTCACGGGTCGAGGCGGAGCGCGCGAGGGCAGCGACGGCGCACCCGCGGGCGGAGGCACGGGCCGCGGGGGAGCTGCTGCGCGCGGCGGCGGAGGAGCCGCTGGCGGAATGCGCGTCAGTGGTGGGGGGTGACGCGAGGCAAGACTGGCCTCGCTGGCATGAAGGCCGGCAAAGAGGAACGAGAGGCTGCGGCCGAACAGCGCGGGCTGTCGATGCATCCGCACGCAGCACGCATGACACGGGAGTCCGCGCAGATGCTTCATCCAGCCTACCCGGCGCACGGGCGTCTGCTCTCTCTCTGCCCCGCCTGTCACACACGCGTCCCGACTCACAGCTTCGCGGCGGCGGCGGCGCGCTCGAGCCGGCCGGCTTCAGCTTGGGCATGCCGCCGGCAAAGATGCCGCCGAGACCTGCCGCGGGCGGCGCAGCGGCGGCTGGCGGCGGCGGCGCACCTCCGGGCACCGGCGGCGCACGCGCGGGCCCAGCGCCTGCTCGTGTGCCGCCGCCCGAGGGCGCCTCGCCGACGACGGCGCCGGCGACGGGCGGCGCGGAGCGGTCGTTGATCTGCCCGACCTCTGCGCGCAGGGGAGCAAGGGTGAGCGAGGAGTAAGAAGTGGGGGGTGGGCAGAAGGGCAACGCACTCTTGAGGCCCTTGCCGGCCTGGATGGCCTGCAGCAGGCCGCCGTCCATGACTTGTTGGAGTGAATGCGATGTGGTGGTGGAGTGTGGGGAGAAGCTGTGCTGCGCTGTGGAGGCCGAGGCCGTGCGCGCCAGCTCGGCGATCGCACAGCCCCCGGATGGCAAGTGCGGAGTCGCGCCCCCAGGGGCCGGCCAGGAGAGCGCGCACGTGAGGACAAGGGCAGGCAGCCTGCAACGCGCACCGCGCGCCGCGCCGCGCACCAACACGCACGGCCGCGCGCTGGCAGGCGGCGTGCGGGCGCGAGAGGCCACAGCGCAGGCGCGCCCGCCACGCCGCTGCTGCTGCCAGTGCTGCTCGTCGTCGCCGTCGCCGGCGCGCGTCTCAACGCACAAGCGCACGTCGCGGCGCGCGCCGCCTCTGCCTCTCAACCCTCACCTCCAGCTCTACGTCACTCCTGAGCTTCCTCTTCCCGTCCTTCCTCTCACCCTCCTCTTCGCCCACCCTCACACACACACACACCATGCGTGAAGTGCTCTCGCTGCACGTCGGCCAGGCCGGCATCCAGATCGGCAATGCCTGCTGGGAGGTGAGGCTGCGCGTGTAGAGAGCGCAAGGCAGTGGCAGCGCTGATGCAAACCCTGTGTGACACGCAGCTCTACCTCAACGAGCACGGCCTCACGCCCGACGGCCGCGTCACCGAGGGCTCGCCGTCGGAGAACGACGACGGCTTCAGCACCTTCTTCAGCGAGACGGGCAGCGGCAAGGTGCGTGCGCGCGTGGGGCGTGGGCGAGCGCGTGGGAGGGATGGTGCGGTGTGTGGGGGTTGGGGAGACGTGCGGCAGAGATGAGAGCGAGATAGATGCAGCTGCGACGTCCGCAGCGCGGCATGCCACCTCGAGGTGCCGCGCGTGGCGTGCACCGCGATGGTCTCGCGTGGCAGACACCTCTCTGGCCTTGCCACCTCTCTGCGCGGCTGCATGGTGGCATGCCTCTGCGCGCCCTGCATCCCGTCACCCGGCTGCGTGGCGGCACCCTTCTGCGCACTGACACCCTCCGCAGTACGTGCCGCGCTCCATCTACGTCGACCTCGAGCCCAACGTCGTCGACGAGGTGCGCAACGGCACGTACCGCAGCCTCTTCCACCCCGAGACGCTCGTCACGGGCAAGGAGGATGCGGCGAACAACTACGCGCGCGGCCACTACACCGTCGGCAAGGAGCTCATCGACCAGACGCTGGACCGCGTGCGCAAGCTCGCCGACGCGTGCAGCGGCCTGCAGGGCTTCTTCGTCTTCCACTCGTTCGGCGGCGGCACCGGCTCGGGCTTCGGCTCGCTGCTCCTTGAGCGCCTGGCGCAGGACTACGGCAAGAAGGCCAAGCTCGAGTTCAGCGTCTACCCGGCGCCGATGATGAGCAGCAGCGTCGTCGAGCCGTACAACAGCGTCCTCACGACGCACACGACGCTCGAGAACTCGGACTGCTCCTTCATGGTCGACAACGAGGCCATCTACGACATCTGCAAGCGCAACCTGGGCATTGCGTCGCCCGGCTACTCGAACCTCAACCGCCTCATCGCGCAGGTCGTGTCCAGCATCACGGCCTCGCTGCGCTTCGACGGCTCGCTCAACGTCGACCTCAACGAGTTCCAGACGAACCTCGTGCCCTTCCCGCGCATCCACTTCCCGCTGGCGACGTACGCGCCCATCATCAGCGCCGAGAAGGCCTTCCACGAGCAGAACAGCGTGGCGGAAATGACGTTCTCGAGCTTCGAGAAGGGCAACCAGATGGTCAAGTGCGACCCGCGCGACGGCAAGTTCATGGCGTGCTGCCTGCTGTACCGCGGCGACGTCGTGCCCAAGGACGTCAACACGGCCGTGGCGGCGATCAAGACGAAGCGCACGATTCAGTTTGTCGACTGGTGCCCCACGGGCTTCAAGATTGGCATCTGCAACGAGCCGCCGAGCCTGGTGCCCGGCGGCGACCTGGCCAAGGTGTCGCGCTCGCTCTGCATGCTCGCCAACACGACGGCCATTGCGGCGGCGTGGAGCCGCCTGGACCGCAAGTTTGACCTCCTCTACTCGAAGCGCGCCTTTGTGCACTGGTACGTCGGCGAGGGCATGGAGGAGGGCGAGTTCAGCGAGGCGCGCGAGGACCTCGCCGCGCTGGAGAAGGTGAGTGGTTAGACGTGCAGCACTGGCAGAGCCGAGGACTGACTGTACACCACTCGCAGGACTACGAGGAGGTCGGCATGGACACGGCCGCCGAGGGCGACGAGCTCGAGGCCGAGGAGTACTAAGAGACATGTGCGAGGCCCGCTTGCGGCTCATCGTCTCGCACGAAGCCGAGACAATGTGCGAGGCCGGCCTGCGGCTCATCGTCCCTTCTTGGCACTCTTCACCCACTCCTTGCCCTCGTGGCATTCCGCTGCTTTCCCTTTCAATCTGACGCCTCGAATGAGGCACCCTTTCTCCCCCCCCACACACACGGGCGACTCGCTCCCCCTCTCTGTACGGGTTGCGGTAGCTTCCAATGATTCCCCTTCCCCCGCTTTTTTCCTTCTCCTCACGCGGCGTGAAGTGTGCGATGCGGGGCAGGATGGAGGTGTGACATTAGCGCGGGGTCTGTCTTTTGGATTGTATAAGGGATGCTCGGGTCCAGCGCTTTCAACGTGCGGCGCATTGCTACTGCTCCTTCTTCTCCTTCTCGCGCTTGCCGTCTTCCTTGTCGCCTCCTCCCTTTCCCGCACCGAGCGTATAGCCGACGGTGCCCAGCAGCACGGCCGCGGCGCCCGCGGCCAGCTGGCGTGTGTTTGCGCCGCGGGCGCTGGCGCCGCCCACGAGAAGCAGGGAGATGGCGAGCGAGGCGGCCTTGCGCACCACGAGCACGAGCGTCACGGTGAGACTGCTGACGCGCGCCGTGAGGCGATTGACGCCGTTGATGCAGAGCAGCTGCGTGGCGACGTTGAGCGCGAGGGGTGCGAGGAGCGAGGGCAGCAGCACGCCGCTGCCGACGCCTCCGCCGCTGCGCTGCGATATTGTCGAGCCGAACGCGACGGCGCGCAAGTCGAGCTGTCCGCCCGGCGTCGCCACGCCAGGCGCCGGCGCTCCCCAGCCGAGCCACATTTGCGGCGTGTGCAGCGCCGCGCGCCACTCGGCGCGCAGCTGCGGCAGCGAGGCGAGAAAGAGGGGCAGCGAGAGGGCGTGCGAGTAGAAGAGGGCCTCGCGCCAGTGCTGCGAGCCGTACATGCCAAACGTGCTCTCTTGGTACAGCCCCATGAACGAGGAGAGCAGCAGCGCGAGCGTGAGGAGCGCAATGCCGAGGAAATAGTCGGACGACGAGGAGGAGGAGGAGGAGGAGGAGGAGGAGGAGGAGGAGGAGGA